CACGGGGTTGAATAATGGCGTCCTCGTCTGCAAGAACTGGAGGGTCCCCCTGAACGGGTTTCAACCATTTGGCTCGCCGAGCGGCCTTGGCTCGGACAAACGACTGCGTCGTATGCGCCTGTCTGATTTCGAATCCAAGGTCTACTCGCTGGGCTGAAGATGCCTTGATTATTTGTCCCGTCCGCCCGACGTGTACATCACAATGACCCGTAGCGTACCGGGTCACGCCTAATTCGTACGTCGTTTGGAAGTCTTCGCCTAGTAGCAATGGAACTCGCATGTTGCGGACCACGTAAGCTTCTAGATCAAAACTGACGAATGTTCCTGTCTCCGTGGGCATAAACAGCGTGGTTCGTATGTAACCTAACACTTTAGCAGACCCCGTAAGATGGTAGAGTCGCATTCGCAATCCATCTTTAGGCTTAGGAAGCCCAGGGATGGAAGACCAAAAGTCCTCAGACATCAGCGTGATATCAGCGCCTGAGTCTAAACGAGCTTGCACGACTTCTCCCTTTGTTGAGGCGATGAAGGCTCGAGCATGAAGAGCTCGCGTGCCTAGGGAGCCTAATCCTTCGGGAAAGGAGTGACCCTTGGGCGCCACAAAGATTTCACCAGGGTCATCCGTATAGAGAGGGGGTGTGTTAGTGCTAGAGGAATAAGGAGGGGGTTTAGCGCTATCCCTTAGGCGACGCTTAGCTCTCGATAGCTGTTTAACAATTGTTTCTTCAGTTGGGGAATCAGCCTTTTCCTTGCCTTTGGACTCATTTGCCATTCGTCAACGAATGTTTCGGTTATCCGTCATGAATGTTTTCTTGGCGTGTAACGCTTTTGCTCCAGTAAGTTCAGCGCTCATGCAGAACGCTTCCTTCGAGGTCTTACTCAGTCCAGCGATATAAGTGGAAGAAGAGGCCTCAGCCTGTGTTTCAACAATCATAGCTAAGTACTCTCTGTCGTGAGCGGCCTCCAGTTCGTGATCTAAATCTACGTCTATCAAATTGGCGTTACGGAGACCATCCCACTTTCCGTAGTGACTACAGTCTCTGGCATAGTGGTAAGGACTATCGCAAATGAAGCAAGCGCCGTTGGTAGGGGGCTTAGCACTCTTAACACTATCATCCCTTGGGAAGGATACGCCGTTCATGACTTTGCCCCTCGGCCACTTTGATGAACTGGCCGCGCTACCCTTCTCGTTGCGCTTACGGAAAGTCGCTGCAAAAGCTTCGGCGCTCTCGTCCGTGCTCGAGTCACTGCCTTCGTCATGAATTAGGGCTGGAGGTCCAGTAGGAGGATCTAAAGAAACGTTATGTGCTGTTCGCCCATAACGTCCCTTGCCCGGAACAGAGGGCTTGTCTCCTTGGCCTACTGCTGTATTTCGAGCGCGAATCTCGCTGCTTTGCCAGTCATTAATGAGACTGGTGGCCAAACGACTGGCCGCACTTTGTAGCGCGAAGATGGAAGGGCAATTCACGTCATTGAGGTCCTTTTCCCATTCGATGGGTTGGTTACGCAAAATGCGGTCAACCGCACCTGGACCGTCCTGATCGTCAGGGTGAAGGAACATATGGTGACGGACTCTACGTTGTATGAAGTCGATGGGATCTTCGGTGGTATGCCCTTTTTGATGGAAGAACATGGCTTCGAACTCGTAAAGCCTTTCACGCGACCAACGTAGGTCGAGGAACTGGACATGAAGACCGATCATCATGTGTTCCCAGTCTTGACGAAAGTACGTTTGGTCCGTTAATGGAAGACATTCCCACCAGCTCTTCGCATGGCCTGACCACTTATACGGGGCCATGGCGGCTACACCTTCCTTCATTTTGTCACTCATTCTAGCCAGGAATGACATAGAACTGATATAGTCAATAGCCGTGGAGCCATGACCATCCCAGGCGGGCACGACAGATGAGTTGAGCTTATGATTCAGCTGCCACTCATCCGAGTAAGGGAAGGGTGAGTACCCCGTCCATCCAGAGGGGTTACCAGGAGAAGGATCTCCGCTTCCTCTGGGAGGACCGCCAGGAGGGCCTCCAGGAGGCCCGCCATTGGGACCGCCGCTGCCGCCATTAGGACCACCGCCGCCTGGACCGTTGTTGCCCGGGTCGTCATCAGGTGGACCTCCTCCTGAGGGAGGGTCACTAGGGGACCTCAGATCATCATCGCTGGGCGATGGTATCGGGCGATTATCTTTGAACTGATAGCTGGTCCAACGCGAAGGCGCGCTGCTGGCTGGAGCTGGTGGTTGTTCAGGTGCTGTAGTAGCTAAATGGGGAGGCGTTTGCCGGCTGGCGAACCACACGGTTGGCGTGGGCTTCGCTACGGCTTGGGAACCCTGCTCAACGCCCGTGTTTACCACTGGCGCTGCAGCGGGAGCGTCACCTGCTGGCAATTCTATTTTACCCAAGCCAGGCATAGTGGAGATGGCATGACGCCTATGAGCGACAACCGAAATGGAGGCTGGCATCGGTACTTTGACGCTTTGAGTGGCGATCGTCGGAACCGCTGATGGAGCGTATTGAGTGGTAGGAGCAATCGAAGGTGCGAGCAGTGAGAAGGCTCGATTGGACTGGGAGGTGGCGTAGAGATCCCTTGATGTAGGTAATTTAGCGAACACTTGATCTAGCGCTCTGACCTTGTAACTAGCGTTGCTCGCTGAACGTGCAGCAACAACCGCTCCGGTAGGGGGCGTGTTGTCGACGCGAGCACGAGGGTCTTTATAAAAAACCGTAGGTACTCTCTCATTCATCCTATTAGCGGCTGCTACGGCAGCTTCCGTTAGACGACTGACTCCATCGCGATACGCGGCTGGGACCTCAGCTTCGTAGTCTGATCGTAGAAGGAGTTTCCCTACTTCTTCGTGGGCTTCGTCCTGGCCAAATCGGGAACGGACGGATGGCCTAGTTGAGTACAACGTGCTGACCGATTGTTGTTCGTCAGATTGCAGGAAAATCTTCCTCATGGCATTGAAGTATTCCTTAATGTGCGAATTACAGACTTGGCAACGTCGTTGTAATACTACAAAGGTAAGCAGGATATCTTTCTTGTTGGTGTGCCAGGCTAACAAATGTAGCATCTTCCATTCTGGGTCGAAAGCGAAGAGTTGACAGTCGCCTTCTCCCAAAAGAGTCTGGAAGGCATGAAGGATTTGGTACATAGCTAAGTAGAGTTGAGCTATTTCCTCCAGTAGAACAGAAGGTACCGAGTAGTATTTCACTGAGTCCACTGTGAGTTCATGGATGTATTCCGGGGTTAAGCGAACTTGAGGAAAGCTGTCGATCATCGTAGGGAGGTTAACCCATAATCCCTGGACGTGAGGCGCTGACCATCGCCATAAGAGGTCACGAATTCCTTGAGAATCCTCCAGGGATTTCCCAGGGAGCTTCCCGTCGATGCCGCCGAAGAAGATCAGTGGGTCATCATCTACAGCGGGGTTGAAACGAGGATGGTAACGAGCTAAGGAAATAGAGAGGGGTTCGTCATAGATTAAGACGTCCTCATAGGTCGGGATCCCTTCGAAGATACGTTGGGATCCCCTAGGGCTCTTGTGGCCTAGCGTAGAGATGCTCGAAATCATAGTTAAGTACGTAAGGGAAGGTGCATCCGAGAGGATTTGACCTGTCTCCTGCAGCATCGTGAGGTTCGGACCAGGAGGGTTGATCATAATCAGTACAACGCTGCCTTGCGGCGCGCTGACACCCGACTGAGGAAGAGGGATTAGAGCTGGGGCTTTCTGTGAGGATGCCCCAGGCTTGATAGGTTTGGTTTGCGATGTAACCGCCAATTTACCTTTCACGGAAGGAACCGCTGGGGTGCTAGCACCCTTAGCGCTCTCTTCAACGATCGGTGACGTGGCCGTCGCTTTTCCCTTCGCAGGAGGAACAGCTGAGGTGCTAGCACCTTTAGTGCTCTCTTCCGCAAGCTGAAGGTTTTTGGAGGCTGCTCTAGTTGAGCGGCCGGTAGTTTTGGGTTTGTCGGTGGAGTCAACGAGATCGGCATTGGATTGGGATGGGGTAGCCATGGTAGTGTAGCTGAGAGAGACGGAACTACTGTGTCATCTCTTAAATACGCGAGTGGCCCCTTAATCGATTGCAAATTTCTTGCCGGCTCGTTGGTACGCTGATCGAGGGAGATCCTTCATCCGAAAGACTTGTGGCATAGCTAAGTCGGAATGAGTCGGTTGGGAGAGGGGTAGACTGAACGGGTGAAGGTGTCGGGTGAAAGATCTCACAGGGGCTAAACGACTACGGTAATCCAGAGGATCTGGATAGCCGAAGGGAGTCGAATAGCCGTGAACGCTGTAGCAGCGCTCCTGGACATCCTCGCGCGAACGCAGGAAGAACTGCGCTCAGCAACGAGTAGGGAATAGGTAATGGTTGGTACACGAGGGAGTCGATGGAGGCGGTATGTAACGTGTCACACTTACAATGGCGTGATCGGAGTACCGCTTCCGAATTCTCCCGAGGCGAGACTTCAACATCGAATGTGAAGTCCGCGGTGCCCCCACCAATGTGAAGCCTCAGTGCGTGCGGGGACTTCGTGCGCGTGAAGTCTCATAGTACCATAGTAGAATGTTGTAGTGTAGAATGATGAATAGAAGTAATAGGAGAGAACGCGACTGTTGTGGTCGCGCTCGTCTCCTAGGGTTGCCTAGAAGTCCTAGGCGGACCCTCGTTAACCCAGAGGAGGGCTCTCGTATCCTGTGGAGGAGGGAGCATTATGTAGGGAGCTCGCCCTTTGGTCTTACCAGCAGTGGACACAGGACACGTATCATGCAAGCTTGTTAGCAAGATGGTGATGGTATTATGTCTAATGGTCATCAAGAATGTACGAACAATATAACTACGCGATTACGTAAGATGTGCCTGCGTGTATCCTCAACTCCGTATCACATTAGGAATCTGTTCCAAGAAAAAAACCATATCTTGTAATCCACTCCAACATGTTCTGTTGGAGTCGGAAAGCTGTGTCTTTGTATATGCCCAAGGTAGGGATAAATCTATCCAGAAACCCTGCTTTCCACGTGAAACCCTGTGGTTTCTGAATTGGTTGGGCAGAAACCTGGGGTGTTGTCAATAGCCAACAATCAAGATATTTGATGTCCGACGCGCGGCTCACTCACTGCCAAGACGGAAGTGAATTTGTATATAGCAGCACATAACCCGACTGGTGCTCAAGCTGAGAGTGTGTATTATTTGCCTATGATAATTATAATTACAGGTATGTGCTGTACTCTGAAATGCCGAGAGCGAGGGACTAGTGGGCAGGCTGAGCATGTGTGGCCTTCCTGGCAACATACCTGCATTTCGTGCAGGAATCCCAGCTCCTCCATGTAGGGCAGCTGTCACCCTCTGTAATCTTAGTTGGAATGCACTGACTAGACAGGCAAGAGACACGGCCTTCTGCGTTCAGGCTGCACCATGACTCTGATGTGCATGGCAAGTGTCAAGCGATGGCCTGCGTCCTCTACGAGGCCACACGAGGCCGTTAGTGGAGAGGACCCCAGCGGTGGGTATTATAATTGAGGTTACATGGTCAGTGCTTACACAACAGAAGGATGGACTTGAAGCGTTGAGGGTAGGAAGGGGTGATACGAGGCAATGTTGTTACTGTTGGGCAGACGGCAGGTGCTCGGCAAGTACTCAAACAATCTCCGACATAGGTTTCTAAAAACATAGTCAAACAACATTTGACAGAGGATGGAGGGGGGGTTTCAAACCGACGACGAGAGACCCCTGGGTTTCTAGCGGAAAGGGGGTTTCTCATTAGATTAATCCCCAAGGTAGGGGTACAGTCATCCACCCCTTAATGATACACCACCCCTGTTTGATACACTTTTGACTAGCAGATATCTTGCTCAATACTAGACCAATTTTTATGAAACAAGTTGTAATAAGTAGTACAAACTCATATCTACCACTGTACATAATTTGGATGCAATTGAGGCATAATCAGCAAAGCTGTGGATCATACAAAATGGACTGTTTTTCAGAAATAGCCAAATACAGTCAAACCACTCAATGATACACCCATAATCTTAGTTTTTCTCTGTGAAGTGTGGGTCAAACACTCTGAAATTTGGTATGGTTGTAGAAGGGCATTCATCTGAGATTTTCATGTAGTTTTTGTAGAGAAAGGTTGTGCTCAAATCTGTTGAAACTAATTTCTCATTTTGGGTGTATCATTAGCAGGTGGATGACTGTAGAGCATAATATGGAGAGATTATCCAATCAAAGATACAAGGGCGCTATAGCTAAGTGGTTACAGCGACAGATTAGAAATCTGTGTGCGCCAGGTTCAAATCCTGCTGGTGTCGAAAGTTGTTTTTCTCCGTGTCTCATCTGCCTTTTGTTTTGTATCACCACGATGGCTAGTGTGGAAGCGATTGAAGAATACTTGGATGCTGTTGAAGAATATTTCTTCTCATCTCTCTCTGTTGTTACTAATGGCTTGCCCAACGTTCACGAGGCAGTCAATCGTCTCTGGGTCGACATCTCGCGTTATGGTCCTGGCATGCCTGCCTTTCCTGATGTCCATGTTCCTACTCTAGGAGACTTTCAAGTTCCCCCTCCTCCTCCACTCGTGCCAGAGCCTGTGCCTTCCTCTTGTATTACTCGTTCATTGGAATGGGTCGGTAACCATCCATGGAAGGCGTCTGGCCTTGTTCTCGGCGTCCTAGGTGCTGGCTTTTTGGCTGGATATCACAGTACAGCATCTACGAGGGTCGGACGTAGGTACAACCACAAAAATGTCTCAACGTCGGAGCGGAAGCAGGTTGTCGGTACGTCTTTACACCTCCATACTTCCTTATCTTACCATCTCCTAGTGATTCTTGGCGGCGATTCGCCCTATGCCTTACCTCTTATCCTCGATCTTGAGCGGAAAGGCTTCATAGTCATTGCCAGTGTGGCCACCGTTGAAGGTGTCGAGACGCTTGAGCACCAATGCAAGGGCTATGTCAAGGCACTTGTGCTTGACCCTCACGAGGTAGGGCTATTTTACTTATTCCCCGAGCGGCCATATCTCATCTTCAAATGTAGCCAGAAAGCGTTCCAGTATTTCTTCGCTCTCTTTCGTCTACCCTATCCCGCCGGTTTCCCATTACGTCTGCTGGGGACCCCTATTCATTACCCTCGACCCTCCCATACATTCACTCCGTCATTTCTCTCCTCACGCTTTCCACCACCACACAACCTATCCACGCTCCCTTTGAACACATCTCATTGCGTGATGCTTATCTGCCCTACCTCACCGCGACAAACATCACTCCGTTGCAGACTATCCAGGCCCTTCTGCCTCTCCTCCGCACAGTATCGGCTCGCAGCCGTGACAATGGCAAGAAAACGATTATTGTCTGCCTACCTACCATCGATGCACGTGTCGGGCTGCCATTTGCTTCTGTTCAGGCCATGAGTGCCGCCAGCACTTTGAGAGGAATCGAAATTCTCCGAAGAGAGATCAGTATTTCAGCAATGACAGACAAAACCGAATCTATGAAGAACATCAAAGTGGTTGTCGTTGACGTTGGCGCTTTCAATATTGGCACATTCTCAAGTCCTCCATCCCCAGAAGGCGTGTACAAATCGATGGAACACTGGACTGCTTCCGAAAAAATAACTTACGGGCCTGCTTTTGCATCTATTTTGCAGGAGACGTCTCGTCCGAGGACACAGTGGGAGGTAGTAAAGTCTTCGTTCAAGAATAGAAACCGATATGGCGTCCCGTTGCGTAAACCTGCGGACCTCTCCATCTTTGTGTCCAGTATCGTAGGAGTGGTAAGTGGTGGCCGTTTTGGCCCAACTTTATTGGGCTTTGAGATTGGACTCGGACGGGTGCGGAATTGGATTCGTGGCGAGAACTTCTCTGTTGGTGCAGGTGGTACGTTATCCAACAAGCTGCATGGACAATAAATGACACCCTTTTAGCATATACATATCGCATGGCCTCCCATCTGCCCTCTCTCCTCCTCGATGGTCTTTTAAGCCTTCCACATTTCCTCATCTCAATTCGAAACCGTCTTTTGCCTGCGCAACCCTTCCAACGGCCGACCGTTAATACGTCGGTGCCTGAGGTTAAACCCCAGGACACGGGAGATCCCCATTTATCTGACGATAACGCTGAATCTGCGAGTGTGTTTGAAACAAACTCAGAGCCCGACACTGAAGGGGACGATGGTGGTGGAAGTTGGGTTAGTCTAAAAAAGGCACCATCTGAAAATTCAGTGAGCGTGGTGACCTGACTCTACTTTCTGAACTTTGTATCTCGAAAGCAACTCTAAATGACCACACAATTTCGTTTGTAGCTATTCACTATAGCATTATAAAAACCTCCGATTTGCTCCCCCAAGCCCGATAGTTCATGTAAGAAGAGGTATCTTCTCTATCACTGACCATTCCGCTACAGGTCCATCACATTGCGCTATCCATATTTCGGAAGAAGTGAATTCAGTAATCCAATCCTCCTCACTGGATGAACTAGAACATATACTCAAGCTACCATCCGAAGGCTCGTATCTGATGTAGCCAGAGTCGTGGGTATCTCTCGCGAATTTCTCCCGCTCTCCTTCCTCTGCATCCTTGTCATCGATGTAACACAAGGAGAGATGTGGATATGCGGGAGTTCGAGGCTCAACGCCGAGCGATGAATGGACTTCATCGTGCAAAACGATTAGCTCGGGGGTGAGTTTGATTGAGATATAAACCGATCTAAAGTAGTGCGATCCGACTTGGATGTCGTCAAATCTGATCTGGAGGGGAGGTTGGGATACAGGGATGGAGGCTCGTATTTCGGACAATCTGAGATGGGAGAACGAGCCCAATGTGATATGTGGTGCAAATTGAGGATAGGAAGTTGGCGAGTGAGGCTGCTCCTGCCGCAAAGTCATGATGCGCTTGAATGTGGATGCATCCTTGTTTGACGGTACAATCCAGAGTGAGAGTCCTGTTCAAAAGATCAAATCGAAGGCTTCTTGACCCAATGCTTGTGGCACACACCCATTCAGCACAAAAGAGATCTGGACAAAAAATACGTAGTTGTAGTCAAGTGACCTAGCTCACCACCTCCTTCTTGAGGCATCTCACGACTTTTCCGCAATTATTGCACTCCCTAGCCTCATCTTCAAATATTTCCATATGATCCTTCAGATCCACGCCATAGACATCAGTGGGATGGTAATCCCCCTTGTACATCCGACCAGTGCGCGAACTCATATGATACCACTGCGGCTCTGATATTGATTATTCAGGACGGACTAATTCAGCAATTGGTTAAAGTAATGGTACGTACCACGTTCACAGTATGAATAACCAAAGTTCGAATTGGGGCAATAGCAAGATCCTATTGTGCGTCAGCGGTCAGTAAGACGTCTGTTCGCCGACCTACCTCGCGAGTTATGGCAAGAGCAACTCTCGCAAGTTGTGTAACCACAATCAGGGCAGATTTGGTCAGATCCATAATCTCTGGAGTACTTGACGTTGCATCCTGTGCAGTGAGTTGTACGAGGTTTCTCGATGGGCTTTTGAGCAGTTTCCTTTTCATTCTTTTGCTCCATATCGTATATCATCCGATTGATCTTGCATTCTTTCTTGTGTGTCGCCCATGCGGCATGTTGACACTCAGGTCGGCTGCCAATTCAAAATTGTGAGGCATGAAAATTGAGGTGGGGAAAAGTAACTTGCCAGTACCAAGCAGTCTTGCAGCCAGAACATTTGAATTTCGCTTCATTGAGGCACTCGTCAGCCCAGCAAGCGCCCATGGTAAGTTGAGCGTCAAGGAAAGCGCCAGGAACTTTGGTGAATGGGAACTCGTTTGTATTTTCGCACGTTCATAATGATGCTAAGCTACGTATGGTATACGCTCTGCATCTTATACATCCTTGTCTCCACCTCGGGTATCGCATCATCTCCATAAATCATCTCCATGCGGTACATCTTTGATTCGGAAGAGGGCTTCGCTGGGGTGGTGACGACAACTGGTGGTGTTGCCGCAACAATGTTAGCCTTACTCGCAATTCCAGCTGCCTTTCCATCCGGAATTTTAAAGAATTCCAATACTCCGTTCACTGACTGATCAAAGACGTAATATCCCTTTCTTTCAAATTGCATGATCTCGCCCTTAGCCAGTTCGAGCGTGTTGGCGTCCGCATAGGCCTCCTCCTTGAATTCGCTCACTGGTGTCACAAAATCCGCGACGTCGTCGTTTTCTTCGAGTTTCTTTTTAGTGATAATGTAATCGAAGTCGACAAGCGACACCGTTGGAAGTGGATGGTTCTGGGTAGGACTGGCAAGCCAAGTGATCTTTTTCCTCGTTTTCCGGAAATCGCCTTCGAGGTTGAGCTCCATTTCAATGGATGTCACGAGTCCCGATGTGTCCACCACCTTGGACCGAACAATTGCATTCCCCCAGTCCATAAGTGTTATCTAAGGGCTGGCTTAGACGTCATCGCATTCCTGATGATTTCAACAGTTACCTCCTCCTGATCTTCGAAAGAAACTGCATCTTCCTGTTCAACGAAGATACTTGAAGAATAAGTGGTCTTCTTGACCCCAACATCGGCATTCTTCTTGTGCTTTGGGATCGATTTGACTTCCGATGTCTGCGGTCCCCCTTGAATGGTGACTGGAACACTATGCCGCTATCTTTCAGCACACAGCACCACAAATGGAAATAAAACGCGCACCTGTTTTTTTTTACGATGGCCCAGTGGCGAGGGGCAATGGGATCAATGATTTTCTTGTTCAGCGTCCAGATGGAGTCCCATTCAAGCGAAACGACTGCTTGAGATGGACCTTGCGAAAGCATAAACTGCGTGAGGGCCTCGACCGTCATACCACGACGCCGTATGCCTAAATTTGATTCCCTTGAGACAATTCTCTGAATTCAGATATGAGAAACTTACCGCGAACGGTAGGGAATCGTGGATCATCCCAACCGCTGACATGCTTATTATCAACAAACCAATGGAGCTTGCGTTTGGAGAGGAGGGTGTAGACAAAATTCAGCCGGCTGTAATCGGCATAAGCTAATGTCGAAGAGAAGCGAAATTGCGCAGTATTACCTAAAGTCCCAGATGTTGACCTGTCGGAGATTCAGGGCGTCGATCATCCATTGATATTGAGGGTTTCTGTCTCTGTACTCATTTGTCCTGAGAGCGTGCGTGACGCCTTCTGTTGAATCAACAATAGGGCAAGCGAAATCATATGTTGGATAAATTTTCCATTTATCCCTGTGGGTCAGGTTTAGGCATACATTCTGAAACAAAACAAAAACTTTAACGCACCCCGTACGATGGTGTGGCAAGAGGTTACACCTGTAGATCACTGGATCGCGGAGCGCTTTGTTCGGGTTGTCGACGCTGATTTTGGCGCGGATACACCACCGTACACCCTCCGTTGTACCAGCTTTCATTTCTTCGAAGCGAGCTAAATTATCGTGGACGCTGTCATCACGATGCTTTGACGCAATGCCGTCAAAGCGTTCACGTTGCATCTAGGAGTATGCATATCATATAAGTGAATGAGCAGATTAGTTAATGTGATCACCTGCCTGTTCTTTTTCGGTGTCGTCAGCGTAAGCTTGGCCCGAACTTATCAATTTGACCGCGAGTTCGTATAACTGATCAAAATAATCTGAAGTATGGGTTACCACGTCTCCGTCAATACCCATCAACTGTAAGTCCTCAAGGATGGTGTCTTCAAACTCGGTCTACCAATGGGTCAATGCAATTCGGAAATATAAGATCACGGCTGCTCACCCGTTCTTTTGAGGGATTGGTGTCATCGAATCGAACAATTAACTTTCCGTGGTACATTTTAGCGAAATATTGATTTAAAATGGCAGCCTTTGCATGACCGATGTGCAGGTAGCCACTGGGTTCAGGCGGGAAGCGAGTGACTACATGCCCTTCTATGGCGCCTTGAAGTCCTAATGCAAAACCGGCCGCCGTCTTGTTTGACCGGAGTTTGTGAGCTTTAGCGTTGTTGAGGTCGGAAAGGACAGTTTGCGTGGATTTCAAAGACTCAAGATGAGAAAACCACCGAAGGGCATGAAAATGATTGCTGTTTTTCAAGAGTCCAACTGCTTTGACGTTTGCTTGAAGCAGGAGTTTGCTCAAACAACAGCAAGATAAAAACGAAATAAATCAAATACCCTTCAGCGAGCCCCATACTATCCAGTCAGCAGCCGAGATGTTGTGTCCAACAAGGAACGTGCGGAAGGCAAGGTGGTCGTCTAGTGAGTCTAAAGCGAGAATAATATCTGCGATAGCGGATAGGGTGAGCACAGATTTGGCCTGAGCGAAGAAGGCTTGTGACTGTTGCCAATTAAAAAAATAAGTAAGCTAATTTGACAGGAAAGATGTGCACGTACCTTTTCGCTATCCTCTGCAAGACCGCCTTGGGTTGCTAGGACCTGGACAATGGCAGCTTCGTCGCTGAGATTCGAAGCATCGGACTTTAGAGTAAGGCCCGAAGCCCCGTCATCGAACACGATAGCTGCACTTCCAGTGTACGCGGCTATGGCACAGGCAGCGTAGGGAAAAGGAGTCTGGTTTGTGGGTAGGATGAGAGTGGAGGTCATGGTAGTTGTAAGAAATTACTACTCTGAAGATCTGGATCTAATCTAATAATCATTGACTCATAAGATCACATGCGCTTATAATTTTCACCATCCTACCATGGTTCTTGGTTTTCTTGAACACAGACCATGCCCATGCTGTTAGTCGCCCTTTATTTCAGTCATCCCTCTGCCTCATTCATTTTACAGAGCAAATCCTTCTCAAAAGTACAAGCCGTACACACCTTTGGTCCTCAACGACCGTCAATGGCCTTCGAATTCTTTGACCAATGTTCCCATCTGGCTATCCACAGACCTCAGGGATGGAAATCAAGCTTTGGCAAACCCCATGACTGTCGAACAGAAGACTACTTTCTTCAGACAACTCGTAAAGTGCGGGGTTAAGCAAATCGAAGTGGCATACCCTGCCGCGAGCGAAACCGACTTTCAATTTGTTCGTGGACTCATCGAAAACAATGAAGTCCCAGATGATGTTTGGATTCAGGTCAGACCTCCCGCCCTCTTCCTATCTATTCAACTTAAGTTGAGCTAGGTCTTGACTCCTGCTCGTGAGGACTTGATTCGCCGTACCATCGATTCTGTGGCCGGCGCGAAGCATGCTATCCTCCACATGTATAATGCGACATCGCCCACTTTCCGTGAGGTTGTATTCCGTAGTTCGAAGGAACAAACAATCAAGTTGGCGGTCGAACACACCAAAATCGTTCGTCAATTGACGGAGGAATGCACAGCCAAGTACGGAACGGTTTTCAAATATGAGTACAGCCCGGAAACGTTCACCCAAACTGAACCGGAGTACGCCTTGGAAGTTTGCGAGGCCGTCAAGGCCGCATGGGGGAAGGCTGGCACAGGAGATGATCGAATTATCTTCAACCTCCCCTCCACAGTTGAGATCGCCCCGCCAAATCATTATGCAGACCAAGTACGTCCTCGTTCGACTGGACTTCAACATGTTGTGAAGATTTTCTTGTAGATCGAGAATTTCTGCCGTAATATTTCGGAGCGGGAGAAAATTATTATCAGCTTGCACCCCCACAATGACAGAGGTGCGTATTCTTGAATGTTACACGATTTGATTATTCTGGTCTTACAATTTCGCAAGGGACCGCAATCGCGTCCGCTGAATTAGGGATGTTGGCTGGAGGTGATCGCATCGAGGGTTGTTTCTTCGGCAATGGGGAGCGCACTGGCAATGTCGATCTCGTGAACCTTGCCCTTAATTTCTATTCTCAGGGAATTAATCCCGGCCTCGACTTTAGTGACATTCAAAGCGTCATCGACGTTGTAACGCAGTGTAATGACCTTCCTGTTCACCCCCGCCACCCATATGCTGGAGAGCTCGTCTTCACCGCCTTCTCGGGTTCGCATCAGGATGCTATCAAGAAAGGGTTTGAGGTCCAAAAGATCCGGCATGCTCAGGCTGCAGCGCAAGGGGAGCCTCAATACTGGAATATCCCTTACCTCCCTATTGACCCAGCTGATCTTGGACAAGATTATGAAGCCGTCATTCGGGTTAATTCGCAATCAGGCAAGGGCGGAATCGCATTCCTCATCAAGCAGCATTTGCATCTCGACTTGCCCCGCAAAATGCAAGTTTTGTTCTACCAGGTTGTCCAAGCGATCGCGGACAAGGAAGCACGCGAGATGACAGTCGACGACATAACAACGGCGTTCCGAAGGACTTACAAATTTGGCGGATCAAAGTATGCAGGTCGATTGGTCTTGCGTAACTTTAGAATTTCAACAGAGCGTGGCGATGACCCAGCAGAGTTTTCTGGCGATGACGCTCCCGATGAGCGTCGTCGCTTCGATGGCACCCTCTCTGTTGATGGAGTATATCGTGTGATTAGAGGTGATGGAAATGGGCCACTTTCAGCTCTGCTGGATGCGCTCCGCACCCACCTGGATATCGATTACACTATCCGTGATTACATCGAACATTCGGTCGGGGAAGGCAAGGATGCCAAAGCTGCGTCCTACGTCGAAGTTGTCCCTGATGGTGACCGTAAATCCTCACAGTCCTGGTGGGGTGTTGGCCTCGACTCAGACATCGCTAGTTCTGGTCTACGCGCGTTGCTCAGTGCTGTCAATGGTGCCATAGGAGATCAGGCCTTGCCGGAACTGAAGCTAAGTGTCGGGTTTAATGGGCAATCCGGTCAAGCGGACATCGCGAGTGCGATCGTGAACTCGCTTGGGCTTGAACTTCCCAGGCGCCTTCAATCATCCTTCTTCGAGGTGGTCCAACGATCTGCCAGGGATGCTGGAGGTGAAATATCTTTACAAGCCCTAACAGACCTCTTCCGACAGACATACGGATTTGGTTCTGATGATGTCCCGATTGAATTGGGAAATTTCAAACTTGTACATGCCGATGACAGAAATCGACGTCAGTTTATCGGAGACTTGACAATCGCGGGCAAGAAGGTAAAGCTCACGGGGGAAGGGAACGGTCCTTTGTCCGCAGCCCTTGCTGCTGTGCACCAGCTTATCAAGGGCGAGCTGAGTATCCGAGAATACTCAGAACACTCAGTTGGCGAAGGTACGGAGGTGGTTGCGGCGTCGTACGTGGAACTGCTGTACGAGGTAGAAGGGAGTAAGAAACGGAGTGCATGGGGGGTGGCCACCGACACCGACATAACGGCGTCTGGTATCAAGGCCGTTTTGAATGCTGTGGGCGTTATGGGGGTTGCCCTGGGGCAATAAAGGGCTCAAATAAATGTTTGCTTAGAATGTAACATGTATCTCAGAAGTACCATATAAGAACAGTTCAGTCCGACTACAGCTTGGTTCAGCAGTAGTGAGTGTTGAGTGAGTGTGACGCGGCTGTTACAGGAAATCGTTATTACACCCGGGGTTAGAGCAATTATAAGTCATGTCTCGATGCCACATACTTTCATGAACGTCCTCAATTCGACGAGTAGAACGTACCAGGGTTATACACGAGCCGATCAGCCTCTCGAGGAACAGGAAAACGAAGCAGGGAGCAACGGTGAGGAGGATGACTTGGAGGCTGGTCGAAGTCGCGTAGCAAGGTCTGCCAAGGCGCGGGGAAAGCGACGGGTCGCGTGGGACGGTGGAGCGTCCGAACTCCGTGTTCTCCATCCCAACATCCATGGGGAAGATCCAATACACGACCGAGGCTCTGACGACGACGAAGTTCCGCATAGTTTTAAGGTCGAGACCACCACACCACGAGCTACAACATCTAAACCTTCAAGAACTCGGGACCATGATTCCAGCTTTGGGGTAAGGAGAACTCAGCCGTTACACTCTGTGGCTGGAAGAGCAGTGCCACCGTCCACTCTTCCAAAATCATTGCATCCTCCTGTGTCGCCCCCCTCAAGGCTTTCCGAGGTGGATAGAAAGGCGGCCGCAGACCCAACAGCACAGTCTCTACCACAATTTAGCGAAACTTCAAGCAATGTTTCCTCGCGTTCGAGACCCTTAGTGCGCGGGCTCGACAATTATGAACGAGCCTTGTGGAATTGGGTCAATGTATACAACCTCGACGCATTTCTACAAGAGGTGTACGCTTACTATGAAGGAAAGGGGATATACAGCATTGCTTTGGCCAGGGGACTCAACCTATTGTAAGTCACCATACACCAGTATTATAACGTTAATTCCAATTTTGTGTTTTCAGGACCGTCGGTTTTGTTATCGGCTTTTCAACGTTCCTCCTCGGTTGCATCAACTATTCACGATTACAACACCAAAAGTCCACCCAGCTTTCCGACGTAATTGTAGAACGATGTGTATCCAAGTTAGTCTCTTCCCCCCAAGTTTTTCGAGATGCTCACATACATCATTAGATTTTCAGGATTTACTCTCCTATTTTTTCTGTTGTTCACCGCATTTTATGTTTGGCAAATAATCTCATTCGTCATGGGCATTTCACGCTTGGTGGACATGTACAATTTCTACACCTATTTGTTGAAGATACCCGACGTGAGTGTAACGTGGTTAGGCAAGTCCTAGGCATTTCAGCTCACTAGTGTCTTCCTCCAGGCCGACATACAAACAATATCTTGGTCGGAGATCGTTCGAAGAATCGGTCTCATCCGCGAAGAAAATCCTCTAACTGCAATTTCTTCAAAAGGCTCTCGAAACCATGATGACACAACAACGGCGAAGTTGGATGCCCACGATATCGCAAACAGAATCATGCGGCAAGAAAACTACCTCATTGCTCTTTTCAACAAAGAACTACTTGATCTTCGGACACCTTTGCCTTACATTTTCAAGAAATTCTTGACTGAAGAGGAGGGCAAAGGCAAAGTGTTGACCCAGGCACTGGAGTGGAATCTTCGTTTTTGTCTCATGGAATACCTCTTTGATCAGCATGGAAAAGTCAGGAAGGTGTTTTTGAAATCAAAGAATCGAGTTGCTCTAATTGAAGGGTCAGTTTTTTCTTCTTCTCTTTTCGGGTCGATCCTGAGAAGAGTTTAGCTTGAGGAGACGGTTCATATTCATGGGCATTTTAAATGCAATGTTTGCACCGTTCATTGTTCCCTATCTTTTGATGTATTCCTTCTTTAGATATTTTGAGGTGAGCATTTCTAGTAGAATCATGACTTCCGATTCTTACCGTGCCTTTCGCTTATGTCTAGCAATATCACAAGGATCCTTCGTCGATAGGGGGGCGTCGTTACACCTCCTTTGCGCAGTGGAAATTTCGCGAGTTTAACGAATTGCCTCATTTCTTCACCAGGCGACTGGATGAAAGTTACCCTTTGGCCAGCATGTACATTGGCCAATTTCCCAATGAGAAAATGACGCTCATTATGCGGTAAAGTTGCCTTTTCGTCTTGAGCATTTCCTTAACTGACATCATCGCTTAGTTTCGTCGCATTCATCGCGGGCTCCTTCGCTGCTGTACTCTTCCTTGCCACTATCTTAGATCCTGACCTTTTCCTCAATTTCGAGATTACTCCTCATAGAACGGTCTTCTTTTACCTTGGAGTTTTTGGAGCAATACTTACCGTCGCAAGAGGTATGGTTCCAGAAGACAATCGGGTTTTTGATCCCGAACTGTTGATGAAAGAAGTCATTACGTATACCCACTATATGCCAGACGAATGGGATGGTCAGCTCCACAGCAAAAAGGTAAGTCTATACTTGCTATCTCCTGCCATCATTCTTACTCTTCACAAAGGTTCATCAAGAATTTGGGGAGTTGTTTGCTATGAAAGTTTTAATTTTCGTACAGGAGCTTCTCTCCGTAATCCTGACGCCATTTGTACTCTGGTTCTCCCTTCCTGCATGTGCGCCGGCAATCATCGACTTTTTCCGGGAATTCTCCGTCCATGTTGACGGACGAGGCTATGTTTGCAGCTTTGCAGAATTCAACTTCGAACGCCACGGGAACGTCAAGGCAAGTCGGTCGTCGAATAATGATATAATTACGCCTGACCTGACAAACAGTTCGGTGCTCCAACGAGGCCTAACGACGAAAGGATGGTCTCCAATGAGGGAAAAATGGAGAAGAGCTTCCTAAATTTCAAGGTACATTTTGCTTTTACATTCCGTAAATTTACTGAACTTATCACGTAGGCTGCTAATCCTGCCTGGAACCCCACTGATCCGTCGGGGTCACTCTATCTGAGCAGGATCACTGACTTGAGCGGACACCTTCCGTACGCTCTTGGACGGCGTCGACACCCCTATTATGCTGGGGGCACCACCGAGTTAAGTGGGACGGTCCATTTCGGTGGCGAACGCAAGGCGGATATCCCACCGGCGAATGAAGGACAGGACTATGATCGTGCTTTGCGACGAAGTCAGCATGCGGCGGTGACAAGGAGAAGGGCACCTGGATCAAGCTATGTGGGCCCTTCCACCTTGGCGCCTGGCCCTTCCGCATCGTCTGTGTTTGACGGATTATCAACAGCTCAAACGACCGTTCTCGGGGACTCACAGGGAAGCGTAAGGATGACAACGACAAGTCATTCAGGCAAGGGGTCAAATATACCTCTCGAAGATGTCGCCGAAGATGGGAGCCTTGGCAGTGGCCTAGGTGGGTCATATGTTGATGGAGGGAAGCAAGTCAAACCCTACGGAGATGGTGGTGACGAGGATGAGGATGGTTTAGAGGACGGTGGTGTTCTTGGCCTTTTAGCACAGATTTATGGAAGAACGGATGGACCAAAAGGGGTCATTTCATAGAATTCAAGTCCAGTAACATCATTCCTTACACAATGACGACTTACTCCGCTACGAAAACGTAGTTCGGTTGTGTGTAGAATGGTAGTTCGTTCACAACAAATGCAATGCAAGGTGTATGGTACTACTATCGTAGAATGTCTTTGGGCTTTTGAGTCCGCGGACCGGCTTGTGATCGCCTGGATTTCAATGAGCTCAAACTAACATTGCTTGTTGACTTCAAAGCCTGTGTTTGCGTGCGTCGTAGTTCTTCATCGATCCGCCACATGCCTTTCACAAAGCAATCAAGATCCAAAAATCCTTCACCCTTGGGGTCACATTCATTCCTGACGTTGTTAGCCAGAAAGGAGCCGGAAGGGGAAGAAATCGTCTCACCAAAATTCAGACAACCGTGTTCTATCCAAGCCCGACCGACTCCAAATCATTTGTACGATCACACCATCCAGCTTTTCATCGCTGCCAATGGCGACATCTGCCCAATCATCTCTCTTGTCTGGGTCTTGTCCAGATTGCTGAGCAAGTGGATCATCGTTTGTGATCAGGTCTACAGACAAGCCTCGCCAACCTGCCGCCCGTCTGCCTCTTGCCTCAGTTGGACTCAACAGTGACGGCTTCTCTTCTCGTTTTTGACGGTCGGCAATCCGTTTCTGTAAAACATTACCATTGAAGACCATCTCATACCTTTTTCGCGCTCCGGGAGGAACAGGAGTAGGTCGTTTGAGTTTCAAGTTGACGACTGACGAGGTACCGCGAGACTGGGAGCTAGATGCAGTGCTGTAAGATGTGACAACACTCTGGATAGAAGAACGATCAGAAGCGCGGGAGGGAGGCGGAGGCGGAGCGTTCCGTCGGACTGCGTACGTGGTAATGGGATTGGATGACAAGGATGACGGTCTAACCGACGGGGAGCTGGGAGTAGAGTGAGAACTCGAAGACGAGAGTGGCGGCGGGTGTGGTAAGGGTGATGCTACAGTCGATTTGTTTGAAGTTGTGGAGGAAGGTCGTTGTGGGAGCTTGGGCGGGACAGGCTTTTGCTTTGCCATTGCTTTCTCCCAGTCCAAGATGATCATTTTTTCCGTCGCAGGACTTGCTAGGGAGGATGCGGAGATGTCCTCATATGATTCCGTCAAGCTGATAGAGTCGGTCTCACGAGCACTATTTGTCGTAGAAGACCTGTGATCTTGATCTACAGGGAATGTTGCAATGAAGTTGGCAACGGAGCCAGGCGTGCTGGGGTCAGTGTCAGAGGAGAGTGACACGGAATGAAAGGAGGATATGGAGGAGGCTTGAGCATGGCCTGCGTTACTTCTTGAGCGGGAATCTTGATCGAGGCTGGTCGGTGGATATATATGGGGATGATCAACGGTGAGGGAGTCATTCCGGCGTGGAGGATAGAGAAAAGTTGAAGGCGGCGAATTGGATTGCAGCGAAGATGAAGATGCGAATGACTTGAGAGATGTGTACGAAGGCTTTCGAGGAGGAAGGGGTGGAGCTTTCCTGTTGGGAGATGAGAGAGCAGGTGGCTTGGGCCTTGGATTCGGACGGGGAGGAGAATTGAGGCTTATCAAGGGCCCATGGTTCGCGTCGCTCAACTCTGAAAATCTTTTCCCGTTGTCTTTACCATTGAAAAGCTTTTGTGTAGGTGTACGGGTAGACTGGATGTGTCCGTTGGTTAAGTCTTCATCGACTACCCAGTCCTTCAAGTCAATTAACGATGTCTTTCGGCCAAGATTGGGGGGAGAGGGTGAAGGAGATAATTTCGTTGTAGGTCGTGGTGGGGTGAAAGCGACGACAGGAGGTAGTGCAGCTGCCGTAGTGGGCGAGAGTGGCGTCTCGAGGAGGGTCTCACGGCCACGCCTGGGAGGTGAGGTAAATGGGGGTTTGGCGGACGGGGAGAACGACGGTGAGGACGATGAGGCTGCGGCAAGAGACTCAAAGGCGGAAATTCTGGATGATAGTCGAGAGTGGACCACAGTAGCGGGCATGATGGACGCAAGTCACAAATCACAAATTTAACAATCATGGACGATCTCTACGCCGTTGCGGGCAAGCTCCTCTTCATTTTCTTCTTCTTCACCCATATAACCCTTACCCCTCTACAGATTTTTGTCTGATTCCAATCGGTACTGCAAGTGTTTCCGTTGCAGAGGAGGTCGCAGAATGTCAGAGGATACTCGCAAAGTCTGGGCTAAAATACAAGGCGAGCATCTTCACCTACCAACTATCCAGCCTTCGTTGATTATCTCTATGCAGATGCAGTAAGCACCCCTGCGTCCCCTTCACCTTGCTAATTTAAGCCCCAACATTTTCTTCAGTGGATATGGGACAAATCTCGGTGAGCATCGTAGACATGCAGTGCCTCTCAACGTTTATCTGACTTCAAGTATCGTAACAGAGGGGCCTTGGACTCAGGTGTCGCAGGCAATTCATGATTGTCATGCTGCTGTTCACGCAACTGGCGCTCCCCGTGTCGCTACAGACATACGTATTGGCACACGTATCGACCGCCACATCCCACCAGGCGAAGGAAACGAGGGCAAGGTTAAACGAGTGGAGGAAATTCTAGCAAAGGATCATGAACAATGACAACAACTCTGTACTCATACTGTGAAGTAATGTGACAGCTTTCTGTACATGAAGCAGGATCTGCCTTGCCGCGCGGAATCGAAATTACAAGGAAATGCTGCCTACCCTCTGCTTTTCCTTCCACTGCTGGATTAGAGATGTGCCGAGCTCTTTCCCCAGTGCCAGGGCAAATGGCACAGCAACAGCATTGCCAATTTGTCGCATTTTCTGTCCAGGTATGTCAGTGCTTTATATGAGTTGGGAAGCCTTCTCAACACATACATCAGCAACGACCCTTTGAGGATGTTCATTGGAGGACTCGAAGATGAAACCATCTGGAAAGCCTTGCGACCGGGCGCATTCACGAATGCTGATCATCCGCTTTTGATGTGGATGAAGAAGCCAGCTATTCTTTAAGTTTGGAGACGCCCTCGTCATGGTGCATTTGAATTGACCATCCCCATCCATTCTTCCATAAAATGCTAGAACATCCTTGTAAAAAGTCCATCCACAAAGTTGCGTCAATTACTTACAATGCTTCCATTGCTTTCGTCCAGCCATCGCATACGTTGGCTGTAGTTCGGTTGGTAGGGCTTGCGTGTAGGATATCTTGGTATTTGAATCCGAGTAAGAAGAGAATATATGCATACCTTTATGGTCAGCGTAGGGGCGCAGTGGTACCGTGACAGACCTATATCCAGCATACGTCTTGAACCCCAAAGAGCGAATAAAGGAAAGCCTACATACGCTTCAATCAAAAAAGCACTGAACCGGCTAGTAAAGTGGTCTTGCACCTCACTTTCAGTGTCTGATTCTTCGTCTACCATTCCTTGACGTAGCCACTTCTGATATCGATTCTGAGGACCAGACATATATGGAACACCCTCGGGAAAGCCAGGATTACTGAATATGGTGCCTTTGTTTCCCTGAAGCAAGACAGCATCGAATTGAGGGATAGGCGTCTTCAGTGATCTCCGTTTATCCTTTTGGGAGCTGGTTCTCGGTATCACCTGATGAGGGTTGGTCCTTCATAATCATGCTAAGCCAGAGAACACTACAGAGTTTGGTGATGACGAACCATTCAAAGGGTGGCTGATGTTACAAAAAAATGGTGAGATTGAGATAAATGGACGTAGGGTAGCAGACGTACCAAGTCTCCGATTGCATCATCCACCAATATTGGCTTCAATGGAGCGTATTGATGGTAATCACCTGAGATTTTGCTTCTGCTCGGAGGAGGTATATGGCCTCCAGTTGGAAGTGAGGGACACGCCAATCTACCTTCAAATGCATGGGAAGGTAATGGGAATTGAGGAAGGACTAATCCTTGTTTGGCACCCCAGAAAATTACACGAGATCGACCCTGTGGAGTACCATAATGAGATGCTTGAAGCAACTTGTAGTGAATTTGGTAACTGGAGCATGGATCATCAGAAACATGTCAATTTAAAAATAAAAAATGACTGACCCCAAAGCAAGTGATGTCCGACAGATGAATTTGACCATACCTGCCTGCACAACTGTATTTGTTCGGCCATCTTGAAGTGTGTGGCTTAACAACCCTCTGACATTCTCAAGAAGAAAATAATCAGGGTTATAATACTCCACATAGCTGAGCATGCTACATGGGAGCGTGGATCTGGTCCAGGGTCAGAATTTAAACAACATTTGATGGACTAACAAGTACCGGATATCGTTCTTCTTCTAAAGAAATAAACAGAAAATAAGCCAAGTAAAAGATGCAAAACTTCATGCTCACACGATGATGATTTGCCAAACTGAATGACTGACATGGAGGGCCTGCAAATGGAATTGACAAGAGGATACATGGACTCAGACCACAGCTCATACTGACCTCCAAAAATAAAGTCAACTTGACAACCTTTTTGTGGCATCTCTGGGCAATGGGTTTTTCCATCCTTTGAGAGTAACGGAGGAGGATTTTTGCCATTATCCTTTGCTAATGCTTGCTGGAGAAGAGTGCTTGAATCTTGGTTATAAACCAGTACATCAGGATTGTTTGTTCTGGTAAAAAGATAAGCATAAAAGATGCACAAAAAATATGTCTCCCTGCACTTGTAGGTCTTGGCAGCTGAAGGTGAAAATTCAACAGCATATTTGGTTTCAACAAACCCAGACATGTCTATCCCCAAGCCTAAACCACCAGCACCTGAAAAAATTGAAGCAAAATGAGTGAATATTTGATGAACATACAAGCTGAGAGCTTACCAGAAAATAGCTCCATTCCAATCAATTTGCTATTTTGTTGGGAAAAGCCCTTGCCATCTTTGATAACTTGCTTCTGACCATCTTGACAGATTTGACAGAATCTGAACTTTCCTGGGTTAAGTAAAGAAAGGTTTCCATGGTCATCCTGTTCTTGATTCAAATAAAAGTGATCATCATGTGACACCCAACATTCGATGGCTTCCACATTTGTCAGATATTGCAGATAACAAACTCCTTCAAGCATATCTGAAGAGATTTGTTCTTTCTTATTTGTCATGTATAAATGGCGCTGGATTTTTTGTGAGAAGTGAAGACTCAAAAGGTAGAAAAACACACCTCATCATCCTTGTATCTTCCCAAATATTGGACTGAGACCCTCAGATCATCCCCATCCTTTTTGGTATTGGTGATCTGGGCAATATTTAGCACTCTGACATTGCCATGAGGTCGAATATAAGTGAAATCATGGATATGATAGTTGACCCCATGCTGGGTAAACCCATTCTCCAAGAGATAAAGCTTTTGCTGATTCTTCTCTTTTTGCTTCTCGTGGCAGGAGAAGCATGGTTCAGACTGATGTGAATTATCAAGGAAGTCAGATGGTATGTGGGTGAATTTTGCATGGTCGTCATCATACAGATAGCTGGAGCAAAATTATCAATAATCTAATCTAAGAGGATAATGTCTAAAGGGCCTACCTGCAATGAAAATCATTTGCATCAACTGCAAAATCATCAAAAGGTTCTTGTTCCCCAAGCTCAAGAAACCTGAAATTGCATTTTTGGTATATGGCATTGATAGGGTTGCTGTCGCAGGAATTCAATAAGAATAGAGCTCTGGAATGGGCAGTTTCTTGGAGAACTGTTTCTGATCCATGAACAAACCACTGTCCATGAAACATTTTTGTTCTTCCCTTTTGGCTTTGATGTTCAAAGAAATGAGTTATGTAACAAAACCTATGATGTGGAGCCTAAAAAACTGAGAAACTAACAAAAAACGTGGACATACCACCAGTTTTGTCCATATTGGTTAACTGTAGACTGACTTGATGAATGTTTTGCTCTCTCCCCACCCTCTGGTTGTACCATCACAACATCACCAACCTTAATAAGAGATAAGCATAAAATGTAAAGAAAACTAAGAAAATATACCTGATACCGAACACCATCCACAGTAATGTTTTCAAAAAACTCTACATTCTGACCCAAGGCCTGACCCCACACTATCTTCAGAGGATTCTCATGGTGGGTCTTGTGTACCTTCAGTGATTGATTATCAACCTCCATTTCTTCTATAGGATCCGATGCCACCAATGACCCATCAAACAGATGCTGGGCAATTTGACTGACAATGGGTGTTAGGAATGTTGTCTCTCGGTGCTTCAAAACTTCATTCTCCTGGTTGCGATTCTTTGTCATGACTCTCCGCCTCGATTTTTTCGTGGGGGAGAGCCCCACATCCTCCACAGCACCATCAAGAATGGAGCGGATCAAAGGGACACGAGTAATCTGAAAATCTGCCTGAAGTTCCAAGAGTATAGCAATAATGTATGCTTTCTGAAAAGAAAGACCAATCAAGAGTAGAACCCTGCATAGAAAAAGAGCACGTACAATATCTGGCAATTCGAGATCACTCTGTGTGAGATCTCGACCAAGAAGGTCGCTGGCACTAGGCAGATGTTTGTCCAAAGTGTAAACACCGCCAAGAGTATCAATGAAAGACTGGTACGTCATATGAATATGTTTCCTGGCTTCTGACGCCAAACGATACACAAGTTGGTGGCGTATCCAAAAAGGAGTAAAAAAGTCCTCGTATGTTGCGGAAGGAAAGCCAAGAATATACCAGGCATATGATGTACGGATGTATATTTTGCTATTATTGAACAAGAAGACATGAGCGAGTGAGGAATCAGAATGCCAAAAACCTACGAGTCAATATTTCCTCGCCTTTCGGAGAGGTCATAGACATTAAATTCTATTATCTTTGTCAACTTGGTTTGGTCTGCGGGTAGAACATCCTCCCCATCGGCAAGATCTTCATCAAACTCATCACCATCTTCATCTGAGATGTCACCGCCATCGTGTATAAACCACGGCTTAATTTTCCCGGAGGCCCCATATTGCCTTTTGGTGAACCCGAGCTGTTGAAGTTCTCCGACACAAACGACTTCGCGCGTCGAGAGGTCGTAGATGGTAAAGTCAGTAAGTAACCGAACAGGGATGTCATCATCGTCGCCCCCTGCAGGTGTTTCTCCTAGAACGTAGATGGTTCCATCCTCCTCTATTTCGTCCTCTTCAACTTCATACTGGTAGGTTTCTGGAGCAGCATCAGTGAAAGACAAATAGCCTTGATAGGTTGGAGTGGTTACCTGCCTCCTGCTCCACCGTTCGTCCTCCGTAGTTATGAGGGGAACTTGAAACACGACTTCGCTTACTGCCAGTCTCTTCATCCTCATCGATGCCCGTAATGCCTGGCGAGAGTCTGTCAAACTCAGAGACGGTCGGTGAATTTAGAAGAGCTGGAGGAGCCTGCGGGTAAGTTTGAGTACAGCTTCAATGAAACAATAGTTTTCGAATTCGTACATCATCATCGAACGTCGATACTGTTGGAGACAATGTACGAGAAGCAGGATCCGACTGCACTTCCTGTAAGTGAGTCAGCCGTGGATTCTTGTTTCAAAAAGTGAGGCTTACATCGTCGCAGAGACGCTCAGCAAGTTGCTCATCTTTTCTTCTTTTGTGAGACGTCCGACTTGGACTTGGTAGAGGTGCTGTACTAGGTTCTGGGGATGGGCAGGTTAAAGACCGGGATCGTTTATTGCCTTTGGGTCTGATTATAATTTCGACGAATGGGACTAGTCGAGGAGGCATAAGACAACGAGAAGATCGCGGCAAGAAAGAAAGCAGTACGCGAACTTGTGTTTAGTGAAGGAGCAGGTGATCGAGATTGGATCAGATAGATGTCTCGAAAAGGCATCTTACCTGACTACTATGTACTTTCAGTACACAAGTACCTTCATCCAGCAACCGTATCCATATACTGCACTGAGGTGCACTCGGTTCCTCCCCAAACCTCCTTTCTTCGCCTTGCAAGCTACAACCCATGTCAGGGACGTCTTCAAAGCGCACAGCTACCTCAAGCTCTCCAGTTTTGCATCCAACCTCATATCAATTAGTTAGGACCCCACATTCTGATAGTCTTAATCGCGATTCAAGTTTATTACCACAGCGTTCTCTCGTATTGGATTACCTCTGTCACAATTGCTACATCAGTACAGCCAAAGCGTTCGCCCGAGATAGCACAGTTCAACAGCTTGATGCCGACGGGGATGAAATTCTTGACGTCCCAGGCGATGTAGGCCGCCCAGACGCATTTCGATTGTCCGAGTCTCTCTTGGTACAAATAGACCTTCGCAAACGTGAGAGTGCCCATCCTTTTCATTTCACTTCATTGACGCCTTATTCCACTTAGAAATCCGCATACACATTCTCAGCGGACGCGTGGATGAAGCTATAGATTTACTCAACTCACACTTTCCTTCCGTTCTTTCCGAATCAAAAGCCGAATCCTTCCCGGTTATCCGTACAAAGTCAAGCGATACTGAATATGTCACCTCGACGTCTGTCGAACCTCCACACCTCCTCTTGAACCTTCGGATTCTTGCCTTCAGCGAAGCTTGTCGCACAGTGCCACTGGAGTATCTGCCAGCTGGGTCATCGTCTCTGCCATCCGCCGATCCCCCTCTGGAGCATGAAAGTATAGATACATTCGCAAGTTCGGAACAGCAAGTTTCTCTTTTGACAAAGGCGCAGAAACTGTACTCCCTGGCCAATTCGTTGACCAACCATTCAGATCGAGCAAGATATCTGAAGGAACTTGAAAACGTCGGAGGACTGCTCGCTTACAAAGTACCAGAACAAAGTTCCATGGCAAAATACTTAACCATGGAGCGAAGGGAAGCTGTGGCTGACCAGATTAATCGTGCTATCCTCGGTAAGCCCCAGTCAAGGCTCTGGAGCCATACCATCAATGACGTCGCTACTAAAGAGAAGACGGGCTTTTCTCCAATATCATCGCTCGAGCTCATCACTCGTTATACATCAACGTTATGGTCATTTGCCCGTCAATACGAAGCACGACCAACACCAGGGGCAGTCCTACCTCCGGTAAATCGCTCATCGGATAAAGAAGATCGCGATCGCGAGGTTTGTCTAATGATTCTCTTGAAATTGTAGCAAGTCGCTGACTAGTCGCAGCTTGTTCCCTTGTTCGACTTACAACAATTTCTTGGCACGAAACCGTAAGGTTATAATGAGTGAACACTCTGTATTTATTCTACCAGTTACATATCTTTTAATGGGTTCGCAAAGCAATTACAGGACAACTTCGAGATCATCCCACCTACCTTTGTTAAGTTTCTCAAAAATTTCGGTGGGTGGGTCATAACCCCTGAATGCAAGAACACGGAGCCGATGGAAGCGATTCCATTCCACTCGTTCAAGTATACGGAGGGCATCTTTTGAATCAGCACCAAGCCAATGGTTGTAGGACAGATCCAAGAAAACGATAAGTGGACAGGTATTTGGCAATCTATGCAGTGAGACTGAAGAAGGGAGGTTGATTAACGCCAGGTGTGTAATGGTTGGAGGAAGTGTGAACATCGTGGACGTAGCCAGATGAGTAGACACAAGAACAAGTGTTTGCAGATCCTTTTTCGTTGGTTGGTCAGCCTCCCAATCCAATTCTTCGTCCGTTTGTTCTAGCTCGCTCTGAACCTGTTTTAAACGGTTGTTTCGAATAAAGTAATCATCACGGAGGTTGGCATGTGGCCCGATAATAATAATTTCCCCGTCTGCATGCCCATCAGGGTCAAACATGGGATAGAGCTTTGACGCTGGCAGGGGAGAATGGACGGCGGTATATCGAATAAGTTCTCGACGGAGATGTTGGGGAATATATGGAACTATATTCGTTCGCAGGTCGGAGCTGGTGGATGTAGAGACGATGAAGAGGAGACAGAGCAAGGTCAAAGGAGGGACTGGCGAGGATAAGGCGTGCGTGTCGATATGAGAGAGAAGGAGAGCAAGAGCCTGGGCGCGCCAGACGGGCGTCTCGTAGACATCTTGTTTCGTTGTCAGTGTCCAGCACTTAGGCGGACTAGGTCCCGGGCATGTAGACGCACTCTGGGGTGTCGCGCTCGCCTTTGATTGTGGCGGCTCAGAAGGGAAGATCCTGTATGCAGCATTGGCAAGGTCGATGGGCAACGTTGGTGTATTGTTCGTAGCCAATGGTGAGAGGTGCGTGCGTGATCGCTGGAGATTTTGTTGGTGACGAAATTGTTCTCCTCTATGAAGCAGCTGCTGATCAAACGAAGAACGTAAAAAAAAGTAGCTTGCTCACTGACCTCAGATTATGGAGGAGATCGTTGACACGCCTTGATGACATTTGGTACAAGTGAGCCTCGCGTCCTATAGGTATATTATATTTCTTGGCTATTACTCGATCCAAAATATATCTACTATTCCTGAGGGATGAAGGGGCTTCTACGATACGACGGTGCATCAATGATAGGTGGCAATTTTTTAGCGATCTCTGCTGTCCCTGCGGGGAACGGGAGGTCATCCACGCCCTTCGGTAGCACCTTCTCATAGAGTCCCTTGGCTTGATTATGCCGACTCAAAGCCTGCATCTTCTTCTTCGCATCACGGATAAGGACATGGGCATTGTCCACTCCAGGTACAGCACCTCTCACGAAGATAAGATCCAGAGCAGTGTCCACCCGAACAACCGCTAAATTCTGAGTCGTGATACGCTTATTTCCCATATGTCCAGCCATTTTTTTTCCAGGAAAAATTCTGCCAGGATCCTTAAAATTATCAGGTTATCGTCCAAGCCGACTATGAGGAGTTCACAACCACGCACCTGATGCTGACCTGTTGAACCAGAGGATCGATGTGAAACGGACACACCGTGACTCGCGGCCAATCCATGGAATCCCCATCTTTTCATGCCACCTTGAAAACCTTTCCCGATACTTGAATGAAGGTAAGGACAGTGCACGAGCACCCAAAGACGTTCACGCACGAATTGGCAACTACATCCACGAACTGCCCAGGCACAAAATGAACGGCAGACAGAGTCGTACCTATGCATATGTATTAGCCATGGTGACGTATTAGGAAATAACTGAAAGCCAACTAACCAACTGGGATGTGAGCGTCCGGTGTTATGGGGAATTCCCTGACAATTCGCTTTGGAGGTACAGCAGCTTTCCGAAAATGTCCGAGCATTTGGTTTGTAGTACCTTTGGCCGGCTTATCTGACGCTGCAACTTGTATAGCGTGGTATTCCGTATGGTTTCTACGAGTGGACCGTATGTTTGCAGTGACTTGACAATTTTCAAGCTGGTGTCGGGCCTTAAGTTATAATTGAACGTATTTCAAGCCAATAGCACCAACCTGGAGCACGGTCACAGGATAACGGACACCTTGGTCGTTCCAAAGTGCGGTCATTCCCCGTTTTCGAGCAATAACACCTGTTCGAATGGAATTTGGCGTCCATTTGGGGGCCACGTTCAAGGAAGTCGAGGTGCTGGCCGCGTTTGAAACGATCGAAGAATGTAGGTTGTTAACTAGTAAGAGGGTTGCCGGCCGTGGCTTGCTGGTCGACCATAGTTTGAGCATGTGTGATTCAAAACCAAGTGACGACCTGAGCCTTGTCAAATATTTTGGCGGACTTGGAATTTGATGTGACTTCTCAACTAATGTTCAAGTACATCCTCGAATGGATTCCTGGCCAAGCAGCAGCACCTTCGCCCCCAACCTGCAAAATGCCAAAGGCAAAACCAAGGATGAGCTGTCGCGTCGATGCTACCCAAACCTTGAGTCAGGGATGACTGGAGCTATTACCCTTGTTGAGAATGACGGCCGTTTGACTTGGGGATCGATTTTCAAGGGACCCTTTGCAGGTGAGTAAAGAAGACTATGACGCGTTCAAACTTCACGTTCAATTTAGATAGCTCGGAAAGGCGTTTAAGGATTGGCAATCCTGTTGCTGTTTTCCCCTCCACCCGATCTGGACCTCCACAAATTCCCCGCCTCACTGTTTTACAACACGCGGAGCAAGGTGTACGCCTCGTGTTTCATTTTGCTTTTTTTCGTTTTCAGTGATATAAAAAGATAGGCCAATTTCCTGCGCACCTTCTTGCCAGACGTGGACATCGCTGCAGAGCTCATCCGCGACCAAATTACTGAAGAAACGATGCTCGCACGTCAACGCGAAGACTTCGATCCTTACGCGAGAAATTTGATTTCAACCCTCTCATTATCTGATCGAGGGGGATATATTGCCTTTCCAATGGGTGAGCTGAGACGCGAGCTCAGTAAGTCGAAAGTAATACGACATCATTATTACTGCTAATCTATTACTAGACCTGTCATCCTTCGTCTCTTTAAAGAAGGGTGTTAAGATTCAGCCCTCGGTCCTCCCTGCACATTCATTTTCTACACCTATACAGCACATTGTATCACCAAGTCGAGTACTAACCGATGCAGGTGAAGCGTACTTTGTGATTCAAAGTAGTTCCGACAGAGAGTTAACTGCAGCCATATTATAGCTCCCTGTCTTGCTGTGCGTACCCACGGGTCCGCCTCCATTTTGCGTCTAGAATCAAGCGGTTCTCCCTTGGAAAACCTTGGGACACTATCGCGCGCAGATATAGGAAATCATGAAATGATGGATATGAAACTTACCGGTACTCCGTACGAAGTAATTACTGTGAACGACCAAGGGTCACTTCACCAGACAAATTTCTCAAATGGTTCCAAATCGTCGTAAGCTCCAAGAGTTCACCTACATGCTGTGGAGTCACCGTTCCGTCAGGAGAGTTCTCTATAATTCCCTCGGCGACAGCGACGTAGAAAATCAATTTTGGCGTATTGCGATCTCCGACAAAGTTTCTGAGTGTGCTGTTCTATCCAGCAAGGATGTCGAAATGCTTGATATTAGAGTGCGTCTCCAGATGCTTGTCTTGTAATGCGCGCTAATTTCTTCAAGAGTAAATCAATAAACAAGTTTTTTTCGATTGCAGGGTCCCATGAGCTCTTCACGTCCATCGAAGATATTTCCGACGATAACATTCTCCGGTTATGTTCAACGAAAGATATCTCCTGGATCGATCAAAGATATCCGAGCAAGCCTTTGCTCTCCTATCGGCATGATCGAGAGTTTGATCGCTGTTTGGAAACGTGGACAATCAGTCTTGACACTCGTGAGCGTTTTCAACACTTTTGCACACCTATGTGAACCATTCACCTCTAGCACTTACGTTTCTCAGCTCACGAAAAAACGGGTTAGTCTCTGTCTACGATGCTGGTTGTTCCGATGATGGGCTATTTCGAATGGCGTCCCCGCCTTACTCTCTGGTACCTGGATCGGGAAACTGGGGTCGTTACGCCGGACAAACCTTTCTTCAACAGCCACTGACCAACGCGACCAAGACATCGTTGAGCTTAGTAAGACTGTCTGAAAGGGGGTCCGTACAATGCTATGATCTCTTTTCCGATCACCATAAAGAAAGCCCAGTCAGCGTTCTGCCCTCAGGCGACCTTCAGGCAAATTTCTCCGACTTTTCGAAGCTTCCTCCTGATCCTGGTCCACTGGGTGTCCAGGAAGTGAGTCGAACTGATCTATCACCAGCATACGCAGGTGCATGACATCTTTTAATTTCGCGGGGCTGCATCTTTGACCAGTTATCGGGCCCAGGTTTGTTCCAACTGTTGTCCAATGATGTTGAGCTTGACGAAGAAGAACAACATGGTGCTGCTTCTGCGCTGATGGAGCGTCTTCCCTCGTATTGGGAAAAGGAAGACGTCCCTTTTGAGACCATGCTGACGACGTAATTGCAAGAAGCCGACTTCGATCTATTCTGTCACTGACTTTCTCTTTATCTAGGTATGACATTGCCTTTCGAACTAGCGTGGAGCCCGGGCAGGCTTCTAGAGCAGATTTTCTCGCTGGTTGTGTCCTGAATTCTAGGCAAGGTTACCGCGCTTTCACTGAAGGACGATTGCCGATGGTATCACTCGAGTCCGGGGCTTTGTGGCATCACAACATCGCTCCCACTCTGACTTGTCTTGATGGGACGTTGGTATCAAACATTGGGGAGCTCGAAGAACTTTTGCACCAGTACGATCTAGCAGACGGCACCGACCGATCTTCTACTTCGGTGAGGCTGGAATCTACTGCTCGAGAACAGCTTGTATTGGATATGGCACTCTCTTGCGACGTCTTTTCAAGCCAGTCATTTTCCAAATCGCAGGACGCCGGACAAGCACTTGAGGTGATGACAGAAGCCCTTTCCCTTGAGGATGAACCTCCCCCTGTCAGCTTCGGATACTTGCGCCCTGTGCAGAAAGAGCCTGTTGAAGATGGCCCAGAAGACTTCACCTCGCCTCTTGGCGTTCGCCTGCTCTTAAAAGATTGGGACATTGGCAGTGATCCAGAAAAATACGTTTATCTGGACGTCTATGATGGGAGCACTAATTCGCAACCAGTTCGTCGTATGACACACACACAGCCAACCGAAATCTCAGCTACACCTCAAGTATCTCAAGTTCCCCCGCAGATCCTACCATCTACTTCTGCCTTCCTACCTCGGAACACCGTCGGCTTTGGTTCACAGCAGAACCTTGCCAGTGGTGTACCGACCTGGTCACAGGAGCTGGTGGCAAGCACCCAGGTACTTCCAGGAGCGTATGGTGGTCGGCCTGGTAAAAAGAAAGGGGGTAAGAAGAGAGTAGGGGGATTCTGAATTGATTCTGAATACTTGTGTAGCTTCTGGATCCTTCTTCTCGTTTGACGTTGTTTGTAACAGATGACATTGACAAACAATGGATAAGAATAATTGTATGTAAGCAGGCCTTTCTGCTCCAAACGACCATCGACGCTGGTCAAACGCTGGCCACCATACATACCATGGATAATCATTCTCTCCCTCAGTCTCTTCAAAGCGTTCTTATTCCTCATTCCAACGACCAGCAGGATCAACATATCATGACAGACATACCGCCTTTGGAGCCCATCAGCCCCGTTGTTAATCTAGAAGCATCCGCAGCGCCAGAAATTACCGCCCAAGCGACCGACATTGATATGAATCAAGAACAAGACGAGGACAGTATGCCAGAGCTGGAGTCAGTTTCAAATTCCTCTGATTCAGACTCGGAAGACTCGGATCGTGACGCAAACGAGGTGCAGATGCAGGCACTCGATGACGATGGTGACGCTGCATGGACAGACGAAGACGATCTTGACTCCGATATGCCCGGCCTCGAACCCATTGGTTCCTCGCCCCGTGTAAACAACCGACGTCAGCGGGTTGAGGATGACGGGGACGAGGAGCGTGACCGTAGGCATCCCTCTCAACGCATTGGTAGTGCTAATGACAATGAGACCACCTCTTTGCCTGCCTCAACTCCTTCTCAACCATTGCCTCAATCACAAACCCCCACACAAATACAACCATTGCCCCACCAACCGCCTTTTGTTCTTCCTCACATCCGTGCCACCTTCAATATACCTTCTATTGTTCCAATTCAAGCAGGTAACAATCAGCCGTTCCGCTTTTTCCAGCACATGATGCCACAAAACACGACAACCGGCGGAGTCAATCCTCCCCAAGCCAACCCTGCCCCACCCGGAGCTCCGCAGACTCCTCAGCAGATGTTTGGCGGTTTCGCGATAACAATCGACCTTGCTAATCCCACTCAGCTAAGCGACCTAGCAAATGGTGGTCAAGGACAAGCACACACGCATGTACCTGGGGCACAACCACAAGCATTCCTCGACCCTGGGAGCTTTGCGGAGGTTTTGGCACGTTTAGGCGCAATAGGTCAAGCATTTGGCTTTTCTGGAGAGCGGGAACAAGATGATCCTGGGCGGGCAAAGAAGCTTGTAGAAGGTCTGGAAGAAGTTCCTGTGGGTTTGGTGAGGAGATTGGAAAGGGTTGGTGGCACTGGAGGTGGGATGGGACATGACGAATCTAGTGGGGGAGATAGTGGATGTGCCATCTGCTGGGACAAACTGTTGGATGGAGACGGCGTTGGTTTTGGTAATCCTTCCGTGGCCAGCACAGAAACAGAAGCATCAACAGACAAAACGAACGAATCGTTGCCCTCTTCGTCGTCGAGTACCCAGGAAGAAGTTAAACTGCAACCCAAGATTGTCACTCTTCCCTGTGCACATGTCTTTCATGCGTCATGCCTGATCCCATGGTTCTCTGGTCCGCGGCAAACAACATGCCCAACGTGTAGATTCAATATTGATCCTGAGAATCTGACATACACTCCCAGGAGTAGAAGGCGTGCAGCGGACAACGCCACATCCACGGGTCCTGGCACTGATCCAAATGCAACACCAGGTGGAAATGCTCCGCAGAATGGACCCGTCAATTTTGGCCCTGGCCCCACTTCCCCGACCGCACCTCTACGAAGAGCGGGCTCCGAACCGCCTCTTGGGCGTAGTGGACTTTCCCAAATACCCACTAGCATACAGAATGGTACGCCCCTTATCGTGCCAATTCCCGTGTTTGGCGCATTAGCCGCTGGTGGCCCGATTTCTCTAGGTGAATATATGCGTTCCTCGCTTGTTCCAGTATTTGCTCATTACTATGCGAATAATATTTTAGATCAGCCACAGGCAATGGCATTGCCCCATCTTCCCGAATTTGGTGGCACCCTTCAATCTAACGCGAGCAATCAGCCACCAGCGCCACCCTCTGCGTCCCTTCCCACAGAACCCTCTGCTGCATCGCCTTCCGAAACAGCGGCTCTTCCTACTGGCTCTACACCTGAAGCCAACACCGCGCCATCCACTAATCGAGGTCCTCCGCCCCCACCCCAAACGACTGCCAGACAAAATGTGCATGCTGAGTTCTTGACCATCGGATTCGACGTCATCTTTGGAGGTCCACATCCAGGAGTGCCTTCCGCCACTCGTGCCGCAGATGCCCCTGTGGAACCGGAAGACGATGGGATGGAGGATGACTTGGGCGCCATTGAGGAACTTGAAAGATTATTGATGAACAGATTTGGTGGGGGTACAAATCCTGCTCCCGCCGCTCCAGCAACAGGTGGTGGTGCCGTGCCTATGGCTCCTGTCGCAGCCCCATCCGGGCCGACAAACACTGAGCCTGTCGCTACCAGTGCCGATGAGACCCTTCCACGTTCGTCACCGCCGAATCCGCCTCAACCTCAGGCAGGCGTGAATCCCGGGCCTTCCTTTCCCCAGTTTGGTCCTTTCCCTGGTCTCAATCATCTTGGCAACGGGGTTCATTTTGCTGCGGGGACAGGGAGGACAATGGGAGAAGCGTTTTCAAGATTGTTCGGAGGGGTTCTCACCAACGCTGCTGCCTCTACTTCAGAGTCACCAGATCAACCTGGACCAAGGGCAAGGGCAACAAGTGCGAGTGCGGCGCCAGCTGGGAGCACGCCTAACGTTGAAGCTGGTGCCACAGCGAATGCAACCACCCAAACACCGCCGACTGCCAACAATCCCTGGGCACACTTGCCTCCCGGGTTCCCTGCGGAGCTCTTCAATCGTTTTGCTGACATGCCTGGCGCAGCCGCAAGTATACCTGGATTTGCAGTACATTCAGACGCCAATGTTCCAGAGAGGGAGAAGAAGGCGTGGACACCACCTCCCGCACCTGGCCCTACCCTTCGGCAGCGCATCGAGCGACGGGAGCGTGAAGCTGGCTTCAGATGTTATGATATATCTTGTGGAGTTGGACCATCTGATGAGGAACCATTCTTGGACGTGGGGAACCTGAAGCAGCTGTCTATTCAATCCGTTGTGGACAAAGAAGGTCAGGTGTGCCGACACACGTTTCATTCGTCGTGCCTAGTAAGTGCAGAACGGGTAGCATTGAAAGGTGGGGAAGCGGTAGTAGGAGGCAATGGAGTTGAGGTGTCATGCCCAGTATGCAGGTCTGTTGGGTGCGTGTCCAAGGTGGATTGGGAGGAGGGGGTAGTGGGGCTTGCATGAAGAAGATACGATAATTACTCGAGTTCAATTTGAGCAGCATGGATACATCGTTTGGGCAGCCATAATCATCATGTAGAACATTTTTTGTATTGTAATATGGCGTTACATAACGCTTCTAATATGTAAATTCCAAAGCGACGGCCCTTCTACCCGGAAATCAATCGTATTGACCATTCTGAAAAAAGGAAAAAAACATCGTCGTGCAAGCGCACGAAGCTGGACTGTGGGCCAGCCCTGTAATCGTGCTCTATGGATGGCAACAGGCAGGCAACGCGCTTTCTCTCTTTTCAAATCTCATTGACCCAGCTTTATAGGACATCTAACCCTCTGTATGACCCAGCTGCATTCAGTGATGTCCTACGACGTATTGATTCTCCACTTCAACCCATCTATTCCTTTTTAATTCTTTTGCGACAGGAAACAAGGCCGTTGTATGTGCCCTCTCGGCAAGCTACATTTCCACCTTTGCTGGGTACCCAGTGAGAATCCCAGTTTCATAGTTTTGGTCTCAAGTCAGATTTCATCGTCCGCGTACAGTTGGATTCCCTCAAGTCCCGGTTGCAGACTACGAAAACGTCGATATCAATACCGAAACTGGCCGCACTTGTCTATCGTGAGGAGGGAGTCAAGGGCTTTTATAGAGGGCTTTGGATACCACTCATGACCATTTCCTTTCTTCGTCCGTGCCCTTCTATCTTGTTTTCAAATGCCGTTGGGTTAGCTCGAGCTCTTTCTTTAGGTGCTGCAAGCTTCACCATCTATTCCCGCACAAAGGAGCACTTTGCTATTCATGATATTTTGTGCCGAAACAGTATATTGGACGTTGCCCTTACCGGTGGTATCAGTGGAGCAATGTCCGGAGCGTTGATCTCATTTGGGAGTGCTCGTATGTCCTTTTTTTCACCATCGCAGACGACAAGTTTTGATACTTGACTGGAAAGCGTTTGAACTCGTCAAGGTTGGATCCGTTGTTATCTGTTCGACCTCCCACCCTAAGTTTGCTTCAGGTCAGACGTCAACTAGAATACACCATAGCTGCGACCAAGGGAATACATTTGGTAAAACCCCCTGGAACATTTGAAGCCGTAAGAGAAATCTACAGGGCCAATGGCACTGGAGGTCTATACACAGGTTTTCGGCTTCATTTCCGTGAGTTCTTCTGTTCAGTTTTCGCAACGTCAACCTTTAAACATCTTATAGTACGTGATACATCTGGGACGGCCCTTTACTTTCTTGAGTACGACGGTATGCGACATTTGCTAGGCAGAAGTCGGACAGGAGAGCAGGGGGTCACTCCGTCATGGCTACCGATCCATTCATCGCTGGTCCCTTTTGTATGTGGCTCTGTATCTGGTGTAAGGTTTTCCCCCTCTTTTATGCCTTGAAGGATCAATTAAATAATATGAAAGGTCACATCTTGGGCTCTGATTTATCCTCTTGATGTGTACGTTCTTCATTTCGCGGAGTAATTGATGCTTTTTTAAATATATTTTCCGACGTTTTCAGGGTCAAAACCAAAGTACAGCAGCGCGCTCTGGCTGGAGAGCAATATCGTGGACCCTGGGAAACTCTATACCGTCTAATACGAGGTAAGCAGTCGGAGATTCCAGCTTGCGTTCCTTGACACTCTTCTCAGGACCTGACCCCAAGTCACCTAAACCACTCCTTGCTGGTATCATGAGGCTCTATCGTGGCCTCGGGGTGAGTGCCCTCCGGAGCATCACAACGCACGGACTCCTTTGGACCCTTTTTGACATGACCGCAAATTACATCGACAATCTACCGCCTGCACTGGAGGTAGAATGAACATAATCCAGCGTCAATATTTTCCTCATTATTGTTGACCCTTCAACCACATAATTTAGACAAGATTTTATTAAGCAACTGTAGCATAGTGCAATACGAACTTCATCCAGCTCATTTATTCTGTTTGCTCGAGAGGTTCCATCAAAAATGTTTATTTTACCATGTACAGTATGCCCTTTTCCTCTAAGCCGAATCTGATCATCTTGCTTGAACGTAATCATCGATTTTCAACAAGAGGCAAACAGTCTCAGTGGAAAGCTCGATGGCGCTAGTGGTTACCAAAAGCGGTTGAACGACTTCCTCTTCCAGGATATTAGAAATCACGCCCTGTGATACTCATCATCAGATAGGAATTCAATAAAAGAACAAGGAACAACAGACCCTCCGAACGTTAATTCCAGCATTGCCGTCACCAAGGGCATGTCGATTCCGAAGTTCAGTTACGATTGCGATTGGATTCAACCCCGCGTTTTCGGCTAATGTAGTAGGTATTACCTCGAGAGCATCAGCATACGCTTGAAAGCAGTATGCTTCCATGCCCTTGAGAGATTGTGCGTATTGTGAAAGCAACCGTGAGACGTGAATCTCCGGTGCGCCACCACCACCAATCAAGGCCCTGAAGTAGACGTTAGTGCAATCCTTAGACAATCTGTTCACTTTACCGTTTCTTGACCAGACACCTGACAACGCACAGAGCGTCATGTAGACTCCGTTCGCACTCATCCACAACAAGATGATTGCTACCCATGGCAAGGATACTTACGGTCCTTCCTCGGTTCTTCACCCCTGTGATTCGGACCACCTTGACCCCATTGTCATTCGTTTCTTCCATAAGATCGGCATATCCCAGCTTGTCTTCGGTAAACGCGTCAATATCTGCGACGGGTTTGCAATCAAGACTTTTTGAAAGGAATTCAATCTCGTCACGCTCTACGTCCTTGACGACGAGAATGTTGAGGCGCTTCAAGAAATTGAGGGAGACGTCGTCAACGGCATCACGCAAAATGGATTTTTGGATGAGAAGGACATTGCAATTTGCCTTCTTGATTTTCTTGCAAAGATTCAGGATATACTGGCGCCCCTCTTTGATGACTTTGTCCATCTGCCTGTAGTCATTGATCACAACCGTATTGTCCATCTAACCAGTTTATGTCAACAACGAACAAAATCTGGAATCAGGAGGACTCACATCGGGTTTTGGAGCACTGAGTTGGAATTGAATGATAGCAATTTTTGCTTTCTCCATTCGTGTCGGCCCGCCGGCAGATACGATAACGTTTTGATTCAAGACAACCCCCTCTACGAGCTCAGTGTCTTCGATCGTCCCACCGACTTTCTTCACGACCCGGATATCGCGCAGATCCACGTTGGATGATGTGGGTGTAACAAGACGTGAGACGGCAGAGACTGCGATGGGGGCTAGCGTTGAAGAATATTGGGAAACAATCTGGATACGAACAAATAATGAGCACAAGGAACAGCAGAAATTAAAGATTTCACACCTTTGAATTCAAAGATGTGCTTGCTGCACGCAATAAGCTAGCCCGGTCGTTCAAATCAACAGGGATCGAGATATCTGTTAGATACTCCACAGCTTTAGCAGATGCCTTGATGAAAGACTCTGCGACGATGGTGGGATGAATGCCTTTCTGCAACATCTTTTCTGCAGCTCCTAAAAAACTTCCAGCCAATACAACAACGGATGTGGTTCCATCGCCAGCTTCGATATCTTGAGCAGCGGATAAATCAACAAGCTTAAAAGTTGATGAAAGCCTGAAGCCATCGGATAAGATTTATAGTTACACACCATTTTCGCTGCCGGATGGAGGGCCTGTATACTCTTCAGAATTGTAGCCCCATCGTTCGTGACGATGACTTCTCCTTTTGAAGTTTGAATCTGGGGGATGATGAGATGTCCATCGAGGAGAATGGAAGCGAGTTGGATACCATCTTGTCCATGCCGCGGGGGCCTAACGAGGTCCTGACTGCATCGCTGATAGCTACAAGGAGGATAAGCAACGAAACTCATATAAAAGACGGGGGACGCCGCACCTTTCGCAGCGACCATGTTGGACAAGCGAAGTTCCATTGGCTTTCCCTGTGTCAAGGCATTATGAGAGACGTTTGCGAGTAAAATGAGCGAAAGAACCTTGTCATTGAAGGCGGCATTGGCGCCAGAGAGAGTCTTCGTGACGCCTTGCTGAATTTGTGTTGGTTGCTTGGATGCCATTGAGGAGGAAAACAAATCTTCACGATAATATCCCAAAGAATTCTGGGAACGCGTTCAACACGTGATCAAGATTTTGCACTAATCTATTGCACTCCAGCTGAAAAGAATTGAATTCCCAAGAGTGTGTAGTACAGAACAATTAATAATGGCCTGATTACCCTTATTGCCTCCACCCCTAAGAGGAGGATTGTGTCAAGTTCAAGTCTCATCCTCGCCAAGCATCAATACAAATCTTGCTGCCCCCGTTGTTGTGATAGGCGTTTACAATTTCTGCATCCAACTTTTCCCATTTATTCAATTTGTCCATCTTTTTCGGATCCAAATCTATCACCGTCACAGAATCCGTATTTTTACGCTTGGAGGAAGTCTTCCCGAGTTGTAAGAGGTCGGTACGAACAATGATAGAGCAGTCTTTGACGGTTGCGGAGAGTAGATAGGCAAGGAGGTAATAACGAATGTTCTCAGCCTTCGGCTGTAGGTGGTCCAAGCCAGAACTGAACGGCGACAGAAAACTGTCAATAAATGTCTCCCAATCGATTATATTGGGCTCTGGCGACGACAGAAACGGAGAGCTGACGCCCAACGGAATGGCTGGCGCTGACTCCGAGGCCAAGGAAGGATGAGATGATAGTGTGCGTCGCCAAAGACTGGATAAGCCTTCGATGTCAAGAACATCAAGGGTTCGTTGGAGCTTGGACAGAATTTGGAGGACTGGTGTCTGCATCAAACAGCACAGTAGAGCCGATGTAAAAGCGCTTTTTATATGATCCAAACTCCCTGAAGTATCACCGGGATCGGAAAGCATTTCATTGACCTGATAATGAGGTTACGTGAACTGCCCAGACGTGCGGGGAACATACTTGAGAGGGATGTAAAAGCTTTCCACGGGCAAAAATCTTGAGATTATTGATGGTACTTTCGCTCTTCGACCAAGAGTCCCACAGGTTACTGATAGCCTTTGAAACACGGTTGATGTCACCTGAGAACAGGTCAAGCGGACAATATTTCATCGGCAGGCTTTGACCTCTTTGAGCACGAAGGTTGTTGTGCATGCAGAATCGGCATGTCCGCAATTTGATGGGACCAGTATCCAGCGAAAGATGCGCGGGTTGGGGTAAGAACCCCCACTTTGGCTAAAGCGATATAAAATGGTCAATGGCGGCGACAAGGAATAACACTCAATGAGTACAGACCTTAATCTCGACTGACAGCTCATTTCCTCCAATCAAGTCCGTAGCCAACACTCCCTTTTTCCTGGTGAAGTCAATGCCATCCTCCTCTCTTCGACTCTGAGGACGATGAGGATCCTGAAGTAAGGCGAGTTGTTCCAACCAATGGTCATCGAGAAGGACGGTCTCGAGGTCAGGCAAGTGTTCTGGTGGGATAAGCCTTGCCATACATTTTGATTGAAAATCGATTGTCGGATCGTCCGGCGCCTCATCCAGACGTGAGTCTCGCAACTGGTCGACAACCTCTGGATGCTGACGCTTGGATTTCCTCAGCCTCAAAACCTTTCCATCGAAGGGGATTCGCGATGGGCCAATGTAAGAAAGAACTATCGTGGCCCCGCCTTCTGATACATACTTCCAGTCGCTTTGATGAGTTTTCAGTATATTCGCCATACGTGGACTTCGCGTGGACTGCCGGCTACTAAAGTGTCAGCAACCAGCTTAGCATCCCTACAGTTGGAACTGGAGAATAACAAAAGGCGTTCACTCTTGGGGCTTTGGCCCTGGAAGGCTTGCTGATGGTCCGGCCTAGCTTTCGAAGGGTAGGAACGAGGTTCGACTCCTCGCTCGCGCGTACCAACTAAAGTGATCATGTGACAACCTCTTCAACACCATCTACTACTTGTCTACTACCAATCTACTACTAGCCTTCAGATGAAAGGAGACGCTCAAAACCCCTTGACACTCGGCTTACGATTCATGTTCCATGTTCCATGTGTACATGCTCTGGGAGAACCTGCTCAGTCGATATGAATTGCCACTTCAAATTGCTTGCTAATGCTTTCACGGTTTGGTAGAACAATGGGTTTGATGGTGGCCACCGAAGTCGCAGGTCAATGCGAGATTTGTTTTAAATAACCATTCGAAATTGGTTACCCCACTCTTCGCGCTTCTTCATGGCACCCCTCCGAAACACAACGTCTACTCGAGCAGCCCGTCTTGAATCTACTTCTCCGCCGTCAGGCTCCGCTCGAAGACACCGCTTCGATGGCGAAACCGAGATGTTAGCCTCCGAGTATGGCCAACCTTTTCTGGCCGAATATCTGAAAAGCGTTGTTCCCGAAGTGCGAAAATATCCAAAACTTACCATTGCGGCGATGCTAACGCGCATTTCTAGTTTCATCGCTTGCCAGATCCTAACCTCATTCGACCGTCTGAACCCCGTGCACCTTCCTTGACTCTCAAGGATCTCGACCTCATCAGAAGCTTAGGTACGAAAGCCACCGTCCCATTTCTTGACTTTCCTCATTGTTTGCTACAGGTGTTGGTGCCCAGGGGATGGTTTACTTGGTTCGTGCGAAGCGGAAGACTCATCCCCTTGATAAACCAGGTGCATGCTTTGCGCTAAAGGTGTTGCGCAAGAAGTATCAGCGTAACCATTCTCAACTTTATGTCAGTATTTTTTTTATACTTGTCGAATCTGTATTTGATCGTTATTTGCAATATGTAGGTGCGCGCCCATATGGAAGAAAAGGATATTGAACGTATCAAGCTTGTCGGCATGGACTGGAACCCATTTATCGTTGGAGTTGTTAACGCTTTGGACGACTCTCGCAATCTCTATCTCATGCAAGAAGCCATCCCATGTGGCACGCTACATTCTCTGATTCAGCACCGCGCCCCCTTCGACTCGGCAACTGCTTCTTTCTATTTTTCGAACATCGTATGCGCGCTAGCTTTTTTAGAAAAGGAAGACATCGTCCACCGTGATATCAAGCCAGAAAACATCCTCGTAGCCAGAGACGGCTATCTTGTCCTTACAGATTTCGGCTCATCCTCGAAAGCAGATGACCTCACCAACTGGCTTTCGCAGGGAACACCCATATATATGTCTCCAGAGGGTCGGCAAGACATGCCTTTGGAAGAGGAGCTTCGCCTCGCGCGGGATTGGTGGGCAAGTGGCTGTGTTCTCTACGAGATGGTCACTCGTAAAGTTGTTAGTATCTCGCTCTCAGAATGCGCGCGCCGTCCTCCTAACTCACTTTGCAACATATTTAGGCCTTTTATCAAGTGGAAACATTTGCCGAAGCATACCACCGGATTGTGAAGGGCGAATTCAGCTGGCCTACCGATATCAAGCTGGGCAAAAAACTGAAGGCGATTATTAGTGAACTTCTTACTGTGGATGCTGAGAAACGACTTGGTGCGACAGGCGTTGAAGCCGTCTATGACCATCCCTGGCTTGAAAATGTCAACTGGCGAATGATGAAATCCAGGCGATACATTGTGAGTCTAACAATATTCTTCCCGCCGCGTAGGTTAAGGCTGCGTTTGACATGTAGGCTCCAATCATACCATCCACGAATGTGCTTATGAAGACTTGGCAAGCACACCCCCTTCCAAAGTCAAGGGAGGTTCCAGGGCTCAATGTAATCTATCCGTCGATTCACCACGCTCACGACAACCGATTTCCTGAGCCGCCAATGATATAACGTTGATGGTAAGTTGGTGAAGCTTAAATATACAACTCTTTTTTATGTTTTTTCTTTCCAACAGATAACTCAAAAGCTGTTGTATTCTCTTGCATATTTATTGCCCAGTTTTTTTTCGCCCGTCGTTGACACTACCTAATTAGAGGGTGACAATCCGAATGACCATTGAGCGGATTGTAATCAAGTTGCTGTCCCTCAATGCCCCTGATCTTCTGACAAAAACGCAAGCTTTTTTCATCTACCTAGCTTGCATGCATCACGTCAACATCTTGCTTCCAAGGCACCTGCGGCGACACTCCGCGACACTTGCACTCCCGAAGAAGCCTGAGGACAGCTGAGGACACCAAAGATGTGAAATGTCGATCAAACCCATGATTCCTGCCCAACAACCTCCAACAACTCGTCTATTGTCTTTCTCCTGCAGGGCTGTTCTGCTGTTGAAGGCATGATTTCACATGTCTTGACACAACTTTATCGCATCAGCCAAAAAAGTTGAAAGAACAATTGGATGGTACAACTTTTGTGCCTGGGTCTCAAGGATCGTCAACTTTATTGTTAAGGACAGACAAATTGTTAATATACGTATGTTTTACAACAAACAAGCCGAAGGGTGCGTGTACGCAAAGCTTACCAAGGTATGATAATAATAAAAAGAGATTTTCCCATTCTAGCATTGCAATGCAAAAAAAAGAGAAGGGCGAAGGGGGGCAATGAATGGCGTCAGATGAAAGCTGCGAGGGCTGTCCAGATGGGAAACGCACAGAAGAAAAAAAACGACGCTAAAAAGAGAGTGGTGAAAGGGACCCCTTGTAGCCGTAAAATAACAAGAGGAATAAGGATAACGTGCGAAGGTCCAAACGGGTTTTTATAAAAAAACAGGTTTCGAAGGTTAGATTTCGGTGATGCCTTACAAAAAAGAGGTTGGGCATCAAAGGCTGGGAGTTCTCGCAGACTGGAAAGACAATGGGCGGGTTGCTCGTGTTCTGCCTCTGCAGGGCTCTTTTTCGTCATGAAGGTCTGCTACAACGGGTTGGTCTAGCTCTGATGGAGTTAATGAACAAGTGTCGTCGTCGTCAGAATCACTGCATGCGGTGTCGGAATCAGAGTCCTCGTCGCTGGCGACTGCCCTCTCGGCATCTGGGTTTAGCCAAGTGTCGTACCAGTGACTGAGGAAGACCTTGATGTCGGAGGGAAGACCAAGGTATTCGACGTTCCGAGCGATGCCCTCCCATTGAATGATGCCTTGATGGAGGCAATCACCAATGTAGCTAGTATCACCAAAGTACATCCAATGGACCAGAAGATGGAACGAGGAGGGATCGGGGACGGGGAGAAAGAGGACAGGGTGATCAGGAGAGCAGGGCATCAAGCGGGGGAGACGGTTCGCTGGGATGGAAGAGGTGGAGGTTGGGGGAGTGGGGGAAAACATGAGATCAAGTGGGCAAGCGCCGCTGAATAAGCCTCGCAGATAAGTGGAATGGGCGGAGAGGAAATCCATGTGCAGCTGAGAAAGAAATTAGTTGGGATCGAAAAGACGAGATGATCAAGGACGAACTTCAAGAGAGATCCGTGGGACAGCATTTAGTGGAGGCTGAGTCGCTCTCCGTCCTGCAGAGGAAGGCTGAGGCTCATAGGAAGTAGTGAAGGAGTGGGCTTGGTCAAAAGGTGTTGAGGAAGGGTCGAGATGAGGTATAGGGACAACTAGTAGAGAGTGTGAGTAAGGCAGGAGATGGAACAATAAAAGTAAGACGTACTTATTGTACAATCTGCTGTTTCTGGTTTGTCCCAGTACTGGGGAGCGAGAGCATGTAATTGTTGGGTGATATACTCGATTGGAACGTCTCCTAGGGAAAGAGGGGGAAAAGGTCTTGGGATAAAAGAAGACATACTATGGCCAGACCCGCGGCGTTCGATAAACGAGCAGGAATCGTTCAATCCATCCTTTTAAGATCTCAGGCGCCGTTCATAATTGAAATCTCGCAGAATGCCGTCGTTATTGTTAAAACAGTTACAGTATAGTATCCAGGAAACCGCTTATTGTCTTTTATCACGTCAGGTGACCAATCATGAATCCATACGACGGTCATCCTGCACTCTCACCTATAGAATCAGAGGTTCTTTGGGAGTATGCAAAGTTAGCCCAGCATCTCAATCTCGTATGCATATCTTTTACTGCTAGTACTACTACACTCAATCTTCTATAGCTCACACAAAAGACTCGTTCTTTAAATCAACAGCCTGATAATGACATTTTGCCCCATTTACGTCTTTTGGAAAAGAAAATGGGTCTCGTATTGACACTTGCAAGTTTTCTCTTTTTATTTCAAGAACCAATCACTGACTCGTAGTCTAGTTCAAAGCCTCAGTTTGGGGCGTTATAAACGAGCAACCACCTCCAGACCCTTCACAAGGTTACTACAACGATTCCAACGATACCACCATCAGACACTAGTACATTGTATTATACCGTCTATGTATCTATCTCAATTGGGCACCTCCTAGCCGTCCACTCAATCCAGTGACGGCATTCACGTCCCAAATCACCAGCATTCCATCTACCCCCGATGTGCTCACTTTAGTTACCTCGTTACCCCTCACTTCGTACGGTCGAATGTTAGTGATTGTATTTTGATGAATCGTCAAAAGCTTGGTATTCGTCAACTGTGATCCACCACCAGAAATGCTAGATTGTCCTCGACTGTCAGCATCACGGAACGTTGCAAAGGCACCAGTCTTGAGTCTCCCAACGCCGCCAACGCCTGGTCGAGTTTCCGCTGATTTGGGTGCCGTCGAATCGTCAAGCGTCCCCGCCTCCTGCCAGCCTGCTTCTGAACCGGAGAAAACAATGGGGCGGCAATCATGCCCCGCAGCGACGATCACATCTTCCGACGTCCAGGTTAAAGTGACAAATGGCAACGATTGCATGCGAATGTTGTGAACAACTGGCCCGCCAGGGTAGACGATACTGATCGAGCTATCATGACCTGCAGATGCCCATGAGTTTGTCATTATACCATTTACTCGAAGACGATCTTACTCGCAAAGGCCAGGACATCGCCGGATGGCGAGAATCCCACTGCGTGAACCCAGCCACCAGCAGGACTGGTGTACTCTCCGCAAACGGTATTGAAGGGGAGCTTCGAACCCCATACAGTCGCCGCTGGCCGCTCATCAACCTCCTTGATGTAAGCTGAAAAGACGCGGGCTTTCATGTCCGCACTTCCAGCAGCGAGAAGGACATTATTGGGGTGCCAGTCAATGGAGAGTACGGTGGACCGGATAGGTTTCTTCAACAGCTTTGATACCCACCAGTTGTTCTCGGGATCGAACGAGCAGATAGCTATCGCACTGGTAGATATTAAGTGAATCCCATTAGTCTCGATAGAAAAGACGTCATACCGTGCGCCACTCGCAACAGCGAATTTATCCTCCAGAGGGCTCCATTTGACATGGGTCGCTGCTCTGTTAATTCTGAGCAGAACGAGGGTTGGCTTCCACACAAGTTTTCCCGTATCCGGGTCGGGTGTCTCCTGCCAAACGTACGCATTGCGATCTTGAGAACAAGTCACGATGCGGTTAGAATTCGGAGCCCAATCGATGGAAGTGATCAGCTTGTCATGCTACGAGCCAATGAGATGGGTCAAGATAAGAAAGTGCTGAGAACGCGTGCCTCTGCGAGTGTCTCTGTAGGAACCCACTCTTGTCCGTTGCTCGAAAATATCTGCGCATCGTTGCTATTCAAGCTGACGGCCAGTTCTAAGGATATATCGTCATTCAAGTGCCAGTATATGAAATTCCGATAGAAGACCAACGGCTACGATCCGCACTGAATACGTGCGAGGTAATTGGCGTTTGAGCCAGAGTAAAAACTTGGGGAGCCATGTGCAGAGGACTGTCAGTCAACTACTGCGGTGGTTGAAAGAAGTAAAGAAATTTATTATTGGAATATTTTTATCTACACAGTAAGTATTTGGGTATCACATTCACTCCCTCAACAAGACGCCGCTGACCCATCCCCTGGCTCATCTACCTTCCGTACCTGCTTTGCCCACCTTAGCCCACATGCATTGCAAAGGGTTTTGGGACCGAGAGGTCCCTACAACAAGATCTGATTAACAGATAAGCAAAAAACGAAACGAAGACCGTACCTTGCGCCATTCAGGCGAGTCAGTGCGTCCACATGTGATGCAAACGTATTGTTCCGCCCCAAGGCCTTTCTTGAGCTGTTGGGGGTCGTTAGCTTCATCGGCAAGGTAAAGTACAGTGTGGGATTCACCTTCTTCCTCTTCGCACCATCTCCTACATCATCGTCTGTGCTGCTGCTGGTTGGGATAGACTCAGAGTCGTGCAAGCTATCGGCGCTGTAATCCTTTGTGCCTTTTGTGTCGCCCAATGTAGAGGTGGACAGATTCGACGCAATGTAATACGAAGTGGGAGGATCCACAGAAGTTGGGGGTACCATCGGCGGGCCCATCATGGACGTTGCGTACATCGAATTCACTGTGCTCGATGGAGGCTCGGGTAATGCAGGCTGGGATGCAACGATGCTTTTTAACCCCTCCACCTTTGACTTTAGCCGTTCATTTTCCACCGTCAGCTCTATATAAGTTCTCAACCTAGGAATTATTGTTAAACTTCTCGTACGAGAGAACCTTGAAGGAACTTACGTGGCTGTGTTCCGACTTATCAGCGGCTTGGCCACCATCAAGACGCAAGTACAGTCCGTTCCGTGCTCGAGTATGTAGTGCGAGTAGCCTTTCAGTTCGAAGAGGACTTCTCTGGGTGTCGAGGGCAAAGCAGGCAGAGATTCTCTGCATCGCAAGTGAACTTGGAGAAGGAATTCGAAGTTTGCCTTGAGACAATGCCTGAAATTACGCAAGAAGTCGTCTTGTTCTGCATCTAGAAAATTCAATAAAGGACAGCAAGAGGACAGGAATCTGTTCAATACATCTGATGAAATCTGTGAAATCACAGTCGATGAGATCGCTACTCCTCCAGCCCAGCAGCTCAGTGACGGATGCTCCACAGTATAGGATTTTGCTAGTTGGTGACAGAATAAAAGTGACAGCGTCGACGAGTTCTGCTGCGAGTAGATCTGCCCATCGCTTTCGTTTTGTGAATTCGAATGTCGAGGGGGACTTTTGAGCGCTGGTTTGAGAGTGAGTAGGATAATTGGAAGCAATACTTGCAGTTGTCGACATCAGAAATGTGGAACCAATTACATCTATTTTTAGATCCATTTCCCTATCCATCCACTAGAGTTTGACATTGTTCCAATGTCAACAAAAACCTTGCTTGTATTTCATGCAGAATAATAATAAAAAATCACTGTAGCGCCCCTGCAGGCGCTTTGAAGCCCGCTATGGCAATTAAAAATGAGAGTAAGTTTGTGATCTTTTATTGGCTGCTTGTCGCTGAACCGCTTATGCGGTTCACTCCTCGCAGCCAATGAAATTGGATGGGTCTGAAGCTTGTACTTACAAAAAAGTGTGACCCACTACTTATGTAGCGGGCATCTATCATCTTTTGGTCAGTATTGTTACTAGTAAGTAGTATTGTATAAGTTGAAGAATTTGAGCAGATTTGTTGAAGACAGTAGATTGAGTATCACAGAAATCTCTCAGCAACTGGGGATGGCAAATTTGCGCCATTAGGTTTGGCGGCGGTCTAGAGCGGTCTCTAACGTTTCGGCTGAAATAAAAGTGATATATGACCTTGGGGCCAGTACGACGGATTTGCTTGGTTGTGTTTGGCAGCCAGTCTAGAGCGGTCTCTAACGCTTCGGCTGAAATAAAAACGATATATGACCTTGGGGGACAGTACGACGGCTTACATAATTATGACCGTGGAAATAGACCTTGACAAGCAAGGTAATACAAAAAAAGCAGGTATCAGACAACACAGTAACCACCATCGACGCGGATTTCGGAACCAGTCACGAACTTTGACGCATCGCTAGCAAGAAAAACAATGGCCCCCTAGTTCTCTAAATAAGCGAATTGGCTGGGCGATTGGAATGGAACGAACCGCCAGGTCTTCGGGCTCACCCATCTTAAGGCAATACAAAAAAGGTCAAGATAGATGTATAAAATAGGTGCCAATACGCACTCTACCCATGGGTGTCAAACTTTCCCAGGTTTTCTATCACAATGGTTCATCCTGGCAGTCCGAACGTCGAAAGGGGCTCACAACTAACCTTCAAATCAGGGTTCTTTGCCAATAAACTCTTCGTAAGTTTCGTTAACATGTAGCCTGGGCTTCATTTGCACGTAAATGTCATTGAGCGCCGAATTGAATAGAGACGCACCTCAAGCTGTTCACTCGAACACCATCCTTTGCCCACTCAACTGCTAAGCTTGCCGCCATATGCTTAACCGCTATCATATATAACGGTGAACCTCCTTTGTGACTGTCGTCCGTCTAGATACTCACCTGCCTTGGACGAGTTGTACGGCGTTTGTAACTAACAGGATCACGTCAATGTACGTCGGCGGAACAAGGGAGGAAAAGTCTAAACTTGTGGAATATTAACGATCTGATACGAGAAGACCATTAGACTCGGAGGGAATAGTGGGATGGAACTCGACGAACTCACATTCGCACTCATACTGGACACAAGGATGATGGATCCTCCACCCTGGGGTATCATATGACGCGCCGCTTCTCGAGCAGTAAAGAACACTCCGTGAACGTTGACATCGTAGAGTCGTTTGACACGGTCTGTGGGATAGCTAAAATTGCGACGATTGTCAGAGGCAGAGCTTGGTCTGAGTGGAGACCCACTCTAAAGCAGAATAGTTTTCAACAATGCCTGTCAATTTAGTTAGATCTATTTTGAACTAGTTGAGCGTAGTGTACCAGCGGATGCAACAACAGAATCGATCCGGCCAAATGTATCCATGACCTTTCCATATGCATTTTGTACGGATGCTTCAGATGATACATCACATTCAATCCCAATGACTTGAACGTCCTTATTCTGTAAGCCGTACGTATCTTTGTAAAAAAAAGTTTTATCTCCGTCAAGTTAATCCCATACTTCCGCTGGAAACACTGACCACGCGCATAATCTGAAAGTTCCTTTGCAGCGTCTCTGCAATCAGAATCCTTCAGATCCAAGACGGCCAAAGACGTGCATCCTCTGTAATTAGAGGGTTGTGAGAAAGAAATTGATGGATTCCGGCGACATACGACTGCAAGAAAGCTCGACAAAATTCAAAGCCCAAGCCCCTGGCTGCACCTGTAACCATACACACCTAGCAAACTTTAGTAAAGAGGACAGGTGACAAGATTTGAGAATCGCTTACTTTGCCTTTCATGGAAAAGCATGGTAAGGTGGGCGCTGGCGAGGCCCCCAAAGACATGGTCAAGACGAGGACAGCAAGAGATAAGGTTTTCGGGGTGCAGGCAATTTTTCTGACATTTTGGTTGGGTTGTGACTTTTCGATATGCGGGTCGATCACCGGGCCTACATTGAACACGGAACGCATATATCCGGCACTCGAAACATAGGAGGTATCAAAAGGTCAAGTATAAAAATCAGGGTATCTACATTAATGTGTGAGGTCAACAGCCTGGGTACATACATTCCAGGAATCATAAAAAGACATAAGCAAACGAAGCAGTCGTACAGATCCAAGAAAGAGGAAGGTTGGAATCCAAGGGCTATAGGCAAGCAAATTTGGATTTTCGCTTTTGCAGCTCTTCCATCCGGGAATCGAGTTGTTGTCGCGCTCGTTCCTTGGCTTTCCTCTCCTCGTCAAGCCGTTGTTCAAGAGATTGCTTCTCTTCCACAACTGATCTTCTGACAGTGACGACTTCTCGTTTGGCTTCGGTCAGTTCGTTCCGCAGGCTTTCCAGCTTGCTGTTAAGCGTATCTCTTTCGCGTGCTAATTCGGTTGCTTGCATGCGCGCCTTTCGCACTTTCACAGGGATCAATATAAAATTAGAATGTAGCTAGAGAAAACTCACGATTTTTCTCGGAGTCACCGAGTGAAGTCTCCAGCGTGGTGACGAGGTCCATGTGAGTCTGAAGGTCACTCTCGCAATGAGTTAATTGTTTATTGAGAGTCTTAATCATTGCCTCTTGCTCGTCAATCTGCTTAGCTTGTTGCTCCACTTTCAAAGAGACTTTGTGATCAATGGAGCCAAAGCCATTAGCACCAACGGGAGTTACATGTCCAACGGAGGTTGATGGCGACTCAGGCTGTGATTCTCTCGAGGATGAAGATGACGTGAAGGCGGAAGAAGCTTGGGAGGAGGTGCTCAGGTTCGAGTCGCCGTTGACATGTTGTGAAGTAGCTGAGCGAGGGGCTGGAGGTGGGGGGACAGAGGGAGGGGGAGTCGGTGGAGGGAGTTTGATAGCGGGCAGAGAACCTCTCGGGTACCCTATGGCTCTATCTGGTGAACGAGCGCCATTAGGAGGTGAGGCGCTGCGGGCGATCTGAGCCTGGAGGTCGCGAATGAGTGAATCAGATCGATTTTTCTCCGTCTGCAGCGTGTCCTTCTCATCCTTGACCTTTTGGAGGGTCTCCTGCAATTCCGCCAGCACGGAGCGATGGCGCTCAAGCTCGAGGACAAGGGATTCACGCTTAGACGCCTCCTGGATAAGTTTGGATTGTTCTCCACGGGTTTTGTTCAAATCTGCACGAAGTCTCGCAACCTCGGCTTCTAAATCATCCCGTTCATTACCAACGGCCGTGAGTTGCCGCTCCATGGTCGAGATAATATCACCCTTAATACCGATCTCGCGCTCCTGTGTCTCTCGGGTTTGCTCACGAAGCAGAGTAAGCTCCTCGGCTCCAACTTTGTGGGCGTCGAATTCCTCGACGATCGAGTCATACTGCTCCTGGAGTGTTCGGCACTCTTCAGAATGTTTGCTCTTTAAATCTTCGAGCGCAGCAAAATGGCGGTTTTGCTCTTCCGTCAAGAATCTATTGCTCTCAGAGCGCATGGTATCAAGGGCCTGGCAATGCTCCTCAAGAACGGAGGCCTGTCGACTTTGTTCTTCAGCACGCAGCTGAGTGTTTTCAGTCTGCATTTTCTTGAGCGATTCGCGATGTTCTTCTAGGACAGCAGTGTGATTACTTTGCACTTCGGCCAATAATCGACTGCTCTCAGATTGCATATTTTCTAGGCGTTGGTGGTATTCTGCATGAACAGTGCTCAAAGTTGATTCCAGACGCGAAATCTCCGCTTGGTGTTGATCTTTGACCGAGGTTATCCCTTCTGCTTGGGCTCGCGTTTGCTCTGACAGTAACGCATCAGCCTTCGCAATTGCCTCTTCGAGCGCAGCCTTGTGTGATTTTCGGAGTGCCTCAACTTCTTCCTGATGCCCACGCTCAAATTCCGCCAAGACTAACGCTTGTTGCTCCTGGACTGTTCGAATCGCAGCATCCGCGTCGCGCTGATATTTTAAAGCAGCAGACGCCGCCTCGTTTTGTTCCTCCACCAAAGCGGCGTTTAAGCGGTCAATCTCCAACCTCCACTCGCTTTTGAACTTCGTCATGGTGGTTTCATGCTCAAGCTTGAGTCTGTCGAACTGCAATGCGTAGTCGTCTTCTTGAGCTTTCAGCTCCCGAAGGTGGCCGGCCCTCACATTCTCCATTTCCTCCGCAAATGAGCTATCCTTCCTTAAAATCGCTGCAGCATGTTCTTCTTGCAGGTCTCTGAGTGCAAGGTTCCGTGATGACTCTGATTCTGATATGGAACCCTCTCGAGCAATCTCTAATATTCGCAACTCGCCAGCATGCTCTTCTCGTAAACGCTCAATTGTGGCAGCTGTTTCGGCAGTGAGGCTTTTGAGAGCCTCAGCCTGGTCTCCGCGAAGCTTCGTAAGAGCATTATAATACTCTTCCTCCGTCGTTTGTAGGGACAGGGAAGCTTCTTCGTCCTTCTGCCTGAGCGCTGCAGCATGCTCAGCGAGAACTTTTGCCAGTTCCTTCTGATGCTCGTCTCGAGTGCTTGTCAGGATCGTGTCAGCGTCTTGCATTTGGCGTTGGAGTTCTTTGCCATGTTCCGATTTGAGCGCCCCAAAAGACGCTTCATGATTACGAAGTGCTTTCTCAAGTTCGGTGGACGCAGTTTCCAGCTCAGCACGAAGGATCGAAACAGAGGTCCCGTGTTCGTCCTTCAGCCTGGAGACAAGTTTGTCAATGTCTGCGCCCTTCTCGATCATCGCCTGTTCATGTTCAGAACGGAGCCGCTCAATCTCAAGGGCATGAGTCGCCTTCGCCTGCTCGAGAGATTCCAGGAGGCTAGCTTCACGCTTGCGGCCTTCTTCCAGGAGAATAAGGTCGTCGTGATATTTTCCTCGAAGAGACTCAAGTTCCATGGACATGTTCACAGCCTTGTGAGTTACCAGTTATAAATGCATCATGTGGGGGAGTATCCGAACGTACCTGATCTCTTGAAAGAGTAGTAAGATCATCAAGCTGCCTTCTAGTGTGGGTCAGTTGCGTGTGCAAGTCATCGACGACCTGCCGATGCTGGGACTCTTTCTGGGCCATCGATCTATGAACTATCAGCGATGCTTTGAAGTGGGCAGAGTACAACAATCCTTACAGCATGAGTTCGTTGAGTCGTTCTAATGAATCATCTTCGGAATATACTGAAGATCCTTCCCGTGGAGCAGCACCATTGTCGTTTTCCATGACAATACTTTTCCTGACATTATCGAACTGGTTCATGGTCTTTGGGGACAATGTTGTATCAAGAGCTAACGCATTACCGTTCACCATTAAAGTAGCTGGTTGTTCGGTTGAAACGCCGCCTTGCGCAAGATCCTGCTCTTGCCGCTCCTTTAACGACCCCTCCAGCAGCGATATCTCCGCTTCTCTTTCTTTGAGAACTTCTTGCAACCGCATAATTTCCTTTTCTAAACTGAACACAGAGCGTTCATTCGAGGGAGCAGTCGGGGAAACACTTGGTAAGGAAATTGACAGGTTAGGGCGGGAAGCGAGGGATTGCGAAGTGGTTGAGGAAAAATAAGAGTGGGAATTAGATGGAGAGTGGGAGCTTCCTGTCCCATGACTGGAGAATGAAGTTTTGCGCGAGTGCAGCGAGGATAGCTCCTGAGAGAGCGACTGTGATTGCGATAGCGACCTGAATACAAATATCATTAATGAGATCTCAAAAGACCTGGAGGATAGCGCTTACCTGGCGTGAAGCGAATCCACCGAGGCCGCCTGTCGGAAAAAATGCCGACGTCCAGAGTTATTGAGTTGTGGTTCGTTGATATCTCGTACCCTGCTCGTTGCCACTCTCCTTCTAGATGGCGGTATATCGTTCGCTTTGTCCAGTGAAGGTGAATCGGTACTGGACTCCGCGCTATTAGAATTGAGTTTTGCCTCCTGAATTTGTGCGGCCAAGTCGGATATTTCTCGAAGAGCGTCACGGTATTTCGTGGTTACCGACGAAAGGTCTGCGAGAGTAGCCGTATGTGTCTGCTGTAGTGAAAGCAGTTGAGCTTCGAGTGCCTCCTCAGAGTTGGTAGCGGGCAAGGGAGGCGGAGTTTCGTCCAATGGAGTGGCTGGCGAGACAGAGATCGAACTTGCAAGGTCAACTTCCAAACTCCTTCTGGCGGAGATAACTTCTCCAACCACGCCACCCAACCGAACCCTAGCTTCGCTGGCATCTTGTTTTTTACGCTCCCAATCCAACATCTTCTCCTCCAGAGCTTTGACTTTTCGTTCCCTATCTTCTAGATGGGTGCGCCAACTCTCGCCATCTTGCCTAAATAACTCTAATCGGGACTGCAGGGTTTCGACTTCATCACATCTTCTTTCGCATTCCTGCTCTAACCTCTCTACCGACTGCTGAAGTCCAAGAATTGACTCATCAGACTTCGCAAGTCGAGCTTCAAGATCCGCAATGTACTTTCCAGACTGGGCTTCCGCATCTTTGAAACGAATGATTTCACGCTTGAGGTCAGACATTGATTCACTGGAGGTGACAGTCGTTTCGTCGTAGACCTTCATCTTCTCCTCAAGATCGCGTACATAAGCCTAAAAATCATGTTTCGTAATAGATTATTGATTTGAGTTGGCAATCTTACCTCAGTAGAAGCTTCTCTTTCGGTCAATTTAGCAACCCGGCTTCTGAGTTCTTCGACGTAGAGTTCGGTAGCAGCATGCCTATCTGCAAGGGCCCCTAACTCATCATCCTTTTCCTCAACCATCTCGTTGGTATGTCGCAAGGCAGCCCGATTGAGAGTAAGTTCGGCTTCCATGGCCGCGATTGTCTTCTCGTATTCCTCGATAACGGGACCAACAATCTCTTCGTACTTCGCAGTGCCTGTCCCAGAGCCCGCAATGCTACTTCGATGCCTCTCACCAAGTTCCCTTCTCAGACGAGTGAGTTCCTCTGTCCTCTCGACAAATTTCTCCCGAAGATCTTCGTAGTTATTCTGCAATTGTGTGTATTGGGCAAGGACCTTCTTTCCTGCACCCTCAACCACCTCAGGTTGGCTGTTAGAGGCTTGCACTGTCCCACCTTCCTTGAGGGCTTTCACTTCCTTCCTCAGACGGATGATGGTGCCTTGTAACCACTCAGTGTCATCCCAGCCATCCTCCTTTTCATTGACAACTGCGCGATTTTTGATGTTTCTGGCACGGTTTGCGTATTTTAGCGTATTGATGGTTTCGCCAGCATTCCATTCTGCAGGACTGACGCAAGCAATCATGAGAGTATGAGCATTGCCTCCCAAGGAATCTTGAAGAAGTCGCGTAAGCTTTGAATCGCGATATGGAACGTGAGTCGCAGTGTTAGATTTTGCCCTTGAAGGGTCACCGAGTGCAGAGATGACGTTCCCTAGCGCGAGAAGGCCACTATTGATCGATATTCCTTCCTTGATACGTTCACCAGCCGCAGCGGTGCGTTTTAACTGTTTCCCATACCATGTGAATATGTCAGATGAACGATATTGGAGTTAAACTCACCCTCTCGGAACCAGCCAAGTCAACGAAATGAAACTTTGATACAATTGTCACCCATTCACCTGGGCCATCATCCCCACTTCCTGGACGCTCTCCAGCATGCCCCAAAGAGCTGGCAGGACGAAGTCCTCCCCTACTTAGGGCCGAGGAGAAGCTAGGAGTCGAAGGACGACCAAAGGTAGGGGAACCCACATGGCCCGCGGCAGCAGAAGGTCCACCAACATACATAGATCCTGGGCGAGTAAGTCTCGAGGGAGATCGTCCAGCTGGTGGAAGGGGTGATGGTGATCGAGGCGGTGGTCCAGAGCCTGAATATTTCTTCTGTGTTAGAGTGAGGGAGAAAATGGCATGCGATCGAGATGATTGAGCATTCATGTCCGTCTCATTTGTACGCCGTATTGACGTGCCTTTGCGGAGGAGACTGAGGAGCATTGGGTGGATTTGTCAATGCGCAAACCACTTCTGAAAAATGAATAAAAGCGTACGTCATAACTTCGCTCGCGTTTCTCACATTAACCTCGCGCAGGCCGCCCCAAATGATGTGACCCTCTTTGTCCTCTCGTATTTGCACCTCCCGCTTAACCCCAGTCGCATCGTCCGAGCCCAAGAGGTCAATAAGATCTTCGTTATATACTTCCACAAACGAGCCCTTGATATTGTAGTTCCATGCACCTCCTCGCTCCTCTTTCAGTTGCTTTGCGCGTGAAAAGATGTGTGAAACTGCCCTGGGGATAATACCCATCCCGTTGTTAGGATCGGAAGGGTCCGCCTCGAGGTCGATGCCAGTCATCGTGAATGTTTTCCCACTACTCGTCTGGCCATACGCAAGGATAGTACAATTAAACCCCTCCGTAAAGCGAGATACAAGCGGTTTTGCAGTCGACTCAAAGAGGTCATATTGGGTGGTGGGTGGGGGATGCACTTGGTCAAATGTAAAGACTTGCTTTTTCGCAGCCGAGCCTGGGAGAGCTGTTGGTACCGAGGGAGAACCTGTACTTCCAGAGGCATTAGAGGGTGGTTCGATCGAGACCGAAGTGGAAGAGGTCGTTTGAATGACTGAACGTTGGAAACGAGTGGGGATGGAGGTCGAGTCTTGCGTGGTGGGAGGGCGAATGCGAAGGGCTATATGAAATGTTAGTAACATAAACATAGCGTTTCCATAAGGCACTGACCAACTTGCACCGAGGTCGCCGTTGAAGACAGCGAGCTCGAGGGGGCCATGCCTGGGCTGCTCGACGACGAAATTGTAACCTTCTAGTAACAAGTCAAGGTCAAGCGCGGCAACTTCCGTTTTTCTTCACCATGTCAGACGATTCATCAATTCTCCCTAGCCAAGCTGCGACTTGCATCTACTTGCTTATTTATTGACAGATTCTTTCAAAATTTAACACCAGCCTGTTACGTTTCAGTAAGAAAGGAAAAATGTGTCCTTCCGTAGGTTGATCCCTCAATTTGGCTGATATACATTGGATATACATGGAAGCAACAAGGTGAATCTTTCTTGCATATGGAACTTGGCCTGCAGTGGCACATAAATGATGGCTGGATGATAGGAGGTGATGCTTGAGAGGCGAAATCAAAATAATTTCATTTTATGATCAATCATGCTCGTTCGTCTCCTTGCAAGATCGCCTTGTCAAGTACGGGGGATGTTTACCGCAAGATTACCGTAAACCATGGACTGGCCGAGGGTGAAAGACCTAACAGAGGCGATGATAAACAGAAAGCAGTAGAAACTTTTGCACGTCGAGGTTTTGGAAAAGTCAATTCTCATAAATCAAAGCTTTGCCTACACAGGAGCGTCGACGTCAGACAAAGTCTCGAGAGGTTAGCGAATGCATGTGGAAACTGCCAGTTGAGCTATCAAACAAGTATAAGTACATTCAAATCCAGTGATATCTATAATGCTGCCGATATCAGGTTAACAAATTTACAAGAGTGTTTCTCCTGCAGAGTGACATTGATGATGAGCTGGGTGTCCCAAATATGAACAGAACGCTCACCTAGTCCTGATCTCAACAAGGAACATCCGACGGCAACTGTCTGCTTCACACTCGCCTCATCCTCGAGGGAAGGATTGACCTCCTATTATATTCGAAGAGTAAGTTCATCGGAAAATACACCCCAAAATTGTATGCAAACCATTAAATCCAATGCAACCAGTAAGCCGGTCTCATAGATGGCCTCACAAATGAAATGACCTTCTCTGAAGGTCAAGCCTCCTCGAACCTATATCTCATGATATGAGCAACATTCAGCACCAGTGTTATTCATTCTCACTGGAGTTCCTGTGGAGGGTGCTACTGTAGGGTCCAGCGCGTCCACATCAAAACTCAAATGTATCGGCCGATCTCGGTTAGGATTGACGTGGTCCAGCGCCATTTCTACCACCTTTCCTATCCCGTACCTGTCAACTTCGTGCATGCTAAAAGCTTTTATCTTGTTGTCGCGCAAAATAGCCTTTTCACCGGCATCAACATCGCGTAAACCAATATAAACGAGATTTTCCGGCTTCAAAAGAGGCTTCACCCAAGAGAATTCTGGGACTTTGCTGCCCAGTCCAAGTAGGAATGAAACGGGCATACCGTGGATGTTTCCTGCCACAACCTATTATTAATTCTGATTCGTGTCTTCACTACCTGTGAATTCTTCACCTGATCCTGTGGATTCGATAGTGTTGATATCCGCATGCGCGTCAACCCAAATGACGCAGGCCTCAGGATGGGTGCTAGACAGGGGGCTAAGTAAACAAACGAAAGAAAAAGCTAACGAACTCACCTCAGTGTCCCCGAAATGGTGCCCATGGCCTACAAGTCATATTCAAAGGATGAGTCGCCAATGGCCGACGACTAACGAACCAAAGAATGGTCTCCACCCAAAGTGACAGCTAACTCTCCGTTCTTGACATGCTCGCCGACAACCTTCGCAATCGACTCGGTAACCCGTGAAACTAGCTTCGGATTCTTTAGAATTCCAACCGGAGGGTCGTCGTTGGTCTTGATGTCTTCGAACTGGTGGTGACCTTCAAACTTGACGTTCCATCCAAGGCCTTCAAACTGACTGATTAGCCCAGCCTCTACGAGATGGATCGGACCTTTGTCGACGCCAGGTTTGGGCTAGAGGAGGTCAATAAGATGCTCATTCTGAGGATGAAGCGACATGCCTGACCACCACTAAATGATGGGTCAGACCTGAAAGATGAAGAGAAATATTAGATAGGTACCTGAAAGGGCAACCGACAATCTGGGAATGGCAATGAAACCAAGGTGGAATTGTAGTGCTAGAAGAAACTCACGGCAACAGTTTTGGGCTCACGAATGAAGCGAGAATGGGAAGCCATAAGTAATGAGGAAGAGGACGGAAGACATACTGCAGTGTGTGCCAATGTTTTGTGCGGATCTACTCGCGTAGCAAGTACTTACGTCATAAGTAGTACTCATGATCACAATAGCGCTTTAGCGTCTATTGGTGCTTGCTATCAATAGCTATCAACGTGCTATCGACGAGTACTCAACGGCTATTTATTGACCACTCCAATGGTCATGTGTGTCGTGCACGGTTATAAATAGACCGCTCGCCCTCTTTGCTTGCTGGACCCTGGTACTGTCTTCTCTATTTGTCTCTCGCAATCTGACCTCACACTCCCCATCCAGTTTCTCTTTCCTCTCAACCCTTTTTTTTTTTCGCCACCAGTACACAATGGTTGATGGTCCCGCAACAAAGTTAGAAACCGCAACGCCACCGCCGCATGTTAAGGATTCCGTGAGCCTATCTTTTCCGCTTGTCTCTTCCCCTATCATGCACTTCCACATTCCCCGAGTAAAATCGTTCACTCATATCGTCGACCAGGTTCGCGATGCCATCAAACATCACAAACATGAGAAGGAGTCCGAAGCCCATCAGGTCTGCTTGAACTTTTGCTCTTCCATTGCTATTCTTATCTTATCTTTCAGATCTTCCGCCAAGCCGCAGGACATCAACCCAAAGGCGTCTCCCCTCAGACGGTTAACCCAGTTTGTTGACCCTCATCGGTTTTGTTCTGCTTCTTAGACCGTTGTATGTCAGGACGAAGAAACCGTTCCTGGAATCGAGCACCCTGGAAGTACAGGTGTCATCTACTGCTCTGATCGTGCCATCGCCAACGGGTTCAATTACGCCTGTTCTCATGAGTGGGCTAATCTCGGTCAAGGAGCTCCTGAGGTAGGCCCGATTCCGGATGCCCCACCCCGCCCAGAGTCCATTCCCATTTCCGTGGATTCCCTTGAATATGCCCCGACTACTGGTGTCAAAGGTAAATCAGAATCGCTACAGTCTTCTTGTCTCCTGATTGTGAAAAAAGGCTTGCGTGAGGCGGTGGCCAATCTATATAACCATACATACCGTCGAGAAAAGCAGAGCCAGTATACCTACGAGAACGTTTGCATCGTCCCTGGTGGGCGTGCAGGTCTATCGCGTCTTGCGGCGGTTATTGGAGACGTATACACTGTAAATTCAACTTTTCGACATCATTATATTATCACTCACCTTTCATCAGAGCTACCAAATCCCTGATTACACGGCGTATGATCAGGTCCTTAGCGCATTCAAGCGTTTGGTCCCTGTCCCTACTGCGTATGTAGCTTAGGCTCAACCTTTTGGCAGATCTAACGATTGCATCACAGCCTCGACCCAAAGGTAGATAAGCTCCCGGCGGAACGAGCGTCACTGATGATTGCCTTAGAACAAGTACCGCCTTGACCTTGAGCAAACAAAGGTATTAGACTCCTCATACATCCACTCGTTGATTCACGTTGTTCAAAATACAGAAAGATATTCGAAACCAAGGATTAGCAGTAATTTTAGCCTCCAATCCTCGAAACCCTACAGGACAAGTAAGTTCGAAACATTTCAGCAGTAAGGCCTCAGTGATAACACGTTTGTTAGGTTATCAAGTTGGATTCAATCATCTCATTGCTTTGCTGCCCACTGAGTTACTGTTTATAAATAGGGGCCATGACCTGAAGGAGCTTGTTTCTATAGGCCGGGAGGGCGTGACCGTCATCCTAGACGAAGTACGATCATTTGATTTGGTTTTTTCCCTTACTTACAAGCCTTGTTTTTCGATCAGTTTTACTCTTGGTACATTTACCCAGATAATGAAAGCGACTACGGAAAGTCCATCTCCTCTGCAAAGTATATAGAAGATGTGAACCAAGCAAGTCACCCAATATTTGTACAGTGATATAATGTTTACAAATTATTTTTACAGGATTCTGTGGTTATCATCGACGGTTTGACCAAGGTCCGTCATATTTTCACTCTCAAGCAACCGTTGCTGATGTTCATATATAGAACTGGCGCCTTCCTGGTTGGCGCGTCTGCTGGGTCATTGGTCCGAAGAATTTGATCACCGCGCTCTCCCAGTCTGGCTCATTCTTGGATGGTGGTGCAAATCACCCGTAAGATTGTGCTTGTATCAATCGAGTTTCTGACTGAGTTGTTCCTCTTTACAGATTGCAACTTGCAGCGATTCCGCTGCTGGATCCCGACCGGGTTGCCAAAGAAAAGGTACTTCTCTCCCTTCTTCACAACATCACACATTCACAAATCGTGAATTGTAGGTCGCACTTCAGAAGCATTTCAAAGCGAAACGCGATCATGTGCTTGCTCGACTCAAGAAACTTCATCTCGACGTCGACGTCCCTCCGTCTAGCACATTCTACATTTGGCTGAATCTCGAGAAACTTCCTCCGCCTCTCAACAACGGTTTGGTAAAAAAAATTAATGATTCAGAAAGGATGCTTTTTCTCATTGATAATTCATCAGACCTTTTTCGAGGAACTACTCAAGGAGCAAACTATAGTTATACCCGGCATTTTCTTCGACATTAACCCTTCTCACCGCCGGAATCTGTTCAGTTCTCCATGCCACCACTTTGTCCGTCTTTCGTTCGGGCCACCACTCGAGGATCTTGATAAAGGTAGAGTTTCTTGGGATACTTCTCGCCGCTTTGCCGTTAAACATGTTTATCCAGGTCTTGATGCCATTGGTCGTGTTTTGGAGAAGGCGAAGAAGAGTACGCACACGTTTGGTCAAGGGTCAGTTGTCCACTCGCGTTTCTAGACATATCTACTGATGTCGTATTCTTGTGCTCTCTAGTTACAAAACTGCCGAGAAGGAGGACCCTGAACCTGCTCAGAGTTAAGTATCATTCATTCCTCATGAACAAATATGGGGGGTTCCATGAAGGATACCCGAGTTCTTCGTTTGAATCGGGTTGGAAGAGAGATACATAGGTTTGAAGAAAGATACGCAGTTTTGAAGGATGCAGAAGATGTATTTGATGTTGTAACAATATGGATGAAGGGATTGGTTAGCTACTTGAATCGAAAGGTGCAAAAGCAACTTTGAAGGATTCAGCATCCGCCCGGTCGTCTGCCTCCGATAACGTGCACGCTTTCCAATCCAGTCGATTCGGCATGTCCAAGAGGGAAACCAAAACTTGTCTAAGACTGAAGGTCAGTCTACCATGCAGGCTGTCCAATACAAATAAGCCCACCTTCCAAACTGAATGCTAAAAGGGATATGATCTTTCATGAGATGCACCATCTTTCGACCATCTGGAAGGTCAACCTTGAAGTAGCTCCCCTTTCCACCTGCACAAGCTTCCATGGCCGCCTCGGGGTCTGGTTCAAAGTCAATCCCGAGTTGCCTACCTTCTGTTATGAACGCTTGTTCAACTTTATCTTTGAGGGACAAAGGTATCGGAACAGCCTGGACATGTGCATGTCCTCCTTTGGCGCTCAATCGCCCTACCTCAAATACAACTGCGCATTCCCCGTGTTTCGCATACATTGCTTGCAAGGAAGTCTTATACCTGAAAATAAATGTCAGCTGAGGCTTCACTAGATACGCGTTAAACATACTGTTCAGTTTCCTCAAGAATAGATGGTGCCAAGTCAGAAGGAATTGTTGAGTATGTAGGATAATGTGTGATGGGAACGATAAGCACATGCCCTCCACCAGGCACCCTGAATTGATTATTTACTGGGTGAGTAGGAATAATCTGGCCTTTTGGCAGGGTGACGTAGCATTCGGAGCCAATTGCAACAATTAAGTGTTTCCTGGTAAGAGTGTCAGCGCCCATATCCAAGTCGATACTGTAGGCTGAAAGTTTACGCTAGATTCGGATTTGACAAGCAAAACCAACACTCGTCAGCTGAATGGGATGTCAGAGACGTGAGAACGGAACCAGGAAAGGCGAGACGGACGCGCTATCTCCTTGACCGGCCCACGCTTCCCGCGTCTTTGACCTTGGTTAAGTTGTTGATTCGCTACATGGCAGTCTTCAAGGTAATGTTCTTCGCTGCCACATGCACGACAGACATAGCCTGGTTTCGGTTTCTTGCCACCGGTGTCGCCTCTAGCATCCCTCGTTGGACAATCGCGCACAAGGTGGCCTGGCTTGGAAACACTTGAGTCTCAAGCGGTCTGGGCTGAACAGCACTCAAGGAAACTTACTGTGTTGCATACCTTGCATACGTAACCTTCTGGTGGTTTCGTTCTTTCAGGGCACTCGCTGATGAAATGCTACGAGGATCGTATGGGCAAAATGCTTTGGTAAAAAGGCAGGAAAAGAGGAAAATAATACCTCAGTGGATTCACACCTTCGGCATTTGTAGCCAGGAGGCAGTTTACCAGGTTCGCCTTTCTCTGTATAGTTGATTGAACTAGCAATTCCATCTAGCAAAAAGATAGGCGTACCGATACGGTTGCGCTTTACGGGTTGGGTCACGTTGCCAAATATATAGTTATCGGCCTCTGTGGCCTCAAAGGGGCGTTTCACGGCCTGAGGCGCAAATTCGAGGAAGGGATTCTTGGTGACATTAGGTGGAAGCGATACTGGCCCTGCAGTATTCGGTGAAATGGAAAACGCATAGAACCACTGTCCAAGGAGCATGATCAGGTTTTTTTCCCACAATGAAAAATCGAAACTACCCTTTGCTTCTTTCCTATTGATGGTTTTCCCCCAAAAGCACCGAGGCCTACGAAACGTGAGAGACGGCCAGCCTCGTCATCCCAGAGGAAGGGTTCTCTTTCCCAAAAATTAGGTTGCTGCCCATGTCCTGCTGCAAAATGGTATCGGGGTTTTGTATGACGGACGAGATTGTCAAGAGGCGGGGCGCCCACAGAATCTAGGCGTGTGCCTGGAAAAGGTACCGACGAGAATTGAGATATTGCAGATGGCCAAACATTGGTCACCAGGATATCGATGAGTGAAGAAGAGGTCGCTGCGGATTGGATGGCAGCAAGAGATTTGTAATTTTTGCCTGTACCTGACTGAGCCAAAGAGTTGGACAACAGTCGCTCTACAGTTTGGACTGAGAAGAAAGGAGACAAGAAGCCCTAACATGTCGAGCGTCAGCAAAATTACTTGAAGAACCGAAGACGACGCAGACCGGGGCGGCGTCAGCAGAGTCATATATGTTTGGTTCGTAGATTCCTCCCAGGCAGGCAATGCGAAGACCATGAGCAGTCGAAATGACGCCAGACTTGGCTGTTGGGGACGGGTTGAGGGGGTATTGGCACCCAAAAAGTACAACGCTCACACATCAGAAACACATTTTTGCCAAGTTCACCCCCTGTAATTGCAAACTTCTGAACAACAGCTTCTGGTAATGGATATTCTCCCTGCATGATATAGCATTCGATGGGGGCTGGAACACGCGTCCAAATCACAACAGACATATCTTTTCAAGATATCAGGCGCACCCAAAAGTTTTCCGTCAAGCAGCAGTTTTGTCTCATCTTCGTCATTCACAACGTCTGCAGACGCCTCCGGCGGCCCAAAAAAGTCCCCGATACAGAGGACAAGGTCGAATTTGCCATGTTTCGCATCAATGGCCTTGATCTTAGCAAAAAGCTCTCGAATGGAGCCAACGACTGAGCCGACGGTCAAGCTTCGGTTGCATGAGTGAACGCAAAGCAGTTACGAGAAGCAAGTTCTTACACTTTTATCGGAGCTGTCATAGAGCGAAGATGTTTCGATGGGATCTTTGATTTTCCCCGCCTACGGTGACAAACATCCGTTGTTCTGGAAAGAGAGTGGATTTTGTCATGCTCACTGTGTCTTGCCCCTGGCAGAAGTCTTGGATGGGCTTGGACTTCGGCAATGAGCTGCCAATAAAGTTGGACTCGAGGCGGCCAAGTTGCAGCTGTTAGCAGGTGGTAAGGCTTGGCTAAGCCTCGAATAGGAACAATGGCCTGTTTAGGAACAAGGATTGTATATCCCAAAATGGGTGTGCTGCTTCCGCTTTCGGACCCTGATGTATCTGATGTTCGTGCTGTTGCGATATCGGTTACGATAGATTTTATTCATAGAAAGTTATAAAACCCGACACCTTTGCAGCAGATGCCTTCAACGTTTTCTTCGTCCTCGTCATGCTCCCCGTTTTTTTTCTTTTCACCTTCCTTCTTCCCGCTTGGGCTCTCCCCACTCAGCGCTTGACAATCCCCCATATCAACCCCTTGGACATTCTCTGTCAGCTCCCGATCGCTTGCAACTTCCTTTGTCCACCTGCTGCACTCTCAGCCACCACCCGTGCTACAGTTTTGGGCACCGCCAATGGTGCTTCAGATCCCTTGGGAGCCTATCGATTTGCCGTCAAATATGCCTCCGCACCTCGCTGGGGTTCATCAAACATCGTCACCACATGGAATCTGCCGTAGGCACCCCACGTCCTTCACAAGTCGCTTCTCTAACACCTTTTAGCAACGGAGCGACAAACGCCTCAGCACTTCCCTTGGCTTGTCCTCAACCAGGCGTCGACTCTTCAGCCTACACAGAAGACTGTCTGTCAATGGTATTATACGTCCCACCTTCCCTCAATTCAGCTAGCGATGCTCCCACTATTATGTGGTATGTTATTCTGTTCATCTTTTCTACAGCGTTTTATACTCCATACTATAGGGTACATGGCGGTTCGTTCATTGTGGGTTCTGCGTCTGGGCCTGGTTTGGATGGCTCTAAGCTTGCTATCGCCACTGGATCGATTGTTGCCGTTGTGCAGTACCGTTTGGGAGCTGTGCGTCGAATGCAAGCCTGATACACCATTGTCCCTAATTTTTGTTTCCAATTTTAGCTGGGATTTATGGCTCCCAACGGCGGTACAAACCTCGCTGTTAAAGACCTCGTCACTGCTATGCAGTTTTTGAAGAAGGTCGTTCCGGCTTTCGGTGGAAGCAGCTCAAAAATCACCCTCGCTGGCCAGAGCAGCGGAGCCAACATGATCAGGGCGCTCCTCGCAGTTCCGTCCGCGTCGTCCCTTTTCAAATCTGCAATCCTCCAGTCTGATCCCATGGTATGAATTGAATTGTTCTCTTTTGTCAACCTACCAACGCTTGCATAGAATTATGGCTTTCTTTCTACGGCCACACAGCAAACGCTGCAGAACAACTTCAACAGCCTAATCAATTGTGACGCCAGCAACACAGCATGTCAGAATGGTCTTTCCCTCAATTCCATTCTAGGTGCTCAGATGAATTTGTTCTCCAATGCTATCAACCTCGACCCCGCTGCGGGCAACGCTCAGCCCATCAGACCAGTCAAGGACGGCTACTTTATAACTTCACCCCTCGATTCGACAGCGCCGTTTCCAGCTGTCAACAAGCCTCTCCTGATCTCTACCGTCGCCCAAGAGGCTGGGTTTGCTATCTACAATGCATTCCCAGACCCTTTGCCCGAAGCGGCATTCCAGCCAATCTGTGACGCCACATTTGGTAGCGGCCGAACGCCTGCAGTAGTATCATCCCCGAACTATGCACCCGTTTCATCGCTGGATGGATCAGTGGATGCTCGCACACAACTACAGGTTGTGGGTACAGATTACCTTTGGAGATGTTCTAGCTGGACCTTCGCACGTAACTGGGTCCAGCATGGAGGCGCTGCCTACGTTGGGCAATACGTCGTTGGCACTTCTTACCCAGGTAACAGTGCAGTCTCATTTTGCAATGGACCGGGAATTGTTTGTCATCAAGATGATATTGAAATAGTGGTATGCATTCTTTTTTGCAATAGCTGTGGCGACATTGTAATTTTTGTTCTTCCTCACCAGTTTGGCACGACATCAAATCCTACATCCGCACAATCAGCTCTCACTACCGAGATGCAAAAACGCTACAAGGCGTTCTTGACTAATGGAAACCCCAATGTAGCCGGTGTCGCCAGTTGGGCAGCAGCGACGTCTTCTGATGTCCACTCCATCCTCTTGGGCGGGTCCGGGGAAACCGCCGTTGGGGCTTGTGAGCCGGACTTCTGGGGTTCCACTGTCCAATACGACTATCAATTTTATAATGAATAATCGCCCCACCTGCGGTTGTCCCACTGTCTTTACCACTGCCTTAACTATCCCACAACTAATTTGGCGCCCTGACTTTTCTGTATTCATAGTTTACCCCTTGGACGTTTCTAAATTGTAGCCTTACACATTTCCCCTGCAATAGATCTTATTTCATATTTCCATCCTGCAGTGGCTAGTTATACCCCGCATTATTACATGAATACGATACCATAAATACATAATGGTCAGAGTTTCGGTGGTATATTGTGCGCCTGAGCGTCTATTTCCGAAAATATGTCGAAATTTCTAACCAGTGACATCTCATTCACGGCCTGAGTGATTAAATTAATTGACAATCCTGATCACTAGCAAGCAAAGGGCATACCCCAGCTTTTCCAATCTTGAAAAAGACTCGATGAAGACGTCCGTTCGGTCCGCCTCGGGACTCATCACCTTCGTAAGTCAGAATCGTGCGACCATCCTCGTCTTCTCGCAGACGAAGGGGATTGATCACCATACGTCCAAATAAACCACTTGAAAGAGCCTCCACGCAAGCTCTTTGTTCTCGGGTATTGGTGGTCCCTTGAAGAATATCGGCGAGGGTTGACAAGATGTAGAACTGTGGCGGCATAAAACTGATTTCGCCCTTTTGGAACTCAGTCAAAGCTTCGATGGGGTGGAGAAAGCGGGCTGCAATAACTTCGCGACCTCCATCTAGTTTAAGCATGGATAAAGCTCTCAGTGCTGGAAACTAGAGGAACAAGTACCAGGTTTAGGGATTCTATCTTGTTTCGCGCCAGACGAAAAGCCAGACGATGGAGAAGCGGGAAGAAAGACCACATAGAAGCGTGTATGAAACCTCCTAGAATTCAAACTTACAATGAGCTTGGGATAGAGAAGGCTGAGAGCGGCCAGTTTACCGAGGAGCACCAACAGGGGTAATCCATTCGGTAAACGGCAACAATGAACCCAGGTCGGCTTTCAGATCGTGGGACGTGAGGAAGGTTTGGAAGTTGAGCTTCTGTTGGTGAATCGCATGCCGGGCTTCATCCAGCAAAGAGTCCGACAAAGAACTCAATGCCGTTGTGTCAGAAGCCGACGATGCTAGCAACAAACCAGACTCCTCGAATGTTTCCCGTATTGCGGTCATTGTCAGGGATTGATCTTGTGTCTTGTCAACATTTCCCCCAGGAAAGACCTATCATTGGACGTAAGTGAAATGGTCGCTAATTACTGGTACAAGCTCAACAAGTGATTCGTACGTGCATTCCACCAAAAGATCGCGCCGCATGATTGCGTTGGACGAGTAGAATCTCGTTGTGTTTGTTGACAACGATCAAACTCGCAGACGGGCGCGGAGGTTGATGTTGAGCCATTGAGGAATGGGATGTTGACATGCGGAGCAGAGTTCGGACCCAAGTTGTACTTGCGCGTCCAACGACAGGGGGCATTGCTGTAGGGGCATAGTAACAGGGGGCAGAGTATAACTTGCTGAGTCAGACTTCGTTATGATAGGTAGGACATGCAACTCGGGAACCGGGTAACGGCGAGCGGTATACATATGTACAAAAAGGTAATCTCCTAAGGAAATAAGAGAACTACGACGGAGACCAGAGAAAGAAGACGTGTGTTACATCAGGGTATATGATCGCAGAACCAATAGCAGCACTCTTGTCTCTTGGGTGTATAGAGGCTAGTGTAGACGAGACAAAACTTTCACGACAGCCTTCCACTCCTGCTCAACTAAGAACTCTCAATATTGGCAAAATATAACAACAAACCCACCTTGTGTTTCAGCGTTCTGAAATCTTCAATATTCACAATGTGCAGCATGTACTGGCTGAGCTTGTCAAGCTCCCTGTCGGCCATAGCGTCTTGTGTGTGCGCATTTTTGAAGGGATGGATTTTCAGGCCTTCACCAGGATTGAGTGCAAAGTTCCGACTCTTCCGATTTACGAAGCTTTCAATTTTGGTCCAGACGCCAGACTGGGAGGGTCACTCACAAGATCGTCAACGTGAATCGTGTTTGCAGCGTTGCTAAAAACCACCCGCGATCAGAGCTGTGACGAAGACGGCAATAGATGATACGTACAACTGAGAAAAATGGTTCCATATTATTTGTAAAGCTTTCACAGAATGTGACCAGGGCTTTCCATCTCGTTCCGTAAAGACGGGAAACATACATGTTTTGTCCAGAACTACAACACGTGTTAGCAAGCCTTTGGCGGGGCGCTTTTTTGCTCACCGAAGGAGATCTTGGAGGGTAGTTTGTGAGGTTCTGTCATTGAAAACAATATGCTAGTGACGCCTACCTGGTAATTTCTGTTCGATCCTACCATTCCCAGTTCCACAAGTTTGGTTTCAAGCCAAATCCAACTAGTCTGCGACCTAAGGCGAAGTCGTAATCTATGACCCTTAAAAAGGATAGTCATACCAGATGCAGACTACATTCGAGGATTATTTAATCTCAACTTCTCTTGAAACGTCACTTGGCACTCACTGTCGTAATGGGGGTATATGGCTTCCAAGAATTCGTGCAAGCGGGGCCGTGCACATTCAGCGGGCGGAAGACTTCCAGACGTAAGGGGTTTCGTATCCAATATGGCTAGCAATGATTATCACAAACGAATAATCCACATAGATTCAAATGCTCACTATAGTCTATGTCCAAAACCAGCAATTTTTTTCCTTCACGTAGAGGGTGAATTATGTTGACCTGTAGTTTCTCGGTTGCCTCTCTGACTTTGCGGATATTCCTTTTATCTTGTTGATATGCAGTACTTGCCGCCAAATTTTCAACCAAATCGACATCCAAGTCATTCAACACGTCCGGAAGAAATTCTAGCTCTGGTCAAATTGTCAATAGCGTCAATCAGTGTAAGGAAGTGTGGTACAGACTCGAGGGATCTTTGATCTCGTTGCCTTCAGGCGTTCCAACCAAGGTAAATTTCTTGCCTGGAACCAAACCGAGATCGGAGCTGGCAAGGTCACTGACAAAGGCATTCACGAAACACAGTAGGTGCACTTACATCCGGACCTGATCTGGAGGTAATTTCCCCTTGACTAAACCAAGGATCTTCTGTCGTTCGAACGGAACTTTGGTCAACTCAAAAAGAGATGACTTGAGATCAAAAACTCTTTTTTCGTAAGTGAGTATGCAGTCCACATTGTCTTTAAAGCACGCGACCTGTCTGAATCGGCAATTTGCAATTTCAAAATCTTTCCTGCCCAAGAGAATTGTAGATCATGCCATTTTTCCGGCGACGCGTCTGAGGAAGACTGGGAGGGTAGGACGGAAAGTTATAAATGATGAGGTCTATGTTGCCAAAGCTTGGACCGCACCTACTGGAGTCATCGAACTGATTGTAACCATTTGAGAACTAGGTTCGGAGCTTGTTAAATTCGATGGTACATTGGCAGGCATCTTGCGACCGAACTTGAGTATAATTGGAGGATATTCGCAAAAACTTGTGTTGGCAGCAGGTCAGCAGTGTTATCCCTTGTTATCCCCCCTAATACATACGGTCATGTGACCCATCGCTGCTCTTTTCTCACCCCAATGTCAAGGAAGACGAACAAGACACTGTCCTGTCCCGTATCTAATCGACTGAAAGATGAAAGGTGCTCAATAAATCCTACATAACTTCGTCGGTGTTGGAGAATCTCAAAATAGTTTCCGACTGCATAATCGTTGGCCACTTCGAACTTCTTTCGAACACCTTTGTTTAAAAACTAAACAGCCGTTCTAGGTATAGAAACCTTTGGGTGATGTTTGGGCGATGCAAGCTGCTGTCCATTGTTCCACGAGTTTGCTCGGGAACTTACATTAGGGGAATTCAAAGCCGATGCAGCGCTGCTCAAGGTGCGCCGCCCACATGAAGGGTTTCTCTACCTACAATGGCTATTTTGTGCAAACAAGGAAATTTGGACAACGGTCTTCAGGTATACAGTTAGATCAATCTTCTATAGGACCTCTATGCCTTGAGACCTGCGATAGGATCGTATTGGTCCAGTGTTGTCCGAAATCAAACGATGGACGCCCACAACATACGAGCCCGGTGATATTGCCTATGAATATGGCAGCATAGCCATGCCCTTCTACTACAAGAAATAAGGGTATCGGCTGTGGCCAGATTCTATCAATAGTGAATGAACATACACCTCGATAATTCATTCATCGGGCGCCTACCCAATGATGATGAATATGTACCGTCTTATTTTTTACAACCTTTGGTAATTCACAAAGTTATCAAGCCACCAATCCAAGAGACAACACAGCTTCACTTCTTGGCAATCAAAATATTCAGAGCCATCTCGTTGTAAGTAACATCTGCGGAAACTCAATCTCAATGCCCACTTTTGTCTTGCATCAAGCGAGCCCATCTGAGAGTTCTCATTTCTTTCAGGACAGGTCACTTAACTCTTAGTATTCCATCTTCCCCCATTTTTTTTACCTTCATGCTCTCAGTGGATTGCTTCCTCGCCTACGTAGTGAACACATCGATTGGTATTGCTCCAAGCAACGGCGATGGAGGGGTTCATGAGAGAAACGAGGGAGAAAGCTAATGCCAACCGCAGTACACGGTTCATGAAAGGCTCTGGTGCCATGTCTGGGACACCTTATGTCCATATATAGACATAATTTATGTCTATATTGAGACATGTCCAAAAAAAGACATAAGGTCGTCCAAAAACAGACATAAGCGATCAATCTCACACCCACGCCCAAATAGGCAGCTACTCAAGCAGTTGACCTCCTACTGGCTTTTCTCCCTGTGCTATGCGCCGCAGGCCAGAAAAATATTTGAATAGCTCACTTACCTTGTGGGAATTATAGGATACACTAATATGAACCTAGAATGCATTTTTAAACCATTGAAAAGAGAATTTGTGCTGTTCTGAGCATAAAGTCAGTTCCACTTGTTGCAATTGCTCATCAAAGTATGTGTCCATGCTAGTAGAATATCTCAGAGTATGTGAAAGCACTTTACATGCACTTCTTCCTCCTAATGGCAGGTTGATGCACTAAAGGCAACAAAAAGACAGAATCAATGGGTAAAAAAAAAGTTGTACTGCTTTAAAAATGCTGATACAGGAGTGCTGGTATGTTGTTAATATTTCCTCACATAGTCTTGACCTTCATATAAAAAGAATTTGTAACAATCTCAAGATCTGGACTGTGTTACAATAAATCCATCTAAAGTTGACAATAAATCTGTCATAATTGAACAACCCTTGCTGTTGATCTATAATTCTACATATATAATCAGTGTAAAGTACCCTGCTTCTTACATGCACATTTTTGAAAAGAATTGAAACATTCTCAGCTGTTCCAGACATGACACTAGAGCCATCATTATTCCTCTTCATTGTAATTTTCAGTACTCTGTCCTTGTTAGCTCAACATGAGGAACTTGAACATAAATCTGCTTTGCAATTAATCTGAGCTCTTGGCCTAATCTCCTGTCTTGTGATTTCATGTGTAAAAATGCATGCTGATGGGAAGACTTACTCATGATATCTAATCTGTTTCCTCATAGTTGTGGCCCCCAATGGGTCCCTGCCCCATTTTTAAATGGTACACCACTATTTGGGCCAGATGTGGAAGCCACCTGGGCCATGCGGCGTCTCCTCAACATTTTCCCACATTGTCACCAGTGTGACGGATTGTGGCCGCCAGCTCAAAATCGAACTAATAGGGTTCTGCCGCCAGCCTAGCTGGCACAAACCTGTCAGGTCCAGCCAATTTCCAGCTGACCGCTCTGACTATTGTCATTGTGGGTGAATATGTAGAGAGGGTACATATCACAGTATGGCAACCATGTATTCAATAACTCAATATCCCATTCAATTCCCTCCTCAATCCAAGCACATAATGTAGAAAAATCAATGATATGTAATTGTTACTCAATAACACGATGAAATTACCGGTACTACTGAAGAGGCTAGTTATATGCTACTACTCACCCATAACTCCCTTCCCTGCTATTGTGATACTCTCAAGTCATTGTGATCTCATATGCCCCCTTCGTCAATTGGTGGTGGAGGTGATGGCCAGTGGTGAAGAAGTCTAAAGAGAGAATGTCCACATTAGCAGGCAGACAGGATAGGTTGTCGTTAGTGACTTACTTTGGCAGGGTTTGGACAAACAAACGGCGAGGGCAGCAACCCCCATAGCGGTGAGAACTTACCAAGCAAGAGAGCTCCACGTGGCAGGCGAGGGAACGTCGTACATGATGCCGGAGTTGGTCGGGTGGTGTTGACGTCGCAGCTAGTTGGCGTCGACCCATGCGTGGCTGGTGTGGGGGATGTGGGCAGTCAACGTGTCCGAGTGTGTTGTTGGCAGTGCTTGACCCCATCCACACTTTGTCAGTCATATGTGTTGAGTGTTGGCGTGTGTGTTGGGCGTTGGCGAAACTGGAGACGGCAGAGATGGCATGATGCGGTCGGAAACGATGATGGAGTGGTGAAGTTGTTGCGAGGTTGTTGTTGCGTGACAAGGGAGGCAATGGATTGTTGACGACAGTTTATGCCCTTTTTGAAGCTGCGGAGTATGAACATATTTCCCACATGTATCTCTCTCTGTTCGTCTGGACAATTCTGCTGTAAGGTATTTTATTGTTACGAAGGGGTATGAGAAATTATAAAGTCAATGCATTAAGAGCTACTAGTTACTATGCCCTTCAAACAAATGTGGTACTTCAGTGAGATATGTAGGTATCATGATTTCAGTGGGTGAAGCTGGTGAGTAGATTTAGACGAGGGCTGGTGCCCAGAAATCAAACTCCTCGTCACCAGCTGAGATCCGACAGGCTGCCCAACAGCTGTCAATTGTGTAGCTGACAGGGGAGCGGTTTGATGCCGATCAGGAATTTCGGCATTCTGCCATCACCCTGGGGCCCAAACGGCGGTGTAGATAGGGAGAGGATATATTTCACAAAATTTCATAGCAATCTGTCAAGTTTCTAACAAGATACATATTTGTGATTCAATTATCTCTGTGAAAAAAAAAAGATGTCAATCACTGGAATTGAACTTAGGTTGGCCATAAAAGGAGATCAAAAAAGCGCAATAATCCACTACACTATACAACCCTATATAATCTTTACATGTAGTTACCATATATGTAATTTTTGAAAAACGGTGTCCTTGTCCCAGACATGACACCAGAGCCTCATGAAATGCTCAATATCATGAATCGCTCAGCACGTTGACGACTGCGCAGACAGAATTGATGTACTCCCAGCCGGATTATGCTCCGTTTCTACGCATCAGCTTAACAGCCATCGGAAGACTCAATCGCCCATGAATTTTGCCTTTGAGCGACTCTCCACTCGTCGTCACGCCGATGATCAACAATGAGGTATTGTGAAGGGGCATTGCAGGCATAGGACGACCACATGTCACGCCAGTATACTAATTGGCGCCGTCAAAACTCAAGTTTGCCTACACTGTCCGCTACGAGGTGGAAGGTAGAGAGGGATGACGGGGTTGTTGTGATGGCTAAAGTACGTGTCAGGAGGACGGGAATGCTGGTAGTTGAAGAAATCGCCTACTTGACTTGTTGGAAGGCTCGGCCTTTGAATATGGTTGGAGCATCTGTGTGGAGGGGTCGTACACCCATCCGAATTTGTCAGATTCTGAAACATGTCAGAAATCGAGGCTAAAATGGCATCCTCTATACGCACCAGTAATAATCTCTTTAGCGGTCAATCCGATATATGTTTGCGCGAGAGATAGCGGCAGAGACGTGTATGCCTTGGAGAGAAGGAGAAAAGTTCTGTGGCGAAACTCGGCTACAACAAATATATGATTGCTATGAACAAATACTTCGCAGTAGAGGCAACTCACCCACGAACGCCGTAATCAAACTCGCCAGCACCGACGCCAGTTCTCTGTCGATGAAATCTGGCTGGGCAACAAGACTGAAGATGTGTTCAGCTTGAGCATACACTTTACCATGCTGCCTGTTTACGCTCGACACAGCAAGTCCCGCCAACGATTTCGTCAAAGGCAGGGATGCAAGATTTTCGGGTAGCCTTGCCAAAACATACCGAGCAGGAGCACTGGCAAAAACGGTTGAAGCGATTTACGAAATTGGTTTCGTTGTGGTCTTACAGATCGTCTAAGATCAAATACGCGAGAACGAGAGGCGCTATTATCAGCAGACGTGTTGGCTGTCGGTCACCATTTGCCTGATATGAATTGACAATCAACATAATGGTACACAGTTTGAGGCAATCGTACATTCAGGTCAGTTTCTTCGGCTATCTGAATCAATCGTTTGTAGTCTTTCTTGGAAGTTGCTTCGACAATTGCGGGAAATCTGTACTGAAAGTTATCAGGTCGAGGCTGAGATGCTGTGGAAGGTGCGGTGGTGGCTGGGTGAGTGGTAGACGCCGCCGTTCGAGCCTCATCGCGAAGTTCTGCGGCAGTAGTTGGAGGAGGAGTAGGTGGCCCGACCATTTTCAGTGCAGTACAGTGATGGGACAATCTACCTACTTTATGTCACGTTGAGTATATACCTCCGAGTCATTGACTGATCAAAAGCTGTACTACTACATCCCACATACCCACTCATTCGTTCCCCCTTCATCAAAATGGATTTCGAGGAAGATATCGAGTCAATTCTGTACATCGCTCGTGAGATCTCTGGTATGTCTACAAGATTATCACAAGAACGCAGTTGACAGTTCGATATAGTATACAAAATACCGCCCTTGAAAGCCAACGAAGGACATCGTGCCAACGAATGGGGGGATCTTGCCAAACCGCTCTGGAAAGGTCGCCTCCGAATCATAGAGACCTCCAAGGGCGTAAGTTTGCAGTTCGAGGATGCACAAACTGGTGAAGTTGGCGTCTCAATATGCAGTGACAAAATTCCAACTCACACCAAGTCATCCAGGGGAATGTACGTAAATTGTGTAACGCAAAGGTCGTTTTCTAACGTCTTGAAAGTATTTGCTAAAGCAGAATACCATCCTACGCGGCCCTCCGTCGAGGCTGTCCTAGATTCTTCTCGATATTTCGTTGTGCGCGTCGAGGACGAAGGGAAGAAGGCCTATATTGGCATTGGCTTTGCCGAACGCACAGATAGCTTCGACTTTAGTGGGTTATGCTGTTTTACCGTTCATGTTGCTTTAACCGATCGTGATATTTACAGATGTCGCTTTGCAGGACTACGAAAAGTATGCACCGCTGGTACTTGCAACTCCACTAATTAAACAATTTGACTAGGCGTTACAAAGCAAGCCTTAGCCCTCCTTCGACATCGAGCGATTCCCCCTCTCCTCACCTGCCCGCAGGGCCAAAGAAGGATTACAGCCTCAAGGAAGGACAAACATTCTCCATCGCAATCCCTGGCCGCGCTAAAGCCGCCCTTGGAGAGAACCTGTTTGGTTTGGAAACAGGTTCATCTGAAAGTAGTACGACGGGGAGTGGTGGAGGCGGAGGCGGGTTCCCACTATTGCCACCGCCTCCAAGCGCATCTAAACGGAAATGAGTGAGGCAAAGGAGTGTCTGAAATGGGATTCCCGGTAGAACTTGCGGATGCCCAGCGGTGGTCCTCATCTTTTTATAGGACATGGGGTAGGACTTCTAAGTCTTAGTTCTGATGTAAAGATACAGTATCCGTCACGTGACCGTTGTATATAATCACTTGCCGGGAATGTTCGTCATCCCTTCCACGATTTTCTTAGTAGAACGATAACATGCTAGCAAAGCTACCACGCAGTGCTGCCCGCAGGATTGCAACCAGAGCTTGTGTTTCGTCTCGCCGTTCGTTCGTTCAGCCGTCCGGGGCCGACAGGGCGAGTGTAGTCGACGTACCTTCGACTTACCAGGATGAGGCACATTTTACACCACGAGGAGGTATGTTTCTTTTTTATATATTCTCGTTATCATCTTAGCTGGACTTTTTGTTGCCTGTTAGATATGCTTGGTTTCAAGTTGGAACCTTCGCTTCGTGAAGGTTCATTCAAGGAAAAAATACGCCCAATCTATTTAGACATGCAGGTGCGTTGGATCATCTTTTCTGGCTCCCTGGTTCTCATAATCTTTAGGCTACAACTCCAGTAGATCCCCGTGTTCTGGACGCAATGTTGCCCTACCTCACGGATCAATACGGCAATCCACATAGTCGAACCCACGCGTATGGTTGGGAGGCCGAACAAGCCGTTGAGGATTCCCGCAAGGTGAGCACGGATCGACTGATGTCATTCCAAACTCAATCTCTGTAGCATGTCGCGGATTTAATTGGAGCTGACGCCAAAGATGTCGTTTTCACTTCGGGGGCGACGGAAACTAATAATATGGCGATAAAGGGCGTTGCACGATTTCACAAGGAGAAGAAAAGGCACATCATTACAACGCAAACAGTAAGCTTGGTTGAAATTCGAGAAAATTCCGCGACCAACAGGATACGTAGGAACACAAATGCGTTCTAGATTCGTGCCGCAAGCTCAGCGAGGAGGGGTTCGACATCACATACCTACCTGTTCAGAAAAATGGCGTTATCTCGCTGGAAGAGCTTGAGGCAGCCATTCGCCCAAGTACATCCCTTGTTTCCATAATGGCCGTCAATAACGAAACTGGCGTAATTCAACCATTGAAGGAGATTGGTGCCATTTGTCGCAAGCACCGTGGAGTCTACTTTCACACTGACGGGGCACAAGCTGTTGGGAAAATACCCCTGGATGTCAATGAAATGAACATCGACCTCATGAGTATATCAGGACACAAGCTCTACGGTCCCAAAGGTATCGGTGCAGCATATGTGCGGAGACGGCCTAGGGTCAGACTGGAGCCGATTTTGAGTGGTGGAGGCCAGGAGCGAGGACTGAGAAGTGGTACTCTGGCCACTGCTTTAGTCGTAGGATTGGGCGAGGCGGCGCGAATCGCGCAAAAGGAAATGCAGGTGAGCTTTCCTACTTTGTGTCCTTGTGTGATGATATCCGCATTTCAAAGACGCACAACGTCGAATTGAGTGGTTGGTGTGCAAACCGTTTTTGGTCTGTCACCGTTAGAACCAGCTCAATGATGACTTCAGTGCAGGGGTACTGACTCTTGGGATGTTGCTTAAATTCCATCGTTCTGATTTTGCCTTGTCACCTTAGCGGGACCACATCCGAATCAAACAATTGTCAGATAGGTTGATTGACACCATCAACGCTCAAGTGGAACATGTTGTACGGAATGGAGATGTGAATGGATATCCAGGTTGCGTCAACCTCAGCTTCTCATATGTTGAAGGAGAGAGCCTTTTGATGGCGTTGAAGGTCGGTCATATTCACACCCCGCTCACTACTGCTAAAAATTCTTCCTAGGATATTGCATTGTCGTCAGGGAGTGCTTGCACATCAGCTTCACTCGAACCTTCTTATGTCTTACGCGCACTTGGTCAGTCTTTACTACAAGGGTCTTAATGATATCTGATTCCCGTTAGGCGCTGCGGAGGACATGGCGCATTCTTCATTACGTTTTGGCATTGGGCGGTTTACAACCGAGGCTGAAATTGACTTTGTGGTACAACACATTATCAAGACGGTTCACAGGCTAAGAGAAATGAGGTGTGACTTGTTGAATTTTGAAATGTGGCGCGCTAACTTCATTTCTAGCCCACTCTGGGAGATGGTCCAGGAGGGAATCGACATCAATTCCATTGATTGGTCGCAGCATTAGAATATCTCTAAGTATAAAGTACCTCAGTACTAGTTATCAAATTTGTATGTACATAAAATTGGGTGGTCCGTGCATGGGAGAAACTATGTGATAGGTTTGAAACTCAGACAGACAATTTCCAACTTGTTCCCAACTACGATGTCGAGACGTCTCTACCTTGGCAGTAAGTTTCCTCTCGCATATTCTCATCACCGTGTTCTCAGCTTTTCCCTAGGGTTACCTACGGATGCTCGTTCAGATGATGTGTCCAAATTTTTTGACGGCTATGGTCGTATCATCGATTGTCGTGTCATGACTGGTTGGCACTCAGCGTTATGAACGCTCTCCGCAAGCTAATCTGGCCTTAGGTTTCGGCTTTGTCGAATTCGAAAACGCTAAGGCAGCGCCGAAACCTCCTTTGTAGCTTGGACCTACTAACATAGTCGACAGGACGCGGAGGACGCAGTACACAACTTCAATGGGAAACCCTTCATGGGCGTCAAGTGAGCAAAGAACGTCTTGCAATGTTCATCGTTTTTACTCTGCGTGCAGCATTGTCGTCGAGTTCGCGAAGGAGAGTCGCCCACGTCGGGAGGTTTATGACAATGATAGAGGGGGTGGGGGTCATGGGTATGGTTGAAAACACAGCCTGAATTCTCTCTGATCATTCTATGTTTTTTTTTTTTTTTTTTTTTGCAGCGCTCCGCGGTCGCGGAGGCCCCCTGGTATTCGCCTAATCGTTTCAGGCGTGTCCCGTGACACGAGTTGGCAGGTATGGAGCCTTTCCCTTTCCAAGCGTTCCTCCCTTTCTTCTCTCTGCCTCTACCACCTCATCTTCCGATGACCACTAAAACAGTCACATCGTGGCAAAATTGATCCTTTTATTGCTAGAAAATGGGATGGCTGGACCTAACACTTCATAACTATCCGTAGGACTTGAAAGACTTTGGACGCGACGCCGGCAGTGTATCCTTCGCAGATATTGACCGTGACGTTCCCGGTCAAGGGTATGCATATCAACCAGGTACTCGATGAGTCTTTTTGACGTCGTATCAGGGTATTGGAGTATCTGTCCCGTGAGGATGCTGATCGTGCAGTAAAAGAACTGGACGGTAAGGATCTCCGTGGTCGACCAGTTCGTGTCGCCCTGGATGACTCTGTACGTTTTTGCCTTGATCTAGCACCGTTAACCCACTTACGGTTTTTGCTAGCGCTCTGGCCCTGACAACTATCGTCGCGACGATCGCCGCGACGACCGTCCCCGTGAGGACCGCTACCGGGATAGGGATGACAGGGGATATCGCCGGGACCGATCCAGGTCACCTCCTCGTCGTGCCGAACATGAGGACCGTCGTCCGCCCAGGTCTCCGCCCCCCAGGAGGGAGGTTGATGATAAAAGGCCTGCAGGGTACGATGATCACCGGCGAGGAGGCTATGATGACCGCAGACCCCCTGATTATTATTATGACCGACGCAGGGACGAACCAGAACGACGCAGAGACGACAGGCGACGCGACGAGAAAGATGAGCGCTACGACGATAGGCCGAGGAACGCAAACGGTGATGGCGGATGGTCGCGTTGAGTGGATCTTAGTACGCTACCGGGCTCGAGATAAAAAATTCGGACGGCGATCGATGGTTTATTTCCCTTCTGTCTTGGACTTCCTCGAATATGGTGTTGTCGTTTAAGGGGCCCCGTGTACTTCTCATGGTCAATGGTTGGTCCACACCTCGTGTCAGGATTTATGAGGAACACCGGCCAATGGGACAAAAATCTATATCTCCCTTAACTGTGAGCGGTGGATCCAATTGGTCAAGGCATCCCGGAAGGAGCAAAACCCGACCATATCTTTCTTCGCCTCTTACATAAGCCCTCAGAAATTTTCAAGTTGCGAGGGATACTTGGCGGGTCGTTTCCCGCCATCATCTTGAGAGGAAGTTTAAAGGATACCTCTGGGTTTCCGTAGATACCGCCACTTTGTTGAAAGCCTCATTGTTTGCGTGTCTATCCATAATGGTATATGATCTGTGATCCGCTCTCCAAGCCCATCCAGCTGAGGTCTCGATTGTCATCGTTTGACTTGAGCTCGGCAAGAGTCCCATCCCTCATCCTCAGCCAACAAGTTACTGTAGCTCTGCCAGCTTTCGTCACTTTCCCAATTTTCGCCCTAAAATGTCGCAACGACAAACTCGGGAGGACGCGAAGATGGACTGATTGTGTAGCCTGGAGGAGCTGGTCAACTCCGCCTGAATCTGATGGGGGCTCAAAGCACCGGTATAATTCCAAGTCTGGCGGGTTAGAGATATTGTGGATCTTAATTGTGTGATGGCCTACCTATCAGGTGGTTGCTGAGCTTGTCAGAAGACACGACTCGCGTCGAAATTTCATCCGGAGTGCCATGCTCTACCGGCGTTATTGATGTTAACCTAACATGAACGGGAGATGTCCTCTCACTTTTACACAAGGCATCCCATTGGCGAAACATTTGACACCGTTCTTCCTGTGATGCTGCACCCGATTCTAAGACCTGGGAGAGGTAGAAAAGCTCCGAGTCTGTGCGTTCTCTCACCGATATCTGAGAGCCAGTGAGCCGCTGGACCGCGAAGGCAAATTTGATGTGCACGCACTGAAGTTCCGTCGAGAGTCAGCAGGGATGGAATCCTGGCAATCACGAAGGGCCGGGAGCGCAAATCAAGGCTGTGACTTGGAGATGTTGATTCCAAGCTGGTGAACAGAGGGGGGTGAGCGTCCCCCATCAGTGGATTGCCGCTCAACGACAGTGTTTCTAGAGCAGGAAACCACAATGACACGGCATCAATGTCGGTCCATTCGCTTAGAAAGTTGGATGAGAGAGAGAGGTGCTTGATCCCGTAAAGCTGCATATGTGTCGGGTTTGGGAAAGGAATCACACGAATCCCATTTGAGGTCAGGATAACGCGGCCCAGTCTTTTCGAAATGAGATGACTTTTCAAGGACATAAGATTGACTTACAGCCTATAAGCTTGTAGAGATGAGCATATTTGAATCCAGTCACTACACAGGTTATTGTCTAGATTGAGTACTTGAATGGAGGAGTTGGACAAAGGTTTGTCCGGATCACTTGAGAGGTTGTCAATTTGGTTATAGCCCATTTCCACTAACCGCAGCTGGGGCATGAAGGCCGTGATGATCTGCATTTCTCTCCAAGTTACCAATGTGCCGTTCATTTGAAGTTCTGTTAAGCGGAGGAATGATGATTCCATTACATTCATCTTGGAAGGAGGTAGGAGCCGAGACCGGCTGTGTTATGAGAACTCGAAATGAATGGCACAACACTCGAACGAGTGATGACCGCTCACTTCAAGGCTAACCGCTCTAATGAGGGAAGTTCGGAGCTTATCAGCGCCACCACGTCCCAGCTGGGCAAGAGGCTCATCGAAAGATCCAGGCCACGGACATCTAGATAGAGATCGTTTAGAACACCAAAAAAAACAGTTCGCAGATGCTCACTAGGACACACATTCCGAATGGCGCCTGGAGGATCAGCCGCTGCCACACCTTCCTTATTCAAACTGACCTCACGTAACCTCTCCAGGTTTGAAAGTTTCGCCCTGATCTTGTCTAGATTAACGGCTTCAATTTCAATAGCACCTTGAGATGATCCCAACACCACTGTCTCTTGAGAGGCGGAGCCATGTAGGGCCTCCATATATTTCGATATCAGCGCATCAAGAAAGGATGTCCCATAGGATATGTTGTTACATGGCCTAATAAAAGACCCTGCAGTTGGGGAACTGGTAAAGGATGCGCAATGATGGTGGTAAGCGTTCAACCGTACAGCAGCTTACCGACAAGCAAAATAGAATTTGTTGTTTTTGGATCCATTGTGCTTGCCGCGGGAAGGGTCATCCCATTCAATACCCAACCACAGGCCTGTGGCGCCATCGACAGGACCAACATATCTGACAGAGCCTAGCTGACCGTTGTAGCTCAGGCGAGCGCCCAGAGATGGTATCACTGGAGATTCCATATATATGCAAGGACACAAGCGTGAGCAGCGAGCTTGTGAAACTTGAAGAGGTAGATGACCCTAACCCAAGTTACCATCACTGCTTACTAAGCAAGTTATAAGGTTGTCACCAGGTTGCTACGTATTTCTCGGACATCGAGACGAGGTGGTAGCTCTTCCCTGGCTCTTCCTTCATGCCGACGACAGCTATCTTCAGGAGCATGACCTGTGGTGCTGTGCGCACTGCTTCTCATCGGGCGAAAGCGATCGGTCATCATATGATGTCCACAACCACTTCCTCAACATCAGAAGTATGTCTAGCACTCGTCCAGGCCTTCGTTGTTGTTCAACTCATTGATCTGTTAGCCCACAGTAAAATTTGAGTCCAACTCAGCACTTAGGTCGTATATTCTCGACAGACCATTGAAACGCAATGCTCTTGACGAACAAATGCTTACGCTTCTTCGTCCAAAAATTGAGGTAGACTGTTTTATGTGAAGGTGTTCCTTCGAAATAATTCTTATCAATCTTAGGAATGGAGTGCATCCGATCTTTGCGGTACCATAGTCGGGAGGGGATCCGGTCCCGTGTTTTGTTCTGGAGGAGATGTTGCAAGTGAGTTGGAGCATGTTGTGTTTGCGCCAATTGGTTGTTGACCTTCATTGTCCGTAGGCGTTGTCCAAAATGCGGCGGATCCTGCCACCCGACCAAAAGCAATGGACTTTTTCAAGAGAGAGTGCGCATGCCGTCTACGATTCGACCCCGTTCTGACATTCTAGCCAACAATCGCTCAGGTTTGAAATGGACTATATTCTGGCAGCCCTCAAAAAGCCATATGTGGTGATTATGGATGGGGTAACAAGTAAAAAAAAATCATATATTGACGGGTTTGTTCTGACCATCAAACTTTCAGTGGGCGGTGGGGTAGGACTTGCGGCACCAGCTCCTTTCAGGGTCGCAACCGAGAATACGCAGTTTGCTATGCCTGAGGCAAAAATAGGATACTTTCCTGATGTGGGTGGAAGCTACTTCCTGTCGAGGTTGGATGGCGAAATTGGGACTTATCTGGCGCTCACGTCGCAAACACTGAAAGGCAGAGCTGTGTTGTATGAATTCATCTACTTTCAACGTTAACATGGTATTAACCTTTCAACATCTAGCGAGTACGGCTTTGCTACGCACTTCATTCCTTCCAGACGAATCCCGATGCTTCTCGATCGACTCGCAGAATTAGACCAACCGCATCCAAGCTTGGTTGATCATACCCTTGAGGAGCTGTCCTCCGAACGGGACGACAGTGAGCCCCCCGCGCTGTTCACCGGAAGACTTCGCGTTGCGCTTGATTCTGCATTCAGGCATGATAGTGTAGAAAGGATATTCAAAGACCTGAGGACGCTTCTGCAAGACGGCGATGCCACTGTGAGGCAGTGGGCGTCTGATAGTCTCGAAATGCTGGCAATGCGAAGTCCTACCAGTCTCAAGGTCGCATTAAAAGCGATTCGCCGAGGCAAAAGAATGACTCTTCGAGAAGCGTTAGAAATGGAGCTGAAGATAGCCTCTGCGTATTGTGTGAGTGAGAACATTTGACGCCTGTTTCTGTTTTAAGAGTTCCCTTTTCAGAGCGGGGCCAGTCCTGACTTCGACATCGGTGTCAAGGCAGTACTTATTGAGAAGTTGAAGACAAGACCCGAGTGGTCACCTTCTTCTTTGGAAGGGGTTTCAGAGGATATCGTCTCCCGCTTCTTTGAGCCGACGTCGCCGTATGTGTCATCTGCACCTCGCCTGGAGATCCCGGAACATTTGGCAGCAGAGGCGATCTCAATTCCGATGAGATATGCACTTCCTAGTGAAAACGAGATCGGTGCTGTTATTCGTGGTTCCCACAGTTCTGGCGGGGAGATGGGCACACGCGCAGAAGATGTATTGGCACGATTCGCGGAGTTACGTCCGGGAAAACTTGGTGTAAAGGAGAAGGTTCTGGAGGTTATACAACGAAGGTGCAAGGTCACAGATAACGCTGACGGCAACTTCGTGTGGCTTAAATGGATCCACTAAACCAAGCCACCTGAGCTTTGGGAAAACATGGGCACCCACACATGTATGTCCAGAATGTGAACAATCGCTCAATGAACAATTGATGTCCATGTTCACTGTAAACGTTGAATTCTTACATGCAACTTCACCGCTTTCCGCCCTACATGGGCAACTCCTGGATCAAACTGAGAGGTGTGGACGATGCAGTGTGCACAACAGAATGTTCATGGCTCATTGTCTTGCCTGCACACACTCAAAAGAAAAGTCTACCGATTCTACAACTTTGTTGATGATTTTTTTTGGGGTTGTGTTGCGCAAACTCACCTTGAGCCGCGCCGTTACCGTCGAGACCATGTTCCGGGTCTCGTAACATTTTTCATGTTTTAAAAAAGAAAGAACAAAGGCATGCGATGCCAAACGGAGATGCGGAGAGGTTGCATAAATTAGGCCTAAGTGTATTTATTCCCTTGAATTGTGGGCGTCAACATGGTATGCACAGCTGTGCCTGGCAATACGATCATCTGCGAAAGGCCGAGGCTTAGTTGCAAATAAGTGTTTCGGGGGTAACAGGTGCCGCGTTCTCACACCCCCGCGATTGAACTTGTTCCTGGCTGTTCACTGCGGGTAAGTAGAACTGCCTCAGGCTGCCATTGGTGAGTCTCTGTTCAAAATGTTGTTGCACAACTGTGCTTGTAAACGTAGCGCTAATGAGGACAAGTTTGCCACAGGATGACCGACCTCCTTTGGGATTTTATACAATTTGATCTCGATCACAACCAATGAAAGATCCAGTCAACGGAGCTAATTTCGTAATTGATTCCCAGTGACCTCAGGCTTGGGCTTCCTGGGCGGCTGCCGTTTACGATGATTTCTGACAAGGGGCGAGCCTAAGCAGGCTGAACGTTATATGCGAACCACACACAAAATGGTGAGCTATATTCATGTCATTATTTAAAACCACAGCATCTGATGTGGCGCAGCAATTTCGTATAAGAGTCATAACGCAGAAAACGGCTAAGCCCAACTCGAGTGCCACTACCTCGTCCGTACCTTGCATCAGCCCCTCCTCCACCTCACATGGACATAATTAACGTTCTCCCGTCGCCACCTCAGTTTTTCAGACTCTTCCTTACCCTTGCTCTGTCGTTGTTTAATTCGACAATCAACGCAAGGCACCGCAAAACTCTCGCTGGCCACTCACCTGCGGCGTTCGACGTTGATTCCAGAACAGGTTTCTTTCCTCGACAGCCACTCCCGAAATTACCTCACACATTTGACATATGGGAAGACGCGCTGCGCAACGCCGACGGTAATCTCAGCCTTGGTGAAGACGAATCAGAGACCGCCCTGGCAAAACGCGAATTTGGGGCACGATGGAGAGAGACGATTCAGTCGGTATGTGCTTTGTCTTTGTCTATATGCAAAAAATTCTGATATTTCCTTATTAGTTGCCTGTTCTCGATACTTCGGTTCTACACACTAACCTCCGCCTCTCCCAACGAGCACATTATGTACTTGCATGGCTCGTTAATTTATACGTGCATTCGATACCGTCATCAAGCGACGACTCTGATCCCGTGCACGTACCAAAGTCCCTTGCTTTGCCTCTGGTACAGGTATCCCGTCACCTTGGCTGTGCCCCCGTCCTCACATTCGCAGACACCGTTCTTTGGAACTGGGAACTGATTGACCCAGACCAGCCCCTGTCCATCGACAATATGCAATTTGTCAATTTATTCTCAGGAACGGAGGATGAGAAAAGTTTCTATCAGGCGTCAGCAAAGGCCGAATTGCGCGGAGTTGAGCTGTTACGGATCATCGATGACTATAATAGTCTTCCCAACATAACTGACTTGACGTCTATATCGAAGGTTTCAAGAGACCTCGGTCGCCTTGTTGGGATAATCGATGACATCAGCGAGATTATCCAATCCATACGTCCACTTTGTGACCCACACGTCTTTTATTGGGACATTCGTCCGTGGTTCGAGGGAAGTGATGCAAAGGGACCCGGAGGCCCTCGATGGATCTACGAAGGAGTGGATGACTTCGAGAAACTTGACCTCAGCGGACCTTCCGCTGGACAAAGCAGTGTCATGCATGCCTTGGATATTTTTCTAGATGTCGATCACAAACTCCGGCAACGGCGATACCCAGCTCCATCATCGGAGAACAAGCGCGCCGATCATGGATTTATGGAAAGGATGCGCCGATACATGCCCGGAAAACATCGCGAGTATCTCTCCAGCCTCGCTGCTACTCCTCGACCGATACGACAACTGGCCCAATCAACGCCCACACTACGCGAACCATACGATAACGCCGTACTGGCGTTGAAGCGGCTTCGGGACAACCATATCCGCATCGCCTGCCTCTATGTTGTGACGATGTCGCGGACGGAGCCAGGAGCAAGAGGTGGATGCCCTGCTAGTGCCATGATCGATCGGCTGCGTGAGAGCAGACTATCGGGAAGGGGACCTGTCCGCGGTACAGGCGGCAACGAGTTGTCGCTACTCCTGAAGGCCGGTCGCGACGCAACACGACGTGCACTTCTAAAGGACAATTAATTAAATAATATCAAGTTTTTATTAATATAATCTGTAACAAGTATAATAAGTAATTTACTACCTAATGGAAAAAGTCCGCTTGAATCTCCGCTGATTGGCATTTGTAACTGACTCGTCTGTCACACCCCGTCACACATCAGCCTTTTCTAATGGCATTTCAGCTCACTGCAGGCAGCTGCGAACGTCTGAACAACGCGACGCCGTCCGAGGAGGATGTTTTCAACCAACCTCACACCGTTCAGTTTCTTTCGATTAAAAAGGTCAACACCACCAACGCCTCGTCCTCCGCTGTTGACCGATACCGAATCATCATGTCGGACGGCATCCACTTCATCCAAGCAATGTTGGCTACTCAACTTAACAGCATGGTCCAAGATAACACCATCGGGAGGCACACAGTCGCAGTCATTGAAAAGCTTACTTGCAACTATGTGCAGGAAAAACGGTAGGCGCTTGCCTTGATTGTGGTACACGTACTCATCTTTCACGCGATTAGCTTGATTATTATTCTTTCTCTCCGCGTTCTTGCTCACTCTGCAGAGAAGATTGGAGAGCCGAAGCAGATGGAGGCTCCCCACGACCCGGCTGCAAGCGTCACCCCAGTTACCAACACCATTGAAACCTTTGCTCCACCGCCGCCCGTCCCCATTACCAAACCTTCTAAACCAGCAGAACAGGTTACCTCGAAGGATGGAGGCCCTTCCGTTTATCCGATTGAGGGGCTCAGTCCTTATCAAAATAGCTGGACCATCAAGGCACGCGTTACTCAAAAATCAGAGATCAAGACGTGGTCAAATCAACGCGGCGAGGGAAAGCTTTTCAACGTCACTTTAATGGATGAAACAGGCGAGATTCGCGCGACAGGATTTAATCTCGTTGTCGACGAACTATATCCGAAACTAGAGGAGGGCAAGGTGTATTACATATCTAAAGCCCGCGTCAACCTTGCAAAGAAGAAGTTTTCCAATCTCGCGAACGATTACGAGTTGAGTCTTGAACGAAACACAGAAGTCGTAGAGGTCAGCATTGTCCATTTCAATTTCCCTTAAGCAGGACTCAAGCTTCACTTATAGTGTCATGAAACCGCAAATGTGCCCATGATCAAGTATAGTTTTGTACCGCTCAGCGGCTTACAAGATCTGGAGAAGGATTCGGTCTGCGGTAAGGAGGTCTCTCGAAGGTTAATGGAGATGTTGTTTATGATATATCTCAGATGTTATCGGGGTTGTGAAGGAGGTTTCAGCTTTGTCAGAAATTACTTCCAAGGCCACCAATCGACAGGTGAGTTGATTGCTATTCTGTTCATGCACTTTGACAATTTAGTCTTGATCAGATTCCCAAACGAGAGCTAACTCTAGTTGACAAGTCCGGATTTTCAGTACGCCTAACTCTCTGGGGTAAACAAGCCGAACAGTATAATGCGGAAGACTCTCCCGTAATTGCATTCAAAGGTGTAAAAGTGGGTGACTTTGGGGGTACGTTAAGTCCCTTCTATGTGCCTACAAATTCATCTCAATGGCCCCCTGTAAAGGACGGTCGCTCTCAATGTTCAGCTCGAGCACCATGCATGTTAATCCTCACCTCGAGGAATGTTTTGCCCTGCGCGGCTGGTACGACTCTTCTGGGGCAGAGCAGTCATTCCACGCACACTCAAGTGCTGGAGGGGGTGCTTCGACGATGAGCTTCAATCGTGCTGAAATTCGGAGCTTGGATGACGTCAAACAGGCGGGCTTTGGATTGCCCGACAAGCCAGAGTATTTCTCTGCAAGAGCGACCATCATGCACATCAAAGCAGATAATATCTCTTACCCTGCCTGCCCTACTCAGAATTGCAACAAAAAGGTTATTCAAGACGGTGACAGCTGGAGATGTGAAAAGTGCGAAAAGAGCTTCGAAGCGCCAGAACACCGGTTTGTCGCCTAGTCATTCTCGAAAACCCCATAATACTAATTTGGGCGCAGTTACATCATGTCTTTAGCTGTCGCGGATGCTTCTGGGCAAGCGTGGTTCCAGGGATTCAATGAAGTCGGGACCACTATCTTCGGAAAAACAGCTAATGAACTCATCGCCATCAGGGTAAGCGTTTCTCTTCTGCAGTCATTGATGACGATGGCTAAGGTCGATCGCAGGACAGCAACAGCGCCCAATACAACGTGCTGCTCCACAAAGCTAACTGCAATACGTACAACTTTTCCTGCCGTGCCAAGCAGGATACATACAACGTCTGTCTAACCCGCCTGGCATTGAGGATTCTCGACTGATCATTTCTTCAGGAGAACACTCGGATTCGGTATGGAATTTCTCGTATTTATCCGCTGGATTATAAGGAGGAAGCCATGGCGCTGCGCGACCTATTGTACTCATCTTGGGCACGCTGAGTTTTCTTTCTGTCTTGTGTAGTTATTTTGTACAATAGGATGATTGGGGTTAAGAGGCCTTTATTTGCGGCGTGTTGTTGAGTTTCTTATTGTGGACGCGTCTTGCCGACGCGCCAGTGGCTTCCGCGTCTGGTGTCGCTGCACCCCTTCACCAGCACTTCTTAACGATCCCAGGCATATCAATATGCCCGTTCCAACCAACCTCCCGCGCTCTACTTACCCACTCACCACAACACCTGCCCGAGCGATGCACTTCCGCACCTCATCTAACCAAAGCAGCTCCTCACCGACTATAACACCAGCCGGGAACCAACACAAACTGAACGTCGTCACTCGCCTTGCAGTAGAAGGGAAAGCAAAGCAAGGCGAGGATGGAGTATCCATTAAAATGTATCTCAAGGTGAGAGAACTGAGATGCAAGGGCCTTTCCGCTTATTCTGTCTCCTTAGATTTCTTTGCCATTAGATTCTATTACTCCGGGCTCGACTATCCCACTTTTTCCAGGTTAGTTCATTCTTCTTTCACTGGGATAGTATCTGACGCTTCCCAGAGGAAAATGTTAAAATCCTCACATCTCAAGTCCATCCAATCGACAGCAACTCGGTTCCTTACAACTTTTCGTCCACCGTTTCTCCCCTTCTTCACAATGCCGCCCGAGCCCTGAATTTACCTGCACGGTCTTCAAAAACCTTCTACTCCGTCTTTCACCTCTCCAACTCATCCAGCAACGCGTCCTCCAAGCATTCTTCCGAGTATGACACGGATGAAGAGGGCTCTCTCCCAATCGACGATAAATACACGGGGCATATCCTCGTCAGCGGGTACAGCATCTCATATGTCCTTCCCAAAGTTTTCCCCTCGCATGGTTCGGACGCTGATATTGAAGGCCTCTCTCGAGCAACCTCCAAGACCAGACGGCCATCAATAGGAGAGCGAAGTAGTGCGCACTTCATGGCCGCAATTGACCTGTGGGTCCCTTACATTTCAAGGCCACCCAGATCCCCCTTCTTAGTGCGTGGCTGCCCTCCTCCCTCCCTTTACTTTCTAAATCCCCATCCATAGCTCTCGATCCCTACACCTCGCTGCCTTCACAACCACATCAAACTTCGCATATTCCCACCCTCAAATGCTTCCAACTCGTTCGCTTCCTTGTCGTCATTTGAAGAAGATGGTGTTTCTTGGGATCTTACATCCGACCCACATGTTACTCGCAGCGCTCACAAGCGTCCATCACGCTCCAACTCATACACACACTTTGCAGATGACGAGTCTAGCGATTCTTCGACGGCTGGTTTCAGCGACGGTTGTGGAATACAAGGCACATTCCCAAGCGCGGAGCATATTCGCCTTAGATGGGCTAAGCCACTGAAAACCGTCGACATCCCTGGTAGTAGCGATGGACGACGCAGAGTCGGTGTGAAAGAAGTCAAAGGGGAAATGGTATGTAGAGTGCGAGGGAAGATGAGAAATCCGGAAATATGCGAAGGGGAGGGTGTTGTGATGAGTGTTGAATACAAGGGCACATGCAAGGGCCTTTGGTTTTCTGGCGTCGCAACCCTCCTTGGGATGGATGTCAGTTTGGAATCCAAAGGCTCAGATGTCTCGTGGGTTGGGGACGGTCATTGGGAAGTTAGCGGTGGGACTGGCTACACTGGGTTTGACGTTGGACCCTTGGCTTCCACTCAACCTGTATCCAGGACATCTTCGCTGGAGTCTTCCAGTTCGCCACCTCATATCCACATCTCCCCTGCTAATGAGGGCAAAAAGCCAGGTGGTCTCATCTCAAGAACTGTATCAACTTCGTCAACCTCTTCACTGCTTCGCGCTCCCTTACCCGTCCAAAATGTTGCGGACTACTCGTTTGAAGGCTCAACAATTACTCTTGCGTCTTCGTCTCCACCCGAGACAATGTCCTCGATATCTTCACTACCCACATCAGCTCCCATCTCATCCCAATCCTCGCAAGCCCGATCACCCGGGGCACCCATTACCCTTCACATCAACATGAACGAAATCCTGCCTCCAGCGAAGAACATCTTCACATTTACGATTTCAGGAACTATTCTCGTGACCCCACGAACCACGGTTGGACGTCTCAATGGCAGTCCGCATCATTCTATTGACGGTGCTTCAGGAGACCCCGAACCCCTTGTCTTGCCCCGTTTCACAGTTCTTGCTGCTGACACCGAGTCCACCTCGATTGTTGTCCGCCATGACATCGAAGGCTCCACTACCACGGTGGAGGTGTACAACTCCACTGGGGATATTTACAGGGATGCGCAGGCGAGGAAGACTGTTCTTCAAAAGGGAGGTTTCACCCGCTGTGGGGAAGAAGGGGGAAGAATTGTTCTCAGGTCTTTGGGTCAAATCAACGGATCCCTCGCTAGTCAATCAAAACCACCCAGTGGCAAAACAATCTCCCATGTTCCTTCCCAATCGTCCCTTGCGCGTGGAACGTATCCACTCTGGTCAAAACGCCAAGTCCCTCTCATGATCCCCTCCGTATCGGCGACTGTGACAATACTTACAGTTGATAGATCCACATCGTGCTGTTCTTACGCTGTTCGCTTTGTCTTGAATGCATCCGCACTACGAGACTTTGAATGGTTGGAGTTTGGGTTCGCAAAAGCCCCAAATTCGTCCACACCAACTCCTGACATTCAATTCGTTGCTGCAACCGTAGATGAGATACCAGCGACCGTGAAAACCAACGTTGTTGCACAAAAGGAACCGTCAGAAGCAGCAATTGCGTTCGAGCGGCCCAACGGCAAATTCTTTGTCAGTTGGGCCAAGGTCAATGTAAGCTGTCTGGTCGGGGGCACAGTCATGGTCGATTATGTGGTCAAAGAGAAGCCTGAAATTGTACATCCCAGTCATGGCCAACAAAAGGGAAAGGCATGCGCAAGGGATGCTTATCTTCTACACCTACTCTTGCCGACCTTCCCCGTTCCCGTCGGAAGGTTAGAAGTGATTTTTGACAGTACGTTTGGTGAGTCCCACTTTTCCCAAACCTTTGATAAGAAGCAACTTACAGATGCCCATGTTAGGCTTCGACTCATACTCCCTGCAGACAAATCTTAAACACCGCCAAGTTCCACACAATGGTCATCGACTCCTGGAATATTCTCTCCAAGAATATTTCTCTCCTGAGTTATCCATGACGATCCACCCAGGTTCGAGTTTAAAGGCTTCATCCTCGCGCAGGTTGGGCTATTTTTTCAGCCTCACTTGTATCTTTTTATTTCTCTCCATCCTGGGGTTGTTTTGCCTTGGGCTCGAGATGAGACGGCTAACCCGTTCGGTGGAAGGTTATTCCATTGACAAAGGAACAGGATGGAATGATGTGTTGACTACTGTCACCGTAACTACGACGGTGTATGGCGCGACGGCGACCCGTAGGTCGGTGGAAAGAAGTCCAACACACTCGAGTGTAATCCACACTTCCGATATCACCTTGACTTCCCTCCACGAGGAAAATACCTTCACCTCTCCAACTGGGACTCCGAGCCCCTTGAGCCGAGCAGATCCCCTCCTTGATATTCCCTTGAGTCAACCTCCTTCCCCATCACCTTCGTCGGCCGACCCGTACGAGTTCCCGCCATTCCGAGATCTGTTAGCCCTTCCCTGGTCAATAACAGGCCTAGACGTAAACACTTTGAGAAACACCCTTCAAAAGGCCGCGCGAACTATGGAACGAGTTTGGCAGATGTTTCGAAAAGTGTACCACTACCCTCTTGATGATCCATAACGAACAATGCAATCACTTGTGTAAATAAATATGTACATCTTCTTTGCGATTCATGAAGTAGAATTGACGATGGTGAGGCTAATTTCGCCAATGATGCTGTTTACGAGAGACGCTGTGGTAATGTTGTAGTGAGTTCGAGGTAACTTCGGTTCAATTCGATTCGATTCTCTTCGAAAGTCCGAAACAACGTCAGCAAATGTCGCCACCTCACGACCATACACTGGGGAGGTACTTCGTAATGGCGGGAGATGGCGTAAGTATGTAAATATTCTACCGTCATCCGAGACTGGAAGGGTCCTCTAACTTCCTTTTAGGTAACCTGCATGTTCAACTTTCAACCAGGTTGCCTTGTTAGGTTCAGACCCGGCCTCTTAGCACGAACAAAGGCTCGATACCGCTGTTTTCCACCGCCATCTTGCTGCTCATTCACGCCTCGCCATCTTGCTTCCACCCTAGTGATGCAGCCACAACCCCATCCAGAATGGGAGCGCATTAGACCAAGCAAAAGCTCTGTGCCACCCTTCTATGCCTTTGCAAGAGAAATCAAGCGATCTGAACAGGACGACAGACAATACCGCGTAATACAACTTGACAACGGGTTACAAGTGACCCTTGTTCATGACTCCAAAGCTGACAAGGCTGCCGCCAGTCTCGACGTTGCAGTAGGCCACCTCAATGACCCCGTTAGTTTTGCTTTCTTGAAAGTTTGCGATAACCTCATGCGCGTAATCAATAGGACGATATGCCGGGGCTAGCTCACTTTTGCGAGCACCTGTTGTTTATGGTCAGTGTTCGCCATTGATAATGCAATATTTTTTAAACCTGTTATTCAGGGCACGGAACAATTTCCTCGAGAAAATGAATATTCAGAAGTACCGCCCTATCTTCCCTCCCTTACCGTGGTTTTAAACAAGATTCGATCAGTATCTCGCAAAAAACAACGGGGCCTCTAATGCCTACACCTCAACCTCAAACACTAACTACTATTTCAGTGTTTCGACGCACGCACTTTCCGGAGCACTTGAGCGATTCGCAAGTTTTTTCCACTCCCCTCTCTTCGATTCCTCTTGCACTTCTCGAGAGTTGAATGCTGTGGATTCTGAACACAGGAAGAATCATCAGGCAGATCTATGGAGGATTTTTCAGGTTAACAAACATTTGAGTAAACCCGGCCACGTCTGGTCTAAGTTTGGAAGCGGGAACAGGGACAGCTTGACGAAAGCGGCAAGGGTGCTCAAATTGAATCAAAGACCATTACGCGAGGATCCAGTTAACAAATCGCCCATTCCTAGCCGTGGACCGTCTCCAGCACCATCGACTTCATCGAACAATAGCGAATCGGACGCCGATGGTGGATTTGTCGGACGGGAAACGCGACGCCGCTTACTTGAATGGTGGAGCAAAGAATACTGTGCTAGTAGAATGAGGTTGTGCATCATCGGCAAGGGTAAGATCTTCAAAGAGCTCTTCTTACTCCTCAACTCTTACATATCTCTATAGAGTCTTTGGACGAGTTATCCGAACTTGCATCTTCTCTGTTTTCTCCTGTTTTGAATAGAGGACGGGATCCCCTTCCAATGATCGAGGATCACCCCTTCGGAGAGAACGAGAAGGGTGTACGTGATCAGCTTTCTTTCGGATCATGTTTTTCTGACCTCATTTCTGCTAGACGCTGGTCTCGGTTCAGACCGTCATGGCCTTCCACGCCATGGAAATATCATTCCCACTTGAGTACCAGCCTCCCTTTTGGCGACAGAAGCCTATCGATTTCATCTCTCATTTTGTTGGACACGAGGGTCCTGGTTCATTACACTCATATCTTAAGAACAAGCACTGGGTTTCATCCCTCAGCACTGGGCAGCAAAATCTTGCTAGAGGCTTTGCTATGTTCAAAATAACAATACATCTGACCAGTGAAGGGTTCAGTAAGTACCATAATTTTGTCTCAGCTTTCTCATTGATTGAACAACTCCACAGAAAACTACCGATCTGTCATCTTGGCAGCCCACAAGTATCTTGCCCTTTTGCGTTCGTCTGTCTTTGAGCCATTTCACCAACGTGAACAAGCCACTATATTCTCTACGCACTTCCGATTCATAGAGAAAAAACGACCCGACAACTATGCAACATGGATAACGGAACATATGGCGTGGCCTGTGCCTAGAGAGCTTTTGCTCGCAGGGCCTCAATTAATTTTGGATGAGGGGAGTCAACAAGGTACTGGAGAACACAAGGTCCGGGAATACCTCGAAAGCTTTCGGGTGAGGGAGAGCAGGGTAGTTCTAATGGCTAAAGCGGAGGAACACGCCAAAGTTCAGCCCGAATGTCGATGGGAAAGAGAACCTTGGTATGGTACCGAATACAGCGTACAGAAGTTTGACGAAGCTTTTATCACAGAGGTGAAGATCACATTGCTCGCCATTCGTTAGTCTGATCTTAGATTCACAGGCGGAAAGTCCAAAAAGCCTCCCTGAATTCTTCCTACCTGGACCCAACGAATTTATACCCACGAACCTTGACGTCGAAAAGAAAGAAGTCTCTGAAGTATGTTTATCTGCACCGTTTGGTATAACCTAAACAAAATTCCGTTTGCAGCCTTTGAAACGTCCACATTTGATAAGAGAGACTCCGTTATCTGCTCTGTGGCACAAGAAAGACGACAAGTTTTGGGCCCCAAAAGCCAACGTTATCATTGATATTCGGAGGTTTGTTGTGACTCTTCTAACATTTTTCTTGGCTCCTTATTGGTTTTATAGCCCCCTGGGCAATGCTTCTGCTCGAGCATCTGTGCTCACCAGGTGGAGTCGTTCATTATAATCTTACTTTTCCTCGTCTTTACCCCCCTACAGACTCTACTCCGATATCGTTAAGGACTCCCTCACTGAGTTCGCATACGATGCCGACCTAGCTGGACTATCGTATAGTTTCTCACCTCACTCCATGGGGTTGTACGTCTCCATGAACGGGTATAATGACAAAATGTCAGTTTTGGTGCGGCACGTGCTGGAGAAAGTGAAAGGGCTGGTTGTGGACCCTCAACGCCTGGCCGTGATTAAAGATCAAGTAAGCACATCTGCTATCGCACCAGAATGTGGACAGAACAATTAATGATCTCTGAGTAGGCACAACGAGACTGGCAAAACTTTTTTATGGGTCACTCATATTCAATTTCAGACTATTACGGCCGCTATCTCATGGCAGCGCAACAGTGGACTATCGAGGAAAAATTGGCAGAACTACCATGTGAGCGCCAAGTTTCACGCGTTCTACAAGGCTGACGGAACTAAGCGGTGACTGCTGAGGAAATCCAACGCCACATGAAAGACCTCTTGTCGCAAGTCAAACTAAGGATACTTGTTGTCGGTAATATGTTCAAGGATGTGAGTGCCGACGTTTCGGGTAATCAGTCTTTTAATTGTCGGGATAATAGGAGGCTATTGGAATTGCAGAAATGGCAGAAGAAGGCCTCGGAGTCTCTCCGACAGCGGATCTCAATGAGAAAGCACTTATCATGCCAGCTGGTACTTTTTTTCGTTTGCCTTGTTTCAAAATCTTCGATCATTGATGTCCTTAGGCTCTAATTTCGTGTGGTCCTCACCTCTTCCCAACCCGAATCAAGCAAACTCGGCTCTAACATACTATCTACATTTCGGATCCGTTGTTAACCAACGCCTCCGCGTGGTTTCATCGCTTCTTACGCAAATCCTCACCGAGCCAACTTTTAACGTTCTACGCACAAAAGAACAGCTTGGCTACATAGTCTTATGCTCAAACTGGTCGCTGCCTGGTGCTAGTGAAAAGGGACTAAGAATTGTTGTCCAAAGTGAAAAGCCACCGCCTTATCTGGAAAAGCGTGTAGAGGCGTTTCTAGATTCAATGCGGTTCAAGATCGAGGACATGAGCATTGAGGAGTTTCAAGGGCAGAAGGAAGGTCTGGAGAAGAAATGGATGGAAGCAGACAAGAATCTGTACGACGAGGCTGGAAGATACATGCTACAGATCAACAGCGGACATTGGGATTTCCTAAGGAGTAAGTTCATGTTCTTGCTAGTGACCAGCCAAGTGACTTTCGGCACAGACGAGGATGATGCTGGCCTTTTGAAGAGTATCACCAAAGAGGAAATGCTGGAGATCTTTATGTCCCATGTCCACCCCTCATCTATCACAAGGTCGAAACTCTCAGTGCATCTGGTTTCACAGAAACCTCGGCCGAAGAAGATCAGCATGGCCGCCGCACAAGGTTTTGAAGCCTTGCTACGCACCACAATACCAGAAATAGAGATAGACAACAATATCTCAACAGCGGATATTGAGGATCGACCCACAGTCTTCGACTTTGTCGATCACTGGAAAGAGAGACTGGAGTCGATCGAAGCTGGGGACACACTCCTGGCTGCTCTTTCCGACCTCGTAGAGAAATACCCCGTGGATGCAGAGCTCGAGAGTTCTGGGGGGCTCGGTGGAACCTCTATTCAGAACATCAAAGCATTCAAAGCAGGTCTTACGATTTCCGTTGACCCTGGCCCTATGGTGCAGTGGGGAGATCTTCCGGTACCTAGATTCTGACGGTGCAGAGAAACGGCAGGCATCTAGATCTTATTTATGGAACTACAACCGTACTTATTTGGATTACATTGATCCACTTCCATGTCGCCCATTATGACTCGACGAAATGTGGCTTGCGGGCCTGCAGCAGAAGTAAAATTGATGCGATTCCACGGGAAATCCGAGAGGAACGATAATACTGTACTGGCAATAATACGCAGCAAAAAGGAGGAACCACCGAAGATGAAGTGATACATCCGAGTCATTCACTTCCGTCTTGTCCCATCCTTGAACCTCGCAGTTGGCTGAGCTGGTGGCATGAAATCTTTGGCTCGCCGAAAGAGTAGTACATGGGGTTCAGGCGCTATATACGCAAATCATGAATTAGATACAAGGAAAAGCTCAAATTACCTACCATGCACTTCGTAATGTTCCCATCCCAGACTTTGAGTGATTCCAATCCCCCTCCACTCCTGTTCTGTCAGCAGACGCAGCGTACCCGTGTCATCTTGGTTGAAGTACTCCTTCGGAACCATCTTGAGCAGTTGTTTGGGCAGGATAACATGCCGGTACTCGAATTCGTCATCCGAATAACGATCAGAATAGTGAATCCTGTTGAAGGCGACAAGTGAGGTCGTGAGCCATAGAAGATGATCAACTTTTCCTACTTCTCGATGTATTCCTCGAGCTTACGCGCCAGCTCTTTCTGTGCTGCTGCTCCTTGTGATGATTGATTTGACGCCATGAGCGCGTCGAAAATAAGGAAAACAAGATATCTTGATGGCAAGTGCAGTGCAAAGCCATTTTGACGCGCGAGTCACTCATGTCACGACACTCACGTGAGCAGACGCGACAAGTTTTCTGCTTCAGCGAACGAGTGTCTAGCCTCAAGTGTCCCTTTCTTACCTTCATGAACCTTCGACTTGAACAGAACATGGTCCCATATTCTGATACCTCGCACGCAGGATCTATGAACACGTTTTTTGCCACTGATCCGCCAGTTCAATTGGATGAATACTACGCCGATGTCATGGACTCGATTGGTCCGTATATGCGCGTTTCCCGTGTGTATGGCGGTAGTGTATCCACAATTGTTTGTTCTAGCCAACCGTTTGGTATTTCCTATCCAACACGAACCATACCACTTGAGAGATATCACTCAAGACGGTTATCAAGACGATGTCGAGCAAGAAGCTATTCCACTGCGGTCGCAGAGATCCGAGATTGAAATGAGCTACTTTCAGGATGATGACGAGTTTCTCAATCCCCCTTCAGCGACCTTGCTAGATCATCGTCCTTATCTTGGTCATGAATTGGCTGATCATACGCCTCCAGAGTTTTTACCAGGAAGCGGGGAATATACCTATCCTTTCCATTCACGGCGTCCGCATGGCCGAGATATTGCTTGCGAGGAAAAAGAAGGTCATGCTCAAGCTGGAGAGCTACCCAATGGACAAAAACTGCATCGATCTAGGCTTCGTTCAGTGTCCGAATTGCGTCGGGTCCCCTCCTCCGCTTGAAAAGCACAATCTCTAACCATTATTACAGCTGACGTATATCGGGGAATTTTCAAGTTTGGCATCTTCAATGCTATTCAATCTGTTTGCTTCGACGAGGTATTTTAATGAATCATGAAAGATATTGTCGCTAATGACATCAAAAAGATTTTTAAATCAGATGTTAATATGGTAAAGGGAAGAAGAGACGACTTGTTCTCACCTTACTCAGTGTTTTCCACCAGGTCATCAGTGGTAATATATTTATCGCACTCGTCTTCTTGTTCTGATTCGTTCCCAGCTCCGACAGGAAGCGGAAAAACTGTTTTGTTCGAGTTGGCTATCATACGTATGCTGGTGCACAACAAGAGCGACCGACAGTCAAAATGCATTTATATAGCGCCCACGAAGGTTGATTTCCCCCCAATTTTGGTACTTCTCACTCATCCGAGATCAGGCTCTGTGTTCGGAACGATATAGAGATTGGTCCTCGAAGTTTGATTCGATTGGCTTTAAATGTAAGCACTGAACCTGTCTTAAAATGGAGGGTGCAATGTATCAAAATTAAGGTTGTGAATTCACGGGCGACACGGTCGTCTTCGGCGGCAACGTCTGGGGTGACGCTAAGGACGCATCTATCATGTCAGCATTTTGATATCAGCATTAACACTCGTTTCAGGTGTTGACGGATATATAGAATTGCGACAGTAAGCTGATAGTGAATGCACGCTGGTTGACTAATTTTTTAATACCGTCTCAGGCTGAGAAATGGGATAGTCTTACTCGCAACTGGTACGACGGAACTTCTCAAGTTATTGAATTACTCTGAGTTACTCTTCAGGCGCGATCACTCTCAGATACTCTCTCGGGTCCATCTATTTCTTGTGGACGAGGTGTGCAAGCCTGAGATTATGACCGACTTTCATGCGATATCTATGATTTAGGTTCACATTCTCAACGAATCTCGCGGAAGTACTCTCGAAGTTATTACGTCGCGAATGAAAATGCGGGGTTCTTGTATGAGATTTGTTCTGGTGTCAGCGACAGTCCCCAACATACAGGATGTCGCTTCATGGATTGGAAACGGCTCGGACGTCGCTAGCCCTGCAAAAGTTTTTGAGGTACAGATCTCCGTCGGCTATATCAAGAAATGGTAACCCAGACGACTCCTTAGTTTGGGGAAGAGTTCAGACCATGCAAGCTCACTCGCCATGTGATTGGGGTCCCAAGACGGAAAGAACATAACGATTTCCAGTTTGCGAAGATGCTCGATTACAAGTTGTTCTCTGTTCTACAGCAATATTCCGTCGGAAAGCCGATCTTGGTTTTTTGCTCAACAAGAAAAGGCATGTGGTTCAGCGAAGCGTCATCATTTTGTTGACGGAGGGAGCGGCCAGGCGTCTTCGATACAGCAGAGCAGCTCATGAAAGAGTTCGTGGAGACGGAACAAAAAAAACTCACTTTGCCATGGTCGCGTCCTCCAGGGCAGGTATTCATCGTAACGGGTCGCGAGGCACACGCTTACTTCTCATAGGCTCGAGCACTCTTTCATTGACAAGCGCATTGACGGTGAACGTATAGGTTAACGACCTTCGGCACTTCGCTGAAGTTGATTCTTTCAGAGTTGGTAAAATATGGTATCGGAGTCCACCATGCTGGCATAAACTTAGATGATCGGCGGACGATAGAGGATCTGTACCTTCGGAAGAGTCTCCGTATTCTGGTGGCTACCTCAGTTCGTCAGCTATCTCTACCTATGCCCTTGATCTGACAGGATTCAAGACTCTGGCGGTTGGTGTAAATCTTCGTGAGTGACCTGAAAATATAACTCAGCCGCTGGTATCTCAACGTCACTCAGCGGCCCACATGGTTGTCATCAAGGGTGTCAGAACTTTCCAAAATAATGCGTCCGTGGAGTATTCTGACCTGGATATCGTTCAAATGCTTGGACGTGCTGTGAGTGAAAAGAAAATCTCTTCCTTTATTGAACTTGACATGAGAGTCCCATAGGGCCGACCCCAATTCGGTATTTAAGCCCCGTTGTCCCCCTTCTTGAGATTCTGAAGCAATATTTTAGACAAGGATGGAATCGCCATCATCATGTGCGAGAAGGATCTGGAAGGTAAATACGAAGCACTTGTGCAAGGGAAAAATGTGTTGGAGAGCTCCCTTCACCTCACTCTTTCTGAGCACATAAACTCGGAAATTGATCTTGGCACCATCACCGATCTGGAGTCCGCAAAATCTTGGCTCCGTGGGTCCTTTCTGTTTCAAAGAATCAGAAAAAATCCGAATTTCTACGCCCTCGGAAAAGAGGATGACCAGACATGGCAGGAGAGGGTCGACGATGTCGTCATGAGGAGTGTGATGAAGTTGAGAGATACCCATCTCGTATCATATATTGACAAGGGGGCCGAGGCTGGAAAGCTAACTTGCACTGAATATGGCGAAATCATGAGCAAGGTCCGTGACATATGTTTGGTACGATACTCAAGTAACATTTGCAGTTTTACATTCGGCAAGCAACGGTGAGCTTCCGATGCCACAGGCTACAATACTTTTTATCTCAACCACTCCATACAGATGAGTTTGATTCTCAACTTGCCTGATCATCCAAGCCTTAGAGAAATGGCAGGTCGCTACTGCTACCAGAAGAATTATCAACTTATTTTCTGCCAGCTAGAAACAATTTCAACCGCAGAAGAGTAGGCCTTGATTTCGAAGGATTTACAGCTTCTAATGTCCACTTTCAGGCTGTGTGATAAGAGTCTCAGGACGTCGGAGAAAGCCGTCGGTTGCAAATTGCTTCGCCCAACTACTGCTCAGTTTTCCTCAGATTTACAATAAACTCCGGAATCATCTTGATATACGATTCGAAGTAAAGAAGATAGAAAAGACCTCTGACAAAGCGTTTCTACTCATTCAGGTCTGCGCCAGAATAAACTTTTATCACAACGTTGTTGATGATCATCTTTTCTTCCCCCCGGTAAGGCGGTACTCGGAGGCATAGGGTTAAAGACAGAATTCAAAGGCACAGATAGCCAGCCGTATCTTGAAGCGTTGAGCCTCTTTCGACATGCTCCAAGAATTGCACGAGGCGAGTCCGAGTCCGTTCCTGAATCTGACGCTTGGCCTTGTTGATCTTCGTCTGAATAGCTGTCGTCGAGGTTGCAGTTGCTAAGAAAGTTGGAACTCAAGTTAAACATGGACTCGAATTGTAATGTTTTCGGGCTTTTCAGACTCTTTGTAATTGATTGACATGGCAGGGTTCGTTGCTTGACGGCCAAGGCATGGGAAGATAGGCCAATAGTGTTAAAGCAGGTGGAACACATAGGAGAGAAGTCGTAAGGCCTGATTTTTTGTTTTCATCCTATTGGTTGAAAAATGATCTCTAGGATCAAGGTCGACATATACCTCTCCCCGGCGTCACTGGCTGTAACAATTGACATCATATTGTTAGTAGGTTTTGGCGGAACATGGGATTGCTTCTCTTTGCGCCTTGCGCTCTCAGACTCCTCTGAGGATCGAAACCGTGAGTGAACGAGACTACAAGTTGGCAATTGTGACTCGATTATGAACAGTTACTGAATCGGCGACCTCCCTTTGGGTTGGAGGTTTTAGCTTGTGCCAATGAGCTACCCCAATACCGTCTCAATATCACAGAACTTGGAATGCGCTCAAGTGCCGGAAAGGGTCCAATTGAAGTGGACATTTCAATCGATTGCAGTTTACTCGAGCCCAGCCAAGTGATAAAAGTGAAAAGGCAGAAGCATCGAGTCATCGACATGACAGCCGTTTTGACACTGACATCCACCTCCGACTTCATTGACTTTCGTCGAATACCGTAGTTATTTCCCTTGGCTTTCTAAACCTTGATTGACAAATCAACTTCAGGACGAAGGTATTGAAGGGGAGGAAAACATTCGAAATCACTGCAAATTTGACGAAACCTAGCCAGTCGATCATCGTAATAATATCGTCCGTCAGTCACATTAACGTATATATCCTGTTCATCATGCTCATGGTAAGCAGGAGAGTGTCGCTGGATCTTCTGTCCAACGAATTCACAAACCTACTATTCCTGTGACGGAATTCCCAGTTCTGGATACCCGCCCTCTTTCTTCGATCGTGCGTTCTTTCCATGTGCGCCGCGCCTTTAATTGATAAGCTAAAAGGAATCCGATCTCGTTGGACTTGAAGACGATCCAGATTTTTGGAATATGCGTATCGATGACAGCGAGAATGAGTTCGTCTTTTCGAAGGATGGCTCAAAGCGGAAAAGTTTTCTTTTTTTCCCCACCAGCTAAACGGGAGTTTAAAGGTTGCTTTGCAGAAGATTTCACAGAAGTTAAAAATGAAGATACCGCCACCGTACTTGGTGTGCCCAAGGTTGAACTCCAAAATGGGAAATACGAGTCAGCTAGCCCTCGATTTCATCGTCGTATATATTGACAGACCAGCAGGTGCAACCATTCATGCAAAGACAAAACCCAATGCCGCCATTTCTGGTAATCATCCGAGCGAGTTCCGCCTTGAATGCCGATTTCATTTCATTATAGTTGTCGGGATGGGCTGTCAGAAGCACCCAATGGCTCAAGAAAGCGTCACACGGACATGGTAGAGACGAAAAACGCCTCCAAGATCACAAGACTTCACGCTACAAGAACCAACGTATCCACTCGCAGAAACGATCCTAAAAACGATCCAAAAACAAAGAAGCTCGAATCGATGCATGATGGAAGTAGACTCAAGCTGGACTCATCTCCCCATAGTCTCAGGCGCAAACGCCGGGCTGCGCCAAATTTCGATATCTCCTTCACGGATTTGAAAGGCCCAGAGAGCTCGGACCGTGGGCTGCTTTTTGAGGCCAATTTGGATGACGACGATGACAATGATCTCCCCGAGGGGATTTTTCCAGTTCTTTCCAATAAGGCGACTCCCAAAACTGATTATTCGAACTCAGCGGTCGACGATCTCGTTTGCACTCCCCCAGAAAATACATCGAAAAAAACTGGACCTGAATATTGCGAAACATCCCCTGTTTCCCCTGCCAACGTGTCTCTGACACGACCTTCGAAGAAGCGGAAGGTAGACAACGAAGTTATGGTTGGTACTCTTTTTTTTTTGCTGTATCCCAAGATACTCATCGCTTAAACAGACAGATGATCAAGAACTCACTGCTCTATTTTGCCAGACATCCGAACAAGACCAGCCTGGCCATTTTGAAGACTCTGTTGTTTCCGTAGAGTCCCCACGCAAGCCTCAGCTCACACCCATGAAACCGATTCCGGACTCGCTCAAGGATGGCGCTTGTCAGACTCGTTTAGTTTTGGACGTTCATTCACCGGGTGGCGGTGACTCGAATGACGATGAATTCACAGAATTGGATGCTTGGCTTCAGAGTGGGTCTGTTCGGATTGTGTAGGGCGCTTGACGTCTCTTTTTGTTGCTTTGAGCTTCTTGGCGATGGTGATATCATGTAGTATTAAATGGTGGCTATAGAGGAACTATAAATGTTCTAAGTTTTGGATTTGAGGTCAAGGTCGAGTGATCTCTCTGTTTGAGGGGGAGTGAAAATCCACAAGGCTTCCGTAAATCTCGGATCCCATGCTACACTCGTCGACGGCTTCACAATATCCCAACCCACGGCGTCGTCGCGCCATCTTCGCTCCTTCTTTACCCTCTCCGCTCGCAGCTCGACCTCAGTTGGTGGTGGGTTTTCGATCTCTTCCTTGGTGGGTTCTCGGGTACCTCGGGCAAGTTCGCGTGCAGTGGCTAATTTCGGTGCGAGGCCTTCATAATACTTTTGTCGTGATTTCTCGATTTCCGCGGGTATAGAATCAAGAGAATTTTTGTAGTAACTTTCTGCTCCCTTGTCAAAGTCGAGGTCCAGCGGAGGAATACCTGCCGATACCACTTCAGCGAACAAAGGTTCCTGTTTGGGTGGAGAGACCTCGATGCGCCGAATATTTTTCGTGACTAGGGTATAACCAGCCTCTGAACCAGAACGGACCTTGTGCCGTTGGTTGAAGAAGTCCCATATCATCAGGGGAATTTGCGAGATGCCGATGTAATTTGTGAAGGGGACGAGGAGAAGAGGCGGGAGCAAGGGAACAACAGCAGGTGGTGCATCCATGTCTTTGGGAACCGACACTTGGCTCCTCGGCGAAGAATGAATTGGAGCAAAGGCAGGTGACATATGAGCAACTTTGGGTTGAACTGGAAGAGCAGCCTCACGCATTTCTTCAGGGTCTTCCGGTTCATCAAAATGGTGGTCGTCCTCCAAGATCTTGGCTAAAACTTCGTCTTGGTCGACCTTTTCCAAGCCATCTGTCCAGCCTCTCGTCAAGCCGGCCATAAATTCCTTAAAAGTGGGTCGGCCAATAATTACGATGCCTCCGTCCAGCTCTCGTTTACGGACTTGAGCAGGAGATTGATAAGTAGGAAGATGCTTTGTTACTTCGGACTCCGGGTCCAATCCAAGGTCAAAGCGTCTGCGTAACCGTATGCCCTCCGCTACTCGATTAGCAATATCTCCGTGTTTCTTCCCTCCAACCATTTCATAGTCGACGGCAGCAGCAACTAATATGGGCTACAAAAAACAGGTCAGTTCATCGAACAAAGAAGTCAAGGGACGATCTCCCCAACCTTAACGTACTTCCGGAAGTACTTGAGACTTTGGTCGTACTCTTCGTCTCCTGGCCATTTAGCACCATAAACCGTTACTTTGCGAGGTTTATCGAGCGCTCCCAATGGCTGTTCCGCCAGATTTTTTACCTTATGTACATATGACTGACGAATGCGCTTGCATTGTTGACGGTCATAGACATAGAGGCCAACGATGGAGCTTGTGACGGATAGGAATATGAGCCAGTTCCTGGAGGGAAGCTTCGGTCTTTTACTCAGCCAGGAAGCTGGAATGCCTGTGTATTTGAGAGCAGCGTTGATTCCTGAAGTTTTTTGGTTTAAAGCAGTGTTTTGTGCCAGCTTGTCAACATTCTGCGCTGCGTTCATGGAGGAAAGGAAAATGGTTGCATCACGTGCACTAATATTACAATTTATATAAAAAATTACTCCCGGTCTGCAGCCTTCTCCAATTGCTGCCGCTTCCGTGAACCACCTCTGTAGAACACATTAGACAACGTCCTGTGAGAAAGAATACAACTTACGCTCCAGTATCCAGCCCCCGCTTTTTTCCAGTCTTCGCCTCGTCCAAGAACTGGTTCAAGCCAAACACATCCCCAGTGTCCTTCTCAAACTGTACTGGCCCCTCCTTGATCTCTTGGTCTGCCGCACCTTCGAATCCAACCCTTGCCTGGCCCAAACTGAAGCGATCATTGTCCAATGCCTTTCCAATACCTTCCTCCGTTCCACCTCCAAAGGACTCCTCATTTCCTTCCGCAATATTCCCTCTCGCTTTATAAATTGCAGCGGCAGCAGTAGAACCGTGGAAGAGAGGACGATCATAGAGGTTATACGAATCCTCATCGGCGAAATTTCCGGACAACGATTCCTGGTTGAACAATCGCGAATCCAACATCGATTCCTTTGACAGCGTAGGTTTGGCCAGTCCAAGCGCAACTTTTTCCGAAATGTCGCGGTTTTGCTGTCGTGCCATTTGCTTGGCCCGCTGCTCTGTACCCATGTTATTCATTCGCAGTTCTCGCTCTCGCTCTCTTCGCTTTTCTTGCCTCATCTGATCACGAATCTTACGAGATTCTTCGTCGTCTTCACTGTCCTCGTCAGATTCCGCGCCACTTTCACTGTCGCTGCCATACGCGGCTAGAGAAGATTTAAGAGCAGCTTGACTCTGAGCTGTAGGTTTGGGTGCAAGGCCACCGCGCTCCTCGCGAGCACGTTGTGCCAACAGACGAAGGCTCTCCTCCTTAGACTCCTTCTCTTTTTGTGCAAGCTTTTGCTGCATCAAAGACCGTTGGCGAACTTCTTCGCGTGCATGCCTGTCAGCAACGAAGAGAGCCTCGGAGAATTTGGCGAAGTTGTCGTTGATGTGTATCTAGACCATTTGATTAGGTCCGCGTGTCACACATAGAATAATTGTACGCACATCCTGAAGCCCCCGTCCATCCGCAGCCAACCGTTTATCAAGAGGTATCGTGAAACCCTTGTTGTTTTTCCAGTTTGAAATACAAGGTGGGATCATCCACTCTTTCTGCTCTGCAGCAGTTGCCTTCCGAGGAGGACTACGAAGGACAGGCGGGGGAGGACTCGGTGGGCCCCGAGGGATTTTCTTATGCTTGAACCTTGGTGGCTCTAGTGGATCCTCGACAACATCGGTCATCTTTATGATCCGTTGCTTCAACCCAGCCTCGCCATTCTGCTGCCCTGGAGTATATCGAATGAAAGCGGTCTTCCCTTGACTATCTGGCACATTTTTAGGTTGGGCAGCTTTGATTTTGCCGTTGACTAGCTTTTCAAGCGCAGCGCGTGTCTTGTCAGCGGTCTCCTGTACGTCGTCCTCCGAGGGTCGATCCATACTACGCTCCGAATCGTCGATGTCTTTTCTGTGAAAGAGAGGTACAAGGTCTTTGAATTGAGACTGTACAATCTTGCCTGGGCGTTGGCCCTGGTGGGCGATGGCGTCGTAACGAACGTTCCCCTCACTATCTACTTGTAGAGCCAATGTGTTGCCGGAAGATGCCTATGACCATTAATTCAAGAAAAAGCCTCAATTCATAGAACATACCTTCTTCTTGCCCATGCCAAGAGGGTATTGTGCAACATGACATTCAGGGTATGAACCGCCATCACCTGCAAATCTTTATTGATGGAAAGAAAGTGAAGGATTGCTCTCCAGCGTACCAAAATCTTCCTGTGAAGTTGGTTTCCACCCAGCTCTCTGTCGATATGGAGGAGTTACTGCACGAAGAACGAGTGTATGTGATGGAGCTGGCGCTTGTGGTTGATCGTCGTCGTCGGAAAAGGCTGGAGCATGAACTGGCTGAGGAAGAACTCTAGTTATTGAGTAAGAAGAGAGTAGTCAAATATGAGAAGGAGAATACAACGCACGATGCTAAAGCAGCCATGACGGTCGTGAAAGAAAGAGTAGTTCTGTTTGTTTCAAATCCCAATACCAAACACCAGTTAAACAATTTGTCAAGTACTACCCCATTGGTACCCCAATGGCCGCCCTCGAACCTTCTCCCATTCACTCACCGGCTCTTCAGACTGGAGCAGATATTATTGTTTCCCTCATAGAGAAAAATCGCGAAGAGGCTGCAAGATCCTCTCAAGAACAGTTTGAGAAGCTGCAGCAACTTTTCTACTCATACAAGCATTTTTCTGAAGCGGCGCATGCCTCGGAAGGGGCAAAACTTGAAGAAGCCCATCAAGAGATTCAGGAATTGCGAACTCACTACGAACAATGTCAGCAGGCTTTACAGGTATCTCACACTCAGATACATGATTTGAACACGTCCTTGGCTGCACTGTTAAACGAACGCGACTCGCTGCGCACGCAACTTTCATCTGTCTACTCTTCTGCGTTGGGTTCTACACCGCCATCTGAAGGTGTCTCTATATCTCCATATGCGGAGCAACCAGTACCATTTTTCTTGGACGAACATTGGGTTTCTTTTTTGGAAGAACTTGGCTTGAAAGATATCAGTGTTCTGAGCCCAGCTCAGCTGAAAGATTCACTCAGGCGCATCACTGCGCAGTTACGAAGTGATCGTGAAAATGCCAGGATTTCCGCGGCAGAACTTGTTCATTTACGAGCCCATGTTTTGACTGTCGAATCGACTTTCGACTTCCCGCCCTCCCACATGTACGATCTGACACGCTCCCAGTTGCAGGATGACGTTGGTATGTCCTATTTCAGCAGCTATTTAGAACAAACCCACAATTACGGTCATAGCGCGCACACCCAGGAGAGTAGAATGTCGAGACCAATATGCCATGCAGGGAGATGGGTTGCAGGCACATGCAACCGAGTTGGTTAGTGATGTTTTGATTTTATCCGTCGCTCGACTTTTTATTAAAACAACCAAGCTCTCTTTTGCTGATCAGGTCAACTAAGGCTAATTGGGCGAAGTGGCGGCATCTCTGTCCGACGATCATACCAGTGTATACCCATTTTGCGACTTGCCAACTTACCAACTCTTGCTTCTTGAAACGGACAACGTTCTTTTCTCGCTCAATTCTTGCACGCCCCATTTATCATTTTATAAGTAAATCACCCGTATATTTCCTCCCTCGTTTGTAAATGACTATACATTTCATGTGGTGTTAGTAGGACACCGTGTTAATAACCCTACATACTTAATGTATTCGCTCGGCTTTCAGGTGCCCGATAATATAAAACTACACAAGGGAACTTGCTTTCCACCATTTCCAAGCACCCAAGCCCAAGAAAAAATTGAAGCTACCGATAATTCCCGATCCGGCTCCAAGTAAAGTCAACAGCCACCAAATTACTCCGACGATGCGGTCGAGTATTCGCCCCACATAACGTTTCAGTGCCGCTCTTCGATCAGGGAGGGGTACGTATGTGGCTGGAAGACGGATGAGGGGTATGGAGGATGACGAGTTTGGTGTTGAAGGGGGTAAAAGTAATAGACAAATAATGGGTTTCTGAGAACAGTGAGTAAATGGCCAGACCCTGAGGCTTTGAACCTACGTGATCAGATGTCGTGTAAGAAGGGATGCTGGTATACAACAGATTGGCTATTCCGCATTCACCAGGAGTATCGGGCGAATCGCTATACGTAGCGTACAGGATTCGGTCCGTCCATGACGGCGTTCGTTTTGTGCTGAGATTGGTGTCACAGTCGTACATTTGCATTAATCACAGTGGCTCACCTATACTTGTCAGTTTCGCCAAGCTGGTATTTGTAACTACATTTAAATTTCCAGAAATCTCCTTCATGTAAGCCCATGAAAACGTGTCCTTTTTGTTTCTCTGTCGTAAGTTGGTCGAACATTCCTAGCTCTTTTCTGGTGGCCTCAGAGTCGATGGCGCCAGAAAATCCTGGGAGATTTCGTATCTCGAACAGCGGGTGGGAAGGTGGGATATCCAGCCGGTAGTTCAGATCACCGAGGAGGAACAGATGAGAGGTCTCGTAGATTGTACTGGGTGAACTAGAGTCAGTAACCGGAGGAAAGAGAAGTGTAGAGACGATGTGTCTGAAGTCTGCGTTTCTCTGTTCAACCCTATGATCAAAGGCTGCGAGATGACAGTTGACGAATCTGGGTTATACAGGTAAGTCAAGAACGTGGTAGTAGTTTCCAAAAAAACCCACGTATACGTTTCGCCTGGATCACCCTCGGCGTTCAAAACGCGAAACCGCACGCCAACGGCGCCTTTATTGCCCATGTACGCAAGACCACATCCCGTCCATTGAGTCTGAACGTCGCACACTTTTCTGGCAATACCAGCATCGCGTCCATAAACCAATAGCGCAACGCCAACGTTGACTACTTTCGCAATAAGTGTGTAAGACTCCTTGTTTGGCGCATGTTCCTCTATCTGCGACAATATAAGCGCATTTCTGCTGCTGAGAACTGCCTTGGAGAGCCCGGAAACTGTATATATATGTCAGGTGAGATTGACGGGGCGAAAGAGGAGGACGTACGTCCAAGATGCAAAGGGAGAAGTTCCTGGAAACCGACAGCAATGATGTCTGGTGCTCGTTGTTGATGGAAGAGGAAGTTGGAAACCTGTAATGTGGGAGCAAGCCAGTCGACCAAATCCTGAGGAAGGCCAAGCACGCCCTGAAGATTTGTGTTGTAGGATGCAATCTGCACCAAGAGACGGTCAGGAAGGGACATAATGGTACAAGACGACCTCTAATTGTTACTACATACAGGTATAACTTCCCAGGCATTTCTTTCATGTTACACAACGTGTTCTACTGGTGTCTAACGTCCATCACCTACTTGGACTGAGGGCCTTGAGAGATACCAAGATCCCTCAGTGTACCACTGGCAATGTCATATACCCAACCGTGAATCCAAACACCTTTCGTCCAAGCGTCACGGATCTTCGCTAGATTCTCAACCTGCCTCTTGACGTTCTCTTCAACGAGCACAGGCAAGGCTTCAACGTGTGGAGTGGTGGAAAGATGAAGGGATTGTGCAAGCCTTGTGAGAGGATCCAACCAGGTGTTGAGAGGTGATTCCGCAGGTAGAGAAGGGACTGTAACGGCTGGGCAGATAGACGGGGAGGACTGAGCGGCACCTAGACACGCCGCGGCACCTCCACACTCGTTATGACCGACAACAACGACTAAAAGGGGTGTTACGAGGCAAGAGGAGGTTGGGATGGCATAAAAGTAAGAGAAATAGATTGAAAGCACCATGTTGAACCCCCACGAAGTCGACCGCATATTGGAGTACGGACAAGACACTCTTATCATCTAGGTGAACTTGACTGCGCAAGGGGGAAGAATTCAATATCGAACCGCGCAAGAGAGGTTGCCGCTACTCACTTTGCGATGTTCCTATGGACGAAAATATCACCAGGACGAGCACCTGTGATAACAGACTCTGGGACTCTAGAATCAGCGCAGCCGATCCACAAGATCTACAACAGATAAAAATGTGCCATGATTGGCAATAGCAAGAGGCCCTGAAGGACGAACCTGGGGTGATTGTCCTTTCGCGGACTGCTGAAAGAAGTCTGGCTCAGCGGCGTCGACGTCGCGCGCCCATTGAGCATTAGAGTCCAATAATGCCTGGAGCGCAGCGTGAACTTGAGCCATGAAGCAGGGGGACAAAGAAGAGAAAAGATTTGGAAAGGATAGGGGATTACGCGGCATCTCTTAAAAAATTGGGGTAACAGATCACGCGCGCACGTTCGAGTCATCATGTGACATAATGCCATAGAACATGTGATGTAAGTATGAAAGAAAACTAGTTCATCTGCCTAATCAATTTATTGATGTTGGTTTCCCTGTCACCAAAGTCACCGCCTTGAACAAAGTGCTTGAACTTCCGTGTTCTCCAGCCACCAGTAGGGTTGGAAAGCTTGAAGGGCCAGAGGAAGTTAGATGCCTGCCAAAAAATTATCATCTATTCAACATCGTAAGCGTGGTGATTGCCATTACCTGCTTGAAATTAGGGCCTGCGGTTGCAATCTCGTGCACAAGATCCTCGACGCAAAGAATGTCGAATTTGCCAAGAGCTTCCTCGATTACAGCGTTATTTGTCAAAGGAATACGCTGTTTCTGAACTTTGCCGTATCCGCGTTTGTAGATGAGTTCGCGGACGGACTTCAGGTTAGGCTCGCTATCGTGACGATGTCATTAACATGTCTGAAAAAGATAAAACGCGAAATGAACGCACCCGTATGTGATGTAGGGCTCAACGAGTCTGAGCATTTGTTGTGTGGCACGGGTAGCCTTGACAAAGACTCCATTGTTAATTTGAAGAAGGCGGAGAAGTTGGAGGATTTTGCGGGGTTTTGGAGCGATCTCGTTGATACTTGAGTTGGGATTCAGTCAATACGTATTGTAATTGATAGGGAAATAGCATGCATACCCACGAATGCGTACAACAAAGTAGACCTTCGGCTGCGCTGGAACGTAGAAATCACCAGCAGTCCGTGCAGCACGCTTCAGGCGGATCTCGTCCTTTTCCTTTGCCAGATACTCCTTCACATATGATTCTGCACGCTTGAAGATGACCTTTCGCTTCGCTTTTGATGCCTGAGAGATAAAATTCAGCACGATGTCAAGACGTCGGCATGCATATTTCAAGGGAAATAAGGATCAGTCCCGAAAGATGGTTAATTGAAGGCAACATAGCAGAGTTAAAAGTTCGGCTAGCCGTTCGTTCGAATGTATCGTATGCATCATATCCAAGTGGCAGGGATAGATGCTGACCTTGCGAGCGGCCGACGCGGCCACAAGACGCTCCTCCCGAGCCTTTTCAGTTTGCTTGCGTTTCTTGAGGAGAGTCTCCGGGACTTCGATGGCCTGACGAGATAATAAATATTGCAAAAATGCAACAAGGAAGAAAACAGAGACAGACCGAAGCACTCGGGACTCTGAATTGCAGGGAGTTAGGAGAATTTGAGAATGTTGTGCAAAAGGGACGTACGTTGTTGAAGGGGCCATGGGGAATCTTGAGGGCGACGAGGAAATTGGCGTGCCAGACGTGGTCTGTTCACAATGTGGCTGCAACTGTACAGTTTGACTAAGCTATTCCCTCAGTCACATGATATTCTGCATTTGTGCTCGATCAAGAAATTATTATTAATGACGGAAGTTTATGTCACATGTGCAAGATCAACATCAGTCCACAGGATATCGATTTCTATCTACACAAGTCAAAGTTATATACAATTGTAGGTACACTAGGTGACCGACACCATCCACTTGCAGGATGATCGGCCAAAGAGTGCAACGCTTGGTCTACGACACCAGAGATGATGGATCGTTGAAAGGTAATACGTCCAGCATGTGGTAAGGAGGTGTCGTTGTAGTTGTTAAAAGATTACCCTTATTGTTGTCCAAGTGGACTATAAAACCATATCTTTAGGGCTAGTCATAACTCTCTCAGCGACGCCCGCCGACCTGCGCAGCCTCAGCAACGCAGGACACCATCGATCAGAAGTGCTGACTAGCGGATTCGAAGTGACCTGCTGCTGACTACGTGCTGACGGCTGCTTCATTTGTAATCCCAACAAAGCGATATATAACATCTCTCCAATGAGTTATCTCTGCAAATGTCAACTATCACTCTCAACGATGGCTCTCCCGTTCCCTGGCTAGCCTTTGGCACAGGAACTGCGCTGTATGGCAAAGATGCCAGTGACTTTGTGAAGGTCGCAATCGAAAACGGAATCACCCACCTTGATGGTGCCCAGATGTATAATAACGAAGAAACCCTAGCGGCTGGTATCAAAGCCTCCGGGAAACCTCGCTCTGAATTGTATATCACCACAAAGCTAAAGATCTTGGAGCCGGGGCAGACCGCCACCGAGGCTCTGCGAGTATCTTTACGAAAGCTAGATGTGGACTATGTCGACCTGTTCTTGATCCACAGTCCAAGTCCTGCTAACAAGGAAGGTAAATTGAAGGCGCTGTGGGAGGAAATGGAGGAGATACATAGCCAAGGTCTAGCAAAGTCAATTGGCGTTTCCAACTTTCGTGTTGAGGACTTGAACGTCATTTTGGAAGGGGCCAAAGTGATACCGGCAGTGAACCAGGTAAAGTTTTTTTTGCCGCCATTCAACTTTCCGGTCTAACAGCGCCAGATCGAGTTACATCCTTACGTTTGGAAAGCTGCTCAGCCAATCTACGAACTCTGCAAAGAGCGCGGAATTGTCATCGCTTCGTATGGTGGTCAAACTCCGATTGTACGGGCCGTCGGGGGACCGCTTGATGCTGTTCTCCCAGCCATTCGTGAAAGGCTCGAGAAAACTCGCGGCGAACCTGTCACTAGCGGGCAGGTCCTGGGTAAATGGATCTTACAAAAGGGAGCCATCTTAGTGACGTGAGCAGGTATTATTTTCCACTCACCTTCAATTTAACGAGATCTGGCGTTCCGCAGGACAACCTCGAAAGCCAGCCGCATCAAAGAGTTTCTGGATACCAAGAACGTTCCTGACCTCACGGAAGAAGAAGTTCATGTTATTGAAGAGGCTGGGGAGAAACTCCACAAGAGGATTTATATGCGGCACGTCTTTGAATAGTGGTTAAGGTGGACAATATGTAATCTTTGGAGTAGAGAGGGGTGTAGCATTCGTTCTGGTTTTATTGCTTTGCAATTGCTGCAACCTGTTCGTCAACTGTTTGAATCTTCAAGCTTCAAGCTTCAAGACTGTTGGTTCTTGGTTTGTCTACGAATTTTCGTGACGAGGCAGTGAGCGCTCAAAAAATTGATTTTCACACAAACCTCCTCATGAACAGCATGCGTGGCCATATTTGATCGTTTGCGGTGATTCAGGAACGCAAACCGTGCCCTGCTGATGATTGCCCCAAAAGAAGGCGCTCGACCTTCCCGGAATTCCCCCATCTTCCAGGAGCAGTTTGTGCTGTCCAGCGTCCACAAGCCCGGCGATTGACTGTCCACCATGTCGAACAGCACAGCAGCAACCTGTCTGACACCTAATGATTGGGTACGAGTCGCTTTCAGACGGGATAAGCCTGCCATGCTAACTGGACTCCTTTGAACTAGTCATATAACTCCCTTGGACAGAGCCCTTGTACTGTTGCTTCAGCCCTAGCGGGTGTGTGTGTTGGAGGCCGTGAGTTATCGCTGACTCCCCTGTTGCATGAACTCATTCTTTTCAGAGTTTACCCTGTCACCCTTGGCCCCCGACTATGTCTATCTCGGCCCCTCTGTTGCAAATGCCAATTCTTGCAGGTGCAGCTCGGTGTACTACTCCCTGCTCAGCGCTTGCGCGAATTGTCAAGGCCGCAATTTCCTCAGGTGAGTCTCACGCCCTGTGAGAGCAATTGATTAGATTCAAATGTTGGTACAGGTGGTCCGCGTATGACGGCAACTGCAGCACCGTTTATCTTTCTGTGTACGCACCAAGTATACTCAACTGCTAACGCCCGTCTTATCTCGGCCACAGTTTCCCACAACCACTCCCAACGGGCACCGTCGTTCCTCATTATGCTTATCTTAACGTTCAAGTAAGCTGTTCGTTTTCGACTAATGTCACCCGGGAATCATAAGCTTTATGTCTTTAGACTACCGATACATTCAATGTCAGCCTCGCTCAAACCGCAGGTAGGTCGTCGTTATTGGCATCTGTTCATCGTACAGTGCATTGAAGCGAATCAGGTGGTGCTGAATCCTCCCCCGTTGCAACCGTCGCTTCAAACACAGCAACTGGCTCCAAAACTGCTACTAAATCTAGTACAGTTTCACCCACTAAATCTGGCTCCGCAGCGAAGTCCGGCCCCAATGTGGGAGCCATCGCTGGTGGCGTTATTGGAGGTGTCGTTATACTCGCTTTGATCGCGGGTTTCATATTCTGGTTAATCCGTCGCAACAATCGTAACAAAGCGCCTCCTGCATCTCAAATGTACTACGGCCCCGACACAGCGTCCTCCCCGCCCCCCATGAGCTTCGGTGGCACGAGTACTTACTCCGCCATGCCAACCCCCAAAGTCTACGTAAGTTTTTCTTTTCGCTGATCCAAACCAAGCCAGAGAGAAACTTCTTTCACAGGATCCTTCTGACCCCAGTACATATCCTAGCCAGGGCCCTCCAACCACCTATACCCCCCCTCTGCACAACAATGTCACCCCGAATTACACGGGAGTTTCTCAAAACACCTTTGTTGCTTCTCCAGGACCACGTTACACTGGTGTTCCCGAGTTGTGATACCCTGTTTTTCACTGGCTACGTGGTTGGACCATAGTATTTAGCTGTAGCGTAACACATATGGATCCATTTATTCAATATTCAGGGCCTTCCAACTTTTCACTGCTTTCTGCTTTACACTGCCTCGTTTGATGGAAATGAATCCTGTGGCTCTTTGGCATGTCAGGTCCGTGTTTCTGGTATGCATCAGCGATACAAGCGCTGGTGGCCACACTCCCCTTCCACTGCCAGCTCAGCAGGGACTTCGGGAAAGAAGCTTGAGCCCAATCTTCTGCAATGACACTGATACGAGGGGTAATGTGGGCGTTGAGCCTATTGCCATTGATCACCCATGTCGCTGCGCAGTCCTCCGACGTTACGCAGTGCATCCCCGCATATTCATGGGTACGCCTCTTTTATGTCGCTGTCTTGAACGGTCCGTCTGCACAACAATCGGCGTCCTGACCGTCACGATAGGCGATGAATAGCAAGCAACAGACACCGTGCTTGGTAGCAGCCTACCTTGAAGGGATCTGTACCGGCCAGCGTATTCACACTCGCTACTTCCGTCAGTACGTAGCTAAAGACTTGCACCTCAGCGTTCAGTGTGAACTCCCTCCCGAATGGCACACACTACCTAGGACCGAATTCTTCTAATGCGAATCCGTGCATCTGCAGTACTGTAACTTACTCCCTGGTCAGTGCATGCGGAGGCTGTCAAAACCGCACGTTTACAAACTGGGGAAATTGGAGTCTTTCTTGCACCTCAACAGAGATTGCGACGTACGCAGAGTTTTCCTTATTTGTCGTTGTACAGCTTGACCCCATATACTTATGACAGGTTTCCAGACGCTATTCCATCGGGCACCGATGTTCCTGTATGGGCATACCTTGACGTTACGACGGTCAGTCGTTTTTCAAACAAGATAGGAATTATTTGAATTAACACGCTCGTAGTTTGTAAACGAAACATTTGACCCTGTGGCCGCGCAACAAAGTAACGCGATAATTCTTTATCGTCGCATCTCTCCTAACGGTATATTTTTAGGTCTCTTAAATTCCCCTGTAACTTCCAGCATTACATCGGCTTCCAGTATTACATCGTCTCTACGAAAAAGCAGTACTGTCTCCAGTGTAATTTCTCAGCCGACCGTTTCGTCACTCAGCCCTTCTTCCACGGCGGTTAATCATGCAAGCTCACACTCCAACGCAGGAGCAATAGCTGGGGGTGTGGTCGGTGGATTGGTTTTCCTCGCTGTAGCGGCTCTCGTTGCACTCTGGTGGTTTGTTCGACGAAGGAATCCGCGTGCCCATGACGACAGAGTTTTTGTTGCCCCTTCAACCAACATGGTGTCGTCAACGGGGCTTCCAGATGGTCCATCTTTGTTGTCGACAAACCCATATGTGAGTGAGGTTTACCTACGACTTGGTTATGGCTGATGTTTCGCCTGTTTAGATGGGATCGGACACAAACACGTTCCCAGGATCCCCCGTGACTTCTGCAGTATATACGACGCTTCCCAATCGCCGGTCGTTGGAGAGTATTTCACACTACGGACCTTCTGTAGTTCATTCACGAGGGTACACTGGTGCTCCAGAGGTGTTGTAGTCACGGTATTTAGTTATGTGCACGTGATGTGACGTTTAGACTGCCAATTCAATAAGTATTGAACGTGACAGTCATATTAGGCAAATAATGTCGTTGAGCTCACCGTCGCTGCCTTCATCCTCCTCTTCACCTCTTTTTGCTTTACCACCATACTCCACGACCTCCCCGTCTCGTTTTCAAGCACTCTACTCTGACTTTTTCCGGCAAAGGCATTCAAATCCCACATCGTTCCACTCTAATGTTGAGTGGTGGCGTAAAGCCCTCGAGGCTCTCGTTGGTTCGGGCCTCCAAGACAGCAACAATAGACTAGTTCTCAACGCTGGACGGAGCCTAATGGAGCGCGTCAAAGTACCGCGCGTTGGCAAGCCACTCGCCCTTGGAGCCGTAATCGTACGCCCTTTGATGCTGACCATTGTACAAACACTGACTGCGACCCATCGCCCCAGCGAAGAATGAGCTGCACACCTCCAAGTCTCTAATTCAGGTATCTGATTTCTTAAATGCAAAGGTGTCGATCTACGACCCAGGCTGGCTCCCAGTCCGCATTGCAGCATACCTTGTGGGAAAGCCACTATGGTGGGCTCTCGAACAAATCGGTATCATTGGCGAGGAGGGCAGTAAGAGTCATCAACACACAGATACAGGGTGGTGGGGAGACTATATCGTTGTATCGCTGATGGAGCGTGCGGCTGACGCGGTCGAGGAGAAGCAACGAGAGAGGATGAGTGGTCCCGGGGAGGCGCTTTATACTCTGCAAAGCTTCCGTTTGACTTTTACCGAAGTGCTTGGCGTCGATGACGGCGTCTGGCGAGAAATTGACACGAAAGTGTTACTCCGGTTCTTAGAGCGGGATCGAGGGGCCATAGTGACAGACAACGACGTGAGTGAAATGCCAGGTTTTATCCTACATTATGCTGAAGTTTGTTGTCTAGATCATAAAATTTGTTGGCGGAACTGGTTCCTCTACAATAACAGTCGTTGACCGAGGCATCTTGGAGCTGAAGACCGCAGTGCATAATCTACGTGCACAAGTAGACGCACTACATCTCAAGATTGACGAGTAGGTTTAACAAGCTTTCTATAACCCACATTATGGTTATTAATTGGTCGGCTGATAGCTGTACGCGGAAAGCCTCATCAGCTCTTCAGCAGAAGCGTAAACCTCTGGCTTTGAGCTACATTAGATCTCGAAAGCACCTTGAAGACTTGCTTTCCAAGAGGCTAGGTTCGCTAAGCACTCTTGAAGCAACTCTCATTACGGTGGAGGCGGCAGCCGGAGATGTTGAGGTAAGACTAAATTATCTGCGCTATTGCTTGCTCAACTCAATTTGGCAGATTATGAATTCGTATGAGTCCTCCACAGCTACCCTCAAAGCCATACTTGCACATCCGTCACTGCAACGCTCGAGCATCGACAAGACGATGGAGGCGCTCGCCGAAGCTAACGAAGAGGCAAAAGAGGTAGATGATGCGATCCGGATTGGGGGAGAGGTGGGGATTGGAGATGTTAACGATGATGAAGTTGAGGAAGAGTGGAAGGCGTTGATTAGAGAGGCAGAGTCGAGTGTTGGGGTGGAAGAAAGACTTTACGGTGAAGAAATGAAGGCACCGAGTGAGTCCCCGGAATTGAAGGTGGCAGAGAGATCTGGTGTGATACATAATAATGTTAATAGCAGTGCTGTGTACGCGTAGAAAAATATTACGATATACCTCTCCTCATGATTCGACTCAGGCATCCCAAGGGTGTGTCTACGATTCAGCTGGACTCAGTAAAAACAGTAAACGATCTTCAACAAAATATATATACCACCACACAGATCCTGCCCTCCCGTCAAATCCGTGCGTCCCATTCATACTTCCTCGTCGATAACCCTGCCCGCTCTTCTCACATTTTTTTATACAGTCAAATCGGGTTATCCACTACGCCCCTTGACCCTCGTCCCAGAACTTCCCATAGACAGCTTGGGCATCAAAGCTGGGGACCAGATCGTCGTCAGCGAACCTATCACCCAGGAGATTGTTAAAGACAACCCACATCCGCCTCCCGTAGCGCCCAGCACACATCCATATTATATCGATGTCAACGGAAGTGTTCTTGTCCACAGAGTAGCGTCCTCTTCCAGTTTACTTTTACCATTTTCAGGCTAACTCTCGCACCCCAGATCGTCCCAGACGACAATTCGTGTCTCTTCTCTTCTGTCGCTTTGATTTTCGAGCAATCTATTGACAAAGCATCCCAGATGCGTAAGAGTGCGTATTCTGCAAGTGCAGCTATCCATCCATCCAAAACCTAGCTACAGTTGTCGCGGAAGGCATACAGAGAGATCCAGAAACCTACAATGAAGCCATCCTTGGGTTCGCTTTTTTCTCTTTCTCTCTGTCTTCCACTTGATTGACCATCTTCGCCGCCGCTTCGCAGGATGCCTCCCTCACGGTACATTGCCACCATCACCAAACCTACCTCATGGGGAGGTGCGATCGAACTGGGCATCCTCGCCGCACATTACTCCACCGAAATCGCAAGCATTGACGTTGAGACTGGTCGCATTGACCGATTCTCGCCTGGTGCAAATCCAGGAAAGACGCGCTGTTTATTGATTTACTCTGGCATCCACTACGACGCTGCATCGCTTGCGCCCATGCCTGACGCCCCCAATGAGTGGCACCAGACTTTATTTCCAATCGTATGTTGTTTCCGACACGAACATCGACGTTTTCTAACAGCCATTTAGACATCTTCAGACGACTCAGATCCCATTCTTGTCGCGGCAAAGAAACTGGCCGATATTCTCCGCGAGAAGAAAGCATTCACAAATACCTCGACGTTTGACCTGAAATGCGAAGTAAGCCGCCACCCATCCTTTTGGCACATAATTATAACGTTTCCGAAAGGATTGTGGTCAAGGCCTCAAAGGCGAGAAAGGGGCTCGGGCGCACGCAGAACAGACTGGGCATGTCCGGTTTGGAGAATATTAGTTGCTTACCCGCAGTGTAATACATACGTATACCATATGCAAGGAGTGGTGGGCCTCAGGCCGAAAAGAAAGACGAGAGAAGTTGTGAATTACAAGTGCAAGGTTTCTCCTGATGAGGAAAAAATTGGGGGCACCGCGGATCGAACGCGGGACCTTTAGAATACAACAACGCTTCAGTCTACTGCTCTCCCAACTGAGCTATGCCCCCTATGAAGTTATGTAAGACTTGTGAAGGAGAACCGCCTCTACAGTTTGCCCTCAATCTCCATAACCAGAGGACAATGGTCAGATGCACCATATATCTCACTACGGATCTCACACTGGAAGATCATTCAGCTTCATGAATTAGTGTCAATCCTGACTGCACATACCATCTTTACCCTTTCCATCATTCGCTCGCTAAGCACAACTAACCAACGAGTAAGATTCTGAAAACATCAAAAATTTAATGAATACGAACACATGTCCAGTCTCCATCCAAGTCCTTTCGTTCTGCAGTTGAATCTGTACGAAAAATATGTATAATGCCGGTCTTCAGGATGTAATTGGCGCCAGACATCAACAAACTTGTTCGCAGAGATGTCGTCGGGCGAGGCCAGGATCTTCCTAAATGCCGTTGTTTCAGCCTCGGTGTACCCTGCCGTTTTATTCCATTTTTTCTTTGGGTTTGCAAGGTCTGCTGCGGTGATCAACCTTGGGCCAAAAGGATGGTTGCAGTACATACCCATTTCGGTTGGTGCAACGTTGAGATCCCCGGTCCATATGACAGGCTTCTTGGAATCGAGATCACGGATATAGGCATCGAAATGAACATTCCACTCTTTCTTCTCATCCAAAGTCTGGGGTTGGGAGTAAGGTGCATAAGAATCGTGCGAGGGACACGTAGCGAACCTTCAGATCGGTGCCGGCGTTCACAACATACGTGCCTACGACATAAAAATTCTCAAACTCGAGGGTAATGATCCTTCCTTTCACATGCGAGGGATCAGGATGACCTGGTAGGACTCGCGTCACACTCAGTGGCTCATGTTTTGACAGGATGGCGGTCCCAGCTGAATGGCACAGTTTAAAGTGAGATTGATGATCACAGCGGAGTACTCACAATACGATTTTTTACTGGATATTGACCAATACGCATAGGGGAACCGTTTCGTCAAAGCGGGATCGTTGGGCACGTCGTTAACCTGCGCCACAGAACAATGAGTCCCGTAAGATTCAACAAACGGGGATTGTGAATACCTTTGTTTCTGTAAGAACTAAAATGTCAGGGTCCTCCGCTTCCACGTAATACTTGAAACCCTGGGGAAAGTTGTGAATGACGAATTACTGACCACCGAGCAACATACCTTCTTCTGACTCGCGGCTAGGCCACAGATATTCCACGTTGCTAGGCGAACCGTCCCAGGTTCTCGTGGTGGAAATGTAATATTTACAGGAAGGACTTTGTTGGTTGGTTGCGAAATTTCTGGGACAGATATGTTTTCGGTCCTTGCTTTCTTTAAGACCTTGGATGTAGATGGCCCTTCGGTTTCCGACAGATTCGCGTCTATTTTCCTCTTGAAGGACTTTCTACTTGGTGGCATGAGTCAGAGAACGAACAAATTCTTCGAGGCGAGTCAACAATGTATCCTGGATGGAGATGGGAAAAAGAGGAGTGCACTTTGGTACGCTACGCGAACGTGACCACGTGGAGGCGTGACAAAGAGTTCAAGTTGCCGCTTCAACCATTGCAATGCCTCGAGTTACTTTCTTTCTTTCTCCAAGATCTTTGTAAGTTTTTCCTCCTTTATCTATTTAGTAAGTCATTCGTTTCTGCCTTACTGAGGACCTCCTATTAAGCTCTTGCTTTCAAGTTTGACGACTTACGACTCCGAACGCAGACAGTCCACGAGATCGAAACGCACCACACAAGCACCACATTCATTTCTCATCTCACTGGAATCTGTTTCAAAGGAGCCTCAGATCCTAATTATATTATGCTCACACATCGCGGATTCTCAGCCTGGATAACAGTGGGCGACAAACCCCTTCCAGAGTATCTCGTTGCCTATGATTCTGCTGCCAACCGCTTGTCTTGCTGGATTCCAAGCGAAGAAGGTCAGGTAAGTGACTACTGCATTGTCAGCATGGTATGCTTAGGGTACTGTTGTTAGAAATTCGCTGTGTGTTGGAGAGACCATGGTAGCAAAGTGGACTCTTGCGGTTTTATCACTCTGGATGGTCACATTGTTCCGGGACGTTTCTTATTCGGGGAAGGGTTTACTCAGAGATCAGGATTCAGGACATCCAGAACAACAGAGCGACCTTTCCAATTCCAAAAAGTGCCTGATATTGGTGAGTGCGGCGAATTAATAACATTATACTGGAGTCCTGAAGCATAGTCGAAGTTGGAGATACAATCGATCAAGCAGCAAACAAAGAAACAGGGATGATAATTTTGCGAATCAAGAGAGTCGTTCGGATTTCAAGCAGGCCACCAAACCTAATCCAAGACACACCACCGGTGTTGGCTCTTGGTAAGCGTAGGCCAGGGGATATATGTGTAGGGTGAGTGACTCAAAGTCGCGGAGCGAGGGCCAAGTTTATTGAAATTTGACAGCCTGGGGGAAGAAACGGAATCCCTTCAGTATGGCTCGACTTGGCATGTCGTACCTCATGGCAAGGACTCGCCTAGCCGCAAAGTGCCGAGCACGTATGTATCTTTTGTCTTTCGTTACAGAACAGCTGGTGAGCGAAGGTTGGTGCGAACTACTTTTTCTGGTGTTGATAAAACCTTTCAGAATTTCTCGAAGCTCAGGGGATCTCTACAGAGCGAAAGCCCATCATAGCTCCTTCGCGTAGGGTAGCTAGTCTTCCCCCCAGTATGAGTACGCCGCCATCACATATTTCGGATCTTCCGAGGCTGCCCAGGTTGACGACGGCGGTGACCAACCACTACCCAGTAAGGCTGATCATTCCCTGTAAAATTAGCTTACCAAATTTGTTAGAATGCTACATATAGGCGGCCATCCATCGAGCTGAGAAGAACAGTTAGCTGGAAGGCTACTGCGACAACATCGAACAACCCTGGTGTCCAAAGATATTTTGTCCTTGGGGCTGGCCTGGAACTAAAGGTCGAGCCTAGTCAAGAAGTTAATTTCCATGCCGATTCTTTAGCTCTCGAGAGTGCAGGAAATCAAGGGAACTGAGAGCCGCCATGTAAGCCCGCTACGCTAGTGGGTCTTACCTTTCTCTTTCTTCTCCCCCGCCATCTTTTCCTCTCACCGTTATAACTTTTTCTTTCTAGTTAGTTAAAATCTTGTTTTGACCGAAGTACAGTTTAACTCCTGTTCCCTTCCCTTGCATTAAAGTACATATATATTACACAATCGACAAGGCAGCGCATCTTTCAATACCTGGAGTCGGATGATGCTGATGCACTCACCACCGAAGACGGTTTGCTTCGTATAAAAGTGGCCTTACCTCGCGACTCCGAGAGCTTGTGATCTGCCAGAAATTGCTATATGACCCCCCTTGGAGGCTTTGCGGCCCATTACAGCCGATTTTCTGGGAGCTTTGAAACTCGAGGGGGAAGTCGACCAGAGCAACCCCACCAAAGCTAGCGGTGGGATCGTTATCAAACCCATAGACGACCTTAAAGACGAGTCTTTCCAGGGAATCGACCTTTGTATCGATGGTCTTAAAGAAAGTTACATATCAGTCATCATTGCCCCTATAAATCATTGCTATGTCTGTCTCGTCGCCCCCGACACTTCCTCCTCTACAACTTACAGAGCCCCAATCCCTGCCAACGAAATGACCTATAGGCAGGCTATCAATCTGATGTGAATTGGTAAGCTAGACTGCGGCCTTCAAAGCTTCAAATAAATGGTCTGTCTCAGATATCTTGAATCTGCAGCGCTTCACCAACTGGTGTGCACATTTTCTGTTACAATGTCTTTGAGGACGAGTTGGAGGCTGCACACTCTCTACTTGACAAAGAGGAACGAAGAAGGTCTATGAGGTTAGTTGATGTTCTACAAAAACCTGAATGTTTTGACAATTTTCAAGAGTACTAACATACAGTGATGATTTAATTTTATCATCAGATTCATGCCAAGTGCCACACATGATGAGGCATCTGGTTTTTGGGTCCAGAATGTCACTCTTGCTCTTGCTGCCCTGGTTCCTCATCAGTCAACACTTCTAGGGTGCAAGTTCATTGGGACAAGAAGTATGTTTTTACAGACCTAAAAAATGAGTTGGGTTCACCATTTTCATTTCAGCCTATCAGCTGAGGGAGAGAAAGAAGCAAGCAGATGCTGCTTTCCGACCAACCAACGGCAACTCACAGAACCCCAGTGTTGTCCTTGAAGTAGGCTGTTCAGAGAGCTTGCAACAATTGAAGACTGATGCCAGGCTGTGGATTGAACACATGCCAGAGGTTAGTTAACTAACTCCTGTTAAAATTGTGGTCATTTAATCACTGGTCACTACCTCAGGTTCAAATTGTTATAATCATATCAATTGACCCCGGGCCTGTGCCTGCTCACCCTAATCTTCCAAGAATTACCATTGAACTGTGGCGTGGTGTTGCTCCTCCCAGACCTATATGTGGTGAACATGCTCGGAGAAGGAATGGCCAGATGGTTTGGCAAGCTGATTGGACCCATCAGGCAGGTCCATTCTATATCCTCCTTGCGGACATGTTTGGCAGAGGGCAGGTGCCTGATGAATATGGTGAGGAGGAAGATTGCATCGTTCTAGATTCAGAAGCCTGGCGGGAGGAGATCATCGAGGCTTATCAGTGATTCTATTGAGTAACCACATCGAATGCCGCCATAGTCACTTTGTTTCGCAATTTTTTTGTAGAGTATCTACGTAGATTTGGCTAACAGAGTTGTAGGCTTTGGTTCTGTTTGAAACGAAGGATTGAACGAGCTTGATCAATCACTCTTTCGTCACTCTACAACTAGAAACTCTGCAAGAATTTCATCAATGTCGCAAGACACTCCCTCCAAAAAACTAGCTTTATACGTTTGGCCAGGGCAATGGGGGTTGCCATCTTTTGATCCTTTCTGCTTAGCAACTGTCTTATATCTCCAACTGGCCATCCCAGAACAATTTACAGTCACCGAATGTGCCAATCCAGACGTGTCTCCTAATGGTATGTAAGTACTTCTTGCGCTCAATGTACATCTAGCTAACAGTGGAAATCAGGACAACTGCCCTTTCTCGTTCATGACGAACAGGTTGTTGTATCTTTCCCATCCATCATCAAATACGTCGTAGGCCTCGGCAATTCTGACCCTTTGACATACCCAAATGCAAACTTGGACGGTTCTTTGGAACAACTAGAAAAAGCCCAAAAGCAAGCATGGTGTGCACACGTAAAATCCAACCTCGGAGATTTAGTGGTACGCCAACCTCTACCTCTCATCCCCGCTTCATTTCGCCTAGTAAGGATTTAGTACCATATGCTCTACTCGGTGCACGAAAATTGGGTGGAGGTTACCCACCCAGCGCTAGTGTCTATGTTACCTGTTCCACAACGGTATTACGTTCCGGACAGGATACGTAGCTTGTACAAGCCACGTCTGGAAACGTCTGGATTGTGGAGTCACCTTGTGAATGAAAAAAATATCGAAAAAAATATCAAGTCCCAATCACCGAAGCCAACACTCCGCACCCCCGTATTTACACAGGTTTTTGAGCAAGAAAAGGTCATCAGTTTTCCTACAATCGTACTTATGCATGTTCTCAACATTTCCGTAGTTTGCAGAGAAGGCCCGTTCGACACTCTCAATTTATCAGCGTCTCCTGGGGGGCAAGGATTTTGTTTACCAGGATTTGTAAGCGTACCATTGTCGATTCCACTCCAAGTTTGACTAACACACCTGGAGTCCCACCTCATTGGATGTTCTTCTCGCAGCCCATATTCTGCTTTTGGTAAAACCTCCCTATCCGAGTGCTGTACTCAAGGATCTTGTGAAGGACTGTTTCCCGACTTTGGCATTACACGCTCAACGTATCTACGAGAGAGCTATAGGCCCTAGCCACCCCGTAGCAGGGACAAAACACGATACAATCAGCTTCGAGATCCCAACTTCATCAAAGGTACCAGAATCTAAACGCAAGATCAAGTCTCCAGAAGATATTTATCATGATCGAATGCGTTGGGCATTCTTTGGCTTATCCATCGGTTCTCTCGTTGCGTACCTCGTTGTGGTGGGTGCCCCAGTTTTGAAACAGCTGAGGTTGGCACAAGCGCAACCGAGAAGCGCAAATGATATTGGCGTTGACCTGGAAGACGACGTGCTTAGTAGTTAGAATGATTATCACTATTATGTTTCTGGTGCTTCACGTGAGAGGAATGCATGAAAGTTGTTTGTAAGAGTTGCTCAAGCCGAGCTCAAGCGCTCAAGTCCAATATGGACGATGACTTGATTGTCATTGACGATGTTGACGTTATCGAATCTCAGCCAGGTCCCTCCTTTACCATCGGAGCTGGAGCAGTGAATACCCAATCATTCTATGCGAATTCGCGTCCAAGATCAGTCGCAGAACGGTCATTGGCCTCCTCACGCCTTCGAAGCTCCAGTAACCCTCCTACCCACCCCACAATGGAAACCTCGGAACGTACGACGCGATCATCTATAGCGAAGCCCAAGGCGCAGCCGAAGCTGAAGCTCAAATTGAGCGAAAAGGCCGCAGCTCAAGCGCCTGGAATGTCGTTCTTGGGTCAATATGATCATGAACTAGATTCAGATGACGATGATTTGGCGTTTGAGGAGCAGTTTATTTTGCGGATGCCCCCTGGTGAGGATGCTGATAGGCTAAGGAAAACCGTAGCTGCTCGAGAGGTTGCAAATGATGTCTGGTTCAAGTTCAAGGGTGAGTCGCAACACCTTCGGGGATTTTGACACATAATGACTGGTGGTTTAGACTCTCGAAGAGCTGTGTTTCACATAGGCAATAATACCTACTCTTCGAAACTCGTAGATCTTCCTTGTATTATCGAGTCACAGAAAACGCTGGACAGCAAGCAAATGTTCAAGGTGGCAGATATATGTCAGGTGGCCGGGTCTCTCACAGACTCTCAAACGTTTCTTATTTAGATATATCGCAGATGTTAGTGGTCGGAAACAAGATTGCAGATGAGAGCCAACTAACGAATCACAAGAACTTCAATATCGACGAGTTTATTTGGCCTCATGGGATCACTCCGCCTTTACATCACGTTAGGAAGCGCAGATTCCGGAAAAGGGTTAACAGACGGGTATGTTTTGTACACGCGATCCGTCGTACCGCTAAACGATGTGCCACAGACCATCGAAAGTGTTGAACAAGAGGTCGAAAGACTCTTGGACGAAGACTCGCTAGCCACGGAAGTTAAATATGGCATGCTTCGACCCTTGGGCAGAAATCACTAAGTGCTGATGTACCATCCAGATATTTTGGAGAACGTCAATCCAGATTTGTCGGACTCTGAATTCATTGAACAGGAGGAACCCCTCAACGCCCCAACGCCAGCAATATCCGACACGGGCGATGCCGCTACACCTGGTGACGATTTAGGCGACGAAGAAGGCGAAGAGGAAGAAGAAGAAGGAGAGGAGGGCGACATCGACGAGGAGCTTGCAGCTGAGCTCGACCTAGCACTCGGGGACGAGGAAGGTATCGATGATGATGAAGAGGAAGAAGAGAGTGAAGAAGAGGATGAGGAGGATGACGACGACGACGACGAAGTACAAATAAGAAAGCTGCTCAATGAGGAGATCAGAGACTTGGAAGCTGCTGTTTTCAAGAAAGGCAAGGAAATTGCCAGCTCAGCCAATCCCCTCATACGGGTTTGTCTTTTTCGTTTATTATTCATCATCCACTGCGGCTAAGACTTGTGATTAGAAACGATTTGAGGATGCGCTCAAAAAGCTGACATCTGATTTGGAAATGAAACTCGCACAACGGGACGAGATGAAGGAAAAGCAGCGGCTTAGAAAAGAAGGTATTGCAGTGGATGCCATCGATGATACCGATCCAGACATCATCGGGAATGAGGAAGGGGATGGAGATGAGAACGAGGAAGATGATGATCTGTTTGGGCCAGAAGAGGGAACAGAAATTCGTTGATGTGTTTTACTTTTCCTCTTTTAGTTTCTGAGAAATTGATTCATACCTTATACGAAGTCTTTGTAGCTTATGAACACGATGGTAAGATACATACAATACTAGCCTGCAAAACCAGCGGCACATAAACGAGGCAAATAACTGGTGCAAACCACACCGATAGAACTTCCCAACTCAAAATTGCCGCCTTCATTTCTTCCTGTCCAAGAAAGAGCCAACCAAAACCCAAGAGTAAATGGGCTGCGTATCTCAGAGCGCGGATGGGCGCTGCTGAGGACGACGAAGTGATCGCAAGCGGGACACCCAGCAACACGGAGAAGAAGACCGCAAGGGAAAAGTTGAGCACAGCTGTGATGGAGATAACCGTGGATGCAAAGCAAAGGTTGAGTGCTTTCAAAACGGTTGGCAGAGGGGCATTTTCAGATGTTGGTTTGGATATAGTGAGGGTCAACAGGGGTATGATGGCAAAGAATATGAATAGTGTTGGTGAAAGAATCTAGAGGCAGATGGTAAGATCCGAATAATGGAATAATCACAAGTAAATTTACCTGACAGCTCTTCATGAACCACGATCTAGTCAGTATGAAGAAGAGCAAGCCACCAAATGTGTGGGTTGCAGCCATGATCAACAAAGCGGGTATCACAGGCCTTCGTCTCTTCCTCCATTTCAACGGGCTGTTTGAAGCTTTCTCCCTCGTTTGCGAAGACTCCTCGGAATCGTCGAGTACCCAGGCAGCGTCGACCCACGTACCCAGCCCTTGAAACATCATCGCGACACTAATAAGTATGGCACTTGGTAAGTAACCGCCTATTTTAATGAACCGTTCGGGACCAGTTAAGATAAAGAAAAAGAAAGACGCATGTAGACGCTCCAATAGGTTGTTCATGGTCCGGAGGGTAGACTCGACGACCCTTGCAACGATGCTGTGTTATTTTTAACCACACCGCTGTTGAGTTCGGCTCACCTTCCTATTGCATGAAATCCATGCGGTCCTGTGGAAGGAACGGCAAAAATCGTTATTGCATCTATCCGAAATCTAGATAGTGATCATCAACCTCAACCAACGCCACCGAGAGCGAGAAAAAAATTACTGATGGAACAACCCATGCACACCGCTGGCGCGACCCCGAGCTTGGTATTTTAAATGCCGAACAACATTCCTTGCGTGATATGCATAGGATATAACGCCTTGATGATTGCGAATCATTGACGGGATCCAGGTTTTTCCTTGTTTGTTTATCGTGTCCTCTTGAGGATGGAGATGGTCGTAAACGGTCACAGGGACGCCGCCTGTGTAGCGAGAAATTCTTTCAAACGAGTTTAAGAGGTCTTGGTTGGGCAGGCGACCATTGATCCCTTCTGTATACTACATATGAAATATCAGCAGCCTAGTGATGAAAAGAAAGCCGACCAAAAAAGATTCCCAAATGAGAGAATGAGTGACCGGGGTAGTCGATGTTAAGAGCTGCCCAGATTACTCCAGAGGAGATCTTTAACTCTTCGGCCACTAGATCTGTGAATCATAGAAGGGTGAGTGCGTGACAAAACCATACAGGACAGATTAAAATCGCGCACTTTGTTGCGTTGAACCATGGTATGCGCTAAGCCACGCGTGCATACCATCAAGATGCCCATCACTAATGACAAAAACAATGTCCTTTGCCCAGAGAGAATAACCTGATTCACATTAAGCATCACCAATCGAAAATTGAAAAAGAAAAAAGCAAACGTTTGAGGAATCCAGCCAACGCGAGTACCGTAGATATCCCACGCAGATTCAGCATTCCGTCGCCTTCATCTGTAAGGCTTGCCCAGGAAGCGCTTACCACCATTGCTTCAGTCCCGGAACCCCGAGGTGATGATATTACTGCATATGCATTGGCCCCTCTGGTAACCTAGGGAAAATCGTCAGCAAAGGAAACTAATGGGCACCGATTAGGCCCACTCCTGAGCTTAACGAGAACGAATATTCCTGGGTTGACGCGGAGAGGCCGAGTTTGCTAAATTCTTTTCGGAGGACTTGAGCACGACTATAAAAAAAATGAGTTCGAGGCTAGAAATAACAGAAATTCATGCTCTCACTCAATGCTAGTAGCATTTGCATGTTTCAAAGCTTCTAGTTGTTCAAGGTATCTATCGGCGGCGTGAACATCACCCCAATTCCAGTACGTGCTAACCTAAGTGCACATGAATGAGTAATTTAAAAAATAAAACACGCAGAAACCATTTCAGTCGTACGCACCTGGGCTGGTTGTAGTGCGTTTTCGTCGATGTAGGTGTTCATTGACAGGGGCGTTGAAGGAATGCTGAGCATCCACACATATCCCAACAAAAAGAGAGCAAGCCTGCAATGATATGAGGTTAAATTATGTTCTCCCAAGTATACCCTCGAACATCTCCTCACTTTATAAAGGGCAAACGGTGAGTCAAAAGTGCAACCACTGCTTTCTGCCGACGTATGCGGTTTTGGTGGGCATTTGCCGTGGCTGAAAACTTGGCCTTAATTTTGGAAAGGACCTTCGAGAGGACCTTCCTCCATAGAGGGTCCTCTCGTTCGACGTTGGCGTCCATCGAAGGAGAAGGCAAAGGCTGAGTCCTTGCGAAACTGGGTGGTAAGTATAGAAGGACAGGACGTGCGCGTGACTATTTAGCCGGTGACTAGTGTGTAAGATATCAACTTGAACTTCATTCACCAAACAGCGTTGTGAATTAAAATAAGTCAAACAATTCCTGGCCGCGACTGCTTGGTCTTCCTTCACTCTATGCCACCAAAACGCAAACAACGCGGATCCGTTTCTTCAAAAGGTCTCGCTTTTGGAGACGACCTCACGAGGATCGCGCCTCTAAAGGATAGCACTTTGCCATGGTCCTGGGTTGGCACTGAGATTACTGACGTGGTTGACATCACGCTGGAACATCTTCTCTCGACTTGTGGGCTCTCGGAAAGGAATTGTTATCCCCATTGTCCTAATAAGTATACGTTCTTCAAGAATGTCGAAATGAAAGGACTCAGTTCCAGCGCGGAAGGGGAAATCGAAGACGACGTGATTGTCATATCTGACGACGACGCGCCACCATGCACTAAGAAGCTATGTAGGGCGAATCCGAATTGTTTGAATTATTTGGGGCAGGAAAAATGGGAAGAAGAGGGTCCGTTCATACTTTGATGTCCTTCTTACTTGGTTGTCTGACCATAACCAAGAGGACGCTCGGGAGTCGTTTATCGCCTCAGCCAATTTAGGCAAAAATCCGATGCTTGATTCTCGAGATCCTGACTTGCCAGTTGGCCTGAGGGTAGGACTTTTGCTTGACAAAAGAAATCTGACTTTTCTCAGCATACAGAATCTCGGTGCTACATGTTACGCCAACGCTTCACTACAAGTAAGAGTGAAAATGCACACCTTTCCGTCAGTGCGACAACTCATTCCTTGTCAGGTGTGGTATCGAGATCTCGCCTTTCGTGAAGGTGTATACCGCTGCCAGCCACCAGATGGAACAGAAGACAGGTTTATCGTAGGTTAATGTCAGCGGTCCTCTTTTCTTCCGGCCAACATACACATTCAGGAATCGCCCATCTTTCAACTGCAAGTAACATTTGCGGCGCTCCAGAACGGCAATCAAAGCGTTTTCAACCCTGCTAAGCTTGTCGAAAGCCTTCAACTTCGTACGTCTGAGCAACAAGATGCTCAAGAGTATGTTCTTTGTAATATCAAAGGAGTTTACTTTGATTATGACGCAGATTCTCAAAACTTTTCATGTCCCATCTCGACGCCGAGTTCAGGAAGCAGTCCATGCCCTCGGTGAAACATCTCGTGACGAATCAAGTAAGGGTGTTAGACCTTGTTGGTCCTGATTATCACGAACCCTGTACAGTTTCAAGGACAACAGGTTTACGGAACCATTTGTCACGCCTGCCGCTCACGCTCAGAAAGAATAACTGATTTCTTGGAGATCGAGATCAACTTTGACGTAAGTTCAAAAGGTTTTTCTATGTACTTCTCTTGAAGCTGACGATAGCAATCAAAGAGCAACAGCAGACTTGAGGATCGCATGGCTACCTCCCTTCTACCAGAAACACTCGTCGATGAAAATCGGTTAGCATCGGTGATATAAGGTCTATGAATCTTCTGACACACCCTCGCCCTGCAGATATTTTTGTTCACAGTGCAATGAGTTGAAAGATGCTACACGCTACACGGAACTCCGCCAATTGCCGCATGTTCTTCATTTTTCCTTGTTGCGCTTTGTCTATGACTTTTCTTCAATGGAACGAAAGAAGTCGAAGCATTCAATTTCTTTTCCGACCATCCTCGACATGTCTCAATTTCTTGGCAACGAGAATGACAGAAGCCAGGCTGCTACTTCTAATGGTGGGCATAAGAGTAACATCTATGAATTGCGCGGCATCCTTTTGCATAAAGGTGCAAGTGCTTATCATGGCCACTATGAGGCCCAGGTTTATGACCCAGAGTATGATGTCTTGTTTTTGTTTTCAAAAAAAAAAAAAATTAACCGCTGCCAGATTACAGTCATGGTTCCAGTTTAGTGATGAGACCGTGACGAGGATCAAGTCGCTCGGAGACAAAATAGTAGAAAAGAGATCTGAAGTAAACGGTCGCCGATATGTTGACGAAAAACATAAGGATCAGGCTCGAAGGAATCGAGCGAATGCACGAAAAAGGCGCCGGGTATGCGATAGCGACGAAGATGCTATAGAGTGTGTCTCGGGTTGTACCAATGGTCAACCTTCAACTCCTCTCAGGCCTAACGTGATGGTGTCGGGGACGTCATCGTCAGCGGTGGCATCGTGCGACGACAGCAAGTACGGACCCCCGAAGCAAAGCATCCCCTTCTATCAACTAACTTTTTTTTTATCAAGCACCATCACGTCCAAGGATGCCTACATGCTTATTTATACCAAGAAAGAACTCGGTGAAAAAGTGAACGAGTCTGTCGCTGTCGCATCGACACGTATCAGCACTCCCTGCCCTCCTAGTTGGGCCGTTGATGCTGTTCGTTTATTGAATGCCGCTCATGAAGGTGCATGCGAAATTTTTGAGAGCAGGTAAGGCGGTTAGCTCTCATTGTATTTTTATCCATTTAGCCCTTCCAGGGAGAAGCTGGCCAAGAAACGTTTCCAGGATGCAAGAAAAAAGGTGATGGACGTCTATCGCACATGGAATACGCTGCGACCTACGATGGTGGGCGTTTTCTCAATGATTTTTTGAACAGGCTCATCGAATCAATCTGCAGGACTCCCTTATCATCGGTCAGGAGGCGTTAGAGGAATGGCTTTCGAAGGCTTCTGTCGAGACAGGGCTCGGGCCTGCACTTATTGAGCAAGATACTGAAGACCCTGAATTAGACCCCGAATTAGTTGGTTCAAGTCCTCAGATTCAAAAAGTGATATCAAACCGAGACATCCTTTGCTGCCACGGCAAACTTGATCCTAATAAAGCAAGGGACATGAAACGCATTGCCAAGGTAGGTGATTTCTCGCTAGTCTTTGCGATTCCTGATTTGTCACGATCATCCCTATCCATTTAGAAGGGTTATGACGAAATTGTCAAGAACACATATTGCCTTTTCGATCCAACTCCGACGCCGTCTGATGTATGTGAGGAGTGTGTCGCCACGATTTTTCGAGGTATGAGATCCCTCCTTTTGCATACTTTTTGTACGAACTATCCTCGACCTCAACAGAACGCCTTTACCAGGTGCAGCACCCCGCCCTTGTCAGAGACTTCGACCGCATCTCGGATATCCCTGAACATTGTGAAGGGTTTTGGATATCTAAAAAGTGGTTGAAAGGTATGGTCGGATTGTTGTGTTTGGTAATACTTTTCAACAATATGGCTAGATTGGAGGCTATCAATGCCCAGAATGCATGTTCCTTCGCAAGACGATCCCCCTCCTGATTCCTGTGACTTTGATAAACATGTTCGATGTGAACATGGCGGTTTGACGCTTAACACGACAAACCGTTGTAAAATTTCCGAAGAGGCGAGCAGAAAAACTGTCTGGTTGATGGAGACTAACTTAGACCATCACAGGCAGTAAAATTGCTGCAAGTATCATTTCCTACGTGGAATCCTACATCAAGCGATGCAGAAATATGTGCCGTGTGTGATGCACTCATACATATCTCCAAGGAGGATAAGAAAGAAGGTCGACGACGGGCGGAAGATGAGAAGGCATATCAGCTTGATGTTCGCTCGATATAGGATTGAAAGCTAACACATCTACTCAGGCAATGCTAAAACACATGTATAACTCGTGGGCCATATTCCCACTAGCCTCAGAGAACACACCTTGCGCTGTCATTCCTACTCCGTTCTACAAGTGCTGGAAACGTTGGGTGGACCATCCAGCCGAGAACACCAGGCCTGATACTGTGGACAATGAGCCCTTTTTTTGCGAACACCGCCTTCTCATATTTGACCCCAACTGTCAAACTGATGTGGATTCAACCGTCACTGTTATTCGACGTGAAGAATGGGATGCATTGCAGAGATTGTTAGTTCTGGGTTATGTCTACCGTTTAGTTTAACGATGACCATTTTCAGGTATTCTGCAGGGCCTCTGATTGACCTGGAACAGCAAATTTGCGACGAAGAAGTTAATTATGGTCATAGCATCCTTGTTTGCTCAGACTGCCGCTTGAAGAGGTGAGAATGTTATACATACTGCCTGGTCCTAGGTTTAAATGGGCGTCGAACAGGAAGACTGATTGGGATAATGCGGAGATCATTGTCCGATTCTGTGGTTCCAAGACTGAGACCTCCAACATCAAAGTCCCATCCCAACGCAAGCCCATTACGACTTACTCGTGTAATGCTGGCGTGAGGCAGTCGAAACGACTTCGTCAGATCAAAGAACATGGCGAAAGACGGAGATTCCCTGTTTCGAAATCAACTTCTTTGAAGGAGATCAAGATCATGGTTTGTGGACGTTTGTTTCATCCCCTTAGTTCATTTCGTGAAAAGCTGCTGCTTAGATCCAAGAGCAATTCAAGATACCAACTATATGCCAACGTCTATTCCATAATGGTGTAGAAATTCATGATAACGAGGCCACGGTGGGACACCTTCAATTCCTCGCCGGCGATATCCTCGATCTACAAGAAGCCAACGAAGTTATCGAAATAGATTCTGATTCCGATGACCCCCCGGCCAGAAAGAAGCGAAGAGAGGAAGGGCAGGGTTTTAATGGTACATTGTTGAGCGGGATGCCAAGCTCGCGTGAGGATACACCCATCTTGATTCCCTTGGGAAAAGTATGCTCAGCATGCACATTCTCAAATACGGTTGATGCTCTTTCATGTACAGTATGTGATACAGTCTTTGGATGAATAATGCTATGGAACAAGAGCTAGAAACTTCCTAAAACCCAGCAGATAAGATAGATAGGGCGAAACTCCTAATCTAGGTGACCCAAAAAGATAGTTCATTGTAAAACCACAACAGTTCCCTGTACTAACTAACCCAAGATGAAAAAAAAAATTACACATATTCTGGGAGCGGTGACAGGTTGGTACCTGCAGCAAATCTGGTTGAACCAGCCCCAGGCAATAGAGGGCGTGGTTGTTGTTGAACACTACTCGGCACAATATCGAGTATTGGTGTCCTAGCTTTGAGGATCGAGGTTGCAGCAACAATAATATCAACCTCGGTAGAAGCAGTTCCGTTTCTTTTCACAGCTGTTGCAATGGCGTCTTGCGTAGCGTCTGTCAACTCGCCAACAGTGACGCTCTGCATTGCCGTCGTTTCTGACTGTTGCGTGGGGATCCCACCAGTCGCAACGGTGCGATCAGCTATAACTCTGTGCGCAGCTTGAACGACAACATTCTGCGCTGCAACTGCCAAGCGGCGGGTCTGCGAATGACCGTGACCAGTTATTTCCTTGTCATAGGCGTCTACCGTCTGCTCCAGAACGTGCTTTTGTTTTACAAGATCCTGAAGTGCGCCCTGTTCCGGGGGAGAAGTTGAGACAAATTGCGACTCCGCCTCTTCTGTTACACGCTGTGCAACATTTTCCAACACCCGCTTGACACGGGTGTCGGGAGACTCCAAGACTTGGGCTGGGCGCTTGGCCCTGACAGAAAAAACGGGGATGAACATGGTGACACAATGTGGGACGGACAAACAGACCTTTGCGGCGCTTGGAACAAGGCCGAATCGCTTGTGCTCCGTCTGGGGGGGTCGCCAACGAGCGACGGGCGACGAGAGCGAGAGAATGACGGATCAATGGTAGAGGTGGGTGCAACAGTGAGATTGAAGTTGTGTGTGAGCTGGCACTCCTGGTTCTCGACGACGAACTGACGAGAGGTCAGTTTGAGAAAACGGCGAAAAGTGCGACAAACCTTGGCAACAACGGTGATCTGGCAGCTCTCTGCATCGAGAGTAGGAATGCCCGTTAATTGATCATCTTTCCACATTAACCAGGACGGGAGATGGGGAGAAGTGTATTGCACCATAAAGTTTTGCGAGGCGGCTTGAGGATCCCATATCCGCGGTGTCCAGGTCCATCGTAGGCCGCAATAAGCCACGCCTGGCGGCGTTCCGGCTAACTTTCGATGAAACGGACGAAATTCCCATTTTCCATCACCAGCCTTTTTGGCTTCTATATTCCAAATATGATTTCCTTTTGATTTAGCTTTCTTTCCATCCTCGTTGAAGCGCAGGATGTATTGCTGACGCCAGAGGTAGTTTCGAATCTAATGACACAGAACCTAAGTTGTTGTCGTGCACACCTGTGAGTGACAAACCTTTTTCATTGGAATCTTTTCTTCTGGGTAGCCTTGTCTGGCGAGCTGAATCGAAAAAATCAATTAAAGAAATCAATTAGGCAGTTTTCGCCTAACCTCTTCCAGAAATGCGGTTGTAAAAGCTTGAATACGAAACTTGAACGGGCGAAAGTCGGGCGATTCATCCAAACGTTGCATCTTTTTCGCCATCAGGGTCTGGTGAATATGATCACCCTTCGAATCAGTAGCATCCACTGACCCAAGGATGAGTTCTAAACGAATGCGTGGAAGATGAAAACCCACAATTCGAACAAATTTGATTCAAATATTCGAAGAAAATGCGGTCAACTTCTGCTCGATATTCCGATGGCACATCCGTGGACGGGTGGGATGTAGGAGCATCTGAGGAAGACTTGAAACCATCAAGTGTTAGTGTTAAGCTTGCAGACTTGACATAATACTGACGGTATGTGTCGCAAGCCTCCCTGGATGGGACTCGCTCCCGTCAGATTCGGAGCCATCCTCGTCCTCTTCGTCGGAAGGCGGGGAATTCTGCGTGGTGCTGGGGGCGGTACTGAGCCCGTCAGACGTGTTCGACGGAGATGTAGCAAGAGGTGCTGTCGGTTCAGACCCAAAGTACCACCCCTTTGAAGTTGTCGCCTGTGGCACGGCGGGGGGCTTTGAGACTCTGGCCACAGGAGGCCAGTTGTTGCCTGGATCTGCGAATGCATCGCGGTATCCATAATTGAACGAGTTTGGGAAGGGAGGGGGACCGTTGATTGAGCCAGAACGCGACATCCTGCCGACGGGAGGACCGATAGCTGAATTGGAGGCAAGTGGTTGTGGTATGGGCTGCATTTGTGCAGAAAAGGCATCTAGACTATTTGACGCAAGTGCTGGAGGACCTAAAATTGAGCCGGCTGATAAAGAGTGTTGGTGTCGTGTTGTTGGGACAACGGGGTCAGACCAGGACGACTGCAGAGGGGGGAAAGTTGACTCGGCACCCGCAACGAGAGGTGGTGATAGATCCAAGGCCGCTGTCGCACTGGGAATAAAATTGGGAAAGTTGGGAGGCTGTTGTTGGTTTGTAGAACTGAAAGGACCGTGGTGCGAAAACATAGATGAGGGAGATGGAGGACGGGACTGAGACAAAACAGTAAGGGGATGAGGAAGGGGCGCAGGAAAAGGATCCGAATTAGGTATCGGTTCTACTATTGGTATTGATAGTGGAATATCCTCCTGTGGTTCTCGCTTCAGTGCTTTCACTGATCTGTGCTCCTCTAGTTCCGAAGCGCAGCGTTTCCTTGATTGATCGGAAATGGTCAAGTGATTAGCATTTTCGACCGGAGCAGCAATAGCAGCCGATGAAAAGCCAGTGGAAAGCTCTGGAACGGGAGCAACAATGGCAGAAGGAGGAGATACGGGAGGAAACAAAAGAGGCGTTTGCTCGCCGACCGATACGAGAGCAATCATGTTACAGACTTGTTCTATGCATGATTTCAGTTGGTCAACCTTTATATTGGTTTCAGTGCTGTGGTGATTCTGAAAAGCGTCTTGAGCATCGACGGCAATATTTGCAATGCTAAGAGTGTATCAGAAGGAAAGTAGGAACGAACGGAAAAATATACTTTTTGAAGAGGTGATTGATGTATTGACGGGGCACTAGATCTTCTTGCTTAGTGACAATGGCTTCCGCTGGAGGAGAAAAGGCAGGAAGTTGACGGGTGGGCATGGATGGGAAAGAAGGGGGTATGGGATTAGTCGGGGAGATGGAGGTATTGGCACGGCTTCGACCACCTGGAAGTGCGGCTGGGCCAAGGGCAGACTCAAGTGATGATGTGACACCTACGGTATATGACGAGGGTGAGCCGTGAAGTGAAGGAGAAGGTGCCTGAGGAGTAAGAGCTATCGTATTTTCGGGAGTCATGTCCATCGGTATCGAACTCTCGAGCATTGCGAAAGGATCGATGTGAGGATTGGGATCAGACATATAAGAGGGAGGTAGAATAGACGGCGAATCGACAGGTTGCATAGGGATAAAAGGTAACGAAAGTTGAGGACTAGAGAGCTGCATAGGTTCGTGTTTTTGGAGAAAGAGAGAAGCTGAATCTTGGGGAATAATAGGAACACCAAAAGATACGGCTGTGAGGATGTCTGGTTGAGACTGCTGTATTTCCAAACGAGACTGGCCAAGTTCCAAACGAGACTGGGCCATCTCGATGCCCATGTCTTGTTCATAAGCCATATGCAAAGATCGATTTCTTCGGCACGTGGACCAGGGTGGTACAGAGCAGGAGCAGCGTCGATTCAAAGTCGATTCAGAGTCGATTGCAAGGAAAAGAGTAAGTTTTTGTCTGCAAGCTGGGTGTGGCTATAATATCGCCAATATCACTAAATACTTATTGCCAATTTCTGCTTCTTCTGTTCTACTCTCAAGCTCCGTTGGTCACAATAGTCACATTGCATCAAGTACACCTGACTCGTCACGAGAGCTTGTGATTCAAGTAAAACCCTTCAAACTAGTAACAGCTACTACTTCATCAGTATCTTCGCCTTCCCGGACTTCTTGACCGCTCTCTGTCCCGTCTTCTATCACTACAAACAATCGTTAATCATCCCAATCCACCAAAAGAGAATAAACACTCACTCGTACCGCGACGACGTATGCCGCTCGTATCCACGATCACGATCACCTCGTTCTCGATAATCATCTCCACCTCGAGATGATGTCCGGTAATCACTCCCAGACCGTATTGGTGGTCCACCAGCAGGTGCTGCACCTCCGCCAGCAGGCGCGCTGCTGGGAGGTGCCATCTTCCGCTTCTCACGCTCTTCTCTAAATTTGGAAAGCATGTTGCGCAGTTCGTGATAACCTAGATGCATCTGCAGCGTATTCGTCACCAAGGAGCCGACAGACTTCGCCATCCAAACTTACTTTACCACCAAAGTGATCGGCAAGTCGCCGATCCGAGTCGAGGACGGACAGGTATGCTCCACACACATCACATACACGGAGCTTTTGGTGTCCAGATGCTCCCGATGTATCTGTTAATTGTTGAAGTTCTCGCTGTTCAACTTTAATCAGCTCTCACGAAACGTCTCAATGCTGGCAACGTGCCTCCTTTTCAGACTTTTCCGCCTTGAGTGCTTCGATCGCCGCCATCTCACGCATTGACTCATCAACCTTTCCCTGTTCACCTGCCCAATTCGTCAGTAACTAGTTTAACGGAGCATCCATGTATACAACCCACCCAATGTTTCGATTTTCTCAGTCCCACCCTGAATAGCAAGCTCGATCTCCGCAATTTCTCGCATCTAAACGGCGTTCATGTAAGTCCGAGGACACACACATGAGAATAACCATACCAAGTTGGTCGTCTTTGCGTTCTCTTCTGGTGTCTTCTCCAACCGTCGGTGTGCCGCACGAATCCTCCGATCACACTCGTCCACAAACGTAAAGATGTTCGACTCGTATTCCATTTGGAACCGGTTAAATATAATGTCATTAGGGTTGGCCTCTTTCGCTGCCAAATACTCTGTTTTAAGGCGCTCGGTGTGCGACTTTGGGCATGCACCAAGATCCATTTTCTGCAGCACCACGCGTGTCAGCGAGAATAACACCGAGATATCAATGAGATACGTGCTGTATTGGTGAACAGGGCATGTGGGCAGGTTCCGCATAGGAAGTTTCTGCAGACCTTTTCGTCAGACCACACAAGGTTGGCGTTGGCTACTCCCATCGCCTCTGGCCCCATCATTTGCTGTAAATAACATCAACATTAGATGAATATAATGATGTGAAAGCTCAACAAACCTCTAAGAGCTTGCGCTGCATCTCTGCGAGACGACCCATCTTCAAAGTAGTTGAATTAGTGACAGTAAGTTGAAAGCCAAGATTTGGTTAGGCTTGCAATGTTTGGCACTCTCTTCCGTGACTAACTCTAACTTGGGGAATTCTTCCTCCTCCTGCTTCTACTTGAAACTAAAGGAGTGATAAACTCGTATGTAAGGGCAGTATGTTACAATAGAAAGCACAATTATTTACTGATTAGGTGCATTTTTGAAGAATGATATGCCATATGTGCAGAGCGAATGGTGGTGTTGGGTGAATGGTTTTTGAAATCTATAGAATGTGAAAGAGCAAGTAAAAGATTGCGCAATAACGTGGAATGCCAGGGATGAAAGATGGAAATCATTGCGGGGGTACGGGGAACGTCCCTCTGCCTCGACCCCTGCCTCTTCCCCGGCCGCGCCCCCGACCACGGTGCTGTTGTTGCTTTTGGCTTTGGGCAGTCGAATTATCTTGCGTTGGGGGAGGCTCTACTGAAGTCGATTTGGTCGTACTTCTCGACGCCGCATTTGATGCCAAGTTGTCCGGAGAGTTGTGCTTGACCATCGGTGTTGAAGGGGGCGTGAAGCCAGGTGGACCAAATCGCTTTAAAAGTTTGAGAATGTCCTCGCACTTTTCGGAATCCTTGTCCGATTTCTTCCTTGCATGAAGGCCCTTGTCTGACGTTGCCCACGCCCAAGCTTTGTTGATATCTTGAGAGCTTGCCAATCCCTTATTGAGGATCATCCAAACAAGCTCTGGTTCAAAAGATTCCAAAGCCAGTGACAGTAAGCTGATTGAATCCGGAAGTTCATAGACAAGCTTAGAATCCGAATCTTTCGGGGGGTATGCCTCCAGGAAATAATTGACGATGGGTATGTGGCCCTGCTTCAGGGCGATGTGGAAGGCCGTCAACCCTTGTGAGTTCTTCTCTTCTGCGTCAGCATCTGTCAAAGGTCAGGCAGCCGCGTGCCAACGAGCTCGAGGATGACGCACTGTGAGAGTCAAGCCATTTAACAAGATTCAAATCTTCAGTCTTTGCAACGATGTGCAAAAGAGCTTCCTTGGGGTCTTTTGGAGGTGATTTTACAAATTCTTGACACCCATCCCTCACTTCGCCACCTGCTGCGTCAACGGAATCTTCCCAAATCCCTTTCTTCACTTTTTCAATGTGTCCAGCTCGCGCAGCTGCAAACACGGCTGATCGAGTAGTTTGCGAATTTTGCATCCTTGTACGCGCTGCTTGTTCGGATTTCTTACGTTCAGCATCCGCGCGTGCTTTCTTTTCTTCCACCTTGTTCTTTTGGCGCTGCTCAGCTGCCAGACGCTCTGTCAAGAGTATGAGTAGAATCTACTAAAAAAGGTTTCCACATACCCTGTTCTCGTTCTCGTTCTGCTCTCTCCTTACGAGCTATAGCCTCTTTTTTGCGACGTTCCTGTGCAGCTACCTGCTCTTCGCGAGATCGGCGGATTCGTTCCTTATATTCCTCGGGTGACTCGCTCTTTGCCTGTGGTCGACGAAAGTCTGAAAGTGCTGGTGGTAAAGAAGCCCGAGGGGCAAGGAGAGAGTCTACACACACGAGTTATACCGAGAACCACCCTCTCTGCGATTCATCATCTGTTCAAACAAAAACCTGCAGAAGCACACATAAGACGATAATTGTTACAGTAGAAAAAACCATCTGACATGTAGAAAGCGAGGTTTGCTTCTTCCTCAAAGTCGTCGTCGTCGTAGTAATCATCGTAGTCGTCGTATTCATCATCATCATAGTCCGACGAGTCATCTCTGCCTCCAAAGCCAAAGCCCCCAAATGCACCGCGACGAGATGTCCTTGAAGGAGGAGGAGATGACTTGTCCAAGTGCTTTATAAGGACCCTATAAGCTTCGCTGACTCTTTGAAACTCTGCAGTGGCGCCAGGGTCTGGATTCTTGTCAGGGTGTGTGCGAAGTGCTATCTGAGAAGGCATGAGATATAGATTTTTGGGAAGTGAAAGGAGCGTTACCTGCTTGTAGGTGCTTTTCACAATTTCTAAGGAAGACCCCTACATCGTGAAATAAGCGCTACGCGATTTGTGACGAGTAAATAGAGGACCTCTTCTAAATCCAGGACTTTGTAAGCCTCTCTAACCTTTGAAGGAGGTAGCATCGCGGGTGAGGACGTTATTGGGAAAGCAAGAAAAAAAAAAATGAAAATGACTTTGCGATGCAAGTCAAGAAGAGTTGCCACCGACCATTGGCAAGCATGCCCAAATAAGCACTGGTGCAATTAAAGTTATATCCAAATTATATCCTTTCATGGCATCCACCGTCTCTGCCGGTCTAGATGCATCCCATGCTATTCAGTCCCCCCCCAATGTCGGCTCTTCATCTATTTTTTCGGGCATACTGGGCGGCGAAAAGTGCGTCACATTGCATCCCAGCTGGCAACACCACACTAAAGTCCTCATTTTATCAAGCGTAGCCCATATTTCCAAGCTGGCTTTGGGTTAATGGTGACAAAATCCTCGCCCAACATATCCAATTTGCCTAATCTTTTTCAACAGGCTTTAGGTGTTGGCCTTACCGCTCTCCGACAAGGTGCCGTTTTGGGGACAACTGCCCTTCGACGACGTCTTTTGGTTTCTCTCGAAATAAATAATAAAGACAAATCTTACGAGTGGTTTCTGGCTTGGATGGCTCACCAAGCCGGCAAACCTTCGAAAGGAAATGTCGCGCTACGCTCGGCCCCTTGGGTTCGCAGCCATCAGCTCAGCGTGGAGACCATCGTAGAACAGCGAAAGAATGGGAGTTCTTCAGCGGCGTTTAAGCTTGTTGCTGGTCCCGGAAATCACTACATCAACTACAAGGGCGCTTGGATGCAGGTCCATTCTTTGTTTATTTCCTCTGTTCAGGTATGCTTATTTCTTCTGGCAGGTGAAACGCGAACGAGAAACACGATCGATGCAACTCATGTCGGGAGTCCCTTGGGAGACCGTAACATTAACCACCCTTTCTCGTGATCAAAACTTGTTTCCTCAACTCCTTTCAGAAGCAAGAGAGCTTGCAATGCGAGGTCAAGAGGGCAAGCTTGTTATTCACACGGCATGGGGTATTGAATGGCGGCCTTTTGGTCAACCGCGACAGAAACGACCGATTCAGAGCGTCGTTCTGGAACCTGGGGTGGCCCAGAGGGTTGAAAGCGATATTAAAACATTTTTGGAACGGCGGCAGTGGTATGCTGATCGAGGTTGGTTGTTCACAGCCTGCCGTGCTTGAACTCGGTTTCAAACCTATGATTTTAGGTATACCGTATCGCAGAGGCTACCTGTTACATGGCCCACCCGGTTCTGGAAAGACATCCTTCATTCAAGCTTTGGCTGGCTCTTTGTCGTACGACATTTGCGTCCTCAACTTGTCGGAACGCGGTCTCGCGGATGATAAGCTCTTTCATCTGTTATCGAATGTTCCCGAACGCAGCTTTGTGTTGGTTGAAGATGTCGACGCTGCTTTCAATAAACGTGTTCAAACGTCGGAGGATGGGTTAATTAAATTTTGAAACTCTCCCAACTCTGCACTGACATCCGCTCACAGTTATCAATCATCTGTCACCTTTTCCGGCTTCCTAAATGCCCTTGATGGTGTGGCCTCAGGGGAGGAGCGAATCATCTTTATGACCACCAACCACGTTGAGAAACTAGACCCAGCTCTTATTCGTCCAGGCCGTGTGGATATATCCGAGCTAATCAGCGACGCAAGCCCTAAACAAGCTCGGATTCTGTTTGAGCGATTCTATGGTGAAGGTGAAAGCATCAAAGGCATCTCGAACAACGAGGTAGAAACGTTTTCAGAGCAGCTGGAAAATATTGTACATGACGAGATGCAAAATGGTAGGAGGGTCAGCATGGCTGCGCTCCAAGGCCTTTTCATCCGAAATGATGCTCGAGAAGCCATTGCAACTTGTCGAGACCTATTTACAACACGGAGGACGGCGCCTTTGTAGGGTACTAGAAAAGTATTATCATACCACCATACATATCCACCCTAAAAGACAGCTTTCCGTTTGCGACCCGTGAATTTGGAGTCGCGAGGAACGCCTTCCTTTCCGCGCTTGCGGTACAGCTGAAAGAGATTCAGTATAACACATTAGCAAGAGATAGGATTGAAGTCCACCTCTTTCTTTCTCAAGATCCAGTCTTTATCTTTCACGTTTTTCCGCTTCCCAACCTTTGTTTTAAGGCGTTCCCTTTCTCGGCGTCTCTCAAATCGCACTTTGCTATCCTCTTCCACTTCGCCTTCTAACCCTTTGGGCATTTGCTGCTGTCCTCCCCCGCCTCCGACGAACAAGCACAGGAAAACCTTTCTTGCTTTCTTTGAGTTCGGGTAATCCACAACGATACCTCCACCAAACCCTGCCTTCTGGGCTATTGACGTAATAAGTTGTATTTGGTCATCTGAAGAAGGGTAGAACTGAAAGACAGCACGGGAGGGATTCCGTAAGGCTGAATGAAGTGTTGTGAAGAAGCGATGTAGTCGGTGTGGTGGTGAAGATGTTGGGTGAGAGGTCTCTGCATTCAGAAGCCATTGAAGAACCGAAATACTAAAAGAATATCGGGTTAAAAAAACAGTACTCATGTCTGGACACCGACCTGATTGCACCGTCGAAACTTCCAGGCCGAAAACCAAAGCCTTGGCCAATATCTTGTAGGAAGAGGTCTCCTTCGACCTCGCGTTCCAATGCAACCTCTGAAAAGGCTTAGAAGAGGCATTTATGTGCCAAACGTTTTCATACCGAGCATGCTTGGGGCGATATCCATCCCAGCCCAGATGTAACCCTCTTCGTCTAAGATTTCTCCTGATAAGCCCGACCCACACCCAATATCCAGCAGGAAGGCTGGCTCATTTTCAGGTAGGTTCAAAAGCTCCAGAGCTCGGTATGTCATATCAGCCTGGATTTGTTGGTTTCTCGTGCTGCATCGGAGCGGTGAGCTGTCGTTCACCAAAAAAGCCTCGTCCCGACGTACTTTCCGGTGTACTTTTTTGCTTCAATGTCGCCATAATACTTTGGACTGGATTAAGTATGGATGACCTCAGTATTGCCACGAAACGCACGATTTCAGGAGGTGCTTGTAATTCAGGTCGTGACATGGTCAAAGTTGGGCGCTGAGCAGTGATTTTTTATTGCAATCTATTTTCGGCTTTGTATGTAGTACATATGATCATCTTGCAAATGGACAGTCTGCCAGTGCTCTTGTAACTTGAGAGAGACACGATGAAATTTTCGGACGGAGAGCGATAATCTTTATATATTTCCCTGCATCCTGACAGAACATCTAGTCATCTCCAATCGGTACCTCCTCTTCAAGGTATTTGATTAGCCTCACGCGAATCACCGTGCTTTCATCGCCGCGCAGTACATCTGAAATGAATTCGGCTTGGACTTGCATTTGGACCTAACGCTCATAAATCTCGGGTGGTCAAAAGGTCATGATCAAACATACCATCTCCAGAGCACCTCTTATCACGCCACAGAGGACATTGCTGAACCACAACCCCCCGTCTAGAACCTCTTCTGGTAACTCGACAAACTCTGCTAATGGATTTTCTTCGAGGGTCAACGTAAAAGATGTCTCCGTGCCTGCTTGAGGTATTGACGCAGCGCCCTGCGGTCTATTAGGGGATTGCGGCGGGGGTAATCCACTATGGGTAACGGTTGGTGTTATGTTAAGGAAAGACTTGAAGCCAACCTATGCGGCTATCCGTAAGTAGAGAAAGCGACTACCAGCAGAGGCGCACATACCTTTGAGACGACCTCTCCAACCTCTCTGAAATCGGCACACCTCCCCATCCCCGACTTTGCCAAAAAGTCCTCTATCAATCGGGTTCCGATGTTGTAACCCATTTTCTCTAGCTGGTTATTAACTTCGTCGTAATCTTCATAGTCCTGGATGAGTTGAACGACGAGAGCACCATATGTGAGTGCAAAGAGCTCTGCGTTCTGGGTCACTGAGAACAAGATGAGGTTCCGCAAAAAAGGAAGCCTACAATCTTTTCTGACCGCCCTTTCCAGAGATCCTCGCCGATGCTTTTATATTGCTTGCTTGTCGTTGCCATTCACAGTGGTGACGCGTGATGTCACAACCTGCACGAAATCCAATTGATTGAGTGTGCTATGTACAAGTGCCCACAAAACTCCTCTAAATGCCCCAACCCCTTCAATACCGATCAAGCTGGTTGAGTTTCTTTGCCGTTTTAGCATTGGATTGTGTATTTTGTCCTCTCACAGGAAGGTGCATCGCGTGTCTTTTTCCGACGTAGCTTCCAATCATCCGTTGATGGGCGATGTTTTCACGAATTTCCCTCCTCAGTTCTGATTCAATTTTCAAGGATTTCAGAGGGTCCACATAACCTTTGCCTGCTTCTCCGCCTCTCTCCAGTTTCTTCTTCTCACGCTCAAGTCGTGCAGCATTGAATTGAGCTTGAAGTGATTGTATCGGTGTGTTTGGTGGAGGCACATAGCCTGGTGTCGCGACGAGATATCGAGGGAGAGGTGGGGCCGACGCAGGTGCCGAAAGGAAAGAAGCCAGGGAGGTTACTTGAAACGGCGAAAGGTCTTTCACCTTGCATTTATCATGAACCTGCAAACGAGCGCACAATCGGTGTGCAGTTTTATGACCAATACCATAAAACTTGGTGAGAGCAAACTTGATTCATAACATTAAAATTCTTCCTTGAGCTGGAAAAACCAAATGGCTTACTCGTGCGAGGTGGTTATCTGGCAAATTCACGCCGAGGATGTGGACCATGGTGGTGGCAGCGGTATATCTCTGGTCACGAGATTTTCAGTTTGAAGTTCCGAACGGGTTACGGAACACTGCCAAACAGTTCCCACTGGCAACTGGGTACTCTTGCTCGTCATGTCCGCCAACAAACCTGAAGGGCGTCGCGAAGATGCTCTCGCTAAGCAGCGCATGCAGATGCGAGAAGAATTCGAGCGACAGAAGCAAACACTCATCAACGAGACCGAGAAGGCACGCCCCTCTACAAATCGCTTTGTGGGGCAGAATGATTCTATGGAGGAGTCTCTAAAAAACAGCACCGTAGGACTGGTGCGTTTGGAGGACTTCCAGCAAAGGAGGAAAGAATTGGAAGAGAAGAAAGCTAGGGAAGCAGCGAGATCGAATGAGTTGAAGTGTGTTTATTTCTCATTCCATGCATCCCCCTTTCTACTTTTGTCTCGACGAGTTGCAAGATCAGATGGCTTATAAGATGTGGAGAATATGTTTAGGGACGACGCGAGAAAGGCAAAAAAGCGCAAGAAGACATCGAAGGCCACGCTTTCATTTGCTATGGACGACGCGCAAGATGCCGACGTGTCCAGCGATGCAGCGGGTGACCGTCGGGCTTCTCCCAGAAGAGAGCCCGACGACGTCGAGGACGGACAACCTGCGAAGCGAGGAAAGTTCAGAAAAAACCCCGACGTCGACACTTCATTCCTTCCTGATAGGGAGCGAGAGGAAGCTGAACGCAAGGAGCGCGAGCGGCTGCGCCTGGAGTGGCTGGTAAGGCAGGAGGAGGTAAAGCAAGAAGAGATTGAAGTTGTATATTCCTATTGGGATGGGAGTGGACATCGGAAAAGTGTTACGGTGAGCTCTTTTATTAAGGCCCATGTTGAGGAACTCATCTTGTGACATGGGACTCCTTCAATAGTGCAAGAAAGGCGATGGAATCGGTAGTTTCTTGGAAAAGTGTCGGCAACAATTTCCAGAACTGAGAGGTGTCAGCGTTGACAACCTGATGTATATCAAAGTAGGCGTTTGTTTTCCATGTTCATTGGCGTCAGCTCACCGATAACCTTAGGAGGACTTAATCATACCCCACGTATGTCGAGATGGCGCTCTAGCACCTCCAGTTCTGACCCTGCTCATAGCATTACACATTTTATGACTTTATCATCAATAAAGCACGCGGCAAATCGGGGCCTCTATTCAATTTCGACGTTCACGATGACGTCCGATTGCTTGCAGACGCCACAAAGGAGAAGGACGAATCCCATGCTGGCAAAGTTGTTGAAAGAAGTTATTATCAAAGAAATAAGCACATATTTCCGGCTTCTCGTTGGGAGGTAAGAACATGGCAACTCGTGCGGTTGCGGTTCGCTAATCCATTGAATGCAGGTTTTTGATCCTGAAAAGAACTACGGCAAATACACCGTTGCATGAACTTCTTATTAAATACGATTCTTTGCTATGACTTGTAACCAAGTAGTGAAAATGATTTTATTCAGCGTGGTTTATGACTGGTGGTTTTTTGCTCTTCTGAAAGTCTGCTGAAGACAAGCTCCAGCCAAAGGTCATGAATAAAGGGGCAAAAACATGGGGGCACCGCGGATCGAACGCGGGACCTTTAGAACACATAAATGCTTCAGTCTACTGCTCTCCCAACTGAGCTATGCCCCCTGATAGATATAGAGTAGAATGTGCTTATCTTATCGGTGAATTTGGATATTACTTCCTGATTTCTAACATTACCCTTTTGCTCTTTCCCAACACACGAAGTCCTGTATCCCTTGGCTCTTCGTTGTTATGTCTGGGACAGGACCTCGGGAAAATGTCTTTGCAACGCGGATGGCCCTTACGAACACCAAATTACGTCTGAAGGGTGCACAAACAGGACATTCCTTGCTCGCGAAGAAGAGAGACGCATTAACAACGAGATTTCGAGCTATCCTCAAGAAGGTTGACGAGGTACATTCCATTAATAACAACCTTTGCATGGCAGACCCATTCAATGAGTTAGCACTAGGCGAAACGGAAGATGGGCAGGGTAATGCAGCTGGCTTCCTTTTCGATGGCAGAGGTTACATATGCGACGGGAGATATCGCATATCTTGTGCAAGAACAGGCCAAAATGGCAACGTTCCGCGTTAAGGCGAAGCAGGAGAACGTATCTGGTGTCGTTCTACCAGCCTTCGAGGTTGATCGTGTCGCAGGATCAGGTTCGTTCTGGATCTTGTTTACCACCGCGCATCTCAACCTTTACTGTGAAAAGATTTCAATTTGACGGGTCTTGGACGTGGTGGGCAGCAGGTTATGAAAGCGAAGGAGGTATACGCAAAGGCGATCGAGACATTGGTCGAATTGGCCTCACTACAAACAGCTTTCACCATTCTCGATGAAGTTATACGCGCAACAAATCGTCGAGTGAACGCAATCGAACATGTCATCATGCCAAGGCTTGAGAATACAATCAAGTATATCATGAGCGAGCTAGATGAAATGGATCGAGAGGAGTTCTTCAGGTCCGTCGTTCTTGTTGCACAATATCGAAGAATGCGAGTGACAAAGACGGAAACATCCAGACTTAAGAAAGTACAAGGGAAGAAAAAACGAGACACGGCAGCTAGAAATGCGATTGAATCCACGCCCGACGACACAGCTGCAGAAACAGGGTTAGAAGAAGGACCGACAGATCTTCTAAGCAGCAAGGATGATGATGTGATTTTTTAAGCAGCAGCGTATAGTATACCACTCCACAATTCTCAGTAACGATTCTCTGAAGTCGAAAAGAACGGGATGCATATCATGTGCGCGTGCATAGATACATAGGTGACGTTGAATCGAGATATAACATGCCACGATAACGAGAGCAAATGATTTACTAGATATAAAGTTAGCATTCATTTTCCTTGACATTGATGGGTACGTACATCAACCATTTCCACATCTCCACTAGCCGCTACAGGCGCCTTCTTCTTATCTTTTCTGTCCAAAATTGCCCGTCTGATAGATAATTTGTTAGTAACTGGAACGTGAAAGGCTTGAGAAAAGGAGATAACGAACCGATCTTTATCCAGCTTGATGGTGGTGATAACAACATTGCTAGGGTGGATGCCAATGGGAGCGGTCGCACCATTCGATTTGTCTCTTTGCACACGGTCGACGTGAATGACCCATTTCTTGCGGTACACCTGTGTAATTTTCCCCTCACGCCCCTTGTACTTTCCCCTCACAATCCGAACCTCGTCGTCCTTCCGGATAGGCAGTGAGCGACACTGTTTGAAGAATCTCATTACCCGTTAGATTGAGTATAAGCCAAGGACCCACGTTGTGTTTGCTGCGGAGCTCCTTTGAGAGAGCGGACGACATGATCTTGCGGCGAATGGAAGAAGGAGCCGCAAAGTGCGCCTTGCGTGATTTGCGGCGCGAGGAAGAGACATCTGCAAGACGGAATAAGGCGTCAATAACATTGCCTTTCAAATGTTGCCTCCAAGTCATCCAAACTTCCAAGACCCCATCCAGCCCATAACTTGCCGTGAATTCATTCGTTTTTTTTAAGAAACAGAATGCAGCGTCTATCCATCGGGAGGAAAGTGTACACACCGGCGTTGAACTTCATTTTTGGCGAGAGGCTTGAGGACGGCGGGCACGATGACTCTGAGCCGTAGTGAGATACAAACTAGGCGATTCCCACGATCGATACTTAAGATCACATGCCATTCGCAGTACATACGACTATGAACAACAATGCCAGAACAGGCCATTCGCTCCTCCAAACTCAAATTCAAAGGAGAGAAGATAAAGAAGAAGCGAAAGAGAGACGTTGAAGATGACGACAATGATAATTTAGGCGCAGGAAGCAGCAAACGACGAATTAAAACTGACGACAAGGACCCAGAGACATGGGTTCTTCCCAACGACATCAACGAAATCCGTGGACCGACTTTTATAACGCACCCCTCTGATCCATCACCCATCTCTGTTAACTTCAACTCGACAACCAGCCGCATTGTTATACAATCTCTTGACAAAGAAAAAGTCGAGGATGGAGACGATGTTTTGAAGCTAGTGGACCGTATTCCGACAGACGTTGCACAGGTGTGGGTGACGACTCGAGTTTCTGGTTCACCGACCATTAATTTACGAACGGGTGTTGGAGAAGGAAAATTTCTCTCCTCTGACGCTCATGGACTGGTTTCTGCTGACCGCGACGCTCGTGGACCACAAGAAGAATGGACGCCCGTCGTTTTACCAGACGGCATGGTGGCTTTCATGAACGTCTATGAAAAGTACCTAAGTGTGGATGAAGTTGCCGGAGGCTCACTACAACTTCGAGCGGATAGCGAAGATGTCGGCTTCGCCGAGCGCTTTTGGGTTAAGATACAGTACAAGTATCAGAAGGAGGCTAACGAGGAGGAGAAGAAGAGAAAAGATGGACAAACAGGCTTACCAAAGATCAACGAGACAAGCTCGAAGTATGCAACAACATCTACTGTCTTTTTGCCGAATCTAACTTTATTTTAGTCAGTTATTCCAGACATGGGGTGCGGGTCGGATAGTTGTTTCTCATGATGACAAGAAGGAGGTGCGAATCATCAATGTCGATTTACCGTTCCCCCTTTTTCAATTCAACTATAGCTCAAACGAGCCCGCAAGGAAGGCCGACTAGCGGAGGCGATGCTTGATCGAAGATCAAAGTTAAAGAGGTAGATTTTTCTTTCGCCTGCCTTTTGAATGCTTTACTTATGCTACCCCGTCAGTGACCGTTTTTGCTGAGCTACAAGTTCTTCATATATTGGTATTCCGCAATTGACAACGTAATGAAAAGTCGGACGGGGGCCTACGGTGTGTGGATCAACAAGCAAGTGTACTTGGTCAAACTTGGATCACGACAACAAATTGAATCAGCTTCATTAAGGAAAGAAAGAAAAAATGTGATGGTTAAGAAATTGCGAGGTAGTAAGTGGTGTAAATGTATTCGTCTCGGAGGTGTTATATTGGGACCAATGAATGCTACAGAAGCGAAATGAAGGACGGCGATGGTACGAAGAGATCTGACAGATTACAGGTCTTCGTCATCCTCGGGAAGAGGAACCGCTTCGGCCTGTTGAGTTAACATGATCAGTAGTGGTTAGGAATGAAACGTTGCACGAGTCTGTATACCTGAAGGAGCTCTTGTTGATACTGCTTCATCAAGTTTTCGTCCACGGTGACTTCAGCAGGGGCCAAAGCTGGGGCAGCAACGAATTCCAGACCGGGATTGCTGTTGAGAGGAGAAGGCTTATTCAAAGGGACCGATACGGTGGAAAGACGAGACGAACCCAACAAGCTTGCGGCCAAGCCAAAGGAAGGGCTTCTCGAAGTTGTAGTTGGACTTTGCGGAAATTTCAAAGTATTGAAGGTTCTTCTTGCGGTGGAATGTGACAGCGCCAGTCTTCACTTTGCGCTCCTATCACGCCGGAAATTAGTCTCAATATGCGACAGAGAGGAAGAAAGAATACAACCTTTACATCGACCTTGTTACCACACAACACGATGGGGATGTTCTCGCAGACGCGTTCGAGGTCGCGATGCCAATTGGGGACATTTTTGTAGGTGATTCGCGAAGTGACGTCAAACATGATGATACCGCATTGGCCTTGGATGTAATACCCATCACGGAGACCACCAAACTTCTCCTGGCCGGCAGTGTCCCAAACGTTGAAGCAGATGTTGCCGAAATTTGTGGAGAATTGTAAGGGGTGGACCTCAACACCCAAAGTAGCTGTCGATAGTAATGATGTGCGTCAGACAAGATTACATGACAACCACGTCCAGAAATAAACGTGATTGAAGACATAGGACATACCGATGTACTTCTTTTCAAATTCACCAGTCAAGTGGCGCTTTGAGATGGGATGATCAGCACGCGATCTTGTCAAGAGTATGGATATGGGGCAATACTGACCTTGACAAAAGTTGTTTTGCCTGTACCACCATCGCCGACTACGAGAACAGACAAAAGATTGCAAGAAAAGAGAGATTAAATGGAACATCGATGAAAGAAACAACAAGAGATTGGACTCTGAGTGAGTGAGGATGTGATAAAATTTGAGAAGACAACGCACCTAGAACGAGCTTGAAAGTAGGAATGGTCGGGGTTTGATCAGACATGAAGGATCTAGGAGAGTAGAGAGAGAGTGATAGTCAAAGATGAGAACTAGTGAACTTGATAAGGTTTAATATTTATTTTTGCACACTTCCATCGGCATCCCGGCTCCTGGACTCCATTCTCATTGACTCATGATGGTATTAATTTTTTGAAAAATAATGCCCTTGTGGTCGCTTGTGCTCCGGCAGCTGTCAGGGTACAGGTACCCCTCTCTTGCCTTTTGCCCTCATAATGCCCTCCAATAATACTGAACCACCTCTTTCGCCAGGCACCAACCAACCATCACCCGAAAACCTTGCCCCAGGTTCCTCATGGAAGGATAACGAAACTCACGTCTTACCCAAGAATCGTCTGGGGATCGTATGTCGATCCATCTGGCCCTGCTGTTTATACCTGACCCTTGTGAAAGGTGTTCTTTGGCCTTTGCGCATGTGTCTTCTTAGCTGCCATCGACCAGGTCGGCTTAAACACTCGGCATGCCGTTCGTTTTGCCTTAATTCCGTCCTTTACAGACCATTGTTGCTACCGCTTTGCCCACAATAGTAGGCCAGCTTGGTGGTGGAGAGCAGTACAGTTGGGTCGGCAGGTTCGTGGATACGTAATTGATCGGCACGGCAAGCCTAACGGCCCTGTTTTAGCGCTTATCTCCTGGCAGCAGCAAGGTTAGTTTGCTTTTACCATTTGCCTGAGGGTCAGGCTTTCAAACAATAACTTCCTCTAGCATTTCCCCCCTGTATGGCAAGCTTTCTGACCTCATTGGCCGGAAACCAATTTTATACTCCTCCATTGTCATATTCCTGGTTTGTATCTTTGCATTTTTCTGTCCCAGGCCGATTTATCAGACTGTCAACTAGATAGGGTCCGCGTTATGCGGCGCTGCGCACAGCATGGTCGGTGCCTTTTTTTAACTTTTAAGAAAAATTAGTAATCGCATGATTCGCACTTCTTAGACCTGGTTGATCATCTCAAGAGCCGTGCAGGGAATTGGCGGCGGGGGCATTATTCAATTAGTAACGCATTCGTGCCTAGTTTCCATCTCTTATGCTGAAATCTGACGTAGGTTAACATTACAATCAGTGACATTGTCCCATTACAGGAGTAAGTCTCTTCGAACTTGACCAGAGGAACGGTATTGATGCTTCACCAGACGAGGAAAGTATGGCGGGCTCATAGGTGCAACATGGGGTATCGCCAGCGTCGTCGGGCCCCTTTTAGGTGGTGTGAGTTGAATATTCTTGCCCATTCTTAGTGCCTTCTGTTCAGAAAGCTTTCCGTAGGTTTTCACTGATCATGTCTCCTGGAGATGGTAAGTAATTTTAGCTAATCTCCCGTCCGCCTAATCAACTCCGCCGTTTAGGTGCTTTTTCATCAATCTGTGCGATTTGGCTACCACTTTGATTATTTCTGGACTCATCTGTTAATTATCCGACCAGGCCGACTGGAGGCGTTGCTGCTGCAATACTCTTCTTCTTCTTGAATCTGAACCCCCACCAAGGAAAAACATTGAAGCAACATCTGCAAGAATTCGATTTTCTAGGTCTAATTTTCATCGTGTCAGGAGTTGTTTGCTTGCTCATTGGATTTAATGAAAGCCAAACGAGCTGTGAGATGCAAATGGTGCAAAAATCTATATTTGTCAAGCTCACCTCACCCACAGGGCATTCTGCGGTCACGATTTCCCTTCTCGTCGTTGGTTGCGTCTTACTCGTCGTGGGAGGGATTAATGAATGTTTCACATCGCGTTCTCCAATCGTACCGCCTCGTTTGTTCCATACCAGAACCACCGGCATTATTTTAATTACGACATTCTTTCATGCTGCGGCTTTCTTTTCGGGTATACACTTTTCATACTTGATTATTCTGATCTTTGTTGAATTTTTTCTTTCTTTTTTTTAGGTGCTTACTACTTACCCCTGTACTTCCAAGTAATGGGAGCTTCCGCAACTAAAGCTGGAGTCGAGTGAGTCTGCCGATTTTTATACTTGGGCGCTGCCTACCGCTTCTGTGCTTTATAGAATGTTGCCATTCTCCCTTGGATGCGCGCTTACATCCGCTGTTGCTGGTATCGTTGTATCTCGCACGGGTCAATATCGCCCGATGATGTGGGGATCGTTTGCTGTGTTTACATTGGGTATGGGTTTGATGACAATGCTGGATAACCATTCATCCACGTACGTTTTTTCCTTTGTCTTTATCAGAGATCTCCTTCACTTTGCAACGCAGAGCTCTAAAGGTTGTCTACCCGTTAGTGGCTGCAGTTGGACTCGGATGTCTGTTCCAGGTATGTGTACAAGTAGTCTCCGTGTTACGGTTTTGGGCTCATCATGTTCAGACACCCCTCATAGGTCTCCAGGCGGCAATGCCAATAAAGGACATGGCCACGAGTACATCAACATTTGGATTTATCAGGCAAGTTTCTTTGCGCGCTTGTTTCACCCGCTGTAAATTGAATTGCGGTGCCTTTGTAGAACTTTGGGCGGCACCGTTGGGATCTCCATTGGCCAGGCCATTTATTCAAGTGTGCGTTCGAAATTATTATGAAGAGAATTTATTTATTTATGCATCTCCTTTATTTTGTTTAGGTTCTTGCCAAGAAAATCAGGAGAATACCTGGCTTGACGATGGATACGTCTCCTGGGGCTTTAAGCTCCAGTGTTCGTCACCTAGGATCCATTTCTGTACGTGTTAACTCTGATCCGATCGGCAACTGCTAAAGTTGATAAAATAGGATCCTATCCAACGAACGGCTGTTATACAGGCATATACCATCTCCATTAGTACAATTTGGATCGTGATGACGCCGATTGTGGGCGTCAGTTTCATCATGGGTAAGAGGTCTATGTGCACGTGCACAAACTAGCGCTGATGGAATGCTCAGTTTTATTTTTAAGAAAGTATACCCTCGAGCGCATGGTCATTCGGGTAGGCGAGGAAAAAGAAAAGGCAAAGGATGTTGAACAGGGATCTGCCTTGGGGGTGGCTGACGAAAAAGGAGAGGAAGAGACTCGTGTAAGCGGAGATAAGGATGAGCAGGAAAGACGCTCCACAAAGAAGGAGCCCTTGGAGGACGTGACGGGAAGACCGATGACAGGCTCTACACTCTGAAAAAACATTCGATGTAGTAGTATCAAAGTAAGGGCCCAATTAGTTAAAGCGATTCGGTTGAAAGTGGACATTTGTTAGTTGGGTGATCGTGCACGTGGACGGCCTGAGCTGACGGGCAGAGCAAAGCACTCTTCGACATTTTCTCATCGACATTAACCTGGACACCTCTTCCTCCTCTCCTCGTCCTTATGCCAGAACACATTGCCCTCGTCGTCGAGCACATCCAGCAAGAACAGTCCCAGGGACAATTACAAACCAAGCTCTGTTCTTCCTGCTCCACACCCGTCGACCCCTCAGCTCTCGTATTCTTGCCCCAAGCAGATGCTATCGTATGCACAAGTTGTCGGGAGGTCTTGTCCGCCCGGACTCCTTTAATAGTAACTGATGCCCGCCCTATCTGGCTTGTTCTTGATAATACAATCCCCATACGACAACCGTCGCACGAGGTCGGCTCATTGCAGCCCACGAGGCATACACAGGACGCACTCCCCTTTGATACTTCAATTTCTGCCCCGCCCCCGCTCTCTGACTCAAATTCTTCCTACCGTGGGGCTCTGATTCCCCCACCAACATATTCAACAAGACCCAATCCGTTAACCATTCAATGTACCAACATCACCCCACCTACCATATCTCATCGGGAGACCACCCATTATTCGACCACCCCAACGTCTACGAACACAACGGCCAGACGACATACCAGCCATACATCCCACCCCGATCCGTTCACAGACATAACTCGACTTCGCATGCGCTCCCGAGGCCACCAATGTCTTTATCCTGGTGCTTCCTTCCAGGGAACTCAGAAGAGTGGCAGAAACAGTTACGACGTGAATGTAACCATTGTGGTAGGCCCCTTTTGTCTGGTCCTTCTCTTTATTATTGCGTCCTGAAAATGTTCAACAGGACGTTGACTTTGCGTCTTCGTCCCTCTGTGGTTATCTTCGCATTCGTGGTCTGACCGATGACTGGCCAGAACTCACCACATATTTCGATGCCGAGATTATTGGAAGTAGATATGGTTTCATCACCCAGAATTGGGGTGCCACGGAGCACGAAGACCTTGTGCATTGGTCCCGTTTTCCAGCCTTCAAACATGTCAAGCATGAAACCAAAAGACCATATTTGACCATGGAGGATCGAGATCGTGGTGCAGTCTTCATGAGGTGGAAAGAGAGGTTCCTGGTTCCCGATCATCGTGTGCAAGACATCAACGGTGCTAGTTTCGCAGGTCAGACAGCTTCGCTGCAGCTCTTGTGTAAGCTGATGAATGCTTTATCCACCAGGCTTTTACTACGTCTGTGTCGACTTTAACCCTCCTGCAATTTCATCGCCTACTCGCTCGGCCTCACAACAGTTCCCTCTTGCACCAGAGTGCGATGAGGTGGAATTATTTTCACGCTCTACGATCATTCCAAAGGCCGATGGCCGTCGGCGTCGGGATTCTAGTGTTCGACGCTCAACACTTCCCCTTGTTCCATTGAGTCCGCCTGTCGCCACCATGAGCGGGTTCTATTACCACCAAAACTCCGAACCGTGAGTCCTACCTGATCATCCTCATCATTGATATCAACGTTGTCTCTTCCGACAGGTATCAACAACTATCTCTGTGTCACATCCCGGAGCGCACTAGCTCGAGCTTCGAATTTCGTTAATATTGGCTAGGTCGTTCCATCATCTTTGTACCACCAGTAAATAGCCTTTGTGGATCCTTCAACATTTGTGTTTTATTCATTTCACACTTAGGTTGCTCTCTGTATTAGTTACTCGTATTCTTGTCACCTGATACCATCCACTGAGTGCTCCTCGAAGACAGTTGTTTTGCGGTGCATCAATCAGTCGATGTCAATGTCCAAGGTTAACACCTCGGCAAAGAGACACCCGCCGAGCTGTCATCACTCAAGTACTTAAGGGTGGCAGAAAGTTTGCAGGCTCTTCCGCAATATAATGCTCACCATGAAGACTGAAGACTCTAATCTTCCTCATGTGGTAATTGTCGGTGCGGGGTGAGTCTATTAGGTTCTCTTTCCTTTCCTCGCCCAATCATTATCTTTTCAGCCTAGGTGGCATTGCCACCGCCGTGAAACTCAAAAGGCAACTGGGTTTCAATAACTTCACGGTATGTTGATGTCGAGCAGCCACCAACAACCTCGTCCGACTTGCCGCTTAGATTTATGAGAAAGCAAATGCAGTCGGGGGTACCTGGAGAGTGAGTGGTCGACGTCCTACTGCCTTTCCAACGATCCAGCCTAACCATTTATTCCATTTATTAGGACAATACGTATCCTGTATGCTTATTCTGCAATTCTGTTGGGCACGTTGACTCCTATCGACGCACAGGGTTGTGGCTCCGATGTACCTGGTCATTGGTATAGTCTGTCGACAGACCTTAATCCAAGGTGGCCGACGTTATACGCTAGCCAACCCGAGCTTTGCGCCTACTGGGAAGAACTGTGGCATAGACATGACCTCGTGCGACATACGCACCTGAACACTGCAGTGACGAATGCCGAATGGGATACCAATGCTCAGCAGTACAGGATAACGCTGCGTAACACGATCACGGGCAAGGTGTCGACAGTAGAGGCAGAAGTTATGTTTTATGCCATAGGGGGATTCCAGGGTCCTATATACCCCAAGGATATTGGAGGCTTGGACAGCTTTCGGGGAGACCTCTTTCATTCCGCGCAATGGAGGCATGATGTGGCTTTGAAAGGAAAACGTGTTGGCGTCATTGGCAACGGATGCTCTGCGTAAGAATTATTGCAAGTAGGTGGATTGCACTGGAATTCTTGTTTTTTTTAGGGCCCAATTTATACCTGAAATCTCCGCGGATTCGTCTGTGAAGATCGTCAATTTTGTTCGAACACCGCAATGGTATATAACTCGCGTGAGGGCTTTACCTTCAATTGTTGTCCTGATATTCATGGTGCCCAGGGGAATTACAGGTACCCTCGATTTGTCCAAATGATATTCGCATATGTACCGTTCATTGTGCGATGGTACCGCAATTGCCTTATGGCGAGGGTATGTGTCTGCTTCCACACTTTTGTATGGTGTCAAGAGTACTCGTCTCTAGTCCGATATCTCCTTTTTACTCTTCCGGAAGAATAACAAGCGCTTTCTGGCTATCACAAAGATGGTTATTATCTGCCTTCTCCATGAGACGCAAACTGACTTGTCCTGAAAGGCGCTTACAGCCTACATCAAGAAAATGGCTCCTAAAGACCAGTTACGGAATTTGATACCGAGCTATGGTACTTATGTTCTACTTCTAGTTTGCACCTGATGGCCCACTGAGGTACTCTCTCTACAGCTCCTGGATGCAAACGTATCATCGTGGATCCAGGCTATCTGAAATCACTACATCGGCCTAACGTCAGTCTTAACTGGGATGGGATCGAGACTGTAGTGCCGGAAGGAATCAGGATGAAGACCGGCGAGACTGTTCCGTTGGACGTGATTATTTTTGGAACAGGGTATTCTACGGTTGGCGAATTCTCCCCTTCTATTTGGTTCAATCACTGACTTCTTTTAGGAGCCCGCTAGCTTAAAAGTTCGAGGGAGCACTGGCGGCACAATACATGAATATTTTGCAAGTCAGGGCGGACCAAAGGCCTATGTCGGGACCTGCATGCCTGGTTTCCCCAACCTTTTCACCCTGTTAGGTGTGTTTTCATATATACAATTTGTCCCTGGTGCACTGATACTGGGATCGAGGACCAAATGTTGCCACGGGGCATGCTTCTGTCATCTTCAGCCAAGAAGCGCAGGTTGGTTGGAATTAGATCCTAAACAAGGAGACACATGCTGAAGGAAGCGTAGATTGGATTTGCACTCCAGCTTATCAAGCCGATCCTTGATGGGCAAGCCAAGTCTTTTGAAATATCGTCAGAAGCGACAGATGAGTACAACACGTGGTTACAGGATCGCCTCTCGACTTCAGTCTGGACGGATTGCACCTCGTACTACCAGGGAGCTGGTGGCAAAGTGATCTCGACGTTCCCTGGCCCAGTGGCGTTGTTCTGGTGGTTAACGCGATCGCCACGATGGGAATTATTTCGTGGGGTTTGGGGGAAAGAATGGGAGGAGCAGCTACGAAGGAACAAGTCAAAGAAGTGGGCTTGGAAGTGGGGATTTATTACGGTGTTGGCGTCGTTGGTATTGAGTATGGTGTTGCAGAAATATTAATTTTTGGGCGGAGTTGGATTGCCTCGTTTGTTTGTACAAATGTTTGTCGCTTCCTCCTCATACTACATAGGCCTCCCCGGCTGGGCCCTAATCGTCCTTCCCGACGCCCATAATGGCGTCCCACTCACACCCTTCGTCCACCGCTAACATCGTCGGTGCTCATTACCGCGTTGGAAAAAAAATCGGTGAAGGCTCGTTTGGTGTCATCTTCGAAGGCGAGCTCTCATGACCATTTGCACTCTGCCTACAACTCACCGCTCAAGTATCTACAGGCACAAATCTTCTCAACTCACAGACTGTGGCCATCAAGTTTGTGCGCTACCTCTCCACTTCGCCAAATCACTCCCTCATGTTGTGCTGTAATAGGAACCGAGAAAGGCTGAAGCTCCTCAACTTCGTGACGAATGTCGTTCTTACCGTATTCTCTCTGGGTGTAGTCAGTCCGCATAGTACCAATTCCCCTTCGCCCACACTCAATGTCCCCCCCCCCCTTAGCTGGGATACCGCAAATCTATCACTTTGGGCAGGAGGGATTGCACAATATTTTGGTCATCGACCTCCTTGGACCGAGTCTCGAAGATCTTTTTGACATGTGTGGCCGGAAATTCTCGATTAAAACTGTATGCATGGCCGCTCGTCAGATGGTATGTACTATATATATCTTCTCCTACTCCCATGACCATCGTGACAGATCACCCGAGTGCAAACTATCCACGAGAAAAACTTGATCTATCGCGATATCAAACCGGATAACTTCCTGGCAGGACGTCCAGGAACGAAGGGGGCCAACGGTTAGTATTTTGTTGCCATACCCATTTATCCCTCGATTAACTAACCCCGACGTAGTCATTCACGTCGTAGATTTTGGTATGGCCAAACAATATCGAGATCCGAAGACGAAACAACACATCCCGTATCGTGAACGGAAGAGTTTGAGCGGCACAGCGCGGTACATGAGCATCAACACGCACTTAGGTAGAGGTATGCGCGCTCTGAAATTGGGCGGAACATACAAAAGAGCAACTTTTTATCGCAGAACAATCTAGAAGAGACGACTTGGAAGCTCTTGGACACGTCTTCATGTATTTTCTGCGCGGAAGCCTTCCCTGGCAAGGGCTCAAAGCGGCTACGAACAAACAGAAGTACGAGAAGATTGGAGAAAAGAAGCAAACTACACCAATCAAGGAGTTGTGCGAAGGCTTCCCTGGTATTGTTTGTTACTTTCTTTGTAAAGTGTCCATTGAAGCTTTTTGTCAGAGGAATTTGGAATTTATCTCAACTACGTACGCAAGTTGGGGTTTGAGGAGGCGCCCGACTATGATTTCTTGAGGGAGTTGTTCTCGAAAGTCATCAAAAGCAATGGCGACGTGGACGATGGCGTTTTTGACTGGAATTTACTCAACGGTTGGTTTACCCCTCATCCCCGTTTCATTCCAGTAATCTTATGATATTCACTAGACGGAAAAGGTTGGGAGGTTTCCTTGGTTCGTGCCAACTTGAGCTCCCTCTTGCTGACAGAGCGCTAATGGTCTGACTTAGGGCCATAACAACCAAATGTTGGCTCAAATGCAAGCATCGGGCCTCGCTCCCGACAGACGAAGGGACCAACGTGACGATAGGAGACGATCTCAGGCAGGGAACGTCGTCCCTCCGTCACCAGCTCTCGTTCGGCACGGGTCAAAGCAACGCAAAGTCCCGGTCGCTCTTACTCCCGCCGGTGGCAATGCAACTGGGCAACTAGCTCCACACACTGGTGCTGCACAAGTCAACATTCCTATTGGGACACAACATCGCCTCAGTGCCCAGCATCCTTATGCCAATGCTGCATCGGGAGGTGGGTATGACTACGGCCGAGAAACCGACGACACGTATAGGATACAACAGCAACAACAATACGGACGTGCTTCTCCCATGGTGCCAAGTGTTGGAGCTGTACCCCCAGCCGTCAGCAACATACGTGCGAGGGGTGGGGAAGCAGGTATATCCCAAGGCGAATATGACGGACGAGAGCACGAAGACCCATCGCCCAAACCTACTTTGCTCCGGATCCTCACATGTCGATGCTAGACTGTCTGCCACTCATTACGCGAACTCATTCACGACCTTCTCTTTACGTTGCTCTTCTTGAATAATTATGCTCTGACATCCTCGGCTCCCCATACCATATCGATCATCACTCTTTTCATGCTCTCCTATACCCTCATTGACCATTTTCGTAATACTGTTTCCCTCGCTTTTCTAACTATAAATACTTCTCCCGAATGATTTTGGAATATATTTTTATCTCGGTTGTGGGCAAGAATTACTGCGAGCAAGTAGTAAAAGGTGAAAGATCCACAAGAGTATGTTGCATAGATACTAATATAATATAATACATTGAATACGATTCCTCGAGGTAGAAATGCATGATGATAATGTGTGATCAACGTCTTAGGCCCAGGCGTTGAACGTAAGGTCTATGGATATATTAATGGAAGTTCACACAAAAATTTGAGGGCCTACGAACCTGATGGAGTTTGTGCTCGAGATTGCGTGCGGGGGGACGACGGTTTCCCGTTCGGAGATGCGCTCGAGGCCCCATCTATGTTTGCCACCCCACCATCTGGCATGTTCATTGGTTGCTGTACCTCATCCGCCTTTGCATAGTCGTCCTCCCATATTTGTGGATCCTCCACCTCCGAACGATGAGGAGAGGGCTCGCGCAGTTCCTCTATACCACTTCTGATTTCCGTATCCTCAAAAGACGCTGTGCCGCAAGAATTTGCATTGGGAGTGCGATCACCTCTCTCGGACTGATTCTGCAACGACATGGTAGATGGAATGCTTCGCACTAAATCGTTCATTGAAGCTGAGCTTGGAGCTCCGCTTTCAGAGACGCAACGACGTTGCCACACCATTGGATTCCCAGCCTGAAACCCTGGTGCTGGCTGAGTTTTACGCCGTGCACGACCTCCAGCCACACGGTTATTTGAGTGATGGCCACGAGCGTGGTGTGGCTGGATATATCTCGCGTCGGGCTGCCTCTTATACTGTGATGGAATGGGGCGCAGGTCGTATCTTGGATAACTCTCAAGCATAGGATTATGACGAGGATAACCCCTGATGGATGGGTGTGGCTGAATTTGCGTCATGCTTTCTAAACTCGTTGGATCTGGTTCCCTGTCCCATCTCTGACGTTGAAGCTCGCGGCGAGCCCCATACTCCTCTGAAGATTGTCTCGGTCTTCTTGAAGGCGAGTCCAGTCCAGGATAAGAATACTTTGGACGTTTCCAGTTGGGTAGGTGGTAAAAGGTATTTGGACCTGACCTATTATGATTCAAAGGCATTTGGTGGCCATAATCTGCAATGGAGTCGGTTCCCATGTGTGGATAGGGTGGCCGTCCATATGGAGATCCTCTTCCGCGTTCACGAGGATGATATTGCTGACCCGAAGTGAATGCTCGCTGTTCTCTCGCTGAAGTGGCATTAAAATATTTGTTTGGTAGAGTGAACTTGTATAATAAGCTCACCTGCATTGAATCTGGGACCGCTGGGAGGTGGATAATGGGAAACAGTCCTAGAAGGACCCGGTAGGGATTGCATCAGATATTGTAAGTGGGAGTTCTCGTGTGGTTCGGGTTTCTTTTATGATATTGACGCCATATCAATGACAAACTAAAGTAGAGACGTACCTCAAGTTGCATAGACACAAACGCGCCGCCGATGGCTTGTAACACTACGCCCAACATGTTGACGAGACCGGAAGAGTCATGCTGAGTGGGCTGATTTGATATAGGCGCAGGGTGCACAGGGGTCGCTGGCCCGACTAATTTGCGAACGTTGCTTGCGTTCGCTGAGGAACCACCCTGATCTTCTGAGAGCTGAAATACCGTATGCAAACCTGGCTGCTGCTGGAAAGTTAATGGTGGGTGGACAGCCTCTGATGGAGGGCTTTCAAGAGCTACTAATCTGTCAGGTTGCTGCTGCGTACTGATCTTTCCACCACCGTGCACAGCCGTGGATGTCAGAATTTTCGATGCCTCATCCGATTCGCCTCCTTCGGGGTGGAAATATGACGCCGTTTGAGAGGTGGGTTGGTTCTCCGCGACATCGGATGTACGTGTTTCCAGAGGCTCCGGCGACGACTCCACCTCCATCATCATTCGTTTGCCTTTAACTCGCTTCGGGCGTGAAGAGGTTCCTGGAGATGAAGTTGAATCGTTTGCTGAACTATGCGAAGGCTGAAATTTTGCTAACGGCTGCGCGTTGCCTGAGTTGGCAGAGTTCATGGCGTCAGCCAACTGAGATGGGAAATGTCGATCCCCATGAGGTCGAAGAAGCTTCTTCTTGACAGTCGTAGCCGAACGAGTTAAAGGCTTCCTTGGTGCTGTTTCACGGGGTACTGCTTTCTTCCGTGAACCTTTGCTGTTACTAGGTGCAGAAGTAATTTGAGAATCCAATATTTGAACATCCGCACAAGAACGAAGATCGCAATCAGAAAGGGGGCTATCAATTGTCGAGTTCACGTCTGTTACTGCCGTTATGGGAGAGTGCCCTGTTGCTATGTTTGCATTGCCACTCGTGACGCTGCGTTTCCTCCTAATTTTGGCAGGGGCAGTGGATGGAGAACGATAAAAATCTTCGTCATCCGCTTTTCGCTTACCCTTTCTTTTAGGAGAGTCACTAAGTGGGGAGGCTTCGGCGGGGTCGAGTGGGTGGACCGTCCCTTCTTTCTGGATAGCAGAAGCCGCGTTAGAAGTCTGAGGAGCCGCGTCAGAAATCTGAGGAGCCGCGTTGGTAATGCTTGAGAAATGCAATGGCCCAGAGATGGTGTATGATGCCGGTGGGACCAACACAAAAGCAAGGTTTGGCCTACGTCCCATTTCCGGAGGAAAAGTAGAACTAAATTTGTTATGCGTTGAAGACTTGGAAGCTGGCTGAATGATTGGTGTGGGTGCAGAAAATTTCTCTGGATGTTCATCAGCTTGAGGAAATCCTGGGTGCTCGATGGCCTAGCTACAAAGGTAAGAGAGTAGGATTGCTTCGTTGAACGCCACTAACCCTGGGAACATGAACAACGGTGTCATACCAACCGGGACTCATAAAGGTAGGAGCAATGGGCCTACAAGCACCATACTTGAGTGCCATGTCCACGCATTGGAGTTGGAGATTCGGACATAATCCATTCTTTTGCTTAGTTTGAAGGCTTGAAATCCCGTCCTCGAATCTTTTCTTTCCATTCAGGTGACGTTGGTGATAGGAACCCCGAGTTTGAGTCTCATCAAACTCATGAAAAAGTAGTGCTTCTGCGGAATGCATTCTTTGGTCGACCAGGATGTGCGAGAAGCATTTTGCGGAATGGCATCCTCTGCATGACAACGTAGAGGCAAACGGAAGAGTGTGCGAGTCTTCGTGGACCCTCGCGATGGTGCAGACTTTCGTGGTCTTCTGTAAAAGAACTCAGAGAGGTGCGATGCAGAATAGGACCAACAGACCGTCACGCTATGTTTACGTCTCTTAAGCAGAAGACGGGCGGCACGGAACGTTCCCGAGCGACAATCTTCGAGAAAGTTGCTGAGCCCCAGTGTTAGCAGAAAAAGATTAGCCAGAAAACGGTACCCACGGTTCCAATTCAACTTTCTGTAAGCCTCCAGCCTGTAAAACTTTGATTGTTTGCCTGCGAACGCTCAAGAGATCATCAAACGGACGACACTGCATGGGCTCCATGATCAAACATTTGCAGCTTCGACCCTCCACGTAGCATCCTGCACAGACAACATAGCTACCATGATCACTCGATTCAGACTGGCCAGCTGTGCACTTGCGGCACTCAAAAAAACTTTGAAAAACGTCCGCGCCACAGAAATCGCATGTGGTCCGCTCGTGGGCGGTTAGGTCAGTACTCGACGAAAGAGGGGAGTATTCGTCGCTAATGATGGCGTCATACAGGGAAAGTGTTTCGGAAAGTTTGCCGATTAATTGGTCTACCACCGAATGTCCAGGATCAGACGCGCCAAGAGGTTCATGTTGGGACTCAAGAGTAGGATATCCCGGCGTTGTTGGGATCGTACTCCGAGACATTGAACCTGATGTGCTAGATGACTTGGGAGATTTTCTGCGATCAAGCAAGTCATTGAGCTCTCTGGTCAATCCCAGCAGGGTGTAATAGATGGTACTCTTGACACGATAAGTTTCAGATCGGCAAACCCTGGAATCCATGTCTCCAGAAAGAAATTTGACTCAGAAAAGACTTGAGGCTTACCTCCGATAGATTGGGAGTTCATGGTAATATGCGGTTGACAAACCCTTCCAAGTCATTCTTGACCACGATGTCTTGATTGTAATCCCGCCAGAATTGACAACCTGGTGACAGCTTCTGGGGGGAACTAAAACCAGGTCTCCGAGTTTCTGCTCCGTGATGTAAACTTTGAATGGAGCCTTGCTCAACTCGTCGATCGTGATAACATGAGACTCGTGGTCAATTTCTTGCCTCAAGCTCTGAAAGTAATCAGCTACTTGAGGAGCACTTGAACTTTCTGTCATAAACCAGAAGGAAGACCCGTCGTTTTCCGTGTAGCACATTAAATTCTGACCAGAGGATCCACAGAGGTCTTTGTGGCAGGGCGTAAAGGTATCACCCACTCCGACGTAGCACATCAGTGTTTCCACAAGTTCCTGCATTAGAAAAAATTTGACTTAATCCCCAAAAAAAGTAGTTACAATCTTCTTACTGTTTTTGGTCGATAACGAAATACATCGCCCGGTCCATCGACAAGTAAATGCGCTGGGATAGTATCGCCATCTTGCAGCCATTCCTTCCACGCTGGTGGACATTCAGCGTCTTTCCAATACAGCCTTTCTGTTTCTGCGCAAATTGTAAATTAAATTGAGGTTAACTTCTACAATTTATAAGTACACACCTTTTGGAGTTGCGAACTGAGGCGTTGTACGTGACTTGGTTATGAAATCGGATAGTGAGATCTTTCTGTCGGACCGGTCGTGAATGTTTCTAACAGAAATATCTAAGGGGGTTTGATGAGCACTAATGCAAAGACAGAAGAGATTATCTGCACCTTCTCCTGACGCTTCACAGAAGCCATCAAGCGTAAATTTTGCCCAACTTTTGTGGTTATGCCATCCCTCAATGACTAAAGGTTTGCCGTTTGCTTCATACTGCTCGATCGATTTCGCCAAAGACCTTGACGAAGCGGGAACGCGCTTGATGTGATGGAAACTTTTGCTTTTTTTGAGAAGACTGTCGATGGTCAAACCCTTAGTAGACAGAAAAGTGCTTCGTGGTTGTATGGTGCTTTCGGCGTGCATGCCGTTCCGAGTAATGAGCGCGTCTAGCTTGGCAACGCGAGCGTCGTAGGAGGCGGTGAGGGTGGGAGAGTGGAAGGTAGGGTTGTCACGTGCCTCCGCGATCACTGACTGATCGCCGGGCCTGCGATCGCGAGCAGGAAATTGGTCCCCCCATTTCGGTTGGGACGTCTTCAGTTTCTGCCTTTGTTTCTCAAAACCCATGGTGGACGGGGGGAAGCTAAGGACTCTCTCGATGCTTCTATATTGATATATATCAACGGCATCTAGGCGCCTGTACATAGCTGTACATCAAACATTTCTCATGTCAAAAGAGGCGCCATATACAGAGTGGGCTGTTCTGGTCAAAAGGAAGTGCAGCCAACACAGCAACTTATGTAACACGGTAAAGAAATGGTGACATAGCCTCACAAGAATAGCCAAAGGGAGTACAATGTCAATTGAGAGCAATGCTGGGCAATGCTGTAGCGACATATGCACAAGGGCGTGCCCTGGCGTGCCTTTGGCTGCCTCGCCAGCCAAGCATGGCAATAAAGACGTTTGACAGATTGGCGCCAATCTCGGCCCGTAAGTAATCTAGCGCGTGACATAACGTGTTTCTCTGGCTTGTCTTTTGGCCCCCATCATGTCTCTTGCCTCTAGCGATTTTGACTTCTGGGATTTCGTGGCGTGCGCCAAGTGTCAACTTCCATTCTCCTCAGATTCAGGCGGAACTGTTCCCTTCTGGCTGACGGAGTGTGGCCACGTTATTTGCAACACCCACCTCAGTGAGTCCTCTTTTGACTCGCGAGTAGCATAAAACTTCGATAGAGATTTATTTAAGATGCCGATCAAAGTTGCGCTCAATGCGGATCGTCTGGTATCCAACTCGCACCTCTTCAACGGGAGGTTGGTCTATGTCCATCAAGTGGCTTGTGAATATCAACACGCCATAACTTAGATGGAGCCACCAATGTCCGAGTGGTTTCGGTCAGTCTCTCACTCTATGGATTCCGCAGCTTATGCCGTGAGGGTGGGTCACCTTCATAGTTTCTCCGATAAACACTCCATACTTCGTAGTTTCAACAAGAAACAATGGCTTCTCAAATACGATATTATCGAACACGGCACCAGCAACTCCGAGTTTTCGTCGACCGACTCAAGCGCGACGTGGCCGAACTCAAGAAGTAACACAACTATATGGAATTCAACTAAATAAACATTCGATTTTACAGGATGAACGAAGTGTTGTCAAACGCAAATGAGCAGCTTCAATACAAACAAAGATTTGCTCGACACGCGAACATGCCTGACAACGCCAGGTCATCTGAAACTCTGAACTCCAATGGAAAACGTCAAATGGTTCCTGCAGAGCAGTAATACAATATCTTTTATTTCTCAATTTCATTCGAAAAATGTCTTTTTTTAAAACCAGATATGGTCACCAAAACGGCACGCCAGTAGCTGGCTCTAGTCCACGTTCAATCCTAACTCCACTGGGTCCCACCAGACTTACTCTACCACCTGGCCAAACTGTACAAGAGTTGTCGTCTCACGCGCTAAGCAATCACAACGATACCGGCCTTCACCCAACTCATGGTTCCGGCAGAACTCAAATGCATTCTTCCAACGGAGCGCAGCGGCGTCCATCAAGTAAATTGATGGAGTAAGCACGTACAGGTGCGAAATGATGCATATACGCTACTAACGACAAACTAGGCAGTATGCATATGCCCCACCCGAAACTCCTCAACTGCATCTACCACACTTATCTTTAGCTCAAGCTGTCCCGAAGTCATTGCAGCGCCAGAAAGGTGCTTATGATGGACGTCTAGATGCGCAACGGATACACACGCCCGTCCCACCAACCACATTGTCAAGAACAAACCCTGGTCCTAATATAAGCAAGCAACTTGGGCCACCTCGCTCGTCCAGTGCTGCAACCCAACCACAGCGAATACAAACTAACATGGGCCCACCGCCAACACCGCAGCACTTACACCAGCGAACACAGGCCAATTCAGGGTTCAATCCAAATGAAACATCTTCGGGCTTGGGCAGCTCTGGTGCTCGTGCAACCCACCCATTCCTCGACGTTTCCGATACCCTCCAAGATCCACGAACCTCGACTTCCGCACCCCAACGCTTTTTCGACCACCGTATCGCTTCTACGCATGCTGGAAATTCTTTACAGGTCTTTAATCCCGGATCAAGAGCACCTTCCAGGGCGTCGCCACCGAGAATCGTCGGGCAAAGGATGCCGTTTGTTCCCGCAGCACGTTCTCTGAACCACCAAGGACGCTTTGGGTGAAATCGGACGTAGGACACATTCTGCTTCGTCGCATGGTTTTTGGGCATTTACTTTATTGTGAAGCTTCTAGTAGTGAAATGAAGCTTTCAAGTATTATGTATGACCAGTGTATAAATAATTTGCTATGTTTTCTGCACAGCCGGTTGAGTTGATCGTGACTTGTGACCGCTCGTCGAGAATGACCATCATTCTCGACAGCATCCCGCAGCCAGCCTGACACCTTTCTCCGACAATCTTTCTTTCCTGCGCTTGTTTCCCTTGTTCGTAGACCATTCGATGGCATACCGAGACCCCTACGTCGACCAATATAACTTGGGCACTCAAAATAACTATCATGGCTCTTACGCTCCACGACAGACATACGACGACATGGGTCCAGATTATGACCCATATTCTACGGCATACGATAGCGAATCGAATCAGCCATACCACGACTCAAATTCCGGTACACAGACTTACCCCCCTCAACGACTGCCCTCAACAAAAATAGCTCAACGGCAGCCCTCAAATGGAGCCTACATAACCGACGCCAATAGAACCAATATCCCTGTCCTCGCAGTTGCCCCCGTACGTAAGGAGGGCGGTGGATTTGATAAGGGAGAGTTTACGCCGACCACTCCGAAGTGTGCCGTTACTTCTCCGTCTTGACGTGATGTTCACTTTGGGAGAAATAGATCAGTTCGTGCTATCAAGAATTATAGAGTTGACCACCAGGGGAACTTGTGGACGAAAGTATGTCATATTCGTAAACGACGAGCATGTCTTGTTGACCGCTCGCCTTTCAAGGGAGGACGAGGGCGCTGCGTTGGACGGGTTTGTTGTTGTACAGTTATGACGGCTGTCTTCTTGATCGTCAGCATCGTTCTTTCCTTGGCTCTGGTAGGTCAGGTCCAACCAACAGTGATTCCGAACTTTATTTTTGCCTGTTCAAAGTGGATAAGACCGCCCAGCGTTGTCATCGGGAATGTCCAAACTTCTGGGGTCAATGTTACGGGAGTGGGTCTTTTCTTATATAGTATTCGTATTTTGGCTCAAATGACTCCAGGGCTCAGGTTTATCGATCAACCTGGGAGTTAATATCTCGTTAGTATTTTGCTCTATTGGTTGACTAACGCATCGAGCTTACTTGTCTTACTGCTTTTTAGCGTCAATAATCCAAATTATTTTTCTGTCGACTTTCAAAAGATTGAAGCTGAGGTATTTATTCGCAATGTGTGGAAACCGTATATTTTTTTCCTCAAAGCGCCGCAGATATACTATCCAATCAACAACACCCTAATTGGCGGCGGGACTTCAGAAAACATTATATTCCATTCAAGATCACAAACTGAATTCACATTCCCATTCATGCTTTCCTACCAGACGACTCTTGATCCTCAGGGTAAGATTTTGATAGATCTGGCAAATAAATGTGGCGTCAATGGAGGGACAAAAAGCAACATATCAGTCAATTACAAGATCACGGTTAGCTCTCTATTATCATCTTGAGCCCTCATTCTTGAAAAGCTATTTTTTTTCTAGTTGGGCATTCGAATTGTGCTTGTGACGATTTCTCCTGTGGTCGCCAACACTTTCACATTTTTGTGTCCGATCAGCGCAGCTGAGCTTGAGGTATGAAGAGACTTGGTCATTTTTCCGTACACTAATCCTTTCTTGGTGTAGGATATGCTCAAAGGAGCTGGGAGCTGAATACTTAATGACAACTGTTCTAAAGTTGGAAATTGTGGAGAGTTTTCCTTATCACGACATACATACTTGTCAGGAACGATTATGAGTGACATTGCATGTCACCGCACTAGACCGCAAATCATAAACTTTGCTCAGCCCATGATGTCACATAGCACCCCATTCCAATCTTTTCTTGGGGGATTGAGTATTCCAATCCCAGTTCATGCCCTTTTGCTTCTGAATGGGAGTGTATTGGGAGTTTCGGGTTTCGTGCATCGCGCAATGAAGGGAAACCCAGAGGCTTTGTCCGGAGCAGTTGGTCTCATCCTTGGGGGAGTTTTTGTGGCCATGCTTGAAAACACAAGCCTCCCGCCTCCACTACTTCCTCTTCCCAAGGTATTGCTTTCGGGCTTCTTGGTTGGTTTCGGGACTAAGGTGCGGCATCCCTGTATAATCTTTTACTTTCACTATGTCTGATTACTAATGGTGCTACAGTTGTCGAACGGATGTACCTCTGGGTGATTTTCGATTATCAATATGTTTTTCAACCACACAACGTTAATTAGGCTCCCCTGACAGTCATATGATTAGCGGTTTATCCCGATTCTCTTTACGGTACGTCAAATATGCTTCCTTTCTTCTTTCCCTGTTGTTGATGGAAGGACGGCGTGATCTATTAATAGTTCGTTGGTAGCGACTGCAACCTTTTTTATTACAGGCGTTGTCACGACATATGTTTTTCATCAAGACTTGCCAGCAATAAGCACTACAGATTGGTCTATTGGTCCCATCGGTTCAAAATTACTTGCATTTCAGGCCGTACCTCTCGCTTTATCTGTTCTTTTGTACAACCTCGTACGTCCTCCTCCGTGTTCTGTACCGGCGCTGCTTTTGTTGACAATATACAAAGTCCCCTGCTGATACTCAGCTCAACCCGTCGGTTGACGAACACTCGACGCTCGTCAACAGGTCCGACTCTTCAAATTCTCTTCTCCGCTTGCTAGCTCCTCTTATAACCGGCTTTCACTTCGCACTCGCCCTTCGGCTGTCGAATCTAACAGACCCCACTCGCGTTCTTTCCTTCCTTCTTTTGCCATTCCATCGCGCGTTCGATCCCTCTCTCGCTTTCCTCGCCGTGGGGGCGCTCCCCCTCAATATTCTATTGTACCATTACGCGCGCGGAAACGAAAGGCCTTGCCTTGGAGGTAAATGGGGTATTCCGAATACACCTGGGAAGATCGACGTAAAACTAGTTGTTGGCGCCGCAATCTTTGGAGTTGGATGGGGATTGACAGGTGTTTGTCGTGAGTACTGATTCTCCCTTGCAAGATATTTCTTGATTCGTTGTGATTGCAGCCGGTCCAGGTCTGGTTAATTTTGGGAGGTCACTTGTTGGCAGCTCAAACCCCACGCCGTTTGCGGGTTGGTTAGGAGGTGTTGCTTTAGGTGGATTGTTGGCATGGTAGATGTTATATGTCCCACCCATAGCGGAAATATCCAGACTTTCCACTATTCTGAATGAATTTCAAAAATTATGTGTTTCGACGCTGTTGTCGGGTTGAATACTGCACAGACTAGGCACCTACCCGTGCAAGCCCAAAGCTAGGTACCCCTTCTGAGTTTTTCCAACATTCAATGACGAGGGTGTGGAATGCAGTCGATTGGACAGCATCCATGCCCAAAGGCTGATGAAGGTCCACCAGGGCCCCGAGAAACGGCTTAAGACGGTCACGTAACTTGATTTGAGCTTCAGAGTTATCGCGAATATCTATCCGCCTCAAATCATTGAATAAATGACACTAAATCTCATCAGAATAATTTTGATTCAATGACATCTGGAAGAACATACGTCATCATCAACGGATACTGCGAGTTGCTGACCCTCTTTATCCTCTATCGCCAAAGCAAGATGGTATAAATATTGGACATATTCGTGATCGAAATCGTAGCAATCGTAACAAGCTTTCCGAGATGGATCAATCCTGAGACGACATGATGTTAGGATATTTATATCAAAGGAAAAAATATAGACATACTCTGACTTGCATCGAGAACAGAACAAGATAATGGCATTCCTCAGGTCTGGCGGATACATTTTGATAACCCTAGCGAATATCCTGTGTTTATTAGGATATCGATCGAATTCCAAGATTTGTTTGATGGTTGAGTAATAAAGACCTTGAACGGGTGCCGAGCTCGTCTGCTGCTGCCAGAGCGATTTACGTCTTACACAATTATGTGCATCAGTAAGCGGTCGGTGTATATGGCATGATTCTACCCACCGAATCAATTCTGCATAACGCTCATCGCCAGCATCCAAGGTCAAGTTTTGTATTTTTCTCTCGTTGCCACCAAGGAATCCGTGAAGCAACTTTACTGCTTTGTTCATACGCAGACGGAGTTTGTTAATGCGATAGTAGGCAGGCACATTAAGTAATTTTGCCATTTCATATTGTTCGTTGTCCAATAAGACTCGAAGAATGCGTCCTTGAAGATTCAAGGTCCAGGTACCTGAGTAATTTGGAGAGAGCTGGGGATGGGCAGTGTAGTCTGTAACATATAAACATGGCCCATCGCTCTCCTCGAGTCGTAAGATCTATGAGACGTAATTAAACGCTCAGCCTTGTTTATCGGGGATAACTCACCTCCACCGTGCCATTGAAAAAGGAATCTTCGACAGCATCTTCGATCAAGCGATGTTCGAACTGGGCAGATGAGTCTTCAACCTTCTCCCACGCTTGTTTCCGCCTAAAAAGTGATGAGTAAACAATATTGCGAAGTACATGAAGGAAGCGCACTCCAGTAGGGCCCTGAGGTATAGGTTCGTTTCCGATTCCCCTTCCTCTAATTGGGTAATTTTTTGTTCAACCACTTTGCCCTCCAGACAGCCGTAATTGCTCCGTTTCATCCGGGCGTTCCGTATGTGATAAAAGCTTCCTTTTTCCATTCGTCGCCCCAAAGTAGCCGCACTGTCCCACATCTCTATTTTGAGCACGAGCGTGGCCATGGACGCAGGACACCATTTTGCTTGAACGGGATACAAATCTTTATTGCATGTGTAATCAGTAACATAAAGGCTGTAAATGTTGTCTTGAAGGTTAGGAAAGCCAGCAAGTACCTGCGTATCATGTGGGATTGACAAGTGGTGAACGTAACGCTTCTCGTACCTCAACTGTGCAATCAAAATAACCACACGGAGGTCTATCAGGGTGGACTTCTCTGATTAAACAATGTCGTCTGACACCACCACCGATGGGAACCTGATACATATTTGCAACAGCGTTCTCTTGAGCATTGTTCTTTTCGCCGTTCTGAAGGTTACACCACCAGCTCGATAGCTTTTGGCAATATTGAAGGTCGGATTCTTTAGGATCGAAGAAATGCAAAGATCGAGACCCCGCAGTCGACATTTCGGGCGCAGAAACTTCTGTCTCATCACCATGATGTATCTTTACCTTCGTTGATGAGAAGATGGCCCAGCAAAGTATATCGTGATAACCAGCCAAAGTGAGATTTCCCCTAAACATGGAGACCTGCTCAGAGTCAGAGTGTAATTCAGCAGCGTGGTAAGATATAAACCTTAACACCTCGCAGGATTATAATGTCTCCGAGCTCAGGGCAAGGTAGCCAATGTTTGGCTTTTTTAAAGCAATTGACCTGGATGCCTCGGAACGACGCAGAGACCTCGAGGTTTGCAGTGCCTGGGTCTACCATTCGAAAGCTGCAATGCCAATCTACGGCCGTTTTGCGTATAAGTATAGATGAATACTAGGTTGCAAGAGGATACCTTTGCTAGAGTCGACTTGCTTGGGGCTAGACTTATAAATTACGACACCAGCGACATTATGCTGACAGTGACCATTCGAGGCGATGTCCTTCAATAAAGTGTATGTCGCCTGAGCTTCTTCATGAACTACTGTAGGAAGAATGAATGAGCAGGGTGCTTACGTGGTCGCTCGTAACTTTGGGTGAGGGGTTGGATAACTCGGTTGTAGGCGATGGCATGACGGACGAGATTTCAACGGGCTGTTTTTCTACCGCATGATCCAAATTTGCCGTTTCCGAAACACCTAAGGATGCCCTGGCTGCACGTTTTTGTTTCTTTTTTTGCTTCGCAGTCAATGGCTGGTTAGGTGCCACAAGCATGGTTGAAGATATTGAGTTTGACAGCGGTTGAGGAGCAAGCCCATCGGGCGGCGGCCGAGTGTCATTGACGGAAATCGAGGGTATATTCGCATTTGACGATTGGAGCGAGGGCTGAAGAGGAATAGGGTTTCCTCCCTCATCAGCTGGAGGCCCACTGATCAGAGAACACCGTTTCGATGTCACTAATGGGGTCGAAAACCAATTTGCATCTTGTGCCTCTTCCAACTTTTCCACTGATTTCAATCAAGTTAATCCAAATTGAGACACATAAGAGGAAAAACCTACTCATCCAAGTGTCAATTACCACCTCCTTGTGTGATCGGGTACATTTGATTTTAACGCCGTCGGGGAAACTAATTGTCATGGGAAGGCCAACCGAGCTACTGCTGCGTTTATCAAGGTGAGCGCCTTCCAGCGACAGAATAAAGTGTGTCGCGACGCTGATGGAATCCGTAAAGATGTGGAAGAATTTTGCGCAACGACCAGAAAACTCGACTTGAAAACGAACTGTACGTGAATCCGTGTACTTCAGGCTGGGCTCAGGAGCAACTTCGACGACGGCAAGAAACTTCTGCGCCGACGCCGATGGTCGCCAGACCATGAAGAATTTGCCTCGGATGAACCCTGCAGGATTTGGGCCATTCTCAAAGATGTCAAAGGGATTCTGATCAAGGTGGTTGTCAAAGGGGAACGAGGGAACATTTAAGCGAGGCTTTGACGACTTTCGCTCGTCATCTGCCTCGCAAGCGGCAGCTCGTTTCATGATTCAAGTCCTCAAAGTTAAACCACGTCAATGCGAAACGCGTTTTGTCACGAAACGTGACTGACGACAACGAGTGACACCGACCACGTGATTAGATATCCTCACTCTCGACAATGAGACCCACCAAAGACCCACACTGATGGTAGCGACTGACCACTTTTTAATTTTACTTGCGCCTTCCTTTCTTTTCATCCTCTCCTTGTTATTTCTTAGAAACAAGATTCGAAGCACGAACAGAACAAATTCATTCAAGGAAACTTCTCCCTGCCATCTGCAAGCATTGTGCACCATCCTGACACCCACAAATTCTGCTTGGCCAACACAGTATGCCTCTCTATTGACGTGCAAAATTCGAAGGAACCCCGACGTCATCGAAATCCAAATTTTAAAGCTGATCAATAACATACGTCTTGGAGCTCTGGAACTACGAGATCCACGCGTTCTCGCAGATATACTTCGTGGCCAGCTCCACGTTTATGGATGGAAAGTGTCGATTGGTTTAGATCTACCCCGGTGGCCCTACGACCTTTTGTATTTCAGGCGCTTACATTCACTGTCTGTCAACCAAGTGAGTCGGCGTTACATACAAGCATGTTTTGGGGCCAACCCACATCTAGGACCGTCAACTGGGATCCATGCAGTTTCTTTCGATGTCCGAAGCGAAGTCACCGGTGCTCTTACCCCTCTACTGCACAGGGTCCGCCCACGACCTTGACATTGTGCCTTCATCTGGCCTCACACCAACGATTCGCGCAATTCAATCTTCAATACGTGAAGCGGAGACGGTAGCTGTTGAATTCACCTCTTTGGCACCACACGTTACTGTAACAAGTCAACACTTTGTTCTATGCTCCCTCCTTTCCCTTTTCAAGTATCCTAGAAGTCAATCAGCCCTTGCGCAACTTTCCTTTCCTTCAAAGCCAATGCACCATTTCGTTGAACTTCTGTCAACTGGTCCCTCAAATGTGAAAATAACCTCGATGACAGACATTTCGGAGAACTTTGCAGAAACACTGCTGAAAAAAGAACGGGAGCTAGCAACCGACGATTTGGTTCGGAGGGTATACGTCGAGAAGTGGGGGCACGAGGCTTGGCGCGAGAAGCGGTTCTTGCTGAGCTGGGAATCAGGCCTGCTGCTTTCTGGATGCCTTATGCGATGGCGAGTTGTTTTAAAGAAGTGACCGCTCTTTGTGTCCAAGTCAAGAGTTGTCTTTTGCAAGAATCGAGGTATACATAGGTGACGAGAAATAAAATAATTTGATTTTAAGCCGCCCTTATCAACCACAACTTTGACGCGCTATCAATATGAAAGAGTTTCCACAACTCCATCTACGATGCGGATGGCGTCGGGTATATGAAACTTTTCATATTGTAGAGCAACTGGTGTGCTAACAGCAACAAAAGATCAGGCCGTAGGATCGCATACGAAGTGGATGACTTACTCCCAACCTGTCACCCGTTTGATCGGTGCATTTAGCTTGAGGAAACATCTTTTCTGGATCTCTGCACTAATTTCTGCGCCCACACCCGCCGTCATACCGGCTTCATGAACGATCACCAATCGGCCAGTACGGTTGACGCTTTCTGCGACAGTTTCGACATCCCAGGGGAGGATAGACCGCAAGTCAATCAGTTCGACCTTGGCTGAGCGCAGAGAAGCAGATATGTGAGGTTGTAGTGCAGGCTCTGGAGAGGAGAGCATGTGAAGAGCAGTTTCACAGTGATACACTGGTGTCCCCCATGTCAACAGCGTAAGATCGGCTCCTGGAACCAGTATCTCTGCTTGACCCAGGGGTAGCTCATAGTCATCAACGGGAACTTGTTCGACTGCAAACTGGTTGCTGAATAACTCAACTCAGAAGATAAAGTAAGCTGACGAGACCTGCTGAGCGATATAGAATTTTTGGCTCCATGAATATCACTGGGTTGGGGTCGCGAATTGAGCCCAGTAATAATCCTTTGGCTTGGATAGGTGAACGGGGTATAACTACCTATAATGTCGAATTAGCAGTTGCGTGGAACCAGATGGAAAAAATAAAACCTTCAACCCTGACGCTCCCATGAAAAATCCCTCAGGGGATTGAGAATGGTATAGCCCCCCATGACCCTGAAAAAAACTTCAGATAAGAGAACGAAACTCATAGGACGTCGGTACGAACCACAGACATAGTAGGCGTCCGTATGGTCAGACCTCCTACATTGTACGTTCCTCCCGAACGATATCGAATCTTTGCAGCTTCGTTGACGAGCTTGAATCGCTGATGAGAATAGTGTATCAAAACGGGTAAAGTTATACCTGATCAAAGGCAGGAAAAATGTAGTCCGCAAATTGAATTTCTGCGATAGCAGTATGACCCATCAACGCAAGTCCGACGCCAAAACCTACAATGCCTTGTTCGGTTAGTGGTGTATTGAATACGCGTTCTCGACCTATTTTTGTAAGGTGAGGACACATGCACATGGGTCTCCGACGTTGACTGACCGAACTCCTCTGCAAGGCCCTTGAAATTGATTATTATAAATAAGTGCTGCCGAGAGAAAGAGAGTGCCCACCATTGTACATCTGAATACACCTCCAAATGCAACGTCCTCTCCAAATACTACAGCGCTGTCATCCTTGGCGAGGGCAATACTCATTGCGTCGCGCACAGCCTGGTACATATTCATCTTCCTTGTTTCGCGACCACCAATGATAACGGTGGATGGACTGGACGCATCGTCATCTAGCCAGCGAAGCCCTGGGGTTCGAAGGGCAGTCTCTCTGGTGCTTCTAAGAATTGTAGAGGTTGCAATGGAGGGCAAGTGCCCACCAGCGGGAGGGGCCGTGGAGTTCGAACGACACTACCCAATATATGAATGAGTTGTTTGAGGGCAAAAGAGATATCCTTACGATTAGGGAAGGACATCTTCTAGTGGCTTTGAAAGGAAGTGAAAACATGAAGGAAAGAGAGAATGGCTAAGATCCGGTGTTGCCATGAAGTTCTTGAGCAGTGAAGTGCCAACTTTCAAACGGCCTGCACGGCCCGGATAAGCCCAGTAACTTGAACTTACACTCTTACGCGGCGAGTGATATTTCCTGCAGCATCTATGGAAAATGAATCGACATTCGTAGCACCAGAGGGTGTCTACACCATCACAGAGGAACACAAGCCTAATCTTGTCCAGGCCCACGCAGTCAGTGCCGGTGTCGCCATATTTCCCACCAAAGTCTCCACTGTCGTCGTCCGATTTCCACCTGCAAAGCAAGGCAGCAGTCCTGGCTTTGCCCAGCTATTAGGAGGTAACAAGGATGTAAAAAAGGAGAAAGGGACTAAGGATCGCGAGGATGGCGCTAGTCTATCAAGTAGCGATACTTTTGACGAAGTCGACCCACAGGCTTCATCAACCCAAGAACACGCGACTGGCACAACTTCTTCAGTGGCCTATGAGCACCATACCTTATTCTCTCATCCCCCTTCGACAGGAAAGAAGAAGACATTGGCACGGCCAAAGCACAACATGCGAACTACGTCTTCCACATTCATCACTAGAATGCAAACCGCGGAAGGTCTCACAAGAACTTTGCAATCGAAGCAAGGAGATGTGACCTTCTTGTTCTACAACGTCGCAAAAAGTTTTGTTTGGATAGATCCAAGTTCTAGGGCAAAAGTACGGTGGATACGTCGATATGCGGATCGTTGTGGTCAAGCTTATCCCTCTTAGGAACCACACTCAAGAATTACATTTTCCGCCCATCCTACCTGCCACGATGTGAATATGTCGACCGTTTCTTCTGAGCATCTAGATGTGATCATTGGATTTAACACTGGAGATCTCGTGTGGCTAGGTGAGCTGGATCTTTACTTTACTACAAAAATCTAATGAACCTCAGATCCCATAACATCTCGTTACGGACGGCTAAACAAGGGGGTATGAAGCTACAATTGTCTTGGTGAAGTTGTCCTTGATCGATAAATATTCAGGGCTCCATTTCAGGATCTCCATGTACAGCTGTCCGATGGGTTCCTTCGTCCTCCACCCTCTTTCTGGTTTCACACGCTGATGGAACCATCATCGTCTATGACAAAGAACGAGACGATGGCGTCTTTTCACCTCAAGACCCCAACTCTCCATCCCCAGACCTCGGCAATATACCCGACCCCGAAGATGCGACATCTCAGAAAGAATGGAATCCCACTGATAATATTTTTGTGACGATGCCACCATGGCATCCAGTTGCATCGGGAGGAAATGTGTCTCTCCCCGGGAAGCCGGAAAAAGAGAAAGCAGCTCGAAATCCTGTTAGCCACTGGAGAGTTTCACGACGCGCTGTCGTTGGTATGTCCATGCAATCTTCAACGGCTTACTGTGAATGCTTCTGCTAAATGGCAGATTTTGTACTCTCGCCGGACGTGAAGTATGTAGCCGCTATATCAGAAGATGGGTGCCTCCGAGTGATCGATACATTAGCAGAGCAGTGAGCAACTACACTACTAAAGGGTTGGTCTAATGATTCTCAGGCTCGTTGATTGCTATGCATCTTATTTCGGAGCCTTGTCATGTGTTGCCTGGTCTCCAGATGGAAGGTTTATTCTGGTCTGTCATTGTGCTTGGTGTCAATACAGATATGAACCCCGTCCCTTTAGACAGGTGGTCAGGATGACTTGTTGACTATCTTCTCACCTTGGGAGCAACGAGTTATAGCTCGATGCCAAGGGCATTCTTCTTTCGTTTCGGCGGTAGCTTTCGATGACCTCCGCTGCGATGGACGAACGTATCGGTTTGGCAGCGTTGGGGAGGACAACAAGTTGGTTTTGGTAAAGCCCTCCGATCTGGACTTCTTTTGTGTTTGATTCTAATACTTATTTACCAGTGGGATTTTTCTAGCGGTGCCCTTCATCGCCCTAAATTCCAAGTCAGTTTGTAATTTACTAACACCATTCTGTTGCTCAACTTCCTCCAAAGCCGTCTCATCATCAGCGAATCTCCATGTCATCAACGATTTCGCTGGCTTTTCGACGAGACCGATCAGCACAGCATCTACCGTCTGTAGGATCCTTGGGCGCAGACGTCTCATCCCCTCGGTACCACCCCGCTCCTTCCCGGAACGAGATTGCAGTTCTCCAACCTGTACTTGTATGTGATTCCTCGTAGCGCCCTTTTGCATCCTGATCATTCTGCGCAGATCAAACAGCTAGATTGCGACTTACTTACGACCATCCAATTTCTCCCACGTTGTATATTGACGTCGACCAAGGGCGGTCATATCAAGTTGTGGATAAGGCCATTGGCCCTCCGGCCACGCCAGTTGAAAAATAATGGTCGTGGACAGTCAGATGTTCAAGACATCCTACCTTGATCAATGATCTTCTGTTTAGTCTAATAACGTGGAATCCTACAACTGTGCTATTCCCCCCATGTATCCTCTTGTAGGACTAGACTTGTTTGTGTAGCTGATCGGATAGCGTGTCTAGTTTAAGCGGGTGGCTGTTGCCAAACTCTGAGCTTTCTTGACTTTTACTAGAAATGTCTGGGAGTACTCCAACATTAATACCGCGTGAGCCAAGGTTTCCCCTCCTCCTTCCAAAACCGCCACAACCACATCCTATTCCCCTCCCAAGACGGCGAGTTTATGGACACTTGCACGCCCTTCGCGACCTGCAGCGGGAGATGGATGATTTGAGCGACGAAGAGAACGAGCTTGAAGATCTTGCAAGCACAAGACTTGTTGGCCAGAATTTGTGTTGATCTATGATATAGAATCTCAATATTCGCAATCGCGGATATGGCTTTCTGGTCCCCATCGGTCGTTCCCTCACACAGCAGGAGGAAAAAAACGATGTACGCGTGAATTTCATCTTGTTCGACAAGGATCTCTTTGAATACAGAACGCAGGCAGAGGATGACACAGATGATTCTGGTTCGAATCAGTCTGGAGGCGCCCCTTCGGTGTTGGAGGATGATGGAGAGAATGAATCCGCTCAGGACTTGGATGCAAGTATGGAAGACCTCGATGAAGATGCTACGGCCGATACAGAAGACAACGGTGATGGAGACGCGGACGATATGGACGACGGACCCTCAGATGCGTCTTGAAATTCTGCCTGAAGGGTTGTAGCGACGCACGGTTCAATTGCACACCATCGTTCCGCGTCCTTCGCACTGTCTGCACTAGGTGTTCATAACATCCATCGTGTTTCATCTGCGATATTAACTTGCTTTCAACTTTGTTTTTTTGTTTTGCTAGGTCTTCAGCGCTTCAGCATCTTCAGGCCCTGTGTTTCTATAATACAAGCTATGTATGTATACAAATTTACTTCAAGAATCATTACCATCAAACAAAAATGTCCATAAAGCTTGCGGATCCTTGTAGTCGTGATGCACGATGCTAACGAGCCAACGCTCGTTTCGCACGCCCTCAAGTAGCTTTCTCTCTTCCGAGCCAGGCCGGTAGAAAGATGCCCATTCTGACCAAATGGAAAATGCCTCATCCTAAATCAGTTTTGAATATGTATGTCCAGTTAAGGTAAATCATTTTCCAACCTTCCAAGTGAGAAAGGACTCTTTTTCGATGATTGTGGTTTGCGCAATCTCTTGACCTGGAAATACGCCCCAGGTCACGGCATTTCGTCCGCCTTCTGGGACATTGCTGCGACATTCACCCTGAACGAAAATTAACATCTTCTCAAACATAAAGGCTTGTGACCTGCCTTGTAATTTCCAGCAAAATAATGAACCCAACCATGACCATTCCGTTCCACCCGTCTTTCGATAACATCCATATCCTTTTCCTCGCAAAAAAACTCGACAAATCCTTTCTGGAAAACGTATCCTCCTCTAGGGCCCCATCCAACGACTTTGTCTCCTGAGCTTACACCATCCACAGCTGGCTGAGAGCCGACTGTCCACCAACTTCGACGCGTGAGTCTTTCTAGGTGAGGCAATATCATCAAGGACTCAGATGAAAGAGGCGTAGGAGAAAAGGGTGTCGTCAGAATCTTGGCGTGAAGATGCCCAAGGAATATCTGAGTAAGGTCATCAAGGGACTTTGGATTGTTCCATTGCGCAAGAACATCACTTCCCTGGATTTCGCATGATGAATTGAGGACAACATCTTCACTAGAATGATCTCACAGATATGCCCGATCCGCCCCATAGATCCTGGTTTCCAAATGCAGGACTTTTGAAGTCACCAAAACGACCATTTGGAAAATCGTCCCAGGTGGCTGCGTTGTTGAGCTCTCCACGGCCTGCTTCGCCGTCCGTTACCGAGATTGTAGCTAGAGTAGATGTCGCCGTATCCGTAGCACTCGTGGGGGTTATCAAAAGGTCGGGTGGACCCATTTCAGCAGGGGGCTCCATCGTCCCTGGTGTATCCTTAAAAGCATGGGAATTAGGTAACTGGAGAGTGTCGCGAAACTTCTCTTACTTGTATAAGTTTATTGTGGACAGGGGGGGTTACACCTGCCCATCGGAGGGTCTCTAAGACTCGTTGGACGCTCTTTTCAAGATTAAGGGTGCAGAAATGGAAGCCTTGAATGCCTCCTTCTAAACGTAATCGTCGAATCATTTGGACAGCCAACTTGACGCCGTAATCCTTGACAAGTTGGTCGTCATGCTGTTTCGTAAATAAATTGGTCAAGCTGCATTTCCATCATCGGCCACCTACACTTATTGGCGCGAGATCTTCTGTGATACAAGCAGGAACTCGGGTACCGCATAGTTTGGTGAGGCGCACAAAAGAGGCATACGTTTGAATGGGCATAATCCCGGGAATGACTGGGACGGTGATTCCTATGAAATGGTTTTGTATTAGCTTCTACTACAGCCAGACACTCGTCACCTTTTGACCGTATTTTTGCCAGCCAACGCAAAAATTGATCCACGTCGTAGAAAAGCTGGGTAATGATGAAATCCGAGCCTGCATCCACTTTCGCCTTCAAATAATCTATTTCCTTGTCTTCATCCGTCGTGCTCTCGGTGTGTCCGTCGGGATATGCTATCAAAAATCATCAGGCAGAGTAGATGCAGTGACAAGACAAATTACCAGCTACGCCAACACAAAAGTCTGACGAATACTCGGGAGACGCGCTGATGTAGGAGACAAGATCCACCGCGTGAGTAAACCGCGGATCGGATGGTATCCACTCCTCTTCACCCCTCGGGGGATCTTTGTAATACATAGTGTCAGATGAGCTATGTTGGTTGCGATGCTCACTCACCCCCGCGCAGTGCTAAAATATTCTGTATTCCGCGGTCTCTGACAGCCTTGAATATATTAGAGAAGATTCCATGACCTTACAACAAAAACTCACTTTCAAGACCTCGTCCACTAGGCCTTGCTCCATATTGGTACATGTCAGATGCAAAAGCGTATCCAGATGATAGTCGCCTTGTGTCAGACTGGCGAGTTCTAAACTTCGATCCTTTGTTGAACCGCCCGCACCCCATGTCACACTAATCGCCAATGGATTTAATGTTGCCAATCTCGATATGCGGGAAACCAAGTTTTCGAATCCCTATGTACAAGAGAAGTCACTAAGTGGAATTTACGATTAGAAGCGTGATGACCTGATCTGTACGAGGAGGAAAGAATTCAAAGGTATAAAATGGCTGAGATGGGTCGTGAGCCGCGATTTTGTCGGAGAGCTTCATGACGAAGTGGCCACAGGATAACTTTATCCCACTTTACATAACTTTCGTCAGATTTTGGAACGCTTGTGTCACGTGGTCACACTCCTGTCCGTAATACTCGGCTCGATGCCGGCCATACCTGGCACACTTAGTTTCAACTTTGAACTTTACACTCATGTCGGACTCACCATCAACGCCAGCTGCTGATTTCTCTTCATCTCCCCCCAAACGGACCAAGATCGTCTTGCTGGGCGACCAGAGTGTCGGGAAGACGAGTCTCATCACCAGGTGTGTTTCCTTGTGATTCGAATACATATATCTCAAGTTTTTTGTAGATTCATGTATGACACCTTCGACAACACCTATCAAGCGACTATCGGCATTGATTTTCTGAGCAAGACCATGTATTTGGAGGATCGAACCGTCAGATTACAACTATGGGACACGGCTGGTCAAGTGCGTCTCGTTCTCTTCGGGTCGACAGGCGTTGCATACCGACTACGCTTTAGGAACGATTTCGATCACTAATTCCATCATATATCCGAGATTCATCAGTCGCAATCGTTGTTTTTGACATCACAAGTGTGTTGAACTCTTGTCGTGTTGCTTCAGTTGGTAACTGCTTAATTAGATCGCCAGTCATTCTTGTCTACGACCAAATGGATCGACGATGTACGCTCAGAACGAGGGAACGACGTTATTATTGTGCTGGTTGGAAACAAAGCTGACTTGTCTGACAAGCGGTACGTCCATGCCCAACCTCAATTTGTAGCGATTTGTCGACCAGAACAGTCAAGTAACTCTAGAGGAAGCCACTGCTAAATCTACGCAACTCAACATCATGTTCATGGAAACTTCCGCCAAGGCTGGACATAATGTGAAGAGCCTATTCAAAAAAATTGCCATGTCATTGCCAGGGATGGAGAAGGAGAATCAGGCGGACCCCAATACCAGTGTGTTGAATTTCCTCATTTGAAATCCGTCCCTCTTATTCAGTATGCTAGAAATCGATGTCACGACGCCAACAGCAGGCGAGATACCAGAAGCATCACAATGCAGCTGTTAATCAGTCATATGCATGTCCAGTCGTCTCTCATAGTACTATTTATTGTCCTGGAGTACGGGGGGTACAGGGAGCATCTACAACGCCAGTTCAGATTGATCTTCCTCCGTCAGAATGTCCGTTTCGTTTATCTTGGTTGATCATGATACCCTTACCTTGTCTTCTTTCCCACAATATTGTGGAGGATATTATAGAGTTTGACTTGTGAGAGATGGCAGGAAATGCGCAGGTGGTATCACGTATTCACCGACAAGGAATGCAATGATTGAAGGAATGGATCGCACCTGGCATATCTTCCCAGCATGGTACATTGACACTTCTCTATTTAACCCCGATTCATCGTATTCCCAGCGCCTCTGGGATGCTCGTCGACATATCTCGCCCAACTCTCATCTTTCAGACGTTTCTCCTCTGCCCTCGTTTCGCCGCCTGCTGTTCCATCCATTTCCGAATCGATCGCTAGCTTTTCAGAAGATGTCGGGGCGGCGCGTGACGCAGCTCTGAATAAGTGGACGACTGTCAGAAAATGGATTTCCTGAACTCAAAAGACCCACCCTCCACCCGTAATGATATTTCCTCGTTGACGTTCTACTTCCAAGTACTCGTCGATCGACATCGTTGGCAGTCGATGACCTGGGCCAAAAACCTGAGCTTGAAGGCGCGACCGTTCGCCTGCACCAGAGGGCAGAATAGTAAACGTTCGAAGCGGCTGCGTGTAACATTAGAAACCCGTCGGCTCCTGTATGAATGTAGAAAAGATACCTTGCCTGAGGAATCAAGCAGTGGACCTTTCCCGCTTGTCACCAAGGGCGAATCCAGCTTCCAGAGGTCTCCATCAGATTCCCGCTGCCTGTCTCTCCCATCTAAATCAGAAAAAGACGGGAGTTGTGGGCTAGGGGGGGCGTTCCGTAAGATCTCAAGTTCTTGTTGCAAACTCTCGAGCTGTTTTTGCGCTTCAACAAACGTTAGTCGCAGGAGCAAGCATGTTGTTTTGCGGAGAACATCATCAGTTTCCGAGTCAAGCGGTTGTTCATCTGAATCGGACACTCGTTTGGAGGCTTTAGGAAGGAGGGAGGCTATGAGGTCAAAGTTCGATGACGGGCTGTCAGAGCTCGGTTGGCCCCCGCGTTTCCGAATCACCTACGCGACATAATTAGCGGGCATGTTTCGCTTTTTGTCCGCAATGAACCTACCTCGATACCAGCCCGCAAATCCTTTTCCTTCTTATACTGACTAATCTTGAGGTCTCTGCGCTTCGCAGGATCAATCACTGTTGTTGTTTTACTCGAATAAAGCGAGCGCTCGTCCTCGGGAATAATCTCATAATTTTCGACTAACGAAATGAAGGATCTGAGGTAACCCTGCAAAATTTAGGAGAGTCAGTTGCAGATAGGCTAATTCGTCGAAGAGATACGCACGCACTTCTGTCTGGACGACTGTATTCATACGCGCAGCCCTCCCAATGGATCGAAGGCGACTTTGCACCTCTGAGAAAACATAAGGGACGAACAGATAGATAATATCCCTAGTAGAAATATCTTCAAACACTTCATTGGGGCTAAACAACGATAGATCGCTGATCTGATGACGAAGGCTTTCGACGTCGTTGAGACTTTGAGTTAAAAGTTCCTGCAGCGATATGAGAGTTAGCTGAAGATGAAATTGATCAAGTAACTTGGGTGTGGTCTTCTATCGCAGGTAGGTTTAAAGCTTTCGAAGCGTAATCGAGGCTTCTGTTGAATAAAGCAGAGGGTGACAGTGATTCCGAGTCCATAATGTAACTCCAGAGAGATTCAAGGTTTTGATCAGGTAGATGAGCGCTGAGCAATAATTTGGCAATAATGCAAAACAGTCCTATGTAGCCAAGGGAATAATACCGCATGTACAAGCGTATGTAACACCTTCAAAGAACGACCACCACCTTCGTCTCAAAACCAATCATGGAAGATCTATACAATATCACAGATGTAATCTAATCATTTTGATGAGAGCGCCGTCTCTTTACTCTTTCAGCCAAACCCGCAGGGTCAGCTTCAGGTGAAGGTTCTTTTTTCCGTTTTGAAGGAGAAGGCAAAGACGGCACATGAGATGTTGCTGTATCTTTTTTCCCAGTGTTTCGTTGCGTCTTGCGTGTCGAAGGTGAAGTTGGCAGAACCCCATAGGAGGCGAACGACTTCAGATCTGCAGTGAACAACACCTAGAAGCGAGGTACGTGTTTATAGAGGTCAATTGAATGGAAAGAACCCACTGAGTGTGCCCAACCAGCGTAATCACCCCATATCGACAAGAATTTCAAATTCATTTCCTCATAAAGCTTTGGGGTCATGTTTATCTTCACTTTGGAAGAAGCTTTGAGACCGTAGTATTTTATTGCAATCTGATGGACGTGGGTGTCGACTGGTATCACCTCCTTCTAGTTATTCACGTGGAAGGGTCAGATTCGCAAAATTTCAATTCGGAGAAAATACCTTGTCAAGGCTCATCAAGAGGACACAATCAGCGACCTTTCTGCCAACACCAATAAACTGGAGAAGTTCTTGTCTCGCATCCGCCGTGCTTTTACTTCTGAGTCCTTTTAGCCAACGCTCCGAAGCTTCGGTAGGGTCGTTTGGTAGCGCAGAGGATCCGTGGGTTTGGAAAAGCATCCTGGCGGTGCGCTGAACAAATTCCGCTCGGTACCCAAATCCAAGGGTGCGAAGGGTGGTGCGGACACTATCCTCGGCGAGAACAGACGGAGGAGGAAACGGGTAATAGGTTTTCGTCTCTGTTGAGTGCGGCTGAGCAAGTGAAAGCAAAGGCGGAGAATAGTGCTTGCAGAGGTTTTGAACCATGTTGGTGATTCGAGAGATGTTGTTATTGGATGAACATATGAAGCTATAATGTAAAACGTTGACCCACTAGAACAATTTCTGTGGCAGTTGGATCACCTACGATAGCAGGTTTTCCCATGGATCTTGTCGTAACATTCTAATTCCTCCGAATCTGTCTTTAAAAGTTGCGAAAACAGCATCTTGAGCTGACCATGTATCATAGAGTTTTTCAAGGTCAACGTCAAGCTGAAAATAGTCCTTAAGCCAGACCAAAGTTTCAGCGTCGCGCAAGGCAATCTGGGTGGCAGTTTGTTGGGAATCAGGAAAGACTGCGCGATAGAAAAGGGTGTCGGATGACTGGCGTAGGCAGACGAGGCGGTCCTTCAAGCAAAGCCTGTACTCATGGGTTGGCTGCAAGACCGAGGTGTCGGAGCATGATGATGACAGAGGGTATATTGACCATCGAAATGACTGACCGCATCTAAGAACAACAGCAAGAGAAAGCTGCGATTTGGAAAGAGGCAGGGCGTGAAAGGCGTCTGTAACCATGTGCGGTGTGATCGCGGGGTAATGTTGTAAATAAAGTGTCTGCTTTTCCCATCTCCCTCACCGTCATGCCCGACGGTGATTCCTTCCTTCCTCGCATTGAATCGGTATTTTATGCCGTCTTTGATGTTCAGCAAGGGCCAAAAATCGTCTACCAAGTACCAGAAGGCCTCATTGCTGTGCCTGCTCCCTCTGTGCCAAATGGAAATTCATCCGTACCACCAACACCCTCTTCGGAAACACCTTCACCGGGGCCCCAAAGCTCGAATCATGGCTTGACCTCCCGCAATTCAAGTACTTCTCTCATCTCACCCACCGATTTCTACCGCCCAGGTCGTCACCTTCCCTCCCCTCAACACAGATCGAACTCTTCCCAGCGCACCCTATTCAATTTTAACGATATTTCCATGTATGTTATACCCCCAAGCCCGTTGTGCGGAAGACTTGTTACGTGTTCGACACAGAGGCACCGCATAATAGGATTTCCGGTAGAATTGAAGGGCCATTATAAGCGAAACTACTTCATATATAACCTTTGTTTTGTGTTTGACCGTGGAGCAGATCTTAGTTGCTACGAGCCTGTCGTTCGGAAAGTCAGTCGAGTTCTCAAGTCTTGTGAAGTGAGTCTTTTTACAGTTTATTTCTCGCAGGCTCGTCATACTACTTTATATGCAGGAAGAATCGTGCTTTCTGTCTTCTCCTGGCACTTCTCCCGCTGTTCACGCCATTCTTGAGCAACTCTATGAGGATTTGAATTCGTATTCTGAAACCTCGATTCCCATCGATCAATTCAACTCTATCGAGCTCAAGATATTCCCTTTCTACCCGAATCCCCCATCTGTGAAAGACTGGATGGTTCCTTTGGCTCTCATAAACTTGTCAAAACGAATCGAGGATAATTGGGATTTGACAATGGCAAAGGTAGATTAGTGGTTTGCCGTTGCTAGCCCTTGAAAGATTAACGTGCTTTTGCTAGGTTTGCAATTACATCGACGGTATTAACCACATCAGTCGGATCGCTCAGTTGGCGGACTGCGACATCTCGTTGACGCGTCAAGCAATCTCCCATCTTCTGTACGTCGCCTTTTCATCTCTGAAATTTACTAAATTATCTTCAAGATACTATCAAGTGATAATGACAATAGACATTTTCCAATATTCAAACATGTACACTCTGCGAAAAAACATCCAGTGGCTTGCGGACGAAGCCCACGTCAAGGATGAATGTGGACCGTATGTAACCAAGCCAGGTCTAGTCACACTTTATAACTTTGGTCCTTGACTGACCAGAATATCAGGTATGGAAGTTCCGGATTGGCCCAAACTTTTGCATCTTTATTCACGACTAAAATCTGGCAAAACAATAGTTGAATGGATGCAGGAGTTCAAGGTTGAGCAATTAGGGATCGATGTCCGCCGTTTCACCACATTTGGCGTCATCAAGGTGCCGCTATTTCTTCCATCTATCATGTTCAAGGGGTAACCCTCTGGAAGGGTTTTTTGCGACGAGTGCACAGATGGCCTGTTTATCTCCCTCCAGAGCCTTCTCAAACTGAAGTTAATCCTGAAATGATCAAACCCTTTGACGGCGATGCGTCCAAGCGTAAAGGGGATGTTGGTCCCTCCCACCAGTTCCCCACATTTGGTGCCTCTTTAACTGAGAAAGGCTTAACCCAGATGGGGAGACCACACCTCTCCTCCGCTCTCTTTCCTGATCAAGCTAATTTTGAGCTTGCTGCGGACTCCCCGTCAATGTCCACAGTAAACGTGGCGATATCTGCCACACATCGCGCCAGAAGGGCCAGTGCGGCGGAAAAGGTACTTGAACAACTCCGCAGCCGGGATGGTATAAAATCGGGAGCTCTCACGAGCCCGCGCACGTCCTGGATCCATTTTCAGCACAAAGATGACCGTGCAACCATTTCTAAAACAGGTTCTCATACCACGGCGGATTCACTCACAAAATCAACTCAAGAAAGTCCAAAAGCCGCTTTTGAGCGCTCAGAATCTCGGCGTCATTCTCTGATTTCCCCAGCAGTACCTCCGCCCTCACCCGTCATCCCAAAAGTTGCCCTGATTTCCTCACATCCGAGACCAACTCGCTCCCCAACCGTACAGCCACATACAGCGCAGGGAACTCAACCACCTTACCCACATAACCTCATCGCAGCGCTCGACGGAGAACATCATACGGATGAACTGGGGGTGATGTTTGGGGCGCCTTGGTGCTTGCTTGAACGGTGGTTGACAGCTGCAGGGCAGGGTGAGGGGAATGGGGATTACGGCCGCATTGTCGTTCTTTATAAGTGAAAGCACTATTACATGTTGGCTTCTCAATTGATGCTCAACTTTACCCTACTGGAGGTGGTATCGTTGTTGAAAGCGAACGTAAAACCTCCTCGCGAACCCACCGGCGCTGACGTTTTCTACAGACGACAAAACAGCGACAGCACTACGATCGAGCACATCTCTCACCCGCACCTTCTCTAATTTCAGTTACACTCCTCGAAAGGCCCACCAGTTAAAAATTATAGAGAGTATGTAACACGGAGCGACAGGCTAAAAGGTAGGGTTGACGCGGTGACTGTGATCTCTCCTCCGGGAGGCACGAGTTCTGAAACTTTCTTTTCAAGGTTTGGCCGTGTAGCTTCTTCGAGCTGTGGTGGGGCCTGCAGGTATATTTGTTTTGTTGGCGTCGACAGGGATGGTTTTTTAATTTGACTGGATAATCAGTTGAGAAGGCAAAGTCAACAAAGAGACCAGTCGTAAGTCAGTGGGCACGCACATGTCCTGTTTCTCTACCAACATTTCAATCATCTGCTCGACTGTAAAATCGGGTGCAATGACGATTTCTAGGGCTTCACCGCCGCAGACGGGGCAATCAAGACGTCGCTCGTGCTCAAAAGTGTATGAATACACTCCGTCCGTTCCAATGAGCATGAAATAATTATTTAGATAGGCAGCCGAACTCGTTGCAATCTTGAAGGCTTCGTTACAACAGGCCGCTGAAGGTAGATGTGGTGCAATCAGACATGGCTAAGATGATTCAATGGCTACATACCTGCAATGATAGCGTTTGTTGAGGCTATGGCCGGAATGATGTTCTTCACCACTCCTTGTGTGAGTGACCACGTAACGCCCTCAATCTTGAAATCCTGTGCCCGAGCTGCCGCTACCTTGTAAAGCCATCCAATGTGCTCCGGATCATCCGTGTCCATCTTCTTATCTGGGGGGTCGGGGCTCAAGGTAAGTGAAATGAAATTGTGTTTTGTGCGGGAACAAACCTCCATGGACCCGGGGCCATTCCAGAACTGATGCCCATTCGATGCAATGCTCTGGGAGACGAGGTGTATTTGCGATCGTGCAGATAGGAAAAGCGGTAGGCTTGTTGAGCATGTCAAGGGAGCATTCATAACAAGATGTGATAGTTGGGAGGATGACGCGTGCTTGACCCTTGAATCCTGTGTCAAATAAATATTCTGGGGAGAAGAAAGGTCGAATTGAGATCTACAGACCCTCGGTTCCTCCATCAATCATTGGCTTGAGACTCTCTGGGTTCTCTGGATCAACTAGATTGACCAGCGTTGCATTCATCCAGCGCCTGGCTTCTACAGAATCGAGACCGCAGATGACGAGGTTGAATTGCATGTAATAATCATCATCTTTATCCTGAATTTTTCCAAAATAGCTTGCATTGCCATATATAATGAGCGTTGTGAGGAGCAAAAGCCACTTACGGAGTGACTTTGACTCCTGGGACGCGTTTCATAATAAATTCGGCCGCCACCGTGGCTTTGGGTTGACCAACATCCTTAGGCCTGAGATTAGCTTAGAATTGTTCCGATGCACCTGGACCTAAGGTTGGATACCTGAACAAGAATTGACGATTGAGGTTGCTGATGTCGATCGTGTCCATGTCTATAACGTGGATGTCTTTGAATCCAGTCAAAGCGAGGTTGGCTAGAATCTCGCAACCGAGACCGCCAGCGCCGATAACCAGGATCTTTGCCTCATTTCGAAGGAAACCCTTGACCTGTAGCAGGAATCACGTCGTCAGTATAGTTGGGAGGAACTAAAACGGGAGGGCGCGTCTACCCCGTCGCCAGCCAGGAAAGCGGGGTCGGTACGAGGGCCTGGAGTGTTGAGGATCTGATCAATATGATAATAGCGACCAGGCCAGTCCACTGTTGCTGAGGCGTCATTGGGAAGAGACAATGTCGACATACTTGTTGTGTGAAGGTAATTAGTTCAATTGAGTCAAGTACTTCAATTGAATTACCTAAAATATTTTTTCTCCCTCAAACATGGCGCACACTCTTGTCAACTTCAGCGGTCACCAGCATCTTCGACATCGCCTGGTGCTAGCCATTTTAACCGGGAAACATATCCGAATAGATAAAATTCGTTCAGAGGACAAAAATCCTGGCTTGCGAGGTTCGTTCATCTGAAAACGAATTAATTTGTCGTTGACAAAATCATTGAAGATTTCGAAATCAGTCTCCTGCGTCTTCTGGAAAAAATAACCAATGGAACAATAATTGAAATCTCTGTAACAGGTTCGTCCCACCAGTCATCGAACCAATGTCTTGCTCACCCATTCCAGGTACCTCGATTCTACTCAAACCTGGTATCATCTTTGGCGGCGCGTTACAACATGACTGCCCAAAATCCCGCTCTATCGGCTACTTCCTGGAACCCATCATTATGTTGGCACCTTTCGCAAAGAGACCAGTCCAGCTGACGCTGAAGGGGATCACCACAGACGACCATGACCTCTCGGTGTGTTTTTTACTTTCTAAAATGCAAGATTGGACTGATACACCGTCAAGTAGGCAGATCTTTTGCGGACAGTAACATTGCCCCATCTACAACTCTTTGGAATTTCAAATGGGTTAGAGCTACGGGTGAGTTTAACCTCTTCAATGGTGAGCAAGATCATAGACGTCAAAATTCCAGATTAAAAAACGAGGGGCGCCTCCTGAAGGGGGAGGCGAGGTTCAGTTTTTGTGCCCAATCGTGAAACAACTCAAGACGTTAAATTTTGTGGATCCGGGTAAAGTCAAGCGGATACGGGGCATAGCGTCAGTGCACGGTCGTCGACTCGAACCTTCCTGAGAGCTAAAAATCACTGTAACCAGCCACGCCGTACGAGTGAACCCTCAGTTTTCAAATCGTATGATCGAAGCATCGCGATCAATTCTCAATCGATATATTCCAGACATCTACCTCTACTCCGACGTTTACAAGGGAGACGAAAGCGGGAAGTAAGTTGGAATTTTTAAGATTGATCCTTTACTTGCATTTAAATTTTGACCCAGATCACCAGGTTATGCATTAAGCCTACTGGCTGAATCTACCACCTCTGTCATTCACTGTGCAGAAGCAGTGTCTGAACCAGGTGTGGCGCCAGAAGATATAGGACTCAAGGCGACACGACAGCTTCTCGCAGAGGTTAACAAAGGCGGTTGCGTGGACCGAAAGCATCAAACACTGGTTCTGATGTTTATGGTTTTGGGAAGTGAAGATGTTGGACGCTGTCGTATGGGTGAACCGACGCCTAGAACGTACGTCCATTCATTCCAATTTTTAAGCCAAAACAATAAGACCACCTATAGAATACAATTTCTCCGAGATGTGCAGACTTTCTTTGGCACTTCATTCAAAATCGTGGCACTTCCAGGGTGTTCACAATTGTTGTATTCCTGCTATGGCACGGGATATGTAAACGCAAACAGGACATTGGCGTGATCTATGTAGGCACAAAACCATGATGTGACCGGACTGGGAGCTCCGATGATTAGATCTAGGCTTCCTGTTGACAGTGGATATTGTGTAGGACCAGCAGTTGTGCTTAGTCGTTGGAACCTGGTAGCGCCCTGTTTCACTACCCTCAATATAGTTATTTTCGGTGGCGAAAGAAAGTAATCAAAGTTGTGGTAAGGACTCCAACCAATAATCCAGCCGCCAGTGGTATTGTAGAGTGAAAATTTTGATGATATCTTCTGGAGCAGGTTCCCCCAACATCCTGTAAGGAAGGGGTGCGATCGTTTTCCCATCCTTCTTCAAGCAACCTCTTCATCATGGCGTCATCGAGCTGGGCAAAGTCTTCCAGCTCCCATTCATTGCAGAGTCGCGTCATCCATCTCATCCGCCTCCGACCCAAGTCACCGCCAATGCCTGGCGCCTTCTGTTTGAGCAGGTTTCTCAATCGGCCAACCCGTGTGATCGCCTCGCCCTCAGCCCCAGAAAGGGCTCGCTGCAACCTTTCCTTTATCCGACTAGCCAACCTTGGACCGTTCCCATTCGTTGAAATCATGATCTGTAATGGGCCATCGCGGATTTGTGCCCCAAAATAAAAGTCACAGAGATCGGGTATGTCTGCAGCGTTGACCGGAATGCGAGCATCACGACACATGAGGACAATCTCGCGCGAGCGTTCGGGATCGTCAAGAGCAGTGAGAACCATATCTATATTATGCAGCTCGGAAGGCCCGAGGAAAAGTCGGTCATGGTGAGTGATACAAGCAGGGTGGCAGGCGATGAGTTGCCTTGCACGAGAGTTGAGGCCGTGTTCCGGAGCGATAACGACAATACTCGCATCGGTTACAAGGATGGAATCTATACGCTGAGAGGCGATCTCACCGCCGCCGACGATGAGGACACGCTTCTCCTTTAATTGCCAAGCGACTAAAAGAGACATGAGAGGTGGGAGACGGACACGCACAAATACTTTGATAAGTGTCGGTAAACTCACGTGACTCAGTTGTTCTTGATCATCATCATCATGCCTCCCAAAGCCGACATTAACAAAGCTGGTTGGGAACAGAGCGAATTTCCGATTCTGTGTGAGACATGTAAGTGGCAAATGTAAATCTTACAGCGAGCATTACTGAATACTCTATCATCATACAGGTTTGGGCGACAATCCATTCATCAGAATGGTATAAGCAGTTCATATTGTTAAATCACTTGCTCATCCTGACTATACATATTGCAGTCTAAGCAGGAATATGGTCGCTCATGCGGTACTTGTGCACGTCCCTTCACAGTCTTCCGCTGGAATCCTGGCACTGGTTCGCGATTCAAAACCACTGTCATATGTCAAACATGTGCAAAAATAAAAAACGTTTGCCAGACCTGCTTGCTTGACCTTGAGTATGGTCTTCCCACTCAAGTACGAGACACTGCGTTGGGATTTCAAAATGATGCGCCCACCAGCGACATAAACAGAGAGTATTACGCGCAAAATATGGAAGGCAAGGTGTGTCATTCATTCTTCAGTCACCATTCCGCATGTTGTCGCTCAACTTCAACCAAAGTTGGATGGCAACAAGTCCGGATTAGACTCTGGTCGGGCCGTCTCTGCTGGAAAAGAGATGTTGAAGCAGCTCGCGAGGACAGACCCTTACTACAAGCGTAACCGACCCCATCTTTGTTCCTTCTATGCTAAAGGAGACTGCACCCGTGGAAACGAGTGTCCATACCGTCATGAGATGCCAGTGGATAATGACCTCGCACACCAAAATATGCAAGACAGATATCATGGAAAGAACGACCCCGTTGCGCACAAAATCTTATCAACACATGCTGAAAGTCAAGGATTGAAGGCCCCGGATGACAAAACAATTGTGTGTTTTTATCTTCCTCTTTTCCAGCTGTTAGCACCTTTTGAATAATAAACGAATCAGACTTCGATATTCCTTTCTTCTCTTTCCCCATCGTCAACGGAGGGGAGCATCCGATCACGGGTTGTACACTCTCTCCCTTCTGTGGATCAGACACAAATCAAGTCTATTGTGCACGTAGGGAAGTCAAGGTTCGTATTTTCATGCAACTTATCGAGCATACAAATTCCTAACATCAGACAGATGTGCTTTTGTAAATTTCAAAGAAAGAGGCGCTGCAGAGACTGCCGCAGCTGCATGGGCAAATGGGTTGGAAATTGATGAGGTGCAGGTTACAGTCAAGTGGGGAAGAAGTCGAGCAAAACCTTCCGTCAATTTGCCTCCTTTACAAAGTGTAACAACGTAGGTTGCATGTATGTACTTGGAGAGTTGATGACTTTTTTGCTCTTGGACGTGTATCTTCTTACTTTTATAATACCTCTTCCATGCAAAATAAACATACGACACCAGCAGGATTTGAACCATAAGTAAGGTTCGAATCTGTCGCCGTAACCACTTGGCTATAGTGCGTGATGATGAATCTGATTTACAGCTAACCTCATATCGATAAGTAGACCCACTTCAACTTCGCGAATATAGCTTGGTGCCTGCACAAACAGGCTTTACCAAACTTTGAACCTCTGCTTATTCCAGTAAAATGTGCGATTTCACTGGGCTTGAGACAGGCAGAGATGTCAGCAATAATGTGTTGACGGTTTCCGATGGCCATGATAGAGGGAAACTAGTAGTAGTAGTACGCGAGTTGAACAAATACTTATTTAATGTTGAACTTCCTCGAATTTATTGCGGATTTATAACCTTTACATGGTTAGTTTGTTTTGTTCGTATAAACAAGGTGGCTGAGCGCTGCATTTTCAAAGTGGGTCTATCGATGTGAGTTTAGCTGTAATTTCTCTGTTAATATCTAGCCAAACCAGATTGTTCCAATGCTTGCATTGTAACACTTCCCTGTAAATTATCATCACTGTCAATACTACTTGTATGGTATACCTGTCTCAAGTTGAGGATTTGGCGCCTTAGAGATCGAAAATAGGACGAACCATTCTGAAGCTGGGTTTGAAGTCAATAGCCTGACCAGAAGAACCATGGAATGATTTGCTTACCCTCTGAAATTCGTCGTATGCGGTACTTCTTACGTTCTCATGTGCGTTACGAATGATACCCATCATGTAATCCGCAGCCTGTCGCTCGTTGAGATGCATAGAAAACCTATCTCTGAGCCGACGGATTGTGGGCTCCCCCTTGAAAGAGGGCAGTCCCGTGTCGAGCATCAGCTGTACGGTATCGACGATTTGCTCCGCGTGAGGGCGAATGGCGAGGAAGGCCTTTATTGTAAGACTTTGGAATATCTGGTACCCCTGCGAGTATCGACCGCCCATTAGAATGACCATTTCATGGTTGAGCTTAAACGAGTTTGGCTCGAACTTGACACCCTGAAAGTAGTCAATATAGAAAAAAATCTCCAAGCACTAAAGCGTCCACGTACTCCAGGACGTAGATAGAAGGAACAATGTCAGCAACGTTTGAAACATCAATGAACCACGTTACTCATCTATGTCGAACAAAAAACCAAAATCTAGTTTGCTCAGGTAAGAACAGTTGCACCCAGAGTCCACACGAAACGCACCGATATGAATGATATGACCTTCTCCGTCAATCATGATGTTCCCGTTGTGTCTGTCCTTGATTTGCAAAATGTAACATGCCACAGAGTACGCAGCCATCGACTGGATGAAATTCAGGCGAGCACGCTGGAATGACACAGTGTCCTGCCCGCCGTACTTTGCAATGAAGAAATCGAGTAGGTCGTTAACCTTCGCTCTCCCCATTTCGTCCCTGGAAGTAGCATTTGGAACAACATCGATGACGCCGCACTTGTGTGGAGATGTGTTAGTTTGATGCTTTCATGACTTATAAAAGACGTACCCCGGGACCTGTCGCCGTGACTCGATATGGAAATAGATACAGTGTCAAACCCACACTTGTGAAAATATTTTTGAACATCGCGATAATTTGCAAGGCAAGCACATCCTGCCGACAATCATCGCCGACTTTAAAAATTGCTTGTTGCCACACATCGTAATCAACGCGTGTCTCGACGCCTCCGCCATCTCCGTCTAGGAGAGAATCTGGGTCTGTGTTGATTTCAATGCGCTGCTTTCGGACTCTAAAAGTGGCCATGAATGGTGCCTAATACAAGTCAACAAAGTTCCAAAATGTAAAAAGGCACAGAAGTCACCTTTGCGTGGCTCTGAAGCGGACGCCCCGATTTTTTGTCAACATCTACCACCACTCCATCAGGATTGCTTGGAAGGTATACTCCGACATCAACATCAATTTTAGCCATCTCTTCATCAATTTTAGCCTTGAATCCAAGTTAACTGAGGCTACGAGATAGCATTGATGTAAAAACCTTTTTTTCTGGCTTTGTCTTCTTGATGTAGGGCTTCAGTTTGCCGGAAATCGCTGTAATCTCGTTAAAGAACGAAAATTCCCGGTCGTAAAATGATCTGGCTTCTCCAGATAAAGACTTTACAACCTTGTCCATGATTTCATCCAAGACAGGTTTGATGGGGTCCTCCTAAGTTCGCTAGAATCACACATCAAATAGACAGCCTGAGCACTCACCACGTCTGCTGCATCGTCCTTAAAACAATTTGCTCTCATATTCCAAATGATTTGATGGCAAAAGAGCTGAGAGATTTTGGCCGTTTCAAAAATAAAACGGCCAACGTAACCTAATGCTATCATTGGTTTTACCCAATCAAGCAACAAACTGTCTCACCAAGGTCATCGTAGCGCAGTGCCTGGACAACTTGAGGAATGAAAAAGAACGTCAAGTCTACGGGGTGTTGCACGAGAACACGATGTGCATATTGAAGGATGAGAGGATCGTTATTGAATCGCCGCTCGAATAATGTGTTAGCAAGGATGGGCGGGACAGGCGCCCAAAGTAGGAGAAGCTATCGTCACGGTGAGAGATGTCCCATTCGGATAAATAGGGTGTACCTTGAGATCTCGATGAATATGGGGATCCAGCCTCTCGCCCAGTAGAAGGGGCAAGGCTTCTGATATGTCGAGAACAGCAATTGTGCTCGAGCGAACTAATTTTCCAACTTCGTAGCGAATGGACCCTATTTTGAATCGTTCGATAAGATGCACTGCAATGCCTGGATTGATCTGCCACACTGTGCGAACAATTTCAGCCCAAGAGGTCTAAAATACGTCAGGTATCGCTACGACTAGGAAAGTGAGGAATCACCTCCAATAGCGTTCGCTCCGTATTTCCTACCAAGTCGCTGCCTTTTTTTGGATCGTTTGAAGGATTCATCCAAACGGACAATCGAAAGATTTCGTTCTCGGTGAGCAATCTCAGAGGAAGGTTAAGGCTTCGCATTCTGCTCGCGTAGTCTGCCAAATTCAATTTGAGAAAAGAAAAAAAAGACCCGTTATTCGTGTGCTCACAAGTTGAGCGCGACATCGATTGTGAAGGCGACAAACTGGAAATGAGGGGTGAGCCCCGAACCGTGTCGGTCTGAAGATACGACAAAAATTCAGAGAGAATCTTGATGTCCGCATCAACTTGGACGCGATCGGCACCGTAGGACCATCTGAATGCTGCAATTCAAAAGACGCGACTTCTGAAAGGTTCAGAAACATACTGGGGTCGAACAGAAAACCAATTATATGCAACCGTATACAGGCTTTCCCGCAATGTGTTCTCGCAAAATGCATCAAGATGCGAGCTTTTGAGTGTCTCGAATCCAAAAAGAAGGAGAGAATACCGGGCTTCTCGCGCGAGTGCATGTGTGCTGACTGGAATCAGTATTGTTGCTATCAATTAGCATAAGAAAGCTAACCTGAGTCTTGTGTGCGACTGAGTAGAGCGTAATACCAGGTGCTGGATCATTAACATAACTCCCGGTCGATGATATCGTGCAGCTTGGAGACGGCTAAAAAGCATCTGTAAGACGAGTGTATGGGGTGTAAGGATCTTTCTAGCTTGAATCAATGCTCGATCAATGTCTTCCTTGTTCGTCGGGCTATAGCTTATAGGGTGATAGAAAGGGTCGCTGTAGCTGCTATAACGTGAGCTAAACAAAACTTCACAGTAGAGAGTGCTCACTCGAGGGTTCTTGAAAAGATCCCCTTTTCCAATTTTATGGTATCTGACCAAGCTGAGAGAATCTCGCCCATCAATGCGACCTCTAGGTCAGCCTTTTCTGCGATAACCCAGCTCCAAACTTCAATTCCTACAGCGATTGCTGACGGTGTGGCAACACCAAAGGGCAAAGAAACAAGATAGTGCACAATTTCGTAATCAAACTGGTTGCCCTGCAGTGAGAAGAGTAAAATTGACTGGAAGCTGAAAAAGCTCACCTGGTCCAAGGAAATAAGAGTAGCAGCGCATCGAAACAGCAACCTACGAAGATCATGTACTGTCAAAGCGCTCTTTTTCTGGCGAATCTCGTTCATCGTCTGCAACATTTGAGATCGCAGTGCCTGAATCTCCGTAGAAAGAGCTACTTGGGGCGGCGAAGATGTAGCCAATACTAATATGCCCACATCGATCGATTTTAAATACACCAAACAGAGGAAGAGCATCGAACCTTCACGATCCGAGAGTCTGATACCCGCAGCCTCGCCAGCAAAATAGCCTTTGATAGCAATTTGGCTAGCGAGGGTCTTTGCTGCATCAACCTTCAAAGGAGAAAGTGCAAAAAGCGATGCTAGTTGACCATCATCAGGGGCATGTGCAGCAGTTTTATGAGAAAATACCTACTGAGTTGCCGATGAACGGGGCCGATCGCCTTGCCAAATTGCTCTGCGATAGAAGCACCTAGCTCAGCAGAGTTTGGTCCAGTGCTTGATCGGTTGACAGTCAAATATTTCTGTCAAGGAGAATGATGAAATAAGAGACCCATTGAATCAAGATCACCAACCTGCAAGGTAGACTGCAATTCCATTGGAGCCCTACCCAATGCGAGCTCAAACCAAGTCACCGCGTTGCGCTTCAATTGACCAAGAATTTCGTTCCGTATTTGATAGCTATCAGTGAGTTGAAGAGTGACATTGCTTCTATCAGAATAGTATTCGTAAACAGGGTTATACTGAAACTTTGTAAGCTTTGCTTCTGCCTGATCTTGAACTTGGCGACATACCTCGTCAACAAACTCATTTTCGCAGGATCTTTGGAGTAACGTAAGCACTTCCAAAATGGTGAAAACTAGCAACGGATCGCAGGTGAGGGATGGAAAAGACGTGATCAGTCGATTGAGATATTTCGATGCGATTTCTCGGGCCTTCGCAACGCGGTGGGTACTCCCAACGACAAGACTACGAAGCTCAGTGGAGAGATGTTTTGGAAATGCTTGCTGGGCAGCTTTGGCGTTTAGGTCATTAATGCAACCTCGAATAACCTGCAAAGTAATGCTTCAAATTCATAAGTAATGATTAGAACCCTCTCACCCTCTCAGCGACTGAATCCATACACGCGCTCAATCCTGGGTGCTTGTTCAAGCCGTCGTTAACAAAGTACGACAGGAGGGAAGATGGCAAACCAGCTGCGGAACGCATGCTCTCGATGTCATGCATGGTTAATACGAAGATGACCTGACCCGAAGAGAGGTAGCGGATGTCTCCTGAACGTAACGCGATGTAACCCGTGAGGCAACTCCGGTGTTTCGAAATGACCTTTAAAAATGTTGAATAACAGTTGTGCAGTGGTAAAGATTCTTACTGTATGTGCGTATTCTTGCCTGATAACGGAATTGTATTCAACGTCACTGGCGATCGCATCATGCGATTCTTCCATTACCATGGACGGCGTCTTGACTGCAATTCGAGACATTGTAGGTTTGAGCCAGTCCATTGCTGTCGTGTCTCCCTCATTTGCGTTTGTGAAGTGAAACAGCACACACAAGAACCACATATTCCTGAAGAGAGTTACAATCTCGGAAGAAGGCTCTTGATGAGGATCAAAGTCTTCATGGTGAAGTAAGGCATCGATGGGTAGCAGAAGAGATGCTAATTGTTCGACCATGTCATCAGTCTAAGAGGACTTTAGTGGGAAAGGGCTCTCATCAACACAGTATAATTCAGTCTTGCCTTTATATGATGATTGGCGATCTTCAAGTTCTGTATGGCAACGCCTTTATCAGAAAACAAAGTGAGCAATTCAACAAGGTAGGCTTCGTAAAGCTCGGGTCGACGATGCAGCTCTTGTGCTAGCCTCGTTTGAGCAGCCAAAACCTGTGACATAAGATCTAAGGCGGAGTAAACTGGAAGACAAAGACAAGATATGCACCATGTTGTTTGAAAATCGGGGGTCATCTGGATTTGCTGAGCGGTTGATTGAGGAGAAGATTCTGACGATATCCACGAATGCGTTCCGTGGCGCTTCCAATGCCAGATCGACAAGGTTGTACGCGATGGCTGCCTCCACCGTCGGCTCAGCAGAACGTAACCGTTGCAACAGCATCGATATGGTAAGCTTTGTTACCTGCCAATAGTTAACGGATGAGCCGCAAATTAGCAAGCGGAAAATTTTAACCTCTTCCATTCGAAATTCAAGTGCAAGCCTTGTAACGACCGATATAGTACTAATTCCGATCAGCCGCTTCTCGTCCTCTGAAAGTCCACGCAGACCGCTTTCCAGTGAATGGATGGTGCCCTGATTGTGAGTGTTGTTGAAATTCAATGTGTGCATACTACTCGAATCATAGATTTCTTTGCTTGTCGCAGCGATGTAATTGAGCAAGGAGTACATGTTCGACATGATCAAGTCGTCTCCAGGAGCCAACTTTAACGGCAGTCAGTTCCATTAAAAAAAAAAAAAATCTTCTACCTTACCTTGATACAAAGTGCGAGGCACTTAGCAGCTGCGGAGAGCGGTGGTGGGGCCCTTCTTTCTGATGCGAACTCAAACTCAAAAATTGGCAACGGAGAGGTCACAAAACGCCTGAGATGGCTGGCCATATTTGCAGCAATCATAGGGAAACTGGGAACAGAGGTCCAAAAGTCAGTAAAGGAAACTCAAAACATAACAAATGAGAGCAACCTCCGAACGAGGACTGTAGTGGCTTTCAAAGCTGCTTCCTGCACTAAATGATCCGAAATGGGGGACTCGTTGCTGAGCAGAAGTGAGATGCGGGCATAAAGTTGTTCGTCTAACTCTCGAAGAGCTAGACAACAGATAGAAGCTAGTTTCTGTAATTCACACCACCGCCCATCACGCATCAGCGACCACAATTAGGAGGAAGACAACACTAACCAAACTCTCTGACATGGTTTCCCATGCATAGGTATCAACCGACGGGTCACAATCCATCTCTTTCATCTGGACGAGAAGATCAGTAAAACATTCCATCGCATATGTAATCGTCGATTTCAGGATGCTTCTGGTTTCCTCGTTGATGATGTTTATTTCGATGGCTGCGTTTCGCGTTAAGGAAAACCAAGCCTTGTTCGCTGCGGCTGCCTCGACAACGGAGGCACGATTGGTGACGGGAGGAGCAAGAGTTTGGGCGAGAACGGTCCATTCAGTTTCCAAGACACAGCAGACCATGAAATATCCACTGAGTGGGCGACCTTGAGCCACATACCGTGAAACAAAGGTCTGAACATGATACAGCATGTCGGCATCTGCATTTTCCTTCTGCACGATGTCGACAACAAGGTGGTTGAGTCGATCCACGATAGCCTGCGAGCATAAACTTTTCAAGTGGACGGTCAATGTTCGCCATTGCTCTACAGTCCATGGATACGAGGTTGAACTAACGGCGCGGTATAGGCCGTGGAGAGCAGGGGCAAGCTGCGTTAGAACGTCGAAAGCTGGGGGCACGCATTGAATGAAGAGAATGACTCAACACTTGGGTGAAACTTACAAGAACTCTCCTGTAATTTTTTTACGGTCTGAGATATAAAGAAGAAAATCGAGGAGATCGCAGGTTCGCTATACTCGGGATGGTCACTTGAGATGTGCAGAAGCGCAGAAACGGTCGAAAAAACAAGCTGATCAGGTAGCGCCCAATCTAAAAGCTCATCACATCAGTTAGTTACCAAGGAGCTTTCTGGCAACAGTACCTTCCCAAGACAGAGATTTGTCAAAGTCAATGAATGGAACGTCGCGAAGGATGTCGATCAGTGCGGGCATGACAGAGTCGATAGAATTGCTGATATGAGCCTCAGGGAAGTTGACAACAAGTTCTCCAAACGCTATGTTGCAATGCACTCTGGACGCAGTCTTCGCGTTATTTAGTAGAAATTCGTCAGGCAGGTGACAAGCATACCATATAGACCCGTGGGGTTGTTAATTGTGGCAGCGATTCAGCCAGCCCGTCTTCAACATCTACAGCGACGCCTGTAGTTTTGACCAACTTTGTTTGCACTTGAGGTATAATCAAGCTCTTGGCGTACGAGGCATCCTCGGCTGACTGGTTGATACGCGACGCTATGTCGGAAAGAATGCGTTGATGAATATTCAACTCAAGACTAATGTATTCATATGTGAGTCGAATCGGGTGGCTTGGTGCGAGTGTACTGACCAGTCCATGGTGACAGAATATTGGTGCTTCAAACTTGACTGCTCCACCGAATCCAACTGTCCACCCAAGCTCCACCTAATTATAAGTTGTTTATCGACAATACCCATATATAATCTGTCTACATAAACGTAAACAGTCACCTGCCCCACATTTTAGCTTGTAATTCTTGTAGCCACCAACAACAATCACGCCATGGTCGAGGAATTTGACGAAAATAAGTAGAAAAAGCCAATATCACAACGGTTTAAACACTTACTTCAGCAACCAGCGAGGTTTCGAAACTTCAACAAGAGCATCGGAGTAAGTCTCTTTTTTCCTGCGTTACGCTCATCATAAGATATGACGGACAGAGACGAGAACAGCAAAAACCGCCTCTCGTTCAGCAACATTTCAAGTCAAGAAACAGGCCTTGTATGCGGAAGCTCGTGAAACCAGCAAGAACATAGTTCGAGTCGGGACTGTCCACCTGTGAGGCAGCGGAATTTTACAATCGATATACAACGTGACACTTCGACTCCTTAGAGAAGACGCCAGGGCCAACATAAATTCATTGAAGGCTCGACAAGTTGGCTTTCAAAAATATGTTGATGACTGTCAGCCCTTGGAAGCAGCTAAACAAGTTCTTATCCAAGGACTCCATACTTCAGGTCGATTTTGAACTCTCTTTCAGGAGTCGTTTGAACGCATTCTTGCGATGTACCTTCCTCTTCTAGAAAAACTCGGCCCCAGACGTTCAGACGAAATTAATTCTGCCAGCCGAATGTGTACGTTCTTTTCGCGGCGCAGTTTAATCTTAAATGTTCTTTTCCATTGATATTTTGATCCACTCGATCAATGCAGTAAAAAATCACCCAGCCCAACGTGCCAGCGCCCTTCGAGAATTCTCGAGGAAGGCGAGAATTCAGGTTGAACAAGCAAGACAAAGCGAAAAGGTGCGCATACACCTCATCCTGTTTGTGTTTGTGAGGACTTCGCCGCAATATTGTTCAAGACAGCAACAGACGCTTCGGTTCTTATCAAGCGATATAAAGAATTATTGCGTTAGTTATGACTGGTATGGATTGTCATCTTATCGGGGCACTCAAGATGGTGTTGGGAATCAGTGTTTCTGTATAAGCCCTCAGTATATTCATCGTTGGCCACTGGTAATAGTACATGTGCCGAGCAACGGGACTGGTATCATGCCTACTAGCACGAGGAGAGAGATCAGTACGTCAGTGTTATTCAGAACCTTGGGGATGACGTACTAGCTCAGAATCGGATCTTTCTATATGTTTTGAAGATGACCGTGTTTCGAGATCTCCCGGACGGAGATGGAGATATTCAGACATGAAAACTCTTAGTATTAAATTCCATCGGCGCATAGTGGGAAGATCCAAGGCGTGGACATCATCCTTATAATGATTAGAGAACCGTAAATAATAGATCATTTGGCATTACCTGCAAAGTATGCCAGACATGCGGGAATGGCTCGGCAATGATGTGAAAGACGCTCACTCCCCTTCGCAAAAAGGGGAGGTGATCATCTCCAACATATCCGTAGTTGGACGTCTTTCCTGTTCGTGGGCGGAAATAGCTGCGCCAGCTACCGGGCGCCATTCCCTTTTCTTTGTCATAAGTGAACGCCCCACTGTCGCCCAGTCTGCGCTCCACCGAAACCATTGCATCAAAAAGCCACGCGGTATCCAAATAGTAAGAGCGAATGGATGGTTGGGGAGCGCCAAGAAGATCCAGAAGAATCAGATGTTCAATGGTCGAGAGCTCAGTCGCATGTAAGTCCATGAGGCGTCGCTTGCTATGTGGTTGGATATAAGTGGTCGACCATTTTTCCGCTAGATGCCTGTTGGCGACAGGTCACTTTACAGCCAAATCTATTATGAATTACTTGCCTTGCTCCATAAATGGAATCCGTGTCTGTCCAGTCGGCAAAAGCTTCTTCTCCATCGAAAAAAACCAATTGAAGAGTCATATCCGCGATATCGTCGTCGTCCTCTAAGCCGTCGTGAAACCGCTCCATGCGGCTCTCTAACAGAGGGTTCAAGGTTTCAGCGAGGTCCAGCATCATCGCACAGGGGGCAGCAGAATCAGTTGCCCCTACAAACTGCTCATTCAGCATCAATAAGAGGCCGCTAGTGTGAAATTTGATAAACTTGCCTGGTTATGAGGGTACGTGGGGAAATATTTGCTGTCGAAATGGGCTGACAACACAACCCGCCGCGACGCGTTTGGGTCTTTTGTGGCGACGACGTTTGTAAACCGCTTTTGACCAATTGGTGTAGCATCCGTAAACTGGTCTTCGTCTATGTGCCAGTTAAGCGCCTTGAGGGTGGATACAATGTAATTGCGAACAAAGGTATTGTTGTCAGTTTCCGCTGTGCATGGGTGACAATGAGCAGGTGGCCCGAAAATAAAGGCGTTACTCACGAGCGCGAGGTATCAGTATTTTCGCCAGATGAGAGGCAGGATTGTGAGGATCAAGATTTTTCAACGGGTCAGGAGTTGTCGTAAGTATGGAGATGTCTTGAGAAGTGAGCGACGGAAGAGTACGCTTCCCAAAAAACGAAGCCTGAAGCGACGGGAGTGGAAGGGAAAATATCACAAAGAGGAAGAGAAAACTGTGAAATGAGTGACATTTCGACGTCGACAACCAACCTGTGTTCATTGCTATCGTTTTTTGAGGGTAAGTATTCGTCGGGTATTAGCCAAGCTTATGTAATAGGTTACCGTGCCAAATAAGGCTGTAGAGCGACATTCGCGTTATCACCTTCATGGCTATCTACGGCCTCTGGGTGCGTCCTTCTTTATTCCTATTGATCTATTATTTAACAATTTAAAAGGTCATCAACAAAGCAGGAGGGCTGGTCTATCAACGCAACTTTGCAGGTCCTTTCCTATCAGACCATTGTACTTCCAAGGGCACCCTAACAAGATGCTGCAGAGGGATTAGCACAACTCACTTCAAATGAATACCTCGTTCTTGCCGGTACGCTGCACGGCATCCACGCCATTACAAGTCGGCTGTCACCCATGGGCTCTAGTTCCGGGGCTCAAGTGATCGAGGGAGAGACTTTCAAAATGACCATCTCGTTAACGGTCACTGGTTCGCTATTGCTTTCTTCAGATCACGCATCTCCTCTAACAAATTGCAGGAACCAAATTTGTTCTTTTGACCTCCCTAGCAGAGAGCAAAGCGGATATCATACTGCAGAAAGTCTACGATATTTACGCCGACGCTGTGATGAAAAATCCTTTCCACACGCCAGAAATGCCGATACGTAGCGAAGGGTTTGATGCGCGGATAACCTCGCTCGTTGGCACGGGCCAGACTTAATATCCACCGCCTGTACAAGTTCAACTTGGAATATATATGTGGTCAGGTGACAAGAAACACTTGACCTTTTTGTATCACATGAGCCTTTCTTGCCGTTACCCTCATATGCAATGCAGGCTCAGACGACGAGGAACGCAATACAATCCATATCCGCTACCCAAAGCATATCCTCCGTTCAGACTCTCCTCAGAGCAGGTTTGAGCTGCATCGCTTTTTTGAGGTACGTCCTGCTCATTCATGGGATCACAAGAGGTCACCCGTCTCCTTGTAGAAATCTTTTACCAGAAGACAACTTTTCCGAAAGTATATCCTTCTCCCTCCCGCTTGTCTGGGTTGAAACCTATTCTGATCAGGCTACTTCACAACCGCCGATGACTCTTATGGCGCGCTCTCCGTCTCAAGCGATGCTACAGATGACGGGAGGAAAATTAACGGATTTAGAATCATGGTTATGATCATATTCCGTTCTCTATGAATGTATTGACGGTGGCTTTTCTGTAGACCATGACTCGTGGATATACAGATGAAGCGGACAGAATTCTAAATTACTTGGTATATGCGCGCTCACCTCACCGAATTTCTCGCTCATACTTTGGCAGGAGTACGGCATCTTTGATGCCTTGCAAAAACAATACCTTCGTAGTTTTATATTTGCCATTTACCTGGTATGTCGTCTTTGCGATTGCCCGCAGGTAACATACCCAGCTCTTCCAGGATAACAAGGAACCAAACAAGTAAAGACTCGCATATACCGTGCATTTTTCTTGATCCATAGAGTGCTCACCAACTTCTAGCATCATTGAGGCATACACCTTCAATTTCAAGGTTTGTTCGGCTCCATGATAACATTGCTTTATGGTTGACGCCTCCTTTCAGTATCATACTCTGCCAGGAACCGACACTGTAATTCCTATCATGAGCTTTGAAGAAGGTGCACGGAGATCGTCAACGGAACCATTCGTCGATCCAGTCGCGGAAGCGGTTAAACGAGGAAAGACTCCTACTCTTAAAGATGTCAAGAGAAGTGTGAAGGTTCATTTTTGTCAATTTTTTTTCTGTCTCTATGTAACGTCTCTTGGCTTCGCAGACTTTATTGAAGACACTTATTCATGCAATGACCCACATGGACGTCTTACCAAGTTTGTGACTCGCTTGCAAGTATGCAGTTTTTTAACTAGCAAATTTGCACAGGACGCCGTTTCGCAACTTTCAAAGTGTGTTACACAGACGAAACGCCTGCCAACTATGAACCGCCGCATTTCCAAGCTGGGGACTCTGAGAAAGATAAGTGGTTCTTCATGACTCACGACCTCGACGAGATCCCCGAAAAGTGCTCTATTGGGAAGATCCAGACCGGTCACCACTCGTAAAGGTTTTTATCTAGTCTTTGTATACAACTTACTAAATCTTTAGTCAGTGTTAATCTCAGCGTCACCTCGATAGCAACCTACCTTCCTTCATCCACCGAGCACGATCATGGAATTTTTGCAGGGACAACCGTTCGAGGATCAACCGTTCCTACTCTTACGCCACTAGAGGAAGCCAGCTTCTGTGCCCATCAAGCGGAGAAGCAAAGAGAAGATGCGGACAATAGGAATGTCGTGTGGTCAGCCGATGCCGACTTGGAACTCCATGATGAAGACGCAGAAGGCGAAGACGATCCTGAATACATCAGAGGTCCCGATGGTCGTTATAAGGCAATCGGTTTAGAGCGCGAATCGCAGCAAATCGCTCCCATTGGTATTAGAAATAAGGAAGGCGACATCGAAAAGCTACCTTTTGCCCCAGATGGAGAAGCACAGTTTGTGGGATTCTGTGAAAATGTCCCCACTCGTTTGAAAGAAATAGTTGGTCTTCCATAATTATTCTAAAAGGAGACTTTATTTCTGATCGCCAGCCAGAACGCGAAGATCGCACTAGAGACTACGGGGTTTGAGGAGACCCAACCTCTCATTTTTCAAGAACCTTCTTTGTCTCACGTAGGAGAAACACCTATTTGCGAGGACGATAGTGGCCCAGATGCTATCCCCCCCCCCGATATTAATATTGAGACGACCTCCGCACCTCCCCGCCCAGTTGACCTCGGCAGTTATTTTGAACACTTGTGCATTGACGGCTCTAGGGCGCCAAGTGATGTCCAGATGTTAGGTTTGTAACCATGTCCCACCCTTGTTCTAGACTGACTGTCAATGTTGACGAAGACATGGAAATTCAGCAACCTGGATCTCCAATGGTTGAATCGATCCAGTCATTCGAATATATCAAAGCAACGGATGGTATGACTGCTGAGTTGGTAACCCAAGGAGGAGAGAATAATCAAGACGCCATAGTCGATGAAGTTCTAGATTGTGATTGTGGTGTCATGGTAATCACCTGGCCGTTGAAACACTTCTGGTATCTTTGATCATCTTTTCTAGATAGAGGATGAAAGCTGCTTTTGCGAGGGGGGTTGCGCTAGATGGTTTCATGTTTGGTATGCTCCCTCTGTTTGCAGTGCCATTTACCGCCGACTTGCTGACCTTACACAGGTGTATGGGGTACGTCACCTACCGCCCATGGAAATTAACCACTTCATTGTTAGTTCTTCCCCCACAGATACAACTCCGCTCAAGACCCCCGCATGCCCTCCAAATTTATCTGCTTCGATTGTCGACTCCGCAAAGATTTATCATGGGAACTTATCAAAGTCGATCTCTACCCCAAACTTATGGGTAGATTCAAGGACCTGGCGCTATTTAGGTGATCGTCTCTGTCTGCTTGTCTTTCTATGCTAACATCGATTTCACTAGACGAGCTCTCAAAGTCGCAGATAGCCGTAAGCCTCAATATTTCGCGGATTTTGTGAAATCCTTTGGTCAGATATCTATCCCAAGCTTCAGGGGCGGGATTAATTTTACCGATATAGGCGGCGAGAATTCACTTGCTCGGCAACTTATCAAACGGCTAGAATCTGAGGGTGAATGGATTTTGATAAATATATTCATTTGGGCTCATTGACGATTACCATTGAATCGCAATAAGGCTTTCTATTTCAACAGATGACGACGGTTGATAACCTCGGACTAACGACAGAGATCCATACGAGGAGCGTCAAGAACAAAGGGAAAGGAAAACAGAAACAGCCCAAGCAACGAAAACCCAACATTCAAAAGCCTCGTTACGCTTTCAATCATTCGATGAAAGCTAAGTCTACCTACTTGGACTACTTCAATCCAGATCAAGAAGTTGAAAACCGTATACTTGGTGTGGCCAAACTGGTTCGTTTTCTATTATATTAGAAACATGGATGCTTAACTCGCTAAAAATTTAAAGACTGGGCTCATGTCCATAGACAACCAACCACTCCACACGGGCTTTGTAGGACCAGCCTCGCAGGCTTTTTCTGGGCTCGAGCGAGCCAACGAGACTCAAACGCAAGAGACAACAGAGATCCCCGAATTCCCAGTTGAACAAGTTCGACACAAACGTGGTAGTGATCTGTTGACAGAACCTGACATTCTGACGAGACCGACGAAAAAACTCAAAATATCAGTTGCTGTTGGTATTGACTTAGCAGAGTGAAAGTCGAAACAGTGTAGGCGTTTATTTCTATCACTTGTCGAATCCTGCTTTGTTCGTAGCTATTTGTTAACTTAGCGACCTGCCCTCAAGCAGTGATATAAAAGAGGATTGTGCCAGCCTTCTTGTCAACCCCTTCTGGTTTTAAAATCGTCAATAACCTCCATGACTGGCGACCTGTACTGGGAGGACCTCGCAGGAGATGAAGTAATGGTGCAAGGCATAGATACACCTCCGTATCCCCCATTCCCAGCTTTTCACTGCAGTTTGGGTTCGTTAGAGTGGTGCACATTTTTTTCAAGACCTGAATACATAACAGTTTGCTACTTGTGAATCCTCAATAAGTGATGAGGATAGATAGATAGATAGATTCCGGAGCGGTCCCAATGATATTTTTTTTTTGGAAAGTCGCACATAGCTTGTAAAGAAAGTTCTGAGGTACATAAAGGAACTTGCACAAGTGCAGTTTGGCATCCTTACATACAACCGATTCGGTCGTTGGCGCTAGACCAGATCCTAATTCCCGCAACGTTCTTGAAAACACTTTCCCTGCGCATCGATCTGAGCGTCGACTGGCGGACATGCCTTACAAGTTGTCGGCAACCCTAAAAGCCCATACATCTGATGTCTGTAATGAGATCGTCATCTGATTGAGGAGCTCCTAGACTGATAGTCCTCAGGTTCGCGCATCGTGTTCACCGACCAATGAGCTCATTCTTTCAGCCTCTCGCGACTCCACCGCAATATGTTGGCAACGATCTTCCGCGGGACCTCACTTTACACCCGACAACGTCCTTCGAGCTGGCTCTCGGTACCTCAACGCTGTCACATACATCCCCCCCACTTTAGATGCACCGAAAGGCAGGCACGTACCCCTCACACCCAAGCCAATCACTGATTAGTTTGTAAAGGCTACGCTGTGACTGGTGGCCAAGATACTATAATTAATATTTTCTCCCTTGAGCATCCAAAAGACGATCCGGATTTTTCGCTCCTGGGCCACACCGAAAACATCTGCGCCTTACATGCTACACCGTCTGGCACCATCATATCTGGCTCGTGGGACAAGTAAGCTTTTTATGTCTTCATATTTGAGAAGGTTTTTCAATCCAGTATCAAGAACCGCCAAAGTTTGGAGGAACTTTGCTTTGCTTTACGATCTGAAAGGTCATCAGCAATCGGTGTGGGCAGTGCTAGCTCTCGATGAGGACAGATTCTTGACAGGTTCGTGCGCTTCAAGATGAACGCGACAGCATGGAGAGACAGATATGTTTCTAAGGTTCCGCCGACAAATCGATCCGGCTTTGGCAACAACACAAGATGCTTCAAACCTATATTGGCCACCAAGACGCGGTGCGTGGGTTAGCCTTGGTTCCAGATATAGGCTTCGCATCGTGCTCGAATGATAGGGGGGTGATTGCGTTGTTGCAGCGAAAGTATATGTGGCTAACTGCCGCGACTTTAGCGAAATCCGTGTGTGGACACTGGGCGGCGATCTGGTTTACACACTCTCAGGACATACATCATTCGTTTACAGTCTGTCGGTTCTCTCCAGCGGCGATATTATCTCTGCAGGCGAGGATCGTACTGTCCGCATCTGGAAGGGTGTGTATTGTGATTTTTTCCCTCCCACAAACAAACTTAATATAAAGAGAGTAGATGGTGAATGCTCACAAATCATCACTCATCCTGCTATTTCTGTTTGGACGGTGTCCAGTATGCCGAACGGAGATATCGTTAGTGGATGTAGCGATGGCATTGTTCGCGTTTTCAGTGCCTCCGAGGATCGCTGGATGTCGCAGGGCGATCTGAAGGAGTACGATTTACTTGTTGCAAGTCAGGCGTTGCCCTCCCAACAAGTTGGAGATGTCAAGAAGAATGACCTTCCTGGTGTAGAAACCCTTTTGAGTCCAGGTAAACCCGCATTTAAACGATCGGAAGTTAGAATTTATTTTTTCATGATCAGGGAAAAAGTCTGGTGAGGTGAAGATGCTCAACAATCAAGGCATAGTGGAAGCTCACCAGGTCCGTTACTATACATGCTTTTTGTAAAACAGTTGGTTGAAACGCCTGGTAGTGGGATGCCGCTACTTCAACCTGGCACAAGATTGGAGATGTCGTTGATGCCGTAGGGCAAAGTCGCAAGCAACTCTATCAAGGAAAAGAATACGATTACGTTTTCGATGTTGACATCCAGGATGGCGTACCGCCGCTGAAATTGCCGTACAATGCGACCGGTCGGTAATATCTTGCCTTGACGCCTTCAGAAAAGTTCACGTTCCTGCCTAGAAAATCCCTTTGCCGCGGCGCAGCGTTTTCTTGAGAGTAACGATCTGCCGTTGACCTATATCGACGAAGTTGTCCGATTCATAGAGAAAAACACAGCACCCGTCGATATTGGAGCTCAAGGAGAGGAATACGTGGATCCTTACACAGGCAAGGAAGGGTATACTGATATCTTATAGTTATCTGATGGCATTGTGTAGGCGCATCAAGGTATCGAAGTACAGGCTCGGCACCAACTACTGCATCGGCGTCGGAGTACGCGGATCCATTTACAGGAGCGTCAAGATACAGGGGCACACCTCAAGCGCCTTCGTCTTCTGTTATAGATCCACTCAATGGTGCTTCTCGCTCCTCGGGGCTGGCAGCGTCAACTGGAATCGTGCCGTTACCCAAGACTTTGCCAGTCGTAAAATATGTAGCTTTTAAACAAGCTAACGTGAACGCCATGCAAGCGAAATTGTTCCAGTTCGATGAAGCGATACGCAACGAAATTGTGAGTGTCTTTTTTGTCTATTTTCCTTCAATAAATGAATGCGAGGAATACCAAACAGCCTATATCGTCGCTTGCGCTAAGCCCAGAGGAAATCAGTGGTCTCAACGAAATCTTTTCTTATCTATCACGGACAACGATGTCTCCTCCGCTAGCTGTGTCGTTAGTGCCGACCAGTTCTCACGTAAACCTTATTGCGCGGATCTTAGAGAGATGGCCATCCCCCCAGCGCTTTCCAGGTAAATGCGCTACTATGCGGTGCGCTATGGTCACTGACGGGGAGTAGTCATTGACTTAAGTCGACTCTTGGCCGGGTTTTGTCCGAAAGCTTTTTCTACTCCTGGCTTGACAGAAACGTTCCTAGAAACGTTGCTCAAGGCTTCAGAATGGAACTCTCCGTGGACTCTCCCACTTTCCAAGCCAAGAGATACCAACACTCTTCTGATGCTTCGCACTTTGGCAAATGTGTTCCAGGAAGGAAGCCCTGTCAATGATGCATGGTTGTCCCAGGTATGAACCCCCCATTCTCGCTCGGTCTTGACTCTCTATCGTTTGGCAGCTCCTTGAGAATTTGAGTCAAGCGCCGTACGCTGTATTGAGTAAGAATCTGCGAGTCGCTCTAGCTACAGTTCTGTTCAAGTATGTGGACGTGGCACCTTTCCTTCGTTTTAACCGATTATTTTCTCAGCGTTTCTTGCTTTGGTCTTTCTTCGCCTCTTGCTGCCCCCATTCGCAATCAGCACCTGAGATTGACCTTGGGTGTAAGTTTCAGAACAACTTTATGGCGTTCATTTGATTCAGGCAAAAAAAACAGGTGCTCGAATCGGAAGCCGACGATTCGGAGGCTGTTTACCGAGCCTTCGTTGCTCTCGGCAATGTGGTCAGTCGTTATTTTATTTCGTATTTCCCCGCCTCACAAAAGGATGGCAGGTTTACTTCCATAATGAAACGGGCAACAATATTTTTGATAGCTCGCAGATCAGTGACATTCTGCAATGCATTCGGGCTCTTCCTTCAAGATTTAAGGAAGATCGAGTTCGCAATATTTTTGAGGAGATTGCTGCTATGCTATGAATTTCTTGTCGTTTTAAAATGTTATCGTTGAGATGTTGTGATTGCGCCGTTCTTGCCGACACGTGAGAAAGAAAAAGCTCGGATGGGAATAAAAGCAGCCGAAACATCCGCTGATTGGTCGGCTTCGATCATGAAGTCATTGCCAAGAAATATGCACCGCCTTTAACCAAGTTGAAGTGTTCAAGTTCTTTTCCAATTCCTACCACTCCTTCATGTCCACAGACGAGCATTCGCCGCTTTTACCGCATCACAATGGCTTTGTCCCCTTTAGCCAAAGTGTCTTTTCCCTAGTCAAGGCTGAAGGCGAACCGACCTGGCTGGCATCCCTCAACTACTTTATTTTCGGAACTTATCTCAATGTTCTCTTAATATTCGTTCCATTGAGCATTATCGCTCACCATCTCAATTGGGATGCTGCTCTGCGTTTCTCGTTCAGCTTTCTAGCAATCGTTCCTTTGGCCAAGGTATGACCCAACCTCGCAAAAGGTACTCACTAACAACGCCCCAGTTGCTAGGCGAAGCCACGGATCAAATGTCCGCAAAACTTGGCCAAACGGTCGCCGGTTTGTTGAATGCATCTTTCGGGAACGCCGTTGAAATCATCGTCGGCATTGCTGCTCTTATGCAAGGTTCGCTTATCTAGTGCGAAGTTGATTTGGTTTATTTGACTGTTGCCGCCAGGCGAGCTGCGCATCGTTCAGACTTCAGTAAATTTATTTTCCCGAGGTTTATTACCCCTAAATTTTGTTTCAGATGTTGGGTTCTATACTATCAAACATTCTGCTCGTTTTGGGGTGTTCATTTTTGGCTGGTCGGTGTTTTTTTTTTTCACTGAGGAACAGTGGTTAACGTAAGGCATTAGCCGGTTACAAGCGCCCTGAGAGTGAATTTCAAGTGACGGCAGCACAAGCGTAAGTTGGACACGTTCCCTGCCGACATAGGTTAACTAAATCTTGATGGCCAATATAGTTCAAGTTCCGTATGTGCTCGTCCTACTATGTCTCGTCTGTCGAGTTCTGACAACTACTACAGTTAATGACCCTGGCATGCATCAGTTAGTTTAAACCCCCTAAATCATGGCTAATTTGTATCTGAGTTCCGCCATCTTTCACATAGCGCTTGTTATTCCTGCTGCTTATAATAGCACACAATCAGGTATTGTCATTTTAACTTATCTTAAATTCCGACTTGATCAAGAGAAACAGCTTCTTCGGCGAGTGGTTTGCTGGTTATTTCAAGAGGCACCGCAATAGCGCTCCTCCTTGTATACTGTGCTTATTTGTACTTTCAAGTCAGCACCGACATTTTCTTTTTGAGAACGATCTCACATCCGTCGGTTAGTTGAAGTCCCATGCACATCTGTATGAAGCAACAAGCAAACAAGAACCAGAAGCGCAGAAAATGAGTGTCATCGCAGCCTCAATAGCGTTGGTGTCCTGTCCCCTCCTAACAACTGCGATTACTCATCGACTTTATTTAGTCTGCTCTCGGTCACCGTCATTACGGCCTTCTGTGCTGATTATCGTAATTACGTTCCCGCGCACATTGATCATACCAAGCTCAAACTCGTTTAGTGGTTGCCTCCATCGAGGAAACTGCGGCGCGCTATGCCATACCGAAGGCGTTCATTGGTCTGATACTCCTTCCGATTGTGGTGAGTCTTGAGTGACATCCGTGTTCTGTCAATAACGGGAAATTGCGTTCAGGCCAACGCCGCTGAGCATGTTACTTCGGTCTGGATGGCGATGAAGAACCAAATGGAACTCACCATCACGATCTGTGTTGGCAGTTCCATTGTGAGTGGCAAAATATTATATTGTGAAATGCGGCCAATCTGACCTTACTCATGTAGCAAATCGCGACTTTTGTTGTTCCTCTCTTGGTAATCATAGGATGGATGTGAGTGATAAATCTTGGGATTTTTCGGTTGCGCTTACTTGGATTTTCTGTTAGCTCCGGACACGAATTGACTCTTTTCTTCGCTAACTTCGAGGTTTGCTATCCATTGTTAACTTGACAGCCCCTAATTGACAATGGGTCCAGACAATCATTCTTTTCGTCTCTGTCATCCTAGTCAACACTTTGATTCAGTGAGTGGGTGTTAATTGTAACGTCCGAGTATGCTGATGCATTTCTTAGGGATGGAAAGTCCAACTACATGGAAGGTCTTATGTGAGCGCAGTGCACTGAGTAGGTTAAGCGATTTCTAATTGTCATTAGGCTGCTATCCCTCTACTTTGTTATTTCACTTGCATGTGAGTCTAATCCATATCCGGATACCCTCTACTAACGAACACCTTTAAAGTCTGGGTCTCTTAATGCGCGTGCGCGTAAATGTAATTGTGGATATATGATTGAATGCCTGTTCAATATTACCGTCATTTCCCATTGTCAGCGACGCAACTGAGTGGAATAAAATGTGAATAAGACAAACACACGCATATCATTTGGTTGAACTGAAAGGAACTTGGTGCCAGAATTTGCTCTTTTAGATTGTACTTTTGAGTAATATGATCCTCAGGGGATAAAAGTTACGTCTGAGAAATGATATTCAGCGGTCTAAATCCAGCCCACGTAACAAAACAATGGTATAACAGCAGATTCTGAATGAGCGGATCTGGTCTTCGTCCTTGGACTTTCTGCCACCTGACTTCAGTCATCAAAACATCCGAGTTGAACTTCGACGGTCTGGGGATGAAGAACTTATCGTGCTCAAATTAATCAAGAGACCACCAAGTTTTGATAGGGAACGCATTGACAGTCTCTCGAATGTCATCCAGAAAAAGTGCAATGATCCGCTCCGGAGTTCAGGCTAGTAAGAACGAATTTGTATGCAAGTACCTTGCAGACTAGATGGGGATCTTGATATATCTTTATTGAGTCAATTTATCATTATTTTTTATACAAAAATTGCTGATAGATGTTATAGCATATTTGACTATAAAATATATACTCAGGTGAATCCATGTCATAATTGTTCAATATAAAACCTAGGGCTTCACGCACTTACCACAATTTTGGGTTTTGCGTTCAATGTGCTGGGTGTCAAAAGAAAGCAAAACAACGAAAAGAAATAAAATAGAAAGAATTTGCCTAGATATTCCCAACACCATATTGTGTCGAAATTTTTTTTCCATGAAGATGGCTTGGGTGTTTCTAGAGGTAAGACTGTCGGGGGTTGGCCAAAATTTTCGAAGTCAAGAACTGTCTCTGTGTTGTCAGGCGCAAGGATGGTTTTCGGGGGATTCTGATTTTGTCACGTGCACGTGACTAATGGCAGATAACTTTTCGGGGTGGCAGATAACTTGCAGATAACTTTGGTCTGGAATTCTCCACATTGGCCACATAAAACATATAGCTCTCTGAGAAGAAATTATAGCTTACACCTGTTAATATGTATATGCCAAAATTCAGCAACAGAAATATTGTACCCGTTGAGAAATATGTAAACTACAAAATCCCGGGCTTTGCCGGGCAGATAAATGGCAGATAAATACCCAGCACAATGATCAGTAAGCCCAATTTTGTGATTGTCATGCACATATCAGTAAGTTCGCACGGGGTGTCCATGCTGTGCAATGTGTAAACACGGCCAACTACTTGTGGATTAGGTCATCATCTACATTTTGGAGTCGGTTAGCAGTACAAAGGGGAGCAAGCTCCCCAATAATCCTGTGTCTTGTGTTAATGCTTTTCTGAAAAAGGTAAAATCTTGGAATTAAATGATTAAGGAACAAAAGAAGCATACTGCATGAGCAACATTATCGAGGGAATGAGCATACTGGTATAAGTGAGTGATAAGATAGGGCCAATCAAGGGGGGATGGTCACAGCGCAACGCTGTCTCCTTGCAATTCTTCAAACTTGCGCCGAGCCATTCGAACATTCAACTTTAAAGCTGCTGTTTCTAAAACAGGGCATCTCAGTCAATTGCTTGTGGGTGCTAGGTAAATGACTATGGACAAACCTATGGTGGGGTCATGCACAATGACCATAACATACGTATTCCGGGTCATTTCAGCCAGGACAGCAGTAAAATCGTATAGTTCCATCTCGAGTGAATGAAATTCCTCCCTCACGCGGGAGCATGCGTACTTGAAAGCTTTAACGAGTTCAGAAGTCCGCTCATAACGCGTTGGATCGAGTCCGCGCGCATCTCCCCCACCTGTGGTATCAGAGCCAAGAGATGAAGCAGTCGAGGGAATGTCAGGCATGTCAGGCAGATTAGATGAGGTGGCCACAACAAGGAAGGTCGTTCTCTCAAAGAGAATCACTTCGGTTGCATTGCAAGCCACTGCAAAGGTCGTCAAATGTTTTGAAAGAATGCTCGCGTTTGGGATCAGGGTGTGCACAATGTTGGACCATGCCTGATGTAGCTGCTTTGTGAAGTTCGTGTATGGAAGGAAGCAAAGGACAGTGCGTACCTTGTAGAGACTTTCGTCGTAGATACTGGTTCCAAACACCGAGACGGTGCCTTCGCCGCTTGCATCTTGCAGTTCCTTCCTTTTCTTCTCGAAAGAGGGTTGGCGTGGTTCCCGTAAAAGGTCCATCTTGTGCACGAGAAGAAATACAGATGCGCTCGGACTAAATTGCCTTAGCCCATCGAGACAGTCACGGTAGTACTCCAAATCCTTGTTCATTTCCCTTGTTTCGACGTCGAACACGTATATCATGACACCGACTTGTTGAAAAATTGTTGAACGTTGTGTGGTGAGATAGGAATCCATAAAGGCATCCTGGCCCCCACAATCCCACAGGTTGAGGATGAGGTCACCCAGAAATCGAACATGGTTTTGCTCAACGTCGATAGTGGCGCCCAGGCGAGCAGTCAACGACGCGGGGTTGTTCGAGCTACAACGGTATCGATGAATTCCTGTTCAAGAGGCATTGAGATGTCTTACAAGATCAATGAGCGCATCGATGTCTTGCCGCTGCCTGAGGCGCCCATTAGAAGAACCTGGACAGCGTGTCATTTCGGTGGGTAGCGCAATGCGCTCGGGTTCACCTTTTTCCTCATCCTTTGTGAGAGTTGTGAATAGATGAAACGGAGGGATCGACGACGACAATGGAAACGACAACAACAGTCGTCTACCCTGCAAGCCTCCAATTTAAATAAATTGGTCCAAGTGCTACATATTGAAGTACATACATACTTTAACTGTTTAGTCTAACGCGTTCCAACGTCCTCAATCAAATTTGCCTTCTCTCCAACGACGAACATGAGAACCCATCTCTACAGCCGCAAGACCCCAGTCTTCTCCGTGATTATGCCCTTTATCCTCGCCTCTTCCGAGTCCTGCTCTCTCTAACGCCTGGTCATCTGTAAGCGCAGTCAAAACTCCAAAGATGACTGGAACACCCGTGTCCAGTTGGATCTTCATTAAGGCATGTGATACGCTGTCGCAGATATACTCGAAGTGCATAGTCGACCCCTTGATAAGGACACCGATAGCGATTACAGCGTCAAAGGGCTCATTTGGCATGGTGACTGTGGCAGCTGTTGCAGGCGTTTCTGAATTCGGTATTGCTCCAAAGGACAGCCCGCTCAGCAGGTCAGTGACATTGGATGAGGTTTGGACGTGAGCTCCAGCGATCATTCTAAAAATGCACCAGTTTCGTACCGCGAGTAGAATTGTAAGCCCTGTCGCGTACGTACCTAGAGCATGCCAAAGGTAATTCGAAACTCCCCGGGACAGACTGCACGACAATGTTGCTCTCCTTGACACCGCTCTCCTTGAGCTTTGCGACCGCACCAGCAACCAGAGCATCGATAACAGTTTTGTTCCATCGTGCGTGCACAATGGCGACGCGAAGGGCCGCACCGTCGTATTGGACGTCCGATTTCGAGATACCTTTGACTGTGGCGCTCATGGTCAGGCAGCGTGGGAGTTTTTAAAGTCCAAAGAAAACGACACATAGCACGCTCTACTTATAAGTAAACCACCACTATGGACGGAAATCTCGCCAGTATGTCCTGTAACTGCTACAACGTCTTACAACTAACCCAGATTTCAGTGACTTATACCTTAATTCATTCTTTTTTAAGGAAACAATCCCACAACAAAGCCGCCGACGCGCTTAAAAAAGCCGCAAAAACCGTCGTCATTCTTAAAGATGACATAGAAATAGAGGGTCCTCAATTAGACGAAATTATTCAAATTTGGAAGTCGATAAAGCAAAATGACACATCCTCGTGAGTAGCATCTCATCGGAGCGTAGACAACATCTCAACTTCATTCAGCTCAAGCTCGGATTCGGACTGTACGCATATATCCATTGCATTGATGCTCTTTTTTCTTACACAGTATAAAAGCATCTTCCGATTCTAGTGAATCTAGTGAATCAACTTCAAGTTCAAGATCCCAGGAATCTGCGAAACCCACAAAGGCGACCAAGCCAAAGTCCAACTCGAAAAGCAAAGAAAAATTAGCAAACAAATCATCTTCATCTTCCTCGTCATCGTCATCGTCGTCATCCTCCAGTTCAGATTCCGATTCTGACTTGAACACCCAAATCAAGGATATACTTGCAGCAAAGAAGCCGGTACCATCTGGTATGCCCTTGTATCTAATTATTTGATATTTACATGATTTCACATGTCAGAGCATTCCGATTCCAGTTCCTCTGGCTCAGGCTCTGAATCTGGTACGTTGTCAAGCTATGCACGAAATGAGATTTTACCCAAAGTTGGAAATTACTAGACGACGAATCCAGTGATTCTGCCTCACAGAAGGCGAAATCGGTTAAAAAGAAACTGGTCAAAATTAGGGCAAGTGAAAAGCATTCCAGCCAAACTCTTTCGTCCACCAGCTCCTCCGATTCTACTTCCGATTCTGATAGCAGCCAAGTCTTGAGTAAAAAAATTGGGAAGGCCCCTGTAGCGGCGAAGCTTGCATCGAAGAAAATTGGGAAGAGCGAATCGTCTGACTCCCCCAGCTCAGAATCCGACTCGTCGTCTCTCGGGGGACAAAGGAAACCCTCCGTTGAAGTAAAGTCCGTCAATGGGGGTGAGCAAGATACCTACCAAGTCACGAAGAAGCGGAGAACTGGAGATGATGGCACGGCTGTTACGACTGCAACCACCGCCGACTTTGCCACTACCACCAAGGGGGAAAAAAGCCTGAATTCGACTGGATTTATCAAAGGCGCTAATAGCAATAAGAAAAATGGGCCGAACGAGCGCTTCATGAGGGTAAGACCTGAAACCGTGGCCATGAACAACAACTTTGTGGACAATCGGTACGAAGCCAAGGTATGTCTCGTCCACTTTTCTCGTGGCTTCGCCAGCCAAGCAGGCTACTTTCGAAACTTACGAATGCCATTTTCAGGCAGGGCCCAGTAATGATTATGGTTCGCGAGCTCATTCTGATCTTATCGTTACTCGCGGGGCTGGTTTCCGAAAGGAGAAGAACAAAAAAAAGAGAGGGAGCTATAGAGGAGGCGAGATAACGGTCAGTGGTTTGCTTCGTGGATGCTCCGGTATGTTGTGCCAACCTGGATGTTCGACAGATGGAAAGTCATAGCTTCAAGTTTTCTTAATTGGTATGGTAAAACTTTAGTGGATCCATCCTGACCGAAGTAAGGCAACGAAGGGATCGAAGCCCCGTCGTAGAGCTCAGAACTGAGTGACAGGGCGGCAAGGAATCGCTCTCCCTACAAATTTTATGTGCAGATGTCTGTTAAATCGCGTTCAAGGTTCTAATGAATTTAACAACAATCCAATCTACGGAAACTTTTTCCTCCATCGATTTATTGTCCCATGAGTGTGCGCCGGAAAAATCATCTGAAACCAAAGAATGAATTATGCGAGCCGTGTCATGTTCCTGGTAAAGGACGAGCGGCGAATACCACCTAGAACTGGCCTGAAGTAAAAGCTTTCCTCGACCTGACATAAGGGCGGATAAAATTTCAATCGGAATGTGAGGCAGACGGAAGGAAACAAGGAATCGACAATCAAACAAAACTTCGACATATTCAGGGCCGTTGTTTGTTTTCCACAAGTCCAAGCCGTCGACCAATGAATTCGTGATGTCGCGAAATAAAGAAGAATCTTCTGCCATTCGTAGTAACTCGTTTTTTTTGTCGAATGGAGGTTGTCTGGACGCCAACCATGCCACGGTATCGTCACTCAAAAGATCAGATACGCGGGTGACGTCCTTGATTTTTTCCCGACGATATACAACTGGCTTCCACAGAACGCCTCCTCCAGCGACGAACGGTTTGATTCCGTCAGTAAACGGGTCTGGGTTCCAGAGTTTCGTTATGATTTGTTTCAAACTGAGTTGTCGCCTTCCCGCTTCAGATTGGAGTGACCCCCAAGGATAAAAAGAAATAGTTCGCAGAATGCGGATGACCATCGCTTGTTGTAGTAAGAATCGATTGTCATCTAAAACCGATGCCAGCGCCATCAAAAAAGTACCCGGTGGAGACGGGAGCCTGCACCTTTTTAGAATGCTGTCCACTATATAAAATTTAACCAAGTGATAAGAACTGCTTCCCCTCGCTTACCTTGGGAGTCCACATCTTCAAGTTGCGAGTGAAAAAATTTGACCGCGCCCCGCAGTGACTCCAGACCAGAGGTCAGATCAAGGGAAGTAGGCACAGATGAGAGAGATTTGTTGATACTTTCAACTTTTTCAATGATGTCCGGAGGAAGGTTAAGATGGTCTACGTCAGGCGTCCCGTCTATGAGGCGGCGTATCGCGTTTCGAATAGTGATGTGGGGTTGAAAGTTGGTTGGATCCGTAATATATTCCAGGTTGTTCTGCTCGCAAGTCGCGAGGATTCTATCCTAAACACACCTCCAGTCAATAGTTGAGAGGCAAAGCTTGTGCAAGTACCTTGCCGACGTCCAGCAGGGGACGGACAATCCATTTACTCATGCCTTTGTGGCCAGCCCATGACAGAGAACGCTCATCTATTCCTGCACCCATGCCCCACCTTCGACAAGCTCGCATGCCACCAGCACCAAGCTGAGTGGACCCCATTCCCAGCCGCATCAACGCAGTTTCGACCTGGTCATCGGCATGATGACCCACTGCAAGGACATCGACGTCAGCACGCGTCAAGGTTTGCAAAAGCAAGGCATAGCGGGCGTCTCGAGCTGTCCGTTCAAACATGTCGCCTGGCGAAGGGCGCGGAGGATAAACCCCTTCGCCCCAGGGAATTTTGCTTGTGATATGCTCTACACCTATTGATTGAGCAAACAACCTGCAGTGGTTAGCCATGTCTGAAGATTTTTTCTGCAGGTCATGGTCGACGGTGAAGGATATAACGCGTTGAGGTTGCGAAGAGGAACCGGGATGCTCGAGAAGATAGCGGTTGATCAAGAACAGTAGACAGGTTGAATCGGGGCCACCAGAGTTTGCGACGGCTAGAGAGGTGCGTGAGCTGGGCCAAATCAGGCTGGAATATCATCATGTTCACCAATCTTATTCGACCAACCAACTGGTGGCTTGGTATTTTTGAGCATATGAGAGAATTCGACATTGTTGATTGCAGTTGGCTGGCCATAGATAGGCTTCATCCACGTCGGTAAGAGTACAGATGAACTGTTTAGTATTCGCCGCTTCAAACAAGTTACATACATAATACAAGCCAAAAGCAATAATCAGAACTCCCCATCAACTTAGTGTCCCGTGTCCGTTATGCAATAGCTGGCGAGTAGATAAAAGCAATGGTGTATAGGTAAGAGAAAGCATGGCATAGAAAGGAATGAAAAGCAAGAAAGGAAAAGAGCGGGTGTGGTGGGAAATACATACAATAGAAAGGTTCTGTCAAGGGGAGCAATGTAGTTCTTGCAATGTCCCCTTCAGTTCATTTCTATTCAGAACCAATTTCCGAGTGGCGACGGACACAAAGCGTCGCTATCTGAATTTGTTCCTTCATTTCGTTGGATTTTTCGTAAGTGGTCATGATTTATTTGTTTTCTTCAATACCCGTATCCTTGCCCGCCACTTTGCTGCTGCTGCTGAGGACCAGGACTAGAATGGCGCATCACACTTTGGTGCATTGCATGGTTTTGTTGGGTAACGCCAAATTGTGACCCCATGCTCATGCCCATCTGCAATTGCATTTGCATCATAGGAGTAATCTGGGGCATTTGATATGCAAGAGCGCTTGAATTGGCGCCCATTCCAAATGGGATTTGCGCCCCCTGTTGAAGGCCAGTGGTGCCCACGGTCGCTGCTTGTAGAGACGGGGAGTGGATAGCGGAGTTTGATTGAGAGGGTGGGGAAGCACCTCCCGTCGCTTGCATTTTTTGCATCGCTTGAAGCTTTCGTTGAAGATGAGCGACGAGCGCCGAAGGATAAACATATGTCTCACTTCATAGAATGCAAAATCTTGCAAGAGTGATGTCCTTGCGGGATGTGTATGAAAGATCCGTAACATCTCTTGACCAGCATCTGGAAGGAGCTCTTGGGTATCTCGTGAGTTGGTTACAGGTTTACGCTCTTGGGTGTTACTGTGGACTCCTCCTTCAATATTTTACTGCAATTGAAGCAGAGCTTAGCACGTACTTTAATTTTATATGACGAAGGTTGAGATTGGGAATGTCCCGGACAAAAATCCACCTGACTTTGAAGACACCTTTCCATTTATCTGACGCCCAGACTGTGCTACTCCTTGTATAGTCAACCTAAATATAAGTCTTCAGCACAATAAAAGTCCTTAAAATCCCAGGCTTACAGGAGTCAACATCTCTGCCATCCCACAGAAGTGGCCGCTAGCATTGACACTGAAGAAGAGGTAAATGGGTCCCCGCCCCGCAGTTTCCTTGAATGCCTTGTCCAGCCTTTTATTCCCCGGGTCGGTTGAACTCCAGATTTCGTACTTGAGGGATTTATGCACATCATCCTCAGTGTACGACTTGATGACAAAGTATCTTGCCTATAAGGGGGATCACATTAGATACATACATCCCAAAGATATGTACTCACAAATTGTGGTCGTGTATCAAAGTTGGCAGGATTATACCCTTTGGTTGCGATCAGGGAGGGCACGTCAATCGGTGTGTTTACGAAGGCTTGAGTCGGCGTTTGTCCAGAAGGTACAGTTTGTTGAGCTCCATTGCTACTGAAAGACGTCGTGACACCCAAACCTGGTCTTTGAGAGGAGCCCTGCTGTTGCGGCAGATACTGTTGGGGAATGGAAGGCACATTTGGAACTCCACCGCTCCCACTCCCACTTTTGCCATGTCCACCCTGCTGCTGATATCCGTATTGGAGATTTGAGTTGGACAGGCGGCCTCCAATCGCCCTATCCTTCTGTTCCCAGGAGCCACCCACCATTTGTGCACGTTCGTCTCGCTGTTGAATCTGATGGTGTTGTTGACCCTGAAGTTGCTGATGGTTATAACCAGAAGCATTGGTGAGGCCTCCACGTCCGGCCTGTGACAAGGGGGTCGTCCGACCATCAAAATCAGTGACCAGCTGAAGTTTGTTCCCGTTCCCGGCGCCGCCGTTTCCGTTCCCTCCAGTACGTGGCCCCGGTGCAAGGGGATGACTGGGATTGAAACGTGGCGGGTGAATATTCTGACCAGTCTGTTGGTAGTTACCATAACCATGGGGCATTTGAACAGTATTGTGATTGCTCGCAAGCTCCAGTGCAGATAGAGCACGCTGAACATCGTCAATAGCACCATTGTCATTTCCAGCTTGGTTCGACTGGAAGTTGGAGGAACCAGAAGTCCTCCGGTCATTCCCTTGTGCCCAAGCAGATGAATGTCCTATGGGACTGTTACCATATTGGTTGTTCTGTTGTCTTAGATAGTACTCTTCCTCGTATGCATTGAGATCTTCAGCATCGTACGCATATTCATCTTCCTCCGCATGTTCTGTTGGATCCGGAGGGCTCGAAGTTTGTGAGTGAGCAGGACCGGTAGCCTGGAGGGTTCCAGAGCGTTTGAGGCCTGATTGGCCTATTTTGCGAAGGCCGCTAACAGCAGCTCCGTAGGTAAGAGATACATGACGGCGGACGCCAGAGGCGGCAGGAGGAGGTGAAGGAATGGGAGGGTTGTTGACGTGTGGCGAGAGGGGTGAGTTACTGGACTGTGATTGTGCTTCCGCAACTTGCTGATGCTGAACTTGCTCAGGAGGCTGCTGTTATAGAACGAAAATAAATAAAACGTTAGGGAAAAGTCTCAAGAATGACCTCGTCGTCCTGCACGGCGTACTCCCCCAAGTTCCATGGCTCCTCGTCACCTTCGTGACCAGCGATAGCGGCAAGACTATTCACCGACTTTGGTGTCAAATTGCCAGATTTTGAACCTTGGAAACCTACGACAAGAAAGATCAGAGACCCGGCACAACACTCACAGAAGGCGAGAAACGAAGTTGATTCACGATCAACGATCGGAAGGTCTGATAAAGGATCGAAAAAGTGGGCGTACCGCGATGATAGCGGGTAGGGAGAGAGCTTTGCCTGTGAAGAGAGGTCTTCTCGCCTACAGCACCGACGCCGCCAACCCAGTCTTGATCAACGACCTCGTCGTCATTCCAGTGCGCCTGTTCTTGAGTTTCCTCGGATATGATGTCCTTTGCGGCGGCGCGTGCAGTGCGCGAGGAAGCCGATATTGTGTGGTGACGCCTGACGCCTCCGGATGAAGGAGGAGAGGAAGGGATGGGGGGCAGGGGATGAATTGGCGAGGACATTGGAGTTGGGATGGTGATGGAAAGGAAAAAAAGACACACGCTCCTTTCTACTTAATACAAGTTGAATACAGCTTTTCAAATTGAATACAACGATATGAACGAGATACCACAGTAAAATAATTACTTTAGTCATTAACCCTGAAGGCCTGATCACTGACAGGGCTCCCTCGACAAGTCCCTCGACAAGTCCCTCGAGCTTGGCTCCCTCTTTAGATTGCAACCACCATGTTCTCTACCTTTGCTCGTGTTCCGACACGCGTCGCCAGGCTCTCACCTCCGTTGGTCCGCTCACCGCGTTCTCGCTTCACCACCGAATCTAACACCTCTCCACCACCTTTGTCGAGGGCACGCAAAGTCGCTCGCATCACCGCCTTGACCTGTTTATCCACTATCATTGGAACTTGTACCCTTGCCGTAGGTATTTTAGTCCACGATGCTTTCACCTATAACAACAAGCACATCGACCGCGTTCCCATCAATCCCCTCGCTTTGAGTCCCGAACGCGGCGGACCCAAGAACCTTCCCGTCGTGAGGTCCCAAGTCGACGATGAAGAGGACGAAGAGGCAAAGCGATTAGCCGAAAAACCAAAACTCGTCATTGTTGGAGGAGGCTGGGGCGTACGTCCTCGCATTCGCCCTCTTTCTCTTACGGTTTCTCACCTACTCGTCCAGGCTATGGGTGTTCTCCAAAACTTGCACCCAGGAGATTATCATATCACAGTCGTTTCGACAGAAACCTTCACCACGTTTACTCCTCTTCTGCCCTGTTTGTTTCTTCCCCGTCTCTTCTTTGACCTGAATTTCATGTCTATTCTAGCCGCCATTGTAGGCACAGTTCAAGTTCGCTCTCTCGTCGAACCTATTCGTAAAATTATCGCTCGTCTCCGCGGCCACTTTGTTTCAGGAAAAGCTGTTGACATTGTCATGTCCGATCGCCTTCTTGAAGTCGAAACAACGTCAACTACCGGCGAAAAGGCTAGTATTTACGTTCCGTACGAGCTTTTCCCATTATTTTCTTCTTGATGATGATTAACCTGCTTCAAGTTACGACAAACTCGTCATTGCCGTTGGCTCATCTTCTAGCACACACGGCGTTCCAGGCTTGGAAAATTGTTTTCACCTGAAAACCATTGGAGATGCTCAGGCCATTCGCCGCCGTATTATGGGTACGTTTTATGTCACCGTTGCAGGTCCTTGCCTCAATTTTGTGTTTTAGACAATTTCGAAGCTGCAAGCTTGCCAACCACCTCAGTTGAAGAAAGAAAGCGCCTGCTTAGTTTCGTAATATGCGGAGGGGGACCTACAGGTGTCGAAACGGCTGCGGTGAGTTCCAACATTTTCCAGTGACCTGTCATTTAATTGTGTCAAATTCAGGAAATTTACGACTTTTGCCAAGAAGATATCATGAATTATGTTTGTGGGCTTTCTTCGTATCGTTTCAAGTAGAAGTTGACGCCATCGCAGTTTCCGAAAATTTGCAGAGAAGAAGTCTCGATACATGTTATACAGTCAAGAGAACATATTTTGAATACTGTATGTCTCCCCAACCCACGCGATTGTCCTTTTTATTGATGAGAGTATGTCCAGTATTCGGAAGCCATTTCTAAATTTGCCGAAGTTAGTATTTATTTGCCTATTTTTGAGGTTCGTTAGTTCTGATTATTGTGCGAACAGGAAAAATTTGGCCGTGACAAAGTCGATCTTGTAACATCCGCTCGGTTCGGACGTTCTTTTTACCCTCTTACTTTTACCTTATCCTCCGCTCAGTGTCGCCGCCGTCACCCCCGACCATGTCATATATACCACCCACTCAGCTGATGGCAAGGTTGAACAACACTCTATCCCAACAAACTTCGTTCTATGGTCTACGGGAATTGCTATGAATCCGTTCACGAAGCGCGTCTCAAGCCTCCTCCCCAATCAAGCACATAAGCGAGCCATCGAGACGGATGCCCACCTGCGTGTAAAAGGCGCCCCATTGGGCGAGCTGTACGCAGTGGGAGATTGTGCGACCGTCAGTTATTTTACTTGTATTCGGGCTCTGACTCTGGCGTTTAACGTGGAATCGGTAGATCGAGACCTCGATTGTAAGCCACTTTATGGATCTCGTCGAGGAAGCGGATGAGGACAAGAATGGGAAAATTGATTTTGGAGAATGGCAACACATGGTCAAGAGGATTAAAGCACGGATTCCAATGGCTGAAGACCACCTGGTCGAGGTAAGATATACCTTAGCTGCCAGTTTCCGACGCTCATTGTGTTTTGCTCATAGGTCAAGCAACTATTCCAAATGTACGACACGGATGCAGACAACAGCCTCTCCTTGAATGAACTAGTCAAACTCTTGGAGGAAATTGGAAACAGAATCACCTCCCTTCCTGCTGTGCGTTCTGTCATGTTTCATTTGTTTCCCTGTCGTTGACGTAGACGTATCTCAGACCGCCCAAGTGGCGTCCCAGCAAGGTAAATACTTGGGGGCGAAATTGCACAAGCTCGCTCGACAGACTGCTACACTCTCGCCGGACGAGGTGCCTTCTGCAGCCATCGGAGTCGTTTCTGATGAAAGCATCACGGGGCCATTTCGCTATCTTCACCTCGGAAGCCTGGCTTACATTGGAAATGCGGCTGTGTTCGACTTTGGAAAGTATTCGTTTATGGGCGGCCTGATGGCAATGTACGCATGGAGGAGCATCTACTGGAACGAGCAGGTTAGCGCAAGGACTAGAGCACTTCTGATGATTGACTGGATCATTCGGCAAGATCTACATTATACTTGTTTTACACGCTGGTTTGCTAACATTGGTCCTGTTTAGCGGTATCTGGGGTCGCGATTTATCGCGTCTTTGAGTGATCAAGACAGCTTCGCCCTGGTGGGGTGATGGGCCAACTCTACGTAGTCCATGTGCGATGACGCCATTTCCAAACCCGTACTCCACCTTTCCGCCTTCCCTCCCCGTGCCATTCCGGTCCCGCCTTCCAAATTTCCACATAACCCTTTCCTTTTAAAAGTTGTCGAATCGCACCCCCGAGCAGGAGGTCTCCAAAAAAAACTAAATATTCAGGCCACTCATGCCTCCATGGGAATTCTCGCACACCGACTGATGGTGAACCGGGGATCGAGGTCGGAAATGGAGAGAGTGGGAACGACTGGTTGACTTTATCCGGAAAGTAAGTGCTTAGATAAGTCTGTGGTGATGCGTAAAATATATCGGTCTGGTCATGATACGACGCCAGATCCTGGTGTCTGCTGCACCGTCAATAAACTCATCCTTTGTAACCAACCGATGTGGATCTGCTTACCGAGACGGGGGTTCGCAGCCAAGGGCCCACATCCGTCCGTCGGCCAGCTCCTTGCGATGGAGATATGCATAACCTGGTGTGGAATGACAGGGCATTAGGAACCCAATGGTGGTCTGGTTGAGCTCCTCGTGCGGGAGGGATCGGAAGTAGGCGAGAACAGAGATCGGAGCACTGCAGTAAAACAGCACAACATAGAGTGATGCCGGAAGTGTCAGGAGCAGCAGAACGAGGTGTTTTCGTTTGATGGGCAGGTATCCCGCCCTATTTGATGAAATGTTCAGCTCCAGAAGTGATTTTGCGGCCATTACATGAAGAAGCGGCAAGAGAGGGTGAAGAAAACGCCATTCCTTGTGCCCAGCGAATGAATATACAGCGGTGGACCAAAGGATGGTTTTCAACATGACTTGGAGAGCTCGGTTGTTTTGGCTTCTGTCAGTGAGGGTGCACCACATCCCATGAATAGAAAAAGGCAGCGCGGTAGTGCAAAGAATGGGCAAAGCTTGCGTGACATAATAATGCCAGGAATTGGAACCGTAGAATAGGGAGACGGAAGACAAATTGGTGAGCAGGAAGTTGAGAGGGGTGAATATTGCTTTGCCGTAGTACATGGAATCAATTGAGAATTGAAATAATAGAGCGATAGTTCTTTGAGAATGATAAGTTTGGAACTCTTTATTTAATAGAACATAAGACTTACACAACCAGGGTAACCTGACGAATGATAGACAAAACAATGTTCGTATGTTTTCTGAGTATCCACACAAGGCTTCCATATAGATAGACCCAAATCAAAGCGTTTGTGGGTCGAATGAGACAAGCAAGAGCGCTGCATAGTATCGTCTTTTCTAAGCTGGATCCAGTAAAAATGAAATCTTGATGTGCAACATGATTGGAGACGAACCTGGGGATCGCTAATTGATAATTGGGATGCGAGCTAGCATCCCATGGATAAAACGAGAATGCTATTGTTGAGAGTGAAGTTTCGAGAGAGTTAGAGAGGGACCGGGAGAGCGCTAGAGCGTGAAAGAAGGAGCTCAATGATAGCAGCAGCTGGATGAATTTCTTTCAAGCGGTTTGAAAATCCGGACGACGGGAAGCGCACCGCAAGAGGAACGGCATCTACACCCAGGACAGTGCGGGTGAGTTTGCAGAGCCCGATATCTGTGCCAGCCGCCAAAAGACCATGTAAAACCTTGGGACCGAGGATCTGGCAAAGTTGGGAACACAAACAAAGATATATAAAATAAGGCACTTGCCAATAACCAGTCCCCTAAATATGCAGAGTCAGCAAGACGTGTGACGCGCAATAGCCAGAATATTGGGACATTCAAGGCTGGGTATATAAAACTTCGAATTGGATGCGGTGATAACCATTCCCAAGTGAGATGACCATAGCCAAATACGAGATGATGAGCTGGTTCCAAAGCCTGAAAGTACTCGTCTGGTTGAAAGAATGTGGTTGTGGCCAAGGCAATGAGGACTCGAATTGTCACAGCTAGCTTTGTTGAAGGTTGCATTGAAGGCTATTTTTGGAACAACAATGGGGACAACTTGAATCTATATAAAAGCAACGATAAGATTTGTTCATTGTCAATCATCCATTTCTCTTTTTCTCTCTCTCTCCATCTTATTTGGCCAGGTGCCTCCCTCGTTCACTCATGTCTTTTCTTCTTTCTTTATTTTCTCTCCTTGCTTTCCTTGCTGCAGTCTACTCAGCCCCTGCTCAGCTCTCTTACGACCAACTCGCACCAAGGCAGGCCCCTGCAACCCCGGATTTTCTTAAACAAAATGGGCTTGATGCCCAGAAACTCAACTCCCAGTTCGCTTCCATGAAGCCAACAGATTCATGTCAAGGTTCGTCCTACTTTCATGTCCGTGCCTTGTGTTCTCATCGCACAAATAGACGATCAGATGGCCTGTGTCACCTCAGCTTTTGCCCAATGTATTGGTGGAAAATGGGCGTTATCTACATGCAGCTCAGGTCTCGCCTGCTATGCCCTTCCCCTCGTAAACAAGCCTGGTACCAGCCTTGTTTGTGACACTCCTACGGATGCCGCAGCCCGTTTCGCTGCCACTGGCGTCGACGGTGGTGTAACAGGCGCGGTGCCTCCGGCTCAAGGCAACAACAGCACGTCTGCTCCCACTCCTTCTGGAGGAGATGACTCTGTTGACGATGATTGTGATGAGGACACCCCTAGCACTGATGACGGGGACGGGGACGATTGCGACGAGGGAAATCATAGCACTGGCGCCTCGCAGATTCCTGACGACCAGTGTGAGGACGATAACACTACGTCCAGTGTACCCCTTGCAACTCCCCGGACCGTCAAATCAGCCGGCCAGTCTCGTACTCTTACAAGTGCGTCCTCCACCCCGACAGTTGCAAATCAGGCGAACGCACCAGCTCCCACTACCATATATCTTACTTCACAATCGTCTGCTTCCACAACTCCATCTGTCATTTTGCTCAACCGCCGCCAAGCTCCCAGCACTTTGCCTACTCCGTCCTCTGCGACAACAACCGCCCTGACGAGCTCCATACCCATATCGACCTCTTCCAGCAGTGCTGCCATTGTAACGCCAACAGTTGTAATTGGTACAGATGGGATTGTTACCGTAACTGTCGTTTCCACCGTCTTTGTTTCTGCCTCCTGCGGTCTTCCTTCAGTCTCTGCAACCCTTTCTTCATCTCCTAGCGCCATTAGGGTTTCTTCAGCCGTCCCCCCCGCTGTCACTTTGACGTCTCCCGCAATCACGTCCTCATCAGCTCCCTCCGTGTCGACAACTGCCACTCCTTCCGCCACTGGCGTCATTAACCTCTCTGTCCCTCCAGCCGCAAGCGAGACTTCCGTCAACGGCAACGCAGGTGGTGGACTGACTTTCATCAGCCAGGTGGCCACCCCCCCTGCCGTACCTTCCCCGACGGGCTCATTCAACCTATCGGAGCTGTTGACTGCTACAGTGGCTTCCTCGTAACGATCTGAGCCATGAACAGTAATGAACACAGACCGGATAATATTTTCCCATACTTTCATGTAGCCATTAGGATTATCATTACAATGTAATATTATTGCACAAGTTATTATCGTTTTCGTTGACAAAATGCTCCCGTGACGATTCAAATTGTGATTGTGATAGTGCTCTCACATGCCCATCATGAGTTCGTTCAAGGAATCGCCAACCCCAAAATGTCCTCCACGACCGCCCTGTCCGGGTATCGAGACAAACGTGCTGCTCTCATATTACGGGATCGATCGCTTCGTCGAGAAAATTTACGAGTCAAAGCACTCACCTTGAACGAAATCAAGGCTGATGAAATCTTACGGCGCATACGCGCTGATGAGGAGGCTACAATATGGAAAGAGGAGCATCCATCAATTCCTCATCCCTTTCCTGGGATGGAATTTTTGACTGGCGAGTATCTGGATTGCAGTTGAATGTCGGGATGTGACTGATGAATGCCTCCCAGGCAAGAGTATTATCGTCCGCACTAAGATATTCGAGATCCTCAGCAAGGTACACGTTTATCGCATACACAGTGAACTCCTTAAAAGAAGCTTGCTCATTTCTTTGCAGATGCCGAAAGGCGCGCTCCTTCATGCACATCTAGATGCGATGGTCAACGCTGAGTTTCTTCTCAAACTTGCACTCAAATATCCTGCTTTCCACGTTCGGATTCACCAACCCCTGACCGTTGCGAACCTGCCCACCAACTTGCCGGAATTTAGGGCATTATCCGAGGACCTCTTCACTCATAGTGCCAGCTTAACGGACTCAGGTTATGCTATCGGAACATGGGTTCCCATCAGGAATGCTCGGCAGTCCTTCAACGCTGAGTTCGGTGGACCAGAAGGATTTGATAGATGGGTCCTAGCCGCAATGACGATTAACCCTGCAGAAGCTTACGGAACCCACAAGACCGTTGCAAAGGTTTGCCCATGCCTACTTACAATTACATTGGATTTATTGAAGCAATTGGATAGATATGGCAAAAGTTCGCCAGCACTTTTATCACGTCCGATGTCTGTCGTTCCTCCATCTATATGCAATCGTTTAGCCTAACAAAGAACAGGGGTTGATTCACTTCCAACCATTGTTTGCAGAGTATATGAGAGTGTTCTTTCTTACTGCAATTGAAGATGGTATCTCGTATATTGAAACCAGGATCAACTTTCTGCGCAAGTGTGTTTTGCCATTGAGGAAGCGAATTCAAGAGGACTGACCTATCTCGGAAGGTTCATGGTTGGGGCGGACGGACGAGAAAATGTCCCTCATCGCGAGTGGTTACTTATGTTTGATCGAGTTCAGAGTGAAGTCAAAATGAAGATGAAGATCGACGGGCGTGAAGATGCCTTTATTGGAGCCAAAGTCAGTCGTTTTAGTAAATCTGAAGGCTATCTTCTCTAAACTTTGGTATGCTCAGATCATCTATTCTACCATACGTTTCATCACTCCAGAAGAATTAGAATGGTACTTGGAGGATTGTATTGCTTTGAAGAAAGAGTTTCCGCATCTCATTGCCGGTTCGTATCTTCTGTGGCATTTTTTTTTCGATTGCTGACTTCTTGCAGGATTTGATCTCGTTGGGGATGAAAACGCCCTGAAGCCGCTCATCTACTATATTGAACCACTTCTCCACTTTCGCGAGCGTCAGAAGGACGAGGGCGTTGATATACCCTTCCTCTTTCACGCAGGGGAAACGCTTGGTGATGGGACTGACGCAGATGTAAACCTTTACGATGCCATTTTATTGGGAACAAAACGGATTGGTCACGGGTATGTACGCTTACGTTTAGGAGTCCCGCTAGGCTGACGATGGTGCAGATTTTCCTTGATAAAGCACCCAGAACTTGTCAAGATTTGTCGTGAGCGTGGAATTGCTGTTGAGGTTTGTCCGATATCGTACGTGGCTGCTTCCTGCTGGGGTTCCGCGTGCTCTGACCACAGCTGAATAAAGAAACGAGATTTTGGTACAGTTTATCTCAGCCAATACTTCGGTATGCTAAAGAGACTTGATAGCGATTAACATCGTCAATGCCAATGCATCCACTCCCCGCGCTCATGAATAATGGAGTACCGGTTGCGTTATGCTCCGACGACCCGGCAGTATTTGGCAACATGGGACTCACTTTCGATTATTACCAAGTCTTTGTGTCCAGTGAGGTGTGCGGATTGAGCACCCTGGGTGGGCTTGCGCGAGACAGTATAGAGGTAAGAAATGATTGACCGCAGTGAACTATTCTGACACATGGTAGTTTTCTACGCTGAACAATGAAGAGAAAAGGCAGGCTATCGCTGGGTGGGAGCGACGTTGGAGGGATTATGTGGATTATATTGCCGGTTTGGTATGATATTGTATACACATATTTGTACACCTATCATTGCTGGCGTCGTCCGAGGGCAAAGCATCGTCCCTTCTCTTAAACTTCAACCACCACCGCCGTCGTCCTCGTCGTTGAGTCTGTCGTTCAAAGGTATGTACAAGCAGTCCATTCACCGTCGCCTCCTCCATCCTCGCCTCCCCTCACATCCCTCCCTACCCCTCCCATCAGACTACACTCTGCGCCTATACTCCCCAAGCCTAGTCTTACCTGGCCTCGCACCCCCAATCCGTCTCAATTGAACCTTTCTGTAAACTAAATTGGCAATGCCAGACGCTGACTCAAATCGCAAGAGGTCACGCTCTCCTTCTGATAGTGAGCAACAGAAGCAACACAAGCGCGCAAATACAGGAGCAGCAGCCTCTTCGGATGAGGTTACAGCCAATAGTACGGGCTCCATTTCTCAATCTCCCGCTGCGGACATAACCATGACCGATTCTTCTGCTCCTGCTGCTGCTGCAGACGGCAATAATTCCTCGTCCAAATCCAAGACGGATTCTGCTGACGTCAAGCCTTCCGATGGCGACAAAAAGGACTCGGTGACCACTTCCGGAGAACCCTCAACTTCATCTACGGCCGCACCTCCTTCAGCAAACATTCATATGAGGTGCCTGATTGTTACCCAAGATGCTTCAATCATCATCGGAAAGGGCGGGTCTCATGTCAATGAAATCCGCGAGAAGAGCGGTGCTCGGGTTATGGTTTCTGAGAGCATTCCGGGTAACCCAGAACGAATTTTGAATGTTTCTGGGCCCCTCGATGCAGTTTCAAAGGTCTGTCCATGATGTGCCGATACAATCATCGTGTCTCACGAGATATCAGGCCTTTGGTCTCATTGTTCGCAGGATCAACGATGAACCGTTTGACGTCCCCTCTGTACCTGGCAGTCGAGCGGTGACAATCAAGTTTATGATTCCGAACTCTCGGATGGGATCCGTCATTGGTAAACAAGGGTCAAAAATTAAGGAGATTCAAGATGCTAGTGGGGCTAGGTTGAATGCGAGTGAAGGAATGCTCCCAGGGTCTACGGAGGTGAGGCTCTTGGGTTCTTGGCGGCTGCTTTGGTCACTCACCGCTTTTACAGCGAGTTCTTAGTGTGGCGGGCGTTGCAGACGCCATTCACATTGCAACGTACTATATTGGTAATATTCTTATCGAAGCTCAAGAGCGAATGCCATCCTCAGCAAATTCGACCTACCGTCCTTCGAGTCACTCCCGTCGACCCACACAAAGTGGATCATCTTATGTCCCAGGATATGCATCAAACCCCTATCCACCTCCCCACAATCCTCCTCCGCAACAGCTGCAGACGCAACAAATCTATATTCCGAATGATCTCGTTGGGTGTATCATTGGAAAGGGGGGCAGCAAGATAAACGAGATTAGACATATGAGCGCAAGTCAAATCAAAATTATGGAACCTGGGGCGGTAGGCGTGGGGATGAACGGGGCTCCCGCGCCTGCTGGAGGTGAGGGTGAACGGTTGGTAGTTATCACTGGACAACCCGCCAACATCCAGATGGCAGTACAACTTTTGTATCATGTAAGTTTTTTTTTTTTTTTTTGCCAAAGAGTCTCCTTTGGAGGTGCTGAAGAATTATTACAGCGGTTGGAACAGGAAAAGCAGAAACAACTCCGGGCACCTGGGTCGAGTTAGATGTCGAGCTGAAAGTTGTTTTCTTACTTGTTGGTTCACTGCATGTTGTTTGCTATTTTGAAATCAAATTATTGATGCATTACATAATCACGAAAATTCTCAAGTTCATACCACGATGGCACCGACCAATGTGCTCAAGACCGATGCCAAAGGCAAGAGAAAAGTCGATGATATGGACGTGGATGAAGGGGCTCCAAAACTTAAAAAGAACAAGCAGCGAGTGCTACTCCTGTCCTCGCGGGGGATTACACACCGAATGAGGCACCTTATGAACGACTTGGAGACTCTGCTACCTCATGTAAAAAAAGGTATGGAAGGGGCCACATGATTATCGGGAATTATGCTGACGGGATGTTAGACTCCAAGCTGGACTCGAAGTCTCAGCTTCATCTGCTACCCGAGTTGGCAGACTTGAACAATTGCAACAACACGCTCTACTTTGAGGCGCGGCGTCACGAAGATTTATACCTCTGGGCTGCAAAAACACCGAATGGGCCGAGCATAAAAATGCATGTGCAAAATGTGCATACGATGGATGAGCTCAAGTTGACGGGGAATTGTTTGAAAGGCAGCCGGGGGTTACTGAGCTTTGATCGAGCATTTGAGGATACGGAATGGGGACGGTTAACGAAGGAAGTGTTTACGCAGGTGAGTCACAATCTTTAAAAAATGTTAGAGGTGGAAGTTAAGGGCGTTGCAGATCTTTGGGGTGCCGTCGACGTCAAGGAAGGCGAAACCTTTTATTGATCATGTGCTAACATTTTCGATTTTGGACTCTAAGATATGGTTCCGCAATTTTCAGGTATGAGAAACGGAAACGGGAAAGATTAGGAACTCACGCGGATATATAGATTATTGAAAAGGACCCATTACAGCCCAATGGTCCACCGCAGACGACACTTGTGGAGATCGGGCCACGGTTCGTACTAACGCCGATTCGAATATTTGAAGGGGCCTTTGGAGGGGCGACAGTGTTTTCGAATCCTGGTGAGTGGCGTTGTGCTTACGATGATGCATTGCCTAATCGTCGTTGGCAGAATTTATATCTCCTGCAGCGGTGAGGTCGGCAATTCGGAGGGAGAAAGGTGGGAAATACAGCAATAGAAAAGATGGAGAAGAAGAGTTGGAGAGAAGAAAGAAGATGCGACAGCGAGACCAAGACGAATTGGCAGTGGCGAAGGTATTTGCTTGAATGGAATAAGGCTTGCTTTTGCGTTTTTGATCTTGACAACTGCTTGACTATATTATCTCATACTTCTCGCACAATCCTGGAAAAGAGGAATCATATTGGTACAATTTACAGATGTCACTTCTACGCTGATGCAGCAGCTTCGGGTGGGTTAGCAGAGCTGAGGCCCTCCACGCGAATATCATATCCATAGCCACCCTCCGGTGCACCTGGGACATCGCCAGGACCGTCGTAATGAAGCTTTGAAATATCATAGTTTCCTATTATCGTGTCAAGACATGGAAGAAATTTGTCATGGAGCATATCATACCGATGAAGTGCCAGCCATCTTCTTTGACATGGTACAGGTTACACGAGTTACCAGAGAAGGCGTCGCGGTGGCCTGCTGCGTAGATACTTCGTCTTCCAAGTTCCTGAGCTTCAGCATCTGTTAAGTCCCAGCGGTAACCTTGATCTAGAACACCGTATGCAAAGGTGCTTCCGGAGCCTACTGAGAAGAGGTCACCCTTGAGACGAGTACCATCTGAGTCAACATAGAAAACTGCAGGGCCCTGATTAAAGTTAACGAGGAAGTCATGAATGACAACAACGGAAACGTACTGTCTTGTCCCAACCACAAATCATAGTACCCTGATTGAAGGTTAGTTAAGTTCTGGAAAAAAAAGTAATGACGGATGATTACCATGCTCAATCCCATTCCTTTATAGCTGTATACCAAATTACTCAAGTACTTGCTGGCTGCTGATACAGAGATACGTTCCCTATTTCGAAGTTCGTGTAAGCGGCAGTGCATCCCTAGATACGTCTCCCAGTATTGACAGTCAGCTGAGATAAATATGATATGTTTGAGTTAAATCGATAAAAAATCGTGCAACATTACGCACCTGCGCCACCAGCCATAGTTCCAAGAAGATAGGGATTGATTTCTATGACTTTCTTCACGGTCCCCGAGGCTGTCCGTTTACTCAGAGCGTGGTTCGATAGATGTCAAGTATGTCTCTCACCGACATAGCTTCCCGCAGTAGCTCTCGAGTCTACCGCAACAATGACGCCGCCTTGGAAACGGAAAGCAAGGGTGGTAGTTCCATGCTGAATTTTAATTCTGCAATTTGGATCGGCGTGATCATCTGTGTGCAGTTGTAAAAAGGAGGTGGGCTATAAATTTCTGCGAGATAAGCCAAAAAAAAAAAGAGGTATTGAATAAGAGTCGCTCACGTCTGCAACGTCAGGGATAGAGAAAGTAGGTACACCCATCGCGATATTCCCAAAGCCTGCCTGGGATCCCCAAGTTGCATCTGAAAAGTTGTCCTCTTCTGGGCTGTGCAACTGAGTGGTATTGGTAGAGAAACGATTAGCGAAAGAGTTCATGATTAGGCAGAACTCGATGACAGGATTTTGGAAAGGACTTTGGAAAGGACTTGTCAAGGACAAGCAAGTGACGCGTCTCGCGTTCAGCTTGGTCGTGTTTGGCAAGAGCTTTCGTAGTCTACTTTGGTATAAAAGGACGCAGGTATTTGTGGATATAATCATTGGGAATACCGACTTCCAGTGCATCACCGATGCCCATATTCATCCTATGGATATATTCCTCCTTTGGCTCGCCTTCCGTTATTCTCTTGTAATCAACGTAAACAAGCACCTCTTTCACCTCATCGCCCACCCCATCTGTTGGAGTAAACAAAATGCTGAAGTGCTCTTTGACGTAGCTCTGTGGAACACCTTCATACCGGTCAAGGCTTTCTTCATCGCTTTCACTGAGTTCGTACACGATCGCATAAACGATATCGCCTGGGGATGGTATGATGTTTGCGTAACCGCTTGCGGTAATGATCCAGCGCCTATAGGAGGGCACTTAGCAGGAGATATGACGCTGCGACCTGCCGTACCAGTCCTTGAGCACACCGATGCCAATGAATTTGCTCTCTGGGCAACGTCTCTTCATCTGATCTAGCCAGAGATTACTACCATATCCAACGTAGCAGACGGCCATTGAAGAGACTATAATTACATAAGCAGCCAAATCCGATTTTGTTTGACACGTAAAATAAATTTCTTCCTCTCTTCGACCAAGGATCTATCGTGAGGTCAACCTCTTCAATTATCGTATAAATGGCAGATGCTCGTGGAAAAGCCTGGCCTTTGGCCGATGCTGAGCTCACAAACTCGGTACGTTTTACAAATCCTTCCCCCTCAAGCAAGGAAAAAAAAAAATTAAGCCTACGTCCCAGATCCTGGACCTTGTTCAGCAAGCTGGCCAGTACAAGCAGCTGAAGAAAGGTGCCAATGAAGGTCTGTCATCCAATTTCCTTGCCCACCACAATCAACTTATCTTCGGTGTACAGCTACCAAAACTCTTAACCGCGGTATCGCAGAGTTCATCGTCTTGACTGCTGACACTGAGCCTCTCGAAATCTTGCTCCATCTCCCCCTCCTTTGCGAGGAAAAGGTAACCTTATTTATTTATTTTTTGCCTTGACCTGGTTGACCCACTTCACCAGAATGTACCATACGTTTTCGTTCCCTCAAAAGCTGCCCTTGGTCGTGCGTGCAATGTGTCCAGGCCAGTCATTTCGGCGAGCGTTACCACTGGAGAGTCAAAGGAACTTTCTAGTCAAATTACGACTGTGAAAAACGCTATCGAGAAGCTCCTCTACTAGACCATGTACATCCTGACTTTACTTGAAAGTAACGAGAGAAAAAATAGCTTGTTCACTTCTCCTGTTCACAAGCAAGCTTTCAAAGTGTGATTCAAGAACGTTCCTGGCAACCATTTTGAAAAGAGCGTCGTAGGGAACTTTCTTGCGAGGCTGTGACGATTGTGATCTTTGAGGGTTGTCCTCAAGCTCTCACATGCATCCTGGCTAACGCGCTGGAGAACTTCAATATCAGTTAGAATATCATGCCTCCAACCGGTGTATTCCTGTTCAAGGTCAATCAACATGTTATAACATCGGCCACTTTGAAATGCGTCAATGAAGAGGCAGCAAAAAAAAAAGACTGAGTGCTCACAACTCAAGCCTCATCTCTTCCAGATCACGGGCTGTCTCAGACAGAATGCTTATATGTCCTTCGTGGAGATCATTCCTTACGTCTTCGAAGCGCCGTTCAGCTTTCTGGAGGATGACCTTGAAACGAGTGGTGATATAGGGTGAAACGATTACTTCGCAGACGTAACATACCTCGTTTATTCTGCCGAGAATCTACTCTTTTTTAGATCCACGGAATAAGCACGAACTTGGAAAAGCTGTCACCTTGACAATGGCATCTGTAGGACCTTTGGAGTACGTTTGTTTTCCAAATAGCTTCTCGGCGGGTGATGTGTTATCAACAGTTTCTAAATCATTCTAGATAAAAATTGAAGAAGAAGAATTTTGAAGCGTACGACGGTATGCGTGCCACTCTGTTTCGACGCTAGTTTGCTTGATGCCCCCGAGCCCCACCTTTGGTTGATGGGTCACTGGCTTTGGTAAGGTTAAATCGAAGCCTAAAGTGGGCATCCTCTCAAACTTGTGGGGACGGAGTGGTGAAAGAATCATGTTCGAATCCTTTGAAGACTCGGACGAGCTCTGCTTTCTCTCAGGTGTCACGCCCTGCGTCAAGTCAATCATGACAACGTCTTTTTTCGACAACTTGGGATGCTCATCGGCAGAGCCGCCCTGGAGCACGCGCGGTCAGCTTGCTAAGCGGCAGTGCGTCGTAAGCCTCACCTTGGTCGGTACCGAATACTCAATATGCTTGGGCTTTTGAATATCGTCAAAGCGTTCAGATGAGATGGAGGCTGGGTCGGAGGCCCTGCTCTCTATAAGGGACGCTCTCTCCGTGCCGGAGTTCACGTTGAGGTGGAATCTCTTTGAATGGGGTTCGTCTGATTGTTGGACTTCGTAATCTTGACGGGACTCCGTTGGGGAAGGTTTGAAATTCTCCTTTGTCTTACGAGTAAAATCGACCTTTTCCCAGGGTGCCTTGGAAGATTTCATCCTCGTCTCGACCTCGGCAACTACGGGAATATTTGATGTTGCTGAACGGTCCAAAGCACTTGCGACCCTCACCGAACGGCGAGTTGGCTTTGGATCGAGAACACCAGTGGTGTTGTTCGGCTATGATACCGGTCAGTTAATTATCCTAATTTATAAAAGGAAGCAAGTCCTACAGAGGTCCTCAGCGAGAATGGCACATCCAACGAATCAACGACCGGCTCCGCCTTGATGACAATTCCCTTGTCTGTAAATGGTTTCTTCTCCTTCAACTTCGCATTGCCTTTGGCCGGAACACTCTTCACATTCGATTTTCCATCTTTTCCTTTCATGATAATCTTTCGAATTGGTACTTCAGCCGCAGCTGTGGTCTTGATCTTTTGGTGCGCAGCAAGCTTGGGAGGCTCGTCGAGATCCTCTCGCGGAGCCGCAGGCACGGGGGAAGCTCGAGCCCTTTTACCGTACCTTTTTGCTCGACTCGCGACAGAGGGTGATGGCGGAATCTTGCCCAACGGAGGAATGTTTTGTCGATTCCGTTTCATGGGGCGTTCTTCGACAAGCTGTTTGTCAAGAGGTTCAACCTTATCTTGGACCTTCCTCTTTTTGCGTTGACGATTGCTTCGTACAGAGTCTAAAACAATCATATCGTCAGGCAAGACACTCACAATCAAGATCTTGCCAGTACCTTGCGCCGAAGTGCAGTTATTCTCCGCAGTCATTTTTGACGCTGGATCAGTGTTCTCTGCGGTTCTTTGCCTGTCGCGTGTGATTCTGATGGAAACTTATGTGCAAAACTGTAAACAATGGTATCGATAGATTAGATATCGCCTACCAGGGTTAGCAAAGGTGGGTAACAAGTCCAACTCTTTACCCTTTGCGGGGTTTCGATTCAAAGCAGTCGGATCCTCTCGATCCGGGACCGTTGCGGACAAATCAGAGTTAACTTGGGGCGCTATTTTTCTATAACCAATGGGATTATCGACCACACTTTCGTCGTCCGACAAGACGGCACGCTTATTCATGAGTCGGGCCCTCCTGAATGGCGTCTGATCTGCCCCTTCATGTTCAGGGGAGACGATGCTAATGGGCCGCTTCGGCGACGCCCTAGAAGAGCTCTTCTCAGCGGGGCTTATGGCCTGTTTTCTGGATGGTATCATCGAGGGTTCAGTGCTCTCTTCGACGGGAACTGGATTGAAGGAGAGGTTTCCATGTCGGTCGAGAAAGACGGTGGTATGTGCCGGCATTGATATACCGGAATATTCTTCTGGACCTAACGGGGCTGGCGAAAGGAGGCGAGAGACTAATGGGGACGTTGGTTCAATTTGGCCAACTTGACTAGGAGATATTTCCCGATCCCAAACTGGTAATGCATCAGTACAAACATGAGGAATGACTCTCATAGCAGATTCACGTTTCGCGATACTCTCGACCTTTTCCTGGAATGAATGAACTCAGCATTTGGATACGAGAGAGAAATTGAGCGTCATGTAAACACCTGAGTTGGTCTTGGAAGAGCTTTGTCTAGATCGAACTCTATCTGAAGTTCTGCTTTGGACAGTTTTTGGCTTATCCGATGGACGGCGATCTGAATAAGTTTCGTCAGTATGTGATTAAATTTATTTAGGTCTGAGGTTTCCGACATTTCGACTTCGCATAGCAGCATTGAATCGTTCTACTTCTCCGTCATGTAAATCCCAAGAGGCGACGATCTCCTCGTTTGTTATCTCTGTCATAAGCGATTTGCCAATCACGGGAGGTAGTTTTAGATTCATTGTGACCCTAGTCTTCGTACGGAGTGCTGACGTGTGCACGCTAAGTATATTGCAAAAGGGTATTTGCAGCGTTTCAATTTTTTCCCCCTGTTCATAAAACATGACTCGAAGAATAAAGAACGCAACCAAAAGGTGCTTACTTCTTCAAGACTAGCAAGTAGTCCCTGGTTGTCAACGTATAGACGGTCAATCGTTTTTGTCACGGCACTTATAGTAAGTAGCGAAACATCAAATGGCTGGGGGCTATGAATTATTCATGTCAAGCAGCTTACTAAAATGGATTGTTTGCGAGGCGACACGCACAATGTGATATCAGACCTCCCGAGTGCGTCTATGATTCTCAGAGAGACCGCGTCCCATTCAGATGTCGACAGCGAAGTAAGAATTTCCACCACCACCTCGCTACAGGCGCAGAAGGATGGGTTGAGGACCTCGCTGATGAACTGAGAACGCTTTTCTTGTCCGCCCTTTGGCTTTGTTGAAGGAAGCAGGTTGGCAAAAAGCTCCAGAAGAGCCTCTATTGCGAGAAAATCTGCGCATTTGGTACATTCAATTTTGATAAGGTTCGATGGAGGGCAAGGAAACTACCTTTCAATTCCGAAACCGTCTTTCCAAGAACATTTCTATGAGGATTTTAATTATGGCCTCAGTAAGGATCGTTGGGTACCCACCCGCCCAAAAGACAATCTTGGCGGAGCTTTCGACTGTTCGACTGTTCAGATATGACTGTTTCTGAAATCAATTGGTAGACCTGCAGGAAGTCAAAAAAGCACGCATATATAGAGCGTATTAGCGGTTCCTCGTCAGGGAAACGGTGCACCTCCACAGTACGCACCGTTGATAAAAGAACACTGCTGATTTCAGAAATCTCCGTTGATGGTCGTGAAAAGTATAGACGGCATAGAACAGGATATAAAGTGTCACCAGCGACGATTCGATCCCCATCTAGAAGATGAACGATGTTTTTGACAGGAAGGCTAGGATAACACGAAGGACGTACTGACCGCGTTGCACTCAAGGTAATCCTGAAAAACAAAACCTCGTCAGCGACCTTTTCTAGCGCCCCCAAACGAACAAACCAGAATCCCCGAAAGGAGGGAGATCAAGACGAGTTCCCATGATTGCTTCATTTTTTCATCCCCTGCTTCTTCAGCTGCTTTAATTTTAACATCGCGTACGACCAAGAGAATTGACGTTGAAAACTGAAGTGTGAGTGCAAACTGGATTAGGTAGAGTGCCATGAGGCGGTTCCGAAGGAGATGAGAAAGTCTCTGGAAGGACTTTGGCGGCGTATTGGAGAATTCCTAATCATGATTCAGTCAACGCAAAAAAGAGAATATTTTCTCTCGCAGTCAATTTACGAGAAGAGTTGTGATGGAGGAGAGTTGCGCGAGAGAATCCTCGATGTCCGCGTTGTGCTTTTGTTTCTCCACGACATTCTTGAGGGCTAGTGATGTAGATTTAACGTTATCCATGGGAGGGAAACAAGTAAGCAGTATGTAGATTCATTCAAGGCTATTGTGCAAGTTGAAGAGCCGGTGAGCGTTGTACGCGCGACGCGACGGACGGCTGTCCCGTGACAGGACTCCCACGCAAACCTTCGCGCCAACGTGACCTGATCACCTGGTTTTTAAGAGGTACCATCACTGCCAACGAACAGCAGCCGACGTACCTGCCTAATACTTAAGTAGTCAGAGACTCAAAAGTAAGTACAACGTCGTCTTTGACTCCGTCGTCGACAGATGTCAGCTCAACCAGGGACTATGAAGACCTCTTTTTCTTCAGTTCTTCATCTCAAAGTACGATTTCCGCTCAATAGGCGACTGGGTCTTATTCCATTGTTATCCAGGCTCCTATGATCAAGAGGAGACACTTGCGACGAGTGCGAATTCCTGCGCTCTAAAGATGTTCGCTAATGCTTGCGATAGTATTCATGGTTACCCGACGTATTTCGTCTCAAAGGAAGTGTACGTCGCGAACTGTATCACTCAACCTATCCCAATCGCCGTTGACCCACATTTGTTCTACAGATAGTGTCACGGATCGCAGGCCCCGTCCTCACTGTAACCATTTTTGCGTCTTTCATCGCATATGCATCGCAGCAAGGATATAAGTTTATTTGGACAAACTCGATCGTCCCACTGCTTTCAGTAGTGGTATGTGCACATTTGACGTCGTTGCTCCTCAATCTCTTATGTCACCTCTAGGTTGGCCTCATTCTAGTTTTCCGGTATGCATTCTTTGTCGTCATCTGATCGCTACTTGAAATCATGTCCTCATCACCCTCTAGTAATGGGTATGTCATTAGGTTGGCACTCAAACCAGCTAATTCAAGTTCCTACATAGCACATCATACGATCGCTTTTGGGAGGGGAGAAAATGTTTTTCTGCTGTCACCTCACTCACTCGCAGTTTTGCCCGGCAAGTGTGGGTGAATGTAAACCTTCCTCCAACAGACATGCAACCTCCGGGCTCCAAAGGAAAAACACCCACGACCGATGTCACTCTCCACCAACTTCGCCGAAGGAAGATTGAAGCCTTACGTCTTTGTCTCGCTTTCGTATTTGCCGCTAAACACTACTTACGAGGAGAGGATGGTATAAATTATACTGACTACCATGGCGTGCTCCCCAACTCTTTTCTTCACTATGACGAGATGTTCAACTCCCACCACACAAATACGGCCTCTACATACGCTGCGACAAAAGATGGCTCAGTTGATGCAAGTCGCAAGGATTCAAGCTCGACGCGAAGTGGAAGTTCCACCCCAGATGCCGCAAGGCCTGATGCAACCAAGAGAGTCAGGCCAAAGCGCAGCAAGCCGCAACTTGCTAATCAGTCGACACCCTTATTGGCTGGAGCCCACCGTAGCGTCGACATTCCCTATGCGGATGAAGCGTCTTTGCCTTTGCCACTTGTGTTAGTTGCTCTGCTTCACCTACGCTTTTCATGAATTAACCTCAAGTTCTCTTCTTCAGAATCGCACATGAGCTCTCAAGGATCATCTTTCAATTCAGACGAGATGGATTTCTTGAAACTGTTGGGCCAGCTGGTTACGGGGATATACTTCCTTCTATCAACTATCTACTAACTGTCTTACCTCACAGGCACCAATGCATTGACCCAGATGTGATCATTCCTTTCCCCACGCCATGAACCTTTCTAATACATCCGCAGAATTCAAGGGCTCGTCGAGCAGCTGTCAGCAATGGAACGAATTGCCAATACCCCAATCCCCATTTCTTGTACGTTCGTCTGTCGGCCTCTCGTATTTCTTCGCTCAGCACTCCTTGTAGACGGTATCCATTTGAAGCAATGCGTCACTTTGTATTTATTTGCGTTGCCGCTCACGCTCGTCAATGATTTGGGCTGGGCATCCGTGCCAATCGTAACCGTGGTTGCTTTCACCTTCATGGGCATTGAAGGTATTGCCGAGGAGATCGAGATGCCTTTTGGTTCGTCTTTTTATCAGTGTTAGCCAGGATCAATTTTAATTTGACGCGCAATAGGCACAGATGCCCGAGATCTTCCACTGGGTTTGCACCGACAGTCATAGAAGCATTCCCTTTTACTTACCAATGAATAGATCGATATTGCCAAGACCTCAAAGAAGAGATTCAGTGCGTCAATCTATTTCTTTACGGCTCTTTCTCTGATGCTTATTACGCTTAGCTATATTATTGAAAGGCTGCCGGAAGGTGGGGAAGGCAGTCACGGCTACGACGACGGAGAAGGCGATGATTAAAGCATGAATATGGCATGATAAAGATGGCAATTGTTGATAATTTGCAACAAAGGGACGCATACCATACACACGATATCAAAGCTCACATGGATTACGGTCTACTCTGTATTGTTTCTAGTTGGTTACTGGAACTCGGGCTGGCAAAACTCTCCTGGCCCATAGGGCTAAAAATTAAGAATATCAGTGTCGACAAAGACAAGGAATCATTTTTGTAGCTATACCTTCGTTGTCAACGAAGTAAGTCCCGCTGAATTCTCACTTGTCCGCCTACCACTTTGCGGGCCTGCCTTGGGCTTTTGGCCTTTCGCAAAGGCAGATAGAATTTTCTTAGTCGTTTCCGGTGTAAGATCCTCCTAAAGTCAAAGTAAAAATCCGGCAATGCCAAATTACGAAGGCCACTTTTACATACATAGAAGTCATCGCCAACGACCAGCATCGGTGCATTGCTGCAAGCTCCTTGACATTCTACCTCGACAACGGTGAACTTTCCATCGCTTGTTGTTTGCCCAGGTTTTATGCCTCCAAGATGGTCGCAAACGGTGTTTAGAATCTCAGGTGAACCGCGAAGCATGCAAGGAGTGGTTGTGCAGACTTGAACGAAGTTCTCGCCAATAGGTTCCCTGAAATTCTTTTAATGACAGCAAACAATGAAGAACAGGATTGCCTGCCTATTGAACATGGTGTAAAATGTCGCAACCTCGTAGACTCGCATTGGAGGCATGCCGAGGAGGTTAGCGACGTAGTTCATGACGCTGATACTTGTCCATCCTTTATTTTGACGTTGTCCGAGATCAAGCAAAGGAATAACGGCGGCTTTCTTGTACTGCGGAGGATAGAAAGAGATAATTTCCTGAGCTCTCTTCATGTTTTCGGTATCGAACTCGAAAGCAATCTGCCGAACTGGTGAATGACAGCGCCAAATTGCAAAGAGAGGGCCTGACCTTTGGATTATTATACGGAGTATCGCGATGCTATTGTATAAACCCTAAGCATTCGTAAAGCGGAGGTGGGAAGTCACTTCGTACCACGAAGAGGGCGTCTGACCTCCAAGAAGGAGTAGTGGACACAAGCCGCCTCGACTGCAATGCTCTATGCAACAAAGACCTTGAAATTTTGGGCAGCATGAGTCAAGGCGAAGTTGTCGTCCAAGTCCAAATAGTTGGACTCAAGCCGGGATGCACTCAGGTTACAGTCACGTGGTTCAGTCAAATAATTATCTTGTATCTAACATCGACCTCTTCCAGACTGATGTAATTTCATCGACTTTCAGAAGAACCCCAGCAGCTGCCCTTCTCAGCTTGACCTCGTGCAAGCCACCCCCTCCTTCTGCCTTGATACCTTTTTCAAGCGCGGAGAAAACTTTACCTGCCCATTCTCCTGTGCCAAGTAAAATGGTTGTGTGTTCGAGACTAAGCAACTTTCCACCGTCAACTTCGTGGCTTCCATCAAGTACAACGAGCGCAAGTTCCAGGGCGGCTGTCAAAACCGAAGCATCCTGCCCTCTCACACCCAGTTCGGTGTCATGGTTCCACTCAAGTTCCGTATCTGTGCGAGAGACAGGTTGCGTACCAATAGTGACCGCGAGTTCCAGCGCATTTACTGCTATAATTGCAAGCCATTCAGGCGCATTTTGAGAAGCGTGAACCAGAATTGCCACGGTACGGAGAAACTGGGAAAGTACGAGAGGGTTGAGAATCAGTCCGGTACCCGCTCCGCGATAAGACTGCCCCTTATGGTGAGATGTGCGCTGTTCTCTTGTCTGTTCGTCACGTAGGAATTGCCAGAAGCGATTTATCAGGGGTACTAAAAAGTATTCTGCTGCAACGTCCGTAAAACAAACGGCTGGTCGTTGAAGTGGACGCGAAATTTGCGACGGAATGCGGGTAGAAACAACCTCGGAGATTTCAGGTGATTTCCGTATGCGGAGCCGGCGCTCGCGGGATAATTGAGGTAGTTCTCTAATCCCTGGGTCTCTTTGTTTGTCAATTGATTTGCAGCTGATGTCATCCATAATGCGAGGAACCACGCCCGTATCTGTTCGGCTAGACAATACATACTTGCGATGAAGTGGTGCAGATAAAGTCTTGCTTGGAAAGGCGATGCTGTTGCTGGAAACTCTTGAAGGTGGAACAGGCAATGACGCAAGCTCCCTTGCACCCACTGCCAACGCGTTGAGTGCAACATTGCGCTGGTCGGTAGAATATTGATTTTTGAAAAATTCTTCGATAAGAACACTGTTCCCAGCGTATTCATATATGAAATGGAGGAGAACAAAAGAGGCTCTTACGGCGCAGCCTTTCGGGGTGAACAGGAAATGAGCGCATTTAGTGATCCTTGACGTTTCTCAGCAAAATCATCTAGATCGTAATTGTCGTTTAAAGATAGCAACTGGTATACCAGGTGCACCGCGTTCTCGTCTGCCAGCATGTGAGATTATAAGCAACGACAAACCAATAGAAAGAAAACGGACGGAGTTCTGTGCCGTAGTCTTTTTTCTTCCGTATCAACTCCTCGGCGCAGTTCAAAGCCATTTCGATCTTGTCAGCCTCGTGAGGATCATCTGGCCCAGATTTTTGCGACACGCTACGTAGAAGGTCTCCAAGCTGAGCGAGATACACAGGTCGGGCAACCTTTTTAATGCCAACATTGAGGGTGGGGTCTCTTTCAATTTCAGCTAGATCGGAGGGACTGGGAGATGCAGACCGAGACGAGTTTTGAGATGCGTAGCCAGTCAATGAGTCGTCAGAATCACAGCCGTTGGTGATGTCAGGGAATGTTACTAGAGGGGTTTCCGCTTCCGGACTACCTGACGGCACATAGGCAGGTATCTCCTCTCTTTCGATGTCGTTGTCTTCGCCGTCGAAGTCGTTCGTATTTGACTCTACGTCTCTTTTCTTTAACAATTGGCGCAGACCTCTGGCCCAAGGTTTCCCGGCATCCTCTCCGTCCCAGTCGCCAAAGTCCAATTTTTTATCGCACATGCTGGCAACCACTTCCCCTGCAAGCATCCCGCAACGACGTACAGAGCCATCATAATGCGATATGTACTTTCCGATCGCCTGGACAAAGGATGATGAAGAGGCCAATGATTGTGTGTACTGCGAATTAGGTGGAAGATATGATGCAGCAAGAAGGAGCAGAGAGGTGACGTCTGAAACAGGTAAGTCAAAAGAATGAAAAACGACAGGAAATAGTGCAATTTACATCGATGTCGAGAAAGCAGGGAGTGTTTGATATGTTCCGGAGATGACCATGTTTCTAGCACGTCTTGAAGGAAGGAATAGAGGACTTGAAATGCAGGTTAACCAGTGTCCCCCTCTATTGGCTGCGTTCAAAAACCTTTTGCGTTGACTTCTTTCCCAGAAAAGCCTCCCGATATCCAACAAACAAATATCCGTGCAAAGGACTCACCCCAATCACGCTCGATGATCAGAGGGACGGCAATGTCCCATACTTCTTGTGTTTCAGGTACCAAAGGTCCTATCAATTCAAAAAGAAGAAAAGCATCTCTCTTGACAAATGCACCCTCCCGTAATATGGGGTCCAAAGTACTCCCAACGACCGGCAGTGTGGCAAATAGAGAGGTCAGGATAGATCGGAGTGCGAGAATTGATGGTACGTTAAGAAAGATTGAATGCCAGTATATAGAATACTCTTGACTATCATTGGCGCTGAGTCTGGAGCGAATAGTAGACAACGTCGTTTCGAAGAAGGATGGTTGAGACCTCTGGACCGGCCGATTGGGTGGGAAGACGCCAAGGTTGACGAGTTTCAATAGCAGGTAAGTGACGGAGGCTACAGAAGAACCTGTGATCGCTAGGGTGTGAGCTCAGTTAATGAGTAAAGAGATTGTAGTCCTACCTTTTGAGTTTTGTTTTGCCAATTCAAAGATTAGCTGTTCACAACGAGTGCAGATGCTGTTGAAATAAAATCCATGCTCCAGTGCGCGTGGAATGGGATTTTTGTTGCCAGCTGCATTGGCGACCTTGGCTGGGACCCCAGTAAGGCTGTGAACACAATCTTGCCAACGTGACTCCGTCGCAACGACATCTAGGTGCTTTCCAGCAAAGACGGCAGTGTGTAGCCTATCAAGAGGGTACTGAACGGTGAGACGTTCAAGCATTCTCATTGAGAACCCCTCTAGCGCGGATGAAACCAAAGTTGAATATGCGGAGATGGCCACCTCCCCCGAGCATATCGAGGCATTCGAGAAACCATCGGGACAGAAGTATTGCTCCAACAATGAGTCTGCGTGCTTTTCCGCGATTAACACATCCCAGGTCGGGGCGATATGTTCCAAGATTATGCGCTGAAGGAAAGGAATATGTTTCCTGACATCAACAGCACCTTCTGGGAGGGGACTTGAGACACAATGCCTGAATTGAGGAGGGAGTAGACCGATGGCTTCTAAAGGAGTGCTGAGAAGAGCAAACAATGTCGTGAGGTCGGCAACAGGTGCTTGCAATTGCTTCAGCAACTCGTTGACTCTTTGCCTTTTGTCTGTCTCCATCAATAAGGGATCTGCCACACAAACAAGACCCTGCGTGTAGTACGTATAGGTAGAGGAGATACAACAAAATAATGTACACACAAACAGACGTGCAATAAATGGAGCAAGATACAGCTACAGGCATATTATACAGTCACTTAAAAAGCTTGAGAGAGGACAGAACGGAACCAGAGACAGAGCCTGACAGACTAAGCAGCAACTGTCTTCGAAGACGGCTTGGTCTTGGAAGCAGCTTTAGCAGCTTTGGATTTCGATGCAGGCTTAGTCTTCGAGGCAGGTTTGGCCTTGGATGTTGGTTTAGCTTTGGGACCTGATTTAGCCTTGACACCCAGCTTTGCTTTGGCCTCTGGTTTCTTGGTTTCGCCAGTAATAGCCTGAGGTCACAAGGCACAGTTAGTTGAGATAGATCAAACGATGCCCGTGTGCCAACCAACCTTCTTCGCCGCCCCCGGTTTGGTCACCACCTTCTTTGTCGTCGTGGCCTTCTTTGCAAGGGCTGTCTTCTTCGTGGTGGAGGTTGCCTTCTTGATCGGCGCCTTCTTGGCAACAGCTGTGTACTTCTTAGTCGCGACAGATGCCTTTGCAGCTGCAACCTTTGGTTTGGTGAGTGTAGACTTTTTTGTAGTTGGAGCGGCGGGTTTAGCTTTGGTGGCGGCCGGCTTTGCAGCAGTGGATTTCTTAGCCGGCGGCTTGGCGTTCTACGAGATGAAAGTAAACGAACAATACGAACGCAAGACATGGAATGTCTTGCCTCTTTGGCAGCATCGGGGCGAGCTACAGGAGAGAGCTTGACCTTCCCGGACGGACCTGCGGAGGTCTTATAAGGCTGTCTGTGCATTTGGGTGACGTTCTGCGACTTACCTTTAGGAAGTTGAAATATGCCCTTCTCGTTGCCTGACGTAATGGCACGATTGAGTTGACTGGCAGCAGTACCAGTCAGATCAATGTGGTATTTGGATTCAACAAACTGCATGAAAAGGTGATTAGGCAAAAGGCGGCACAGGCAACGATATTCAACCAACCTTCTTGATCATCGGGCGTGAAACCCCAGCACGAGCATCCTCAGGATGAGCAATGATACATTCCTGGTAAAGACATCAGAAATGTAAGCGGCGTTTCTGAGGTGGGGCGAGTGTGCCAGTGTCATACCTTGATCATATCCACCCATGTGGGATGGGCAGCAGCATGAGACTTGGTTGCAGCGCCGTTGGCCTTCGTGGTAGTCTTTGTCGTCACTTTCTTTGAAGCTGTAGGCATTATGGCGCAGAATGGGGCGGGGTATCAAGATGGGGGGAAAAGGTGGGAGAGGGAGGGAAACAAGGAGGGGGAGGGATGGCCCATTTCCGAGTTCATTGCCACTTGCAGGGATCACGTGGTATGGGGTCGCGCACGGACGCATGAAATGACGACGACGTTGATTATACTTCCAGATACCCAGCCAGGATATACCAAAGAGAACCATTGACCTTCCATGAATGGTATGGAGTGGGTGCCAGCGAGAACAAGCAGCTACGGCTCAGCAGGGGGCCTCCTGAAGGAACCGCAACTACAGTGGCAACTGCGAAGACACATTTTCTTCGATGTCAAGCAGGTGCTTGTGGTCGTATCAAAGAGCTCGACGTTGTAACTGACGCTGAGCAAGAGTGGGAAGGATATGGTTGAAGAAAAAGGCGAGAATTTCGGAGTTTGCCTTGTGCGTACACATTAGCACACAATTGCCTGTCATTACCGCTCCCCAGCTTTACTCTGGGTTCAACAACGACCAACCTTCCTCCCAAACGGCTAAATGCCGTTCAATATTTCAGAGTACCTGTTGACCGACGACTTGACAGTCTTGCTGGGTCTCATTGCGGCTACTGTTTTTCTGCTCAGTAATCTCTACAAGCCTCAACCGTTAGTCCATCCTATTCTGCTAGGTAGGCAAAGTGATGTTGGCCGAGCTCGAAATCCTGGGGAAAGCGCGATATACAGGAATTATGGAACCGGTTTGATGGGAAGGGTACACCAACCCGCCGTCTTTCTGCCTTTACCCAATACTGAAATGCATTCAGTTTCCTTTGCGACCCAGTAAGGATGTTCACAACCTCGTGGATTTGGTGCGACCAGAAGTAGAGGCGCCTCGAACCTTGTGGTCAACAAAGGTATGTTTGAGCGGCGCAACGGTGCCTACACAGTGCGTGCTTACAGGATGTGACGACAAGATCACCAATGCCGGCCTGCAAGATCGTGCTGCTGCTCTGGGCACGGGCTTGCTTCGTCTCGCCCAATTAAAACCGCAAGCATCAACTGTTCTCATTTTGTTGAATGATTGTATTGGTTGGTTCAATCTCGTGAATCAATGTTGAACCTTGGACTTAATTTGCGCTTAGAATTCATTATTGCAGACCTTGCTTTGGCCTCTCATTCCATCACCTCCTACACTTTGTCATCTCCAACCTTGCTACCGACTGTTTTGGAGTCTTATCCACCTTCCGCTATTCTAACGCATGCCTTCCTTCTTCCCCAGCTTTTGGAGCATATTTATGAGACAAATGAACAGACCGTCGAGCATACCATCATTGTTGTTGGAGAACCAAGCGCTCAGACTATGGCCAGCGTGGCTAGTAACATTAAGGTTCTAAAATTTGCCGAGGTTGAACGTGAGGGTGTGAAAGTCGAGAAGATTATTAGCCCTTTTTCGAGTAAGTCATCGCATAGTTGTTGCAAGCTCGTCAAGATGGTTTATTTCTTTTAGACACAGGCGACGTCTTCTCTATATCTTTTTACGAATCCGAAGCTGGCCTGCTACAAGGAGCTCAGCTGACTCACGAGAATCTAACTGCCGGAGTGGCTGCAGTTCGTGCATTACTTCCCCTTTCGCATGCTATATCCCCGTTGGACACCCTTGCTTCCTCTCATTCATTGAGTACTGCGTATGGAAGGGCAATTGCATACACTGCAATCTTTGAAGGAACAAGTTTCGCGACCCTTGCGAGTTCTGAATTATACCACACGGAAGAAGGTACATTTTCTATTTTGTCGATCACAGGGTAGCCTAACCATAATATTAGAATCCGTCCCACTTGACATTTCTGACATTCTGTCGGTCAAGAGGAAGTATCCAATACCATCCCCGACAATTTTGTTCATCAAACCTGACCATTTGAATTCTCTTGCGACTGCCGTCATCAAGGAGTCTGCTAAATCGTGGTTGCTCTATCCGTTTGGTTGGCGCCACAAACTAACGGGAGTGACGGAAGGATTCATTGCGAAAGAAAGCTTATGGGACAGAGTGGTGTTTGACGGCGCCAGAACTAAAATTCTAGGTGAAGGTGCGGCAACACTACGTGGTGCCATTGTTAGTGGCGGTAGGTGATCAATTATTTATTATCGTGCTGATTGTAACTTTTTGGGTTTCAGGACTTATTGAAGCGAAAATCATGACTCCCGCACGCGTCGCGCTGTCTATACCTCTAGTGAACAGCCTTACCCATCCTCTGGTTTCAGGACCCGTTTTGGCTTCGCATGCCTTTGATTTGCAAGATTTTCCTGCACCAAGCAATGGTCCTTTATCACCTGTCGCCCATACAGGCCCTCCGAGTGTGAACATCGAGGCCAAATTGGTTGGGGTCGATGACGATCAGGTTGAAAATGGGGCTAGTCCCGTCGGCATATTAGTTGTCAGGGGACCATCCATTGCCAAAATGGCGAATATCGAAGGATACGTTGACATTTCATCGGAGGGTGATGGGGATGGATGGATAAGTACTGGTGTAAAGGCCGAGGTGCAGCCAAACGGGTCATTCCAAGTTTTATCATTGGGAAATAGGAAATAGAATTAGATCTGTAGAATGAACACGTGGTAAAAACGCGTGTGCGCGTGACACTGACTCGATCAACAAACGAAATGAGCACAGCCACCATGTGATCATGATCAATATTGTACGCGGCGTGCCATAAATAGGTCAACAATGCATCGAACTTTTCAAGTTCGACCTCTCACCACCCCCCAATCTACACCATGTCATCCTCCACAGCTCAAAGCCCGAAAGCTACTAAGCCTGCGTTGTCTAGCAAAGCCAAAAAGCCTGCGACGGTGAAGAAGACTGTTACCACGAAGAAGCCAGCGACGGCCAAGAAACCTGCGACGACGAAACCTGCGTCCAAGGCAAAGGTTCCTGCAAAACCTAAAGCCACCAAGGACGTCGCCAAGGCCACTGCGACGCGTCCGTCATGGAAAGATATCATCAAGGTTGGTGTGGCATTCGTTGTTAATGAACTAAGTTCTCAAGCGCTGTAGGAATGCATTGTTTTACGCAAGGAAGATGTCCGCCAAGGAGTTTCGCGCAATACCATCAAGAAGGTAAGTAGCAGTTACATGTATGCGATGTCGATTACTTATGGTCCCCCCAGTATGCGGAAGAGGCCTACAAGCTCGAGGTCACTGGGACCAACCTGTACCAGTTGAATCATGCTATTAGCACTGGTGCCGAGAAGGGTATCTTTGTCCTTCCCAAAGGACCATCAGGCAAGGTCAAGCTCGCACCTTCCAAGGCTGGTGGTTCGAAAGAGGTGTGACAAGTTATCGTTGTTATGGGAGTGAATGCTAACGGTAAGATGATGACAGAATTCCAAGCCACCTTCTGCAAAGGTAGAGACTGTCAAGAAACCGGTTGTCAAGGCTACACCAGTTGTAAAAAAAGCAGCATTGAGCACGAAGAAAACGCTGGCAGGTAAAAAGACGACGATAGCTTCAAAGCGTGGCGCAGCTAAAAAGGTAATAAGGATGTTGATGGATTCATGATGACGCAGTTGACTGAAAACGTTATTTTTAATTAGGCTGTAACGGGTAACGCGCCAACCAAGAAAGGCAAGAAATGATGACTAGTAGTAGTACTAGTAGCAGTGACTGGGGTCCTTGTAACAACGTGTGACATAGTAATTTGTATTGATAATATGTTTTTTTTTAAACTGTTCCCTTTCTCCCATGATACTGCTGCGCCATGTACTCTGATCAACAGCCTCTGTCCTCTAATTCCTCTAATACCCCTCACTCTTACGGTACACGAATACGACACAATATTACAATAAAACCTTCAGCTCGCCTCAGACAGTCTCCAGTTCCTTTAAGAAAGCAAAAACATTCAACTGCGTCCGACTTTCCTCCCCCACATATCGTACTACACCCAGATGATGCAAACAACAGAGTCTTTCTTGCCATTGCTCGTTCTTTCCTTTCAATTGTATGTATCTACTATATTTCAATGTCCTCATCTCATCTTTCTCGTAGGATAATCGCGCTATGACTATAAAAGATCTCGCAGAAATGTCTGTTAATCATGGTCTCGTTTGTCAAAAGTACGTGACTCCTTTTCTCAAAGAAATTCCTTTTTCTCATTTCATGCAGCGTTTCAGCAGCCAGTCAAGCAATTACAACCTATCTCCGTGTCCATCAGGCCCGTTGCGAGGAACAACAAGATCATCCCCTCGTTCTGAGCCACCAACTCTCTGGCACTATTTCCGATGACGACCTCTTGCCGGCCCTCTACTCTCGCTCGGGGGGCGCACATTGTACTGCTGTTGACAACCGAGCAACTAATTTTAGAAAGGGTACTGCTGTCTGGTATCTCAGTCGTGCTACGGGCGCTCCCTGTCCTTTTACTCCAGCTGGCATCCGTCTTTCTGATTACACTGAAGATGGTAAAGTCGGAGCTTTCATGGCGGCAAAGGCAAAGAAAAACAAAGTGGCAAAGCAAAGGCGCATGGAGGAACAGCAGTGTGGACAGAAGCGGAAGCGACCGTTGAGGGGGTGTGTGGCCCGCGCCTCAAGTTCAGATTCAGAAAATGACGTGGAGAAGCGTCCACCCAAGGTCAAACTCACCCTTCGACTCAAACCTTTGCCTGCATCCACCTCTCGCGATATCATTGATATTTCAAGGGATTCTTCTCAAGATGAATCATCCAATGAATCTTCAGATGACTCAATGTCTGTCGTCTCGTCGGACGATGAATCGCTACCCACACAGGAAAAGGAACAAGAGGAGCCCTGGTCCCTTCCACCATACCCCAGAAGATCCATCTCCATTCCTTGTTACACACCTTCATTTGATGGCCCGTACCCTTTCTTTCCTCCACCGATTCAACCAAACGACCCTTTCCGACGCTCTCCTTCCGCTGGCAGCATTGGTTCTCCTCCCCCCGACTCGGAAGACGAGGCAGATGATTTCCATATCACGATGACCCGCGCGGGCACCTTTTCTGATGGCCTAGCAGATGCGGACTTGGATTCAGATGACAGTGAAGCTGATCGCGACACTCAGTGGGAAAGCCCAGGCCCTAGGTCTCCATCTGCCCCCCTCATTTCATCACCCAACCACGTCACCGTCAAGGAGGAACCGAGAGATGTGCAGGGAATGTTGGAGGCTTGGGATGACTTTGACTCTAGCGTTGCTGATGCCAAGGTTGCAGAGGTTTTTTCTCAGGCTGCTGGAAGCGTAGACGTGTCAATCAAACCAGAGACATTTGACCTCTGGGATTGGGACTCGAACCAAGATATCTCCACTGCAGAATGGCCCATTTCTCCCGACGACAGCGCTCGCGTCAAGCACGAAGACTTTGGCGTGGATGCACTCTTTCCTGAAGCTTCTTCACCCCCCGTATTATCCCACATCTTTCAATCACCTTCCACACTCCCATCCGAATTTCTGCGGCACGATGAGACACGCTATGCTACCCTTCGTCCACGCTCAAAGACAGTCCCTGCCCCCTCTAGATCCCAAGTTGATCTACCCCTCACTCGCCTTACAACCTGCGAGTCTTCGACATCCTTACCGTCTACGGCCCACTCGCTCGCATCGCTCATCCAATGCATGTCTATGAATTCTACAACATCTGTGGCGCCTCATCAGATCCCCTCGCCACCCCCGCCCTGTGTGTCGCCGCATGAAACCCGCTGCATTGGATCTTCTTCGACGCCTTCCGTTGTAGTAGTCCACACGTGCCAACCCTGCACATCTGCCATCAGTGCAACTCAAATCGAGGGTTTGTTTCGCTCTCTTCCGTCATTACAATCATTTTGCTGACATGAATCGTTAGATATTTCGGTGTATCAAATGATGCTGGGCCCCTTTCTTCTTCTACGCCGCATTGATACCGATTTTGTCAACCTGTCTCCTATTGTGGCGTATTCAGGTGCCCCACACCCCATATTAAGCGCCATCCCCAACGCGACCGTGATTACCAAAGGCTCTCCCATCGTCTCCGGTGGCACATGGGTGCCCCTGTCGGCCGCTCAAGCCTATGTGAGAGACCACCCATTACCAGGTGGCCTTCTCGACGTCTTTCTTTCCGACTCGCTCTTTGAGCGTTTTCCATCTGCCTTGCAAGATTTTCACCGATCCAACGCACAGGGGAGGTTTTTAAATCAATTTGGCAGGCCGTTCGGGTCAACGCTTCAGGCGTCTTTGCTGTCTGTGCAAACAGATACCGTAGCTCCCCAACATCACCAAGGCAATCCGCAAGGGGCTTGGGACCCCCTTCACGGCTGGGTACATCGGGATTCGACAGTCTTGCCTGCGTCTGGCCCGTTTGCACTTGGTGCTATGGCCGTTATCGACAAGCATCATGAAGAGAAGGAAACCCCTCTGAGTGCGACGGAACAACAGCTTTTCCACGAATTGTGTGTGATTCCCGACGATTCCACGGCGCAATTTGACGGAGAGGACGCGAGGTCGTATTCGCCAATGTCACCCCTCTCTCCCGTCCCATCCGACCTCCCAGAATTACCTTTGGTTCCTTCAGAAGACATATTGTCTGCTTCTCCTGGTGTTGAACACCCTGGTCGACCTTTACGTCGGTCGAGGCGGGTTGCTGATGCGTTGGCTGCGCAAGGCCAGACACGAACTCGCTCGCGACGACGTGGTTCCCGAAATTCTCTTTCTTGAAGAACTCCATCGATTTGCTTTGCGAGTCTTTCTTTCTTTTTCTTTTGCAGATAATCTTATTAGCTTGCTAGTTTTTTTTTCGATCATGATGTTGCTCACACTTGTGTTCAACTCTTTATAGCATAGGACCACCACTCTCATTGTAGATTTGTATCTGATAATATTCTAACGTTAAAAGTGTGGGAGCTGAGGCGTGAGAACTTGGCCAGCAGAAATTGCATTTTATTTTTCACTTTCGTTGCTCATTCTTCTTACTTACTCTGCACTGGAGGCGATAGTCGTCGTGTCTAAAACGTCGGTTCGTAGCCGAATTTGAAGGCATATTCACGACAACGTCCATATAGTTCTGGGACAGCCTTTTTCCGACTAATTGGTACCTTGACGATTTCACGGGGCATCTCCCAAACTTTCGTAATCCCTAATCGTTCTTCATTCAAAAGTCCTCTATAATGTCATTATCGGCCTCTGACAACAATGGCTCTTATTCGAGGGTTCCTCCCAGTGGGAAGACACCACCTCCTGCCCCTTCAGCTGCATTTGCCAAAAGGTTTGTTTTCCCCGTTTCTTTCGCGCAAATCAATCCTGATCGATCTAAATAGAGCCAGGGAGTTGCAAGCTGAGGAAAGGTTGGGTGGCAGATATAGGCCACCTGCATTGCGCGCCCTGGCATCGGGTGGTTCACCTCCAAACGAGTCCTCACCCTCCATCACGACGTCTGGGGATGGCACTACTCCGCCTCCCGCTAATTACCCACCAGGGTTTAGGAGGGCAAGGGCAGGAACCTTACCTTCCAACGTTCAGCTCGCTGCCCAGCGCTTTGCTGCAGCATCGACCACATCAAACAGTTTCCCGGCTTCTACCGACGTCCCGGTTGACCAACCACCAAGACAGATGCCTGTAGCACCCCCTGCACCTGTGGCGGTCCCCACTCGACCCAACTTGCGTCACGCCACATCTGTCGCCTCATCCGTGGCTTCGTCAGCAGTCACGGAGCGCAACAGCCGATTGAGGTCGGGCTCCCTCACGTTGCCAACGGGCGGACTATCCAACGCGTTTGGTCCGTCCATCTTTTCTTCGTCTTGGCTGTCCTCTGCCAACGGCGGTGGTAATGGTTTCTCCGTCCTTGATGAGTTGCGGTCTGTCACATCTGCTGACTCTGGAGCTGATGATTTTGACGTCCACACCCTTGATTACCTTGGTTTGGACGACGCTCACCGGCCGCCACCTGCAGCCACAATTTCCGAACTGCGCAACCAAGCTCAGGCAGCCATCGCAGGAAATCTCGCCAATCCATCGCGCATGCGGGCTAGCACAGTATCCAATCCTTATCGAACCCGACCTACCCCGTCCGGATCTCTGCTGTCGACCCCATTAGCTGCTGAGGAAGAAGAGGAATATTTCGAGAGCTACGAGGACCATAGCTATTCCCGCCAGCACCTCAGCCCTTACGAGGTGCCCACCCCTGATGGAGGGTACTCGGCTGCATCTTATCTGGCGAAAGGTTTTAAGACTACGGATCATCTCGCTGCTGCGAGACCACGCGCGATTTCTGTCGGAATCCTCGACGATCCCATGCGATCCATCCAACGGCGCGCTACAACGGCTGATACCCATCCTTATGCCGCCGAGCTTCCGAGTACTAACCTTCCCTCACTTGGAATCAATGTCGGAAACTCTTCGGGTATATTGAAGACGGATAAATCAACACCCGTTCGAAGTGGCGTCTCCCCAGGCGTTCATTTTCCCAATGGGGGTGACATCCCCATTGGAAGAGGCGCTTCTGCATACCTTCTAGCACCGTCTGCTCAAACACGATCCGTCTCTCCCAAGTCAGAGGGTCAAAATTCTCAGATCCAAACGCCAACTCGTTCACTCTGGATCGGAAATCTTGACAGCGCGGTCACCAGTGAACAGCTTATTCATGTATTTGCGCCGTATGGCGCCATTGAGAGTCTTAGGCTCCTCCCTGAAAAAGTTTGTTTGCACACCTCTTCTCGAGTTTTCCTCATTGATCGTTTATTCAGGAGTGTGGATTTGTCAACTTTGTCGACCAAGCGGATGCCATCAGAGCCAAAGAGGATGTTCTAAATCGTTTAGGAGGTAATATTGGAATGCCAAACGGCCAAATGGTTCGCATTGGGTTTGGGAAAGCGGATAGTGCTCCTGTTGCCCCGGCGAAGGGCAACTCGTCTAGTCCTGGTCCTACCTCTCCTGGTGCTGGTGTGGGTAAATCTTCGGGCACCAATGTGGGTCTAGGGGCCATGGACGCGCAACTTCAATCCACTCCGACAAGAGCGCTCTGGATTGGTTCAATACCTTCAACTACAACGCCTGCTACGATATTGAGCGTTTTTAGTCCTTATGGGCCAATTGAGTCCGCTCGTGTGTTGACTCATAAGAACTGCGGTTTCAGTCAGTTCCTTCTCTTCATACTACCCAACGTGCTCGCTAAAACTCTATTAAAGTCAACTTTGAACGTCTTGATGACGCTGTTCGTGCTCGTAAAGCTCTGAACGGTCGTGATGTGTTGGGAAGTGACGTTGGTGCTATTAGGATTGGCTTTGCCAAGGTGCCCGTCAAGAACGGCCAAGAAAGCAATGGCGGTCCTGAGGAGAATCCGAACGTGATAGTTCAAGGTGTTGGTGACTTGAGCGTCGGAGCGACCATCCACGCTTTGCGCGCAGTCAAGGGAGCATCCACTATTCCCGCGGATCAACAAGTACTCGGTGGGGCAGTTGAAAATTATCGATCAAACTTACTCCTTAGCATGATCGCATCTGGCCTTCATGGAAACACATTTGGATCAGACAATCTCAAACCACCTGGCTGGGCGGCATCCGTCACCGAGCAGCAAATGATATTGCGCGAACTCAGCGCAGGAACTAGTGATTCCGAGAGCGACATTCAAGCGCTTGCAGGTGTGTTTTTAGTTCCTTCTCATGACGTTCGTCGATCATTGAATGTTATCGTTGCCTCATCCAGAATTTCGGCCCCCCACCATGTACTACACCACAATCCCTTTGGTATCTGAGCGTCCCCACAATAGACGGTGGGATGCTTCCAAATTGCGTGAACTCCGCAAACGTCTGGACTCAGGCACGATGACTGTGGAGGAAACCGATCAAGTTGCGGCCGATTTCTTGGACGGGGAGATTGTCGATCTCGCCTCGGACTGGCTTGGAAATACGGTATGTATTCGAAGCCCTCGATTCAAATTTTTTATACATCTTGGAGCAGGTTGTCCAAAAGCTCTTTGAACGGTGCTCCCCAAATCCCAGATTTGCCATGCTTGAGCGTATCTGTCCCAATCTTGCAATGATTGGCATTCACAAGAACGGCACATGGGCCGCTCAGAAAATCATTGAATGTGTTACAACGCCTGAAGAAGTCGCCTTGATTGCTCAGAATCTTCGGGCATATGCACCCCCGCTTCTGTTGGACCAATTTGGGAATTACGTCGTACAGTGAGTGGCATTGTTCTCAGCACAGAGCTAATTCACGCTAACGTGATTGAACCGCCAAGGTGCTGTCTGCGTTTTGGCGCCCCTGCTAATGATTTCATTTTTGATGCCATCGTCGATCGTATGTGGGAAGTCGCCCAAGGTCGATATGGAGCACGCAGCATGAGAGCCTGCTTAGAGAGCCCTCACATCACATTAAGCCAACAGCGTCGCATCGCAACGGCAGTCATCCTTAACTCTATCCCGCTGGCCACTAATCCCAATGGTGCACTATTACTGAACTGGCTTCTCGATACTTCTGGTTTCCCATCTCGATACAACCTTTTAGCACCTCGCTTCACCCCTCACCTTTCCCATCTTTGCACACACAAGCTCGCGTCTCTCACCGTTCTCCGTATTGTCAACCAGAAGATCGAGCCCAATGCTTCTCACCAGATCGTAGAAGCTCTTTTCTCGTCACAAGGCGATCACGTTCTCACTGATGTTTTGGGTGATCAAGTGAACGGTGTTGCTGTTGTTATCAAAATCCTCACCAGCCCTTTCATTGAACCCACGGAAAAACACATCTATATTGAGGCTACAAAGAGGGTTCTTATAGAATTAAAAGTAATCGCTACTCAAGCATATCGCAAGCTTATTGAGGAGGTCGGGTTGCCCGTCCCCAACTATCAGCCGACGTACGCAACCAACATGCCACCGAATGGCAAATCTTCAAAAGCCATGTCGCAAAATTTTGGCGTTCCTGGCCTTCCCTCCGGTTACCCTTCTAATGATCAAGGATTGGCTTCTATGATGGCTGCATTACAAATGGGCGGTCAGAATCCTCAAGCTGGCCCACCCCAACTTCATATTGATCCTACCTTCAATTCTGCAAGTGCTGGCGCTCCCCGACGTGTTCCCCCCAACACCATAAACACCTTCTCTCCTTCTTCAGATCCTTTCAACCCCTTTGCAATGCGTTCTCCTGAGGTTAGCAGTCCCCGACAACTCGGTGGTCGCCGCAACGCAGGTCTTCCTCCCAACGGATCGATTGGCAACGCAGTGAACTCGAGTTACGGAAACCAGTCACCCGTTCTGCAACCTGTCAACCTCATGAATCAGATGACACAGCCTCCAACGATGTATGGAGGACATGTACCGCAACCAATGGTGCTTTCTCCTCACATGTATAATGGATACTACCACCAAAGCCAGCAACAACAGCAGAACCAGAATCTGCCTTCGAACATGGGTCCCTTTCACACTTGAACGCCATTCGCACGACATCTCATGAAGCCGCTCTTTTATCCTCTTTATCTACTGTCACCTCACACACTCCTTTGCTTAATAGCGGTAGCCCAAAAATTTGTGCTCGTCTGCTTGGTTTACAGGTTGCTTATTTTTCCGTTTTATACCCCCAACCCTACAGCGCTACATCTGCCTCTCCTCCAGTCTTTTCTGCTGAACAAAATGAGGCCTTTCTGTTGTTGGTTGGTGCTGGAAACAATGCTTTTAGCTCTTATCTTACTCTATCGTCGCTTTTTCTGTCCTCGGCTACGTAGTTGTACAACAAAGGATGGCTGCAAAAGAACAGTCGTAAAACCGATATAGACCTAATAGTGTTACTTACTGTAAGAGTCTTTTTATTTATTTTCCTCCACCATGGGAAGTTCAACTTCCACAGCCGCTCGCACATTTCCCAAATCCAAAGCTCCAGCATGGTCTGGAGCTAGAGCTCCCCGTCTTGACGACGCTCCGCAACAAACTCTCGCTGCGGAACACAAGTCCAAAGGTATCGGCATATAGACGTTTCAGAGAGCTAGCCGCCTTGACCATCTAATAGCTATCCAGGATGATGCAGGAGACCCCCATTTTCTAGCCAATCTTAATCGTTTAGGCGCTGTCCGTGTGGATCGATACGCACAGACTGTTCACCAGGTAAGAATCATCAGCATACCCTGACCCAATCGACAGACTCAGCTCCGTTTGTCGCAGAAGCAAGAAGTCAGCAATACAAACCGACTTTTCCAATCTCGCACCGAATCTGAAGAGGACGCTGTTTCAATGCAACCTACGCGGAACCGCTTGCGTGCCGCCACTCTAAGCGAGTTACTGGATGCACGCAAGGGCGCACGGACGACACACGACTTGGAAACACTGGCGGAAAAGTATGGAATTGATAAACAAAAAATGGAGAAGCTTGCGACGTTTGTGACTACTCCAAGTGTTGGTGGTGGATCGGCGACGCGGACTGTAGGGAAGGACGGGGATGAAAGCCTCACAACGACGGTGCGTTGATCCATCGCTTTGAGGACACTGAAATGAATTTTCAGCAGGCTGTTTGGGTCTATCCCTCCATGCAGGATGCCTAGCCAGGGCAAGCCATGAATAACAACTCTAGCATCTTGAGTATCAAGTCGTGGAATGGGTGACGATATACATATGACATTTTAAACTTCCAACCCAATAATAATGCCATGGTCATGAAAAAAACGTCAAAGGTCCAAGGAAGGAATATAGTAGTCATAAGAAAAAGGAGATAAGCATATGCAAACGACGTGAAGAGAAGACATTGGCTAACGCGACAAGGAGATATTGAAGTGATCAGCATCAAACGAAAGTGAGTCAAAGTGCAGCGAGTCCAGGCGCATTTCAAGGCTCATATCGCCCTGGTCCATTCCTAAACCCGAATCATCGACCTTGAAATGCGTCTGTGTTGGGGTTGTAGCGGGGTCAGACTCTCTTTCAAAGCCAACGGCTCTGAACGGATCAGAGTCAACGGCATGCATGGCAAGACGCAAGTTGGACCCGACTGCGACATCTGACTGGGATGCCGTCTGAAGATCAAACGCAACAGATTGTCTCTTTTCGAGACTGGCAAGGCGGGTGAGAAAAGTTTCTTCCGTGCTTGTAGGAGTTTGTGGCCCAGACGTAGTAGATTCGGAAGAGGTCGCCGACGGTACACGGGAAGACGATGGGATATACTCGATATCATCTGAACTAAATGTAGCTGCCCGAGAGGTTGAAGAAAAAGAGAAAATCTTTTGAAGATTAAGCATTGAAAACCGACGATTGGTGGTTTTATGACTAGCCGTGGAGAGGCAAGGCGAAGGAGCTCGAGATTGAAGGTCTTGGTTTTCTTCTTGATATATCGAGGCTCGACGAGAGGTGGGTAGATGAGTGCTGGATGGAAAAGAAGGCGCCGAGGGTGAGCTGGGAGCAATGTTATTTGCAGGATCATCAAAGGAAGAAGTTGAAGCGCGGGATTTCAGCGAAGGTGCCGAGAAGAGTTGAGAAAGGATGACTGAGCTCCTACGAGACATAGTTGGCGTGCGGGGACGAGGGTAAGATGAGGAACCCCGTTCCTCGTCAGGTTGTATCTGAGAGTTTGATGGGGCAGAAGAAGATATATTGTGGGCCCGTGGTTTGGATGCGCGAAGGCTGCCTGTTAAAGAGCGTAATGCTTTGGAGGCACGGGCTCTGAACGTGCTGGACGGTTTGGTCTTGATAGGTTCGGGGATTTGGTCTTCATTTTTGGTTCGAGACCTACTTCGACCGACTTTGACGACTTCTATCACATCCGAGTCCTCTGCTGCATCGCGTGGTAGCCGTGAATACTGTGTACGCCCTATCGTCTCGGACTGGTAGTCGCGGTACGGATCCTGATCTGTTTCCCCGTCAAATTCGGAATCTGTGTCGTTGTAATTGTCTGCGAACTCGTCGCTCATCAATGCGTCAACAATGGACCTCGTTTCGCCAGCTTGGCGAGGGCTGGCGACGGAGTCAGAGTCAAGAAATTCAATTTCTTCTTCCACAAGTCGTGAAAATGATCGGGATGGTTGCGCAGCGTCAAAGCAGCACCAGACGGGAGAATGGTCTTCTTCTGGTGGAACGATGAAGACATTAGGGACTTGGAGAACGACAGGAGGGCTAGACTGGTGTTCGTGACGGCTTTTGTGGTCCCTGTGAAAATATAAAGGGGTGTTCATTATAAAAGAGTGTGGTTTGGGGACAACAGGAGCGACGACGACGTATGCTTCAAGGTTGCTTCAAGCCAATTTTGACGTTGAACAAGTCAGCCATTCTGATCACGTGCCCGTGCCTATGCTTTTCCTTCCACAACGGATTTTGCGAATTAGGCCAATTAATTCTTGTCGTCGTCCTCCCCGGCGTGCTTCGAGTCACATACGCTACCTAGACAATAGAAAAATGCCTCAACACATGTCCGTGCTTTTCCTTGGTACTTCAAGTGGTGGAGGACCATCGGAATCAAGAAACTGCTCTTCCTTGGTTTGCGAATTTCTCAAAGACAGTTCACTCTGGAGTTCGTATGTCACATTCGCACAAAGCCTCCATTTCTAACAGAAACTGCCAGTGCAGTGGTGGACTGTGCGGAAGGAACTATCCGCCAATTTCAGTTCCAACCTTCAAATACCTATCAGGTCCGACCCAACAAGATAACCAAGATCTTCATCACCCATATGCACGGTGAGTGGCCGGCGTAAGCCCACCGACGCTCACTGGTTAACAAATATTTTGCCAGCTGATCACATCATGGGTATTGTTCCACTCTTGCGAAATGTTCTATTCCCCCCACCCGCTGGATCTCAGCCATCAACCTCGTCTCACCGTGCACTCGTAAGCTTCACATTATCTTGCAATCGCCGCCGTATCTTATCCATATCATTCCAGCCAAAGATAGAAATTTACGGACCCGCAGGCATTCGCACCTTTGTCCGCCAAATTATGAAGATGACGTTCACAAATACAGCTGATAACTACACTGTTCACGAGTTGTTGTCAGAAAATGACCCAGTAACACCTTGCGACCATGCAGATCCCCTTCACGCCGTTTCTCGTTTTGCAATTGCTGAGCAGAATATTTTGCATGTTAATGAAGTGGAGGGCAAGGATATCAGAGCTTCAGCTGATGGTTCGTGGAAAAATATCACGGGTGATTTGGGTGATATCGTTGTCAACGCTGGACCTATTGAACATCGCGGTAAGCTTTTGATTAGCCAAGCAGCGGAGATCTCCACTAAAGCTCATCGATTTCTAAAGATCCATGTATAGGATATGTTTTCACTGAAACGCAGGCGCCCTATAGGAAGATCGTCATTTTAGGAGACACACATGACCCTTCTGCCATCGCGCCGTTATGCATCAATCCGTCACCATCTTTGCTCATTCATGAAGCGACCGACGCACATATCCCAGCACATGCCGATGCAACTGGAAGGCTGGCCAAACGAAGACCCGAGGAGGTGCGGGAGAAGGCTTTACTGAGAGGGCATTCTGTTCCAGAGATGGCGGGTTCCTTTGCAAAACGAGTTGGTGCCGCCAAGCTCGTGCTAAACCATATCGGTGGGAGGTGAGTGGTTGGCCTCCCGGTCCCAACTCTCATAACATTGATGTGGCACAATAGATTTCCAGCTCCTCGCCACTCGCGCGATGGACGCGCGATGGTCATTCGCGAGATTGAACGACAAGCCACACAAGCATGGGACTCTGGTGAACGTGCCATGGCTGCGTGGGACTTCATGCGGGTTTCTATTCCGGTTGCTGAGGACATGGGGTATGGACGAGGAATCGACTCTGGTGAAGGCGAGATCAAAACCGAGGTGCTCGAGGTGGACTTTGATTATCGCAGTGTGTCTGCATCCGGATCTGCGGCGTGGTCGACGACGACGACGACGATCAATACTGAGAGGCATTGGGAGGGAAATCCAAGGAAGAAGAGGAGACCTTGATAATTAAATAAATTACCGGTTTATTTACATGTATTTGCCCACCTGATCTCCCCGTTCCCAACACCTTATCCCCTCCTCCCGACCAACGACGCCCACGACGTTTTTCATCCCGTCCTCATCGTTTACAACAGTCAGCTCCACATTCTCATCGCTCTCTGCCTCTTTGTTTTCCCCGTCATCCGCACCTCCTCCATCGCACACACACCCTCTCCACCTACCCTTTTTCTCGTCTGACCCTCTCATTCTCGTTCTCAACATTTATCCATCATGTCCACTCATGGCCCAATAAACGGTGTAAAGATTTCCCGTGCGTTTCTTCATGCTCCGCATTCTTGTCTCAAAATAATACTAACTTCTATCTCGTTTCCAATCTTGCTCTTTTCTACTCCTCTTTCCCCCCTCCCTCGTTCTCCACTCGATCATCCATACCAATCGTCTGTCATCGATAAATATTTCACACCACGCCCTCTCCTCCAGCCATTGACGACCCTCATAAAGTCGTGAAAGTAATTGCCTCCGACGGCAAGTCGGCAGAGACCAGAGACCTCTCTTATACAAACTGCAAGGTCATCGGAAACGGCTCTTTTGGTGTCGTCTTTCAAGCAAAGCTAGTTGGTACTCCAAAGGATGCGGAGGACATTGCTATCAAGAAGGTTCTACAAGACAAGCGATTCAAGGTTAGTTCCGGATCTATCTACCACGACTGTACTCATCGTCTTTCAGAATCGTGAATTGCAGATCATGAGACTCGTATCCCATCCAAACGTCGTCGACCTCAAAGCCTTCTTCTACTCCAACGGCGACAAGGTGACATTTTACGTGTTTCTTCACCCTTTCACATTCACATTGTCTTTTTTAGAAGGACGAAGTGTATCTTAATCTCGTCTTGGAATACGTCCCGGAAACTGTCTACCGCGCTAGTCGTCATTACGCTAAACTCAAGCAACCCATGCCCATGCTCCAGATCAAATTGTACATGTACCAACTCCTGCGCTCCCTTGCGTATATCCACTCCGTCGGCATCTGCCACAGAGATATTAAACCCCAGAATTTGCTTTTAAACCCTGCGACTGGAGTGCTGAAGCTATGCGATTTTGGTTCTGCAAAGATCTTGGTAGCTGGCGAGCCCAACGTCAGTTACATCTGCTCCAGGTACTATCGCGCTCCAGAGCTCATCTTTGGGGCGACCAACTACACGACTAATATTGGTACGATTGAGTTTTTCTCTTTCTTCCCTTGGATGCAGACCGAGTTATTCGTGCAGACATTTGGTCAACGGGGTGTGTAATGGCTGAGCTCATGCTTGGCCAACCACTGTTCCCTGGAGAAAGCGGGATTGACCAATTGGTGGAGATCATCAAGGTTCTCGGCACACCCTCCAGAGAGCAAATTAAAACGATGAACCCCAATTACATGGAGCACAAATTCCCTCAGATCAAACCACATCCCTTTTCAAAAGTATGTTTAAGTACTGCTAGGGTAGACGCCCAGACACTCATTGGTGCCAGGTTTTCCGGCCCCGCACGGCTCCCGAAGCAATTGATTTGGTGTCCAAGTTGCTGGAATACACGCCAGGCGCTCGACTTAGCGCTATTGAGGCTATGATCCATCCGTTCTTTGACGAGCTTAGGGTTGAAGGGGCGAGGATGCCCAATGGCAAGGAATTCCCCTCGCTATTTGACTTTACACGCGAGGGTGAGTAAGCATATGCTGCTGCGGTGTGGTAACTGACTGACGGAATATTGCAGAGCTCTCGGTGCGACCGGACTTGATTCGGCAGCTCGTTCCGCCACACTGTGAACCGGAGCTGGCCTCGCGGTCAATTGTGTTGGAAACATTTGTGCCCATACCACTGGAGCAACTGAAGATCACATTGGATTGAAGTAGTAGTACTTAGCGTATGAGTAGTCTATTCTTTTTTCTTTCCTTCTTTTTTGCGATACTTTTGCAATCCTTTCGTTTTCTTGAATTGTACACATGTATGTAGCTGGAAATGTGAGAATGTTTGGTGATATGACAGTTGAATTGCGACATTGGGCGTTTGTTTTTTCACAGCCTTGTTCACGTTCTTTAAATAAATCGCCTTGAAAGCGCTCGTTATCTCTCTCTATTACATAGCTTTGTATAAAGTTTCCTTCCAGAATGTCCCTGATTCCCCCATACGTGTGCGATACAATTCCGCCTGCCAGACTTGCCACCTCTGCCCTGCTATCAGACCCTGGACCTGCCTTGATTTTCGACCAGCCCGCCATGTTCACCGACAACGAGCATCAGGATAATGGCTCACCACCGCCATCCCAAGGCCCTCCACCTCGTAAACTTTGCGTTCGTCACCAGAGAATGGCAGACGAAGGCACCAATCTCAAGTTGCAACAGGCATGCACCCCCCTTCTCTTTGCTTACCTGCCGAAAAACTAATTGTTCCGAAATAGTCTCTAGACGCCTTGCCTGTTGAAGAACGGGAAGCCGTCAACGCAGTCTGGTCCAAATTTTCCTCATCGTCACACCCCCGACGCGCTCTCATCCTCCAGGGTCTCCTCACAATGTGTTGTTTCTCCCAATTATCTTTGCTCACCGACCAGTTGGCACACCTCATTCGCATCGATCCATTCGCCATTCTCCCTCGTGAAGTTGGCATAAAAATCCTTGGTTATCTTGACGCCACATCCTTGTGTCGCGCTGCTCAAGTCGCACGTAGGTGGAAGTGTCTTGCCGATGATGATATCCTTTGGAGGGGCATCTGCGAACAACACATTGGTCAAACCTGTCGCAAGTGTGGTTGGGGCTTACCCATCTTGGAGAAAAAACGGAAAACCTATCGCTCCCCTTGTCCTCCTTCATCATCTTCCTCCTCATCGACTTTGACTCTGAAACGCGGCCACGAAGATTCTTCAGATCTCCCTTCTCCGCCCATGAAGCGCCAGTGCTCCGAAACAGACTTGTCATCTCCGGGGCGTTCCGTAGCTTCCTCTTCTCTCATGCAACTTGACGTCTCTTCAACTCTTCTTGCACCCAACCCAGCCGCACCCCAAAGTCTACCAGTCACACGACCCTGGAAAGACGTCTACAGCGAACGTATGACCGTTGAGAGAAATTGGAGGCGTGGCCGCTGTACAGTTCGTACCCTCAAGGGCCACACAGATGGTGTCATGTGTCTCCAGTTTAGCGAAACCCTATCTCACCCAGCCTTTCCCGTGCTAATCACCGGGTCCTACGACCGCACCGTCCGCGTCTGGAATCTCGAGACAGGCGTCGAACTGCATTGTCTAAAAGGCCACACGCGCGCCGTAAGAGCCTTGCAATTTGACGAGGTCAAGCTCATCACGGGCAGCATGGATAACACTATCAAAGTTTGGGATTGGCGTAGCGGGAAATGCATCCGGACGCTAACCGGGCACACCCAAGGTGTTGTATGCCTCAACTTTGATTCCAACGTGCTCGCCAGTGGTAGTGTCGATTCTACCGTCAAGGTATGGAACTTGCGGACGGGAGGTGCATTCACGTTGGGAGGTCATACGGAATGGGTCAATGCTGTTAAATTATGGGATTCAAACCCCAGCAGCTTGCAAACTTCTTCGACGGACACATCACTCTTTGATGTTCAAGGATCATCTTCACCATTGGGAGCTTCGCTCCAGATCGATCCCGGAAAAATGCTATTCTCCGCATCCGATGATGGAACAATCAGGCTCTGGGACCTGACTCAACGGTCGTGCATCAAGGTATTTACTGGTCATGTGGGCCAGGTTCAAAGCATGAAGTTGTTGTTGGCCGACGAATGTGGGGGTGATCCCATAGAGTATGCGATACCCGGAAATGTCGCGTCTCGTTCCGCATCCGAGCAAGCGGTTGACCTTGCACTTTCCTCCCCCCAACCGATGCGCAAGAAACCAATCCTCATCTCAGGTAGTTTGGACAACACGATCAGACTCTGGGATATCGAAACGGGCCAGGTTATCCGGACGTTCTTTGGCCACATTGAGGGCGTCTGGGCTGTTGCGAGCGATAAGCTCCGTTTGGTCAGCGGTAGTCATGACCGAACTATCAAGGTACCACGAGTTCGACTGTTGAATGATTCATAATACTAACTCGAATTTTCGCAAGGTTTGGTCTCGAGAAGAAGGTCGTTGTATGGCGACTCTTGTCGGTCACCAAGCTGCCGTTAGCTGCCTCGCTCTTGGAGAGGACAAGATCGTTTCCGGGAGCGATGACTGTGATATTAAAGTGTGGAGTTTCAGTTAATGATTTGTTTTGCTTCTTCGTCGCTTTCCTTGTATCATCCTCGTCGTATGTTTTGTTAGTTGCTTTCTGTTTATCTGCCAATCAATTTCACGAATTTTGTCAACGCGATGCAGAGCTAGAAGAAGTATAAATTCGGGATGACGGGGTAACTGATATACTGTGGGTATAATATAATACACGTAACGCTGGACCCAGTCTTCCAATCCAAGTACTCAAACCGCTCAAGCTCGTCAAGACCCGCGTTCCAAAGGACTCACGGTCGTATGCAAAGCGGATATTGAGACACGCAGGGCACGCCGAGGCTGAAAAGTTAATTGAGGACGACGGTCAATGCTTCGAGGTCTTCGTCGCTGGTGACCAAATTCAAGTGGTTCTAAAACCGAGGCTCCGGAGCTCGCGCCTCCTAAGCTTGAAATCGAGCACCTCGCCCGCTTCTAGGGCGATGCTCTTTTCCATGAGTTCGTCATCCGTATTTGCGGTGGGCTGCACTCCCTTGAGTTGATTCTCAAGGTAAGCAAGCTGGCCTTGGTGACGATATTGTTCCAAATCGGGAGGTTTGTAATGCAGTATTTCCTTGATCCTGTCCATGAATTTAACATATCGCTGAAAGTTGATCAATGGATGGCCTTGATCTTCAACCACAATCGGGTTCTGTTTTAAAACTGAATGCAAGTCCTTCAAATGCACAGCTATCGATCAGCAAGTCAGTTTCGTTGTCTTTCAATCAAATCAAACAAGCATTCCTGACCTAACCAGGGAATGCAGTAACCACGCATCTTCAGGTCATCGACTTGATTCAAGACGTCGTGATAGCCACGATGATTTGAGGAGGGACTAAAAACGTCTTCCAGCTCATCTAGCTTACGTCTCATAGTCGGAGATAAGTCCGCTTTGGTGCGCTTCAGGCGTTCGATAGGCGACGAATGAAGTGCAATCCCAATTGCAATGAGAGACCCATAATTTCTGAGTTTCCGGCATTCCTGAAAAGTAAAATTCAATTAGTTGATGATGTGTGCCACCCACTGATGGACCTGCTTACATGTGCTGTGTTCAAAAAGAACTTGAGGACTTGTGTTCGTAATTCGGCGGTGTCATAATGCAATACAGACTGTTTGACCCAAAGAACGATCTTGTTGTTCACCGAACATGCAACTTCGACACTGTTGGAACCAGCATGCCTCCTGAGATGAGCTATATAATCACAGGGAACAATAGCCTTGTACTTGTCACCCTCCAGAAGGGTAAGTGCAATTGCGAGATCGCGGGGAGTAATGTCTGAAGCTTGTAGCAGCTTTCTTCCGGGAGACAGTGGCGGTGACGTTAACAGATCGTTTTTTGACTGTGGAGCCAAGTTTAGCAGACCCTTTCAAAGGAACATTTGATTTGCTTACCCTTTCGTCAATCATCTGTAACAAGTCGCCAGCTTTATCGACCATTGTTGATGATGTTTTCACGCGAATGGCTACTTCACAGAAGTTCCTCATTTGCCATAGGAGTTGCTGATCGACGGGAAGGTGACGGCTTGATAGCCAGTACATGATAACCATAAAGATGCTATGACCTCCGTCAGGAAGGTTGATGTTTGCGAAGAAGAGGACACAAACTTGTATTGCATGGCTACGCGATCCTCAGGACGAACAACTTCAACCATTTCTGCCTCGTGAAACCGACGAGCAAGTATTCCAAACAGATCTTCCGGTGTTGTGAAATCGGCACATGCCGTTAGAAGCGTATCGCGAAATTCAAGATCCCTTCTCAAGTCTCAAGAATGACATTTAGTTCGATCCAGTTCATCGCCATTGCGTTGGATAACACTCACTAAAATTGTTAATGAGTCGCCCAACGAGACCTTCCAATGTTCCGGAAATGACATTTCCGGTTGTACCGAATTTGACGATGGACCTTGAATCTGTCACGGCTTCTCTAATAGGCCCAGACATTCGAATACCTGAATCAGTCGACATCACACTCCGAACCGTGGACGGGTAATAGTCGGAAGAGAATGATCTTTGGTTGAGAAAGTGGGAGCCATATCGAGATGGAGACGAGACAGAGAGGTGTGGTACTTCCAACTTTGGAGGTCCAGCTGTTTGAACACGTGATGCGCTTCGGGGAGACATCGGGGTGGGCACATCCGCACCAGTAAATTCAATATTGAATAACGGGGGCCTCCCGTCTTGTTGAGGAGCTTGCCTCGCAAAAGGTGAAGACCCGTTGTAACCCTTTGAGGTGGGAATGGATATCGGTGAAAGCTCATCCATCTCTGAAATCTCATTGCCTGAAATGAAGGGAATTTTGAGCTGCTGACCAGACTTTGAAGATCTGAAACTCGATTGGCTGTCGCCTGTTGAAGGCCGCGAAGGGAGGGAAAATATAGAACGGCGTTTCGCTAAAGGCCTGGATCCTGTTAGCATGTATGTGTTAGTCACAAAAGGGGGAATAACAAATTTATTTCCACCAAATGAATTCGGCATTCCCCTGATTTCCAAGAGTTTATCCTTTACTTCTTTTATCGAGGGTCTTGCGTCTGGTTTCTTTGTCCAACATTTGCGCATTAACGCCCAAACGTCATCAGTGAGCCCAACAACCCGGCCTGGTCGCTCGGGAGTCTTCCCATGGTCTATCTCACGCATGACTACAATGTCCCGACTTATGTTGTTGAATGGCTGGTGACCGGAAAGTATTTCCAGGCAAACCATGCCAAAGCTCCATACATCAGAGCATGTAGAGGCAGGGGCCGTTTGTTGCAGGAGCTCCGGGGCAAACCAGCGAGGGTTAATGCTAGCTGAGGAGGTCATCCCTTTTCCACACTGTGAGATACCTTGGGCCCCGTTCTGTGACTTTTTTAATTGTGAAAAGCACTCACATCCTCCAAGAACTTCGACAGACCAAAGTCGCACAAACAGGCCGAGCCATCTTTTGCTATCAAGACATTGGCCTGAAGATGGTCAGTCACTATGAATTGAACGGTTTGTTATGCGCTTACACCCCTGAGATCACCATGCACAATGCCTTCGTCATGAAGGTATTCCAGACCTTGCCATGTGAATGAGAAGATGGATACAAACCAATGCGCACGACCTCCATACCATGTGCAACTTCAGTTAGAAGTTTTAGTCGATCAACTTGAGGATACTTGTTAACATAGGAAATGGCAGTTCCGTGGTCCATCCAAGGGCTAACCTGAGAGAGGATGTCGAAATAAACATCGTTATAGGGTCGTAATTGCTTACGGAGTACAGGTGTCCCCCAAGACGGACAATGCCGTACAAGGAGAGCACATTTGGATGTCTAAGAGCCCTCCAAATTGTAACCTCGCGTTGAAATCGCTATAAATCGCAATGACACTATGGAATAATCGCTCTTGGTGGAGCCACCTACTCTCTGTACTTCTGGATCGTTTGCAAGGGCCCTTGGGAGCCGCACCGCAACCTTGATAAGTATCGACATAAATATACTTCACGATTGATCATCAAGATTGACGAACTTGTTCCTTATCTAACCACTGACCTGAAAATTCTACAGGATGAGGCACCAAAGAGTCTGATGTAGAATGTTACTTGCCCTTGTATACATCATTCGAGGCACCTTTGGCAACAACTTCGCCGGTATTAACAGTTACCTGTCCAGTCACTAGGAATTAAGAATCATCAACCGGATAATACTGCGAGGAGGAGGCACAGATTTTACAATCGGTCAACGGAGGTAGCTTGTCAGTCTTCTCGTGTAAAAGCCACAATCCTTCCCGGAAAGACTGCTCTTGTATCGGTTGCAAGGATGGGTCCATCAACTCCTAAAATGGAGATGAGCTCCAAGGTTGCAAACGGAGAGGTACGGTGCGGACCGTTTGCAGGCTCTGCATTATCTCCTCGACGGGACGAGATGATTGCATATTCAGAAGAACCCTCATGTCATCAGTGCTTTTTACAATCGTCTGGAGGACTTCTCGTATTTCTTCTTTGTCACGCTCTTGGATGGCTTGCGATTCCATGTGTCCACGAGCAAGCTCCATGTTTATACGGACCTAGAGTTGAATTAGCACGTACTGCCATAAAGACGCAACGAAAGCGCGCACGTTGAACTTCATCATGGCTGCATCTATATCTCGATGCAGCCTATCGATCCCATCTTTAACTTCGTTTTGCTGAAGAAAACTCTTGAGGCGATTCCATGATGCCCATTCCTTCACCTTTCTATCGATGCGACGTATAACACTATTGTCGTAATCAATCAATGTAGTTGTATAATATTTGAGATTACAAACACTTCGACCTCGTCCGCGACTTCAAGCGCCCTGTTGCCTTCCAAGCCTTCTGAACCTTCCCGTAACGCGACCATCAGGCTGACGCATCGGTTGCTCATGTCTTTGCATTGTTGCTGTGAGCCGTTAGATGAGTTGAATGAGATTTCAGAAAAACAAACACCTTGTATAATTTAACACTTTGCAGATTGGCGTATGTAGATGTTACTGAGGCCAACTTAATGAGTTTTTGGAAATAATAGGACGAGCTGAAGACACACAGATAGTCACCCCGGCGTGAAGACCAGGTACACCAGACAGGGCGAGAAGATCTTGCAAACTCATGGAAGGGGTGGATTGCGAGGGAAGAGAGGGAACATGGCGCTGCGTCGACAATCATAAGAGGCGGGCCCTGGCAGTTCATTTTCAGAGCCCCCTGAAAGCTGTGCGAATCTAAACGAGTTTGAACTCATTAACGGGCGACAAATACTATAAGGTAGCGTGGCCGAGTTGGTCTAAGGCGTTGGATTTAAGTTCTTCTTGATTCCCAATGGGCGAAAGTCCGCGCGAGTTCGAACCTCGCCGCTACCAAGCTTCATTTTCTTTAACACGCTACTGTTTTACATCCAAACAGTACATATGTCGACCATTCATTCAGAAAATCTTTGGGGAATAACAATTATGCATAGGGTTAGCGAGAATCAACAGAAGCTCACCTCACTAATGCTGTCATGGCCACCAGGTCCCTGCCTAACTCTTCGCAAGTATCAACCCCACGGGACAAGAGGCTTCAAGATCCGTCACTCACCTGCGGGTTGGCTTGAAGTCCTGGGGGACTTCGGGGTCCCAAAAGTTTGACATGCTACTGTTCCCTCCTGGGTTCGTTCGAACACGTCTAACAATAAAAAGGGCACTTGATAAAAGGTCATTTAAGGATGACGTTGCGGGAAGACTAGCCTGCTTGGCTTGACAGTTGATGTAAAATTGATTCCTGACTCGTCCTGTTCCTGCGGGTCTGTTGCGGTAGCGGCGGGCGCAGCAGAAGCTGTGCTTGCCTAATGTTGTCGTAAGCGTTGGTCGGATCGAAGGAGGCATGGAGATCAGACCTGTTCATCAACCGGTTTGGGTGGGGCCATCGAAAGAGCATCACCCTCATCGTCGTGCGCAAAGATATCCGTGTGAGGACCTCCTGGCACCGTCCGTACTCGTCGAGTTGGCTTGAATGCATCCGTTGCAATTGTCTGTTCTGGAATATATATATATATATATTGAAAGTCACTATCCATACTCGGATACCTTACCTTTCACCTCTGTGGCTTCTTCCAATGCCAATGTGGGTTCAGAAAGAGTGCCGAATTTGGCATACCCTGATTCATTTCAGTACATTGGTTTCAAGCGGAGGAAGGAACATACGAGGAAGCTTCCCGATATTATTGAAGTTGGGATCAACAGTTGTACCAGTGTATCTGTATCTCAGCATCAGCTTGATGTAACACTAGGCAGGGCCACCATAACTGACTTGAGAAATTCGATGAGGCTACGTTTGGTGAATACAATGCTTGTAGAGTCCCAGTCGAGCAATCCTGGGGGATTAACGCGTTGGTGAAGCTAATCTTGAACCAATACTTTGAGCACCCTCACCGAGGCTGGCTGGCCAGTCTTTCTCCTTTGATGCGTTAATGGTGTTTGATGGTGTAAAACTGTGGGATATTGAACACGAATATCCTAGTTCAAGAAGGGGTACATACGTCGATGCCATGATGTTAAGAAAGAAAGAGTTAAAAGATGACCCTTGTCGTTAAGCCGCGATGCCATGCCAAATTTAGTGATCAAGCCATCACCCAATGCGCCCAATCCTCAAAAAGCTACCTAAAACCATATTCCCCTCGCTATGCAGGACGACGCACACAGCAACCTACTACACTCAACCATCAGCTGCCTACTTTGACCTCAATCGACAGAGTGAGCTTGCAGTATCCACCACCCCAAGAGACATTTCCAAAGAACAACGAGAATCGTTGCATAATGCGTTGCGCATCGACCAGGCAGGAGAAATCGCAGCAAATTGGATTTACAAGGGCCAATTGGTCGTTTTAGGCCATGATCCAACAGTAGGACCTCTTATTCAGGTGCACTTTTACTCTTGAAGTGGGGTATTCATAATCAAATCATATTCACGTTAATCGTAGGAAATGTGGCACCAAGAACAAAAACATCTTACGGTCATGGACAGATTGCAAGTTCAGCATCGCGTACGACCTACCGTATTAAGTGAGGTCGCAAAGGTCGCGGGTTTTGGACTCGGAGTCGTAACTGCTCTCATGGGTAAGGACGCAGCAATGGCATGTACAGAAGCGGTGGAAACCGTCATAGGCGAACATTATGATGAGTGTGTTGATATTGTGTGCATCCGAGGAAATAAAACTCATAACGAACTTAGTCAATTGAAGGAATTTGAATTGCTGCCTTCCGAACACCCAAGCATCCCACTTTTGAGAGACGTTGTTCGCGAGTTCAGGGACGACGAGTTGGAACATCTCGACATTGCAGTAGAAAATTTCTCACAGCGGGCACCGGTGCATGCGTTACTTAGTGCGGTGGTTGGAGCCGGCTGCAAGGTGGCAATAGAGATGTGCAAGAGAATTTGAACGGGTCTATTCGGGTTTCGGGCATATGCAGAGTATCGAACTACGGGGAGCTCTCTGCTTTGGCGCTTAATGATTGACCCTTGCGCTTCCCATTCCAGTTCCACCGTTGCTAATCTGAATTAGCAGAGGTCAAATTCAAGGGGAGGCGAACATACGTTTGTGAGGTCTGTGATGTAGTAGAGCAGTACTGGAACGATGATGAAACCGTAAAGGGCAGTCCGTGTGGTCCGCCTTGTCCACCGAAAGTTCAGGTATGCACTTTCACGCTTGAGAGGGATAAGTTGGGGATCTGGACTGGCAAAGAGATGCGCACCATTACGTTGAAACGGTCAATAGCAGGGTCCGGCTGGAATGGTGGGATGAATAAGGGCGATTCAATAGGATTGTAGATGTCATACCTTGACGCATCCTTAGGAAAAGTGCGAGTCAGCGTCGGCGGCGTCGTGAACGTCGTAGTCCGAGGTTGTCCACTCACCATGGCCCATGACGGAAAATATCAAGTCTTGTTTGTTTTTTATTTGTCTCACTCCTTGTCTCTTACTACCATCATCATGGCTTACAACAGAGAATGGGATAGAGGCAAAGACGCAGCCTGGTCAAATCAACAATCATGGCAAGGTGTGAAGCCTCGGGGGGAGGATGATTACCATGGCGATGGCAAACGACGAAAATTCAACAACGGTGTTCGTATCCACATTCTCCCCCACTAGCCACACCTGACGCTTTCCAGGCCTACGACGTCTCTCAAGTTCGCGAAGAAAATGCTTTTGGTCAGGGCTATGGCCACAAACAAGCTGAGCAGCATCAGGATTATGCACAGGACGACCGCTTTCGGGGGGCAGCTGGTTTCGCGAAGAAACGGCTTGCGCCTTCAGAGCCCAGTCCACACGTCATTTTTTTAGGGCTAGATCCGGACTTCACAGAGGCCGATGTCTGTCGACTCTCATGTTTGTCTGTCATAATACTTGTGACTGAAGCCCCTTCCTACCCAGCTTCAGGCCTACCTCACGTCTAACGGCTGCAGTGTCGAAACGGTCACAATCATTCGAGATAGATCATCAGGCACTTGCATATTCGTATTTGCTGTTGCACTTCCATTGACATACTTCGCCGTTGGATTTAAAAGGTACTTCCAAGGGATTTGGCTTTGCCCAATTTGCAAGTACGGAACATGCACGTGCATTCGTAGACCCCCTGTTCCCGTTCGTCCAGATGCCCCCACCGGCATCTCACGGGGCTTCTGCCAGTGCGACGTTTTATAAGGCTCTCGAGACAGGCATACCTCATAATGGACGAAGAGTCAAGATCGACTATTCTCAAAGTGCCACCCCTCATGACAAAGGAAGGATGAATCGTGGCAACATGAACGATGGTACTCGTGATATTGGTAATAGTCAAGCGCCTGTGCTATTGTTTCGGGGGCTCGATCCGCTCTCCGGCCCTCAAGCCATCTATCAGGCCATGTTATCATCGTCTGGTCCTAGTACGGAGGGTGCGAAGGGAATGAAAAGAATCATTCTCATAAAGGACAAGGTAACAATGGCAAGCTTTGGGTTTGCATTTGTCGAGTTCGTCGACGTACAGGCAAGTCATCGACTGGGTGGTGTTGGTGTAATCTCATCAGTTGTTTCTATTTGACAGTCTGCATCGACTGTTCTTGCCGCAACGATGTCACCCCAGATACATCCTTCTGGTTTCCGTATTTCGGATCGCCCCGTGGCCACATCATTTGCTCATCCTTACTCATTTCAACCCGTTACGGATTTCCTCTCTCGCGATGACGCTTGTCTTACATCGTCAATAAGCCTGGGAGGCGTTGAAGACACTTGGGTTCGATATTGGGATGAAAGTTCGACAGTCGCAGTACTTGAATTCAAAGTCGACGCCCCAGTGCAGCCTATTGCTCTGGTCAAGGAGAAGAAGGAGAAAAAGAAGGCGAAAGGTATTGTTCACTGAACATTATCCTCAAACCCTCGAAGGCCTTGGCTTATGACGGAACCAGGTGAACCTGATGCGAAACCTTCAAGAGCCCTGCCAGCCCCTTCCGTTTTACCTGTTTCCGACAAGCCAGTGACCCTGAGCTTTAGCAAAGGACCCATTAAAGCCACAGGTATGTTATTCGTGCTTGTTCACCTCTGTTAAGTTGATTCACTCTCTTGCCAGCGAAACCTTTAGTTCCTGGGTTTTCAATGGATGACTCTGGTGCCACTCATTCAGATGACGGTGGACCTGACGAGACTGGATCAGATCCGAATAAACGTATGGATCTCGTGATGTTTGCTTTCTTCTTCCTTTTTTAAATGTTGTTTTTACAGCACTCGTAGTCAAGAAAGTTGCACCGCTGATTGCAAGCAAAAAGGTGACGCAGACAAAACTTAACCTACACGAGATGCTCCTCACCTCGCAGCGCTATTGGCTTACGATGTTATTTCTTTAGATTGTTAACAACATCAATAAATGGAACCAAGTTCAGGAAGAACTTACACACAGCACAAGCGCCTCTATTCCATCCCCTGCTCTGGTGATCTTTCTTTGGCTTTCTCTGTGATCCATGGGAGTTCTTTGGTTCTTACGTTTGGTATCCTCCACATGCAGGCGGTACCCTTGAAAACTGCTTCTGGTCATTCCACAGTTTCGTCTTCCAAAGCCTCAAATGAAGGTTCCCCGCCTCCAGAGGAAGAGTTCGAATTTTCCGATGTCACGTCGTTGATGTGCATACTATGCGCACGACAGTTCAAATCAATGGACCAACTGAAACGCCATAACAAAGAATCGGATTTGCATAAGGCTCGCAAACTTCTGGTTGCTACTATCTCTTGACTCATGGGGCTGACGTATTTTTTGTTCTTCTCCCCTTTGGCTGGCCACTTCGACGTTGACAGAAGAACTATAAGGATCGGAATTTACGGGACGTGGCGCGTCGAAAGGTTGCTTTACGGAAAGCCAATGCACCTACGGAGCAACCCAAATATCGCGACCGCGCCTCTGAACGCCGAATCTTGTTCAATCAACCTGATACACCCCTCCCTGAGAAGGACGGCAATACCATTGGAAAGAAAAGACAAGCTGAAGGCCCGCCACGACCTCCCACTCCCCCGCCGCCGCCTGTACACCCTGGACAGGACGAGAGCAACGTTGGCAATAAATTGCTGAAGATGATGGGTTGGAAGGAGGGGAGCGGACTTGGAACCGATGGAGATGGTCGCGTCGATCCGATGTTTGTCTCCTGACCTCTGATATACTGACATTGAACTGACGTTGTTCGAAAGCCAAACTGCCATGTATGCTCAAGGCGTTGGATTGGGCGCAAGTAAAGGCAAAGAGATTGGAAAGTACTCCGAGGGGTACTCGGGTTATGTATCAATGGCTCAAGATGCGGTACGTGTGCTGTGTGCTATCTTGCGTTAAATCTAATCCTCGCCTTTTAGGCACGTGAAAGATACGGAAATTGAGTTGGCATTGAAAGATGTATGCAGATGTCTTGCGAATCTTTGTTTTGCATAACTATTTGGAATCGATTATGTTCTATGTGGGCATAGATAGTGTATAATGTGGTATAAGTACGGTACAGTGTTCAGTCCTAACGAGTTGAACGAGTGGATCTGCTGTGAGAGGACCTCACGCAAGAATGAAAGTAACCAGGCCTGCCAATGCCGCCGCAAGCGAGGAGAATTTTGAGAGTGCGGACGCTCCACTCTTTGCCGTTCCAGTTGCGGAAGCCGATGAACCAGTAGCGGACGCAGCGTGGGTCCCTGGAGACCCTGAAGACGAAGCTGGTAGTAAGGTCGAAGTAACAACTGCGGAAGTGGGCGCAATAGAGATCGTGGCAGTGCCCTCTTCGACGTCAATGTAACTGGCCTGAAAACGGTGTCAATCGGATGCAGAAATGAATATAAAAGACGAGAACAGACTGCAACAAGAGGTCCCAAACCGCTATCCTAAAAGGCCGTAAGAGATAAACTCTGGAGAAACTGGAAAACGTGCAAACAAACCTTCACATATGCATTGAAGTCCATGCGTGAGACGCCCAAAGTTTTGGAAAATGCTGCTGGAGCAGTAAATGTTGAAGGTTGCGCATATAAAGCCACAACATATCTGGGAGAAACATTTCAGATCTAGTTGGCTAAGGCATAGCTGAATTACGACGGCACCTGTGAGGACCGCTTCCCGCAGCGGGACCGGGGCCGGCGTAGGGCGTGATGGCGTTTCCACCAGCAATGGTCACGGTTGAGCCTAAATCATGCAGTTCAAGTCCCAAGTTTATAGTTGTAAGAAAAATATTGACGTACCTGTTACCTCGACACCGTTTACAAGCCAGTGGCGGTTGACACCATCTGGCAAGGTGCTACCAACTGTCTCTGCGTCGAGCATTGCCAAGGTGTACGTCCCAGAGAAGGAAATTGAAGAGTTCGCGGGAATGACCGTCAGGGTGGGAGCAGCAGAAACCTCTGATGATCATAGTGAGTTGGGAGAAAACTTCATGCTAGTTCGGTAGACACACGCGTAATTTTGAGGGCTTGACCGGGTGTTACATTTCCAACGCCTAGATGGATGAATGAGAAAAGAATGCCACGGTGATGTGATTATTACCAGCATAATTGAGGTCAAGAAGGGCGGAGGGCGTGAAAGACGTAAGGAAATCGGGGACAATATGGGACTGGGTGAAGTGAGCTTCAATGGCCTTGATGTCGAGTGAGTGGTCCTGCGCGGCTACGAAGGGGAGAAGAGCGAGCGAGAGAAGGACTGGCAGAGAAACCATAGTGAAAGTGGGGAAGAAAGAGAAACGGGGATGGAAATCAAAAAGAACGCTGCTTTAAGTAGGATGCCAGACTAATTTATGTAAAATAAATGCATTACAAATAAATTAAATCTATTCTACCTCAGCCTGTGTCTCTGATTTAGAGTCCTCCTGGATTTCTGTAGAGAGAGGTGACCCTGGCATTTCTCGCTCACTGCCTAATCCCCTCTCGGTTCGACGTCGACGTCTACGTTGGGTGGCAGCCACAGTCGGTGAAGCTGGCGGAGCAGCAACAAACCCGTCTGATTGTAGCCGCGCCAACATATCTCGCGCGATATCTATTGTATCATGCCTGAGTGTTGCGTCGACGGTGAGTGTTGGCAGTGCCGACGAGCGAGTCTCGGCAACAGGACGTCGGCGTGCAGTTCTCCGACCCACGATGTCGCCATTTCGTAGCTTGTCCAACAACGTCTCCAGCACGTCATCGCCCTCAACTACGCTCGCACTCTCAAGTGCCTTCTGACGGTTAGCTTTATTTTCCTCCATCGCCGCCCTACGCTTCTCGAAAGCTGATTTTTCCTCCGCTGCCGTTTGGTTGTCGGCTTTGCATTTCTAAATTGGACTGGTCATCTCTTGTCCACAATGGCATCATGCATATGCCTGCCTACCTTGTACGACGTGACAAAGGTCTTGAAGATGCCGTAAAATTCTGAGGACGACATGTTCTTGTCCTCTTCTCCATAATAGTTAATGGCATCGGTAAACGTCGTTTCGGCGTTTCCCACATCGTCCACCAAATCTTCCAGGGACTGATTCGACTTGGTGACGAATGCCCACATTTGTTTCCCGTACTTATCGTTCTCGTCCAAATCAGCAAAATGCTCTCCTAATTCCTGTCGGATCCGTTTGAGACCCTCGCGCAAATCCGTCAGACCTTTCCTAACATCTTGCAGGTTGACTACAATAAAATGTAAGTTTTCGGCTGCGGCTCGGAAAACGTGTTGGGTACCTCGATACGCTTCAGCGGGCTTTTCCAATTCGTCCAAGAAATCTTCCATTTCCGGAAAATGTTTCGAGATCGTTCTTTCCAGGAAGTGAAGCAGTGTTGTATTATTGACTGATTTGGTGTCTACCAGCTAGTTCTCACCGTCAGAAAATAGATCTTAAAAAAGGAAAGAAATTGGATATGTACCTTGTTGATACTGCTGACTCGGAAGCCAAAAGCACCGCCCTTGATGCCTGTCCCATTCATGTAGTTTCCAATCAAAAGAATGAGCTTCATGGGCGATATTCAGCCAAAAGAAGACAAACAAAAGAAAGAAGGGTGGCTTACATTGAGTAGCTCTTTAAAGTGTTGGGCATCCAAGAGCGAACGGCCAGCTGCTGAAAGTTTCTTGGCTCCCTAAATGCGCGTCATGACGATGATAAAAGTAAAGTGTAAAATGAAGACGTACCTCATCCAGCAATGACCACGTCTCTTCAAAAGATACCTTGTACAACATCCCTTCGATACGCGGACCCAATCGATTGATCTGTATAAGTTGTACCATCAGACGGTCGGCGGTATGCAGTCCGGCCAGTTCTTCCGGGTCCGCATTACGATAGACGTTCAGCTTTCCAACCTAACCGACGATCAGCTTTTCGATTCTAGAAACAAGACGCGAAGAGTGACTTGTTCAGGGGACGGGAGAACAGGCTTGAGCTCGCTCAAAAAACCTTGCGTACATAGCTCTTGATCGAATTGCTGAATCTTGCGAGCAATCTCTTCTGGTTCAAGCCTCTTCACCCGTTGCATGAGAATTTCTAAACCACATGACAGTCTGCAAACGAACGAGAGGGGGAACGCCACTCACCAACGTGCTTCTTAGTTTGGGGGTCCAAAATACTCCTCAGCTCGGCACGCTTCTGCCGTGCTAATGCCAAAGATCAGCACAAAAAGAAAGCAAACCGATGGCCTTACCCATGAGATTTATGACAAGCTGCTTGGCCTTGAAATCCTCCTCCATCTCCATCCATACGCCGTCCATCTGGAGTTTTTGGAGCATTTCCTTCTCCTGCTGCGGCTTGTCGTCGTTCCAGAGTGTTTTGACTACTTGCTGCTGGGGGAGCTTGTCCCACTGGAGTTGCTTCATCTTCGTGCTGGGTGTTATGGGCATTTCTTTGCGAGCGGAGAAGAGATAATTTAGATTGGAACCAAGCAAAGATGTCCGCGCAGAAGTTCGAGTGGAACTTGAAGCAGATTTGAAACCCGGTCCTGGGGGTGGCGGGGGTGGAGGTGGCAGAGGGATGCCGCTCGAAGACGGAATGATCCCTTTGAAACCTGGAGGAGGGGGAGGGGGAGGGGGAGGGGGCGGTGGTGGTGGAGGAGGAGGAGGAGGAGGAGGAGGAGGAGGAGGCGGCGGCGGCGGAGGTGATAAGCCATTCGGTACTTCCTCGGCTGGAGGTAAGAGCCCGGGGGACGGCAAGGGACTTCGGTCTTCTGGTGGCAATGACTTGCCTTTCGCCAGAAAGTGTTTATTAAGTGCCTCGGAGAAAGATACGGGCGCAGGTGTCCGAGAGTTACTAGTTGAGCCCTCAGAACTGATGGAAGTAATGACAGTGTCCTCCGTCCCATCTGTAAAACCGCTCCTTGTTGACTGGTCGTATTCACTTTCGTCATCATTCACGGGTGAAGAAGAACGGCTTATATCGCTTTGGTCAATTATTGTACCATCATCAGACCTAGGAGCGAGCAAGGCGTTAGATTGAAAGATGTCTCCGCCCAAAGGCGGGCGATGAGTACGTCGCGGGGACCCTCTGATACTCCGAGAGCTGGACCCGCCAAGTTGGGGTGAGTACTAGTCGAAAGAGAAAGTAAATGATGTCCAGAGCAGCGGAAAAAAGGAGTTTGTACTCACAAGTTTCGCACCAGCGACTAACTGTTGTTGAATTTGCTCTTGGGCGTCAGCCTCTTCCGCATCCATAAACTGCGACACACGTCCATTCTCGTCGACGATCACCTTTCCGCTACCCTGCGTGTTAGGCAATGACGTCTTCACACTTCCCAGTGCTGCAGGTTTCTTCCTTAAGCTAGACTTTCCAGGCGTTGCCTCAACATCTTCCTCCTCATCTTCCCCTTGATCCCCAGATTTCTTTTTTCGTTGTGAACGACCGTTCCGGCCTTCAAGAATGCTGATGGTCTTATGTCTCTGGAAATTTCTCTCCAATTTCTCAACCAGGGTCTTGCGGTCGAGAGTTCCCCCATCAAGAATTGTATCCACCCCTTTCCCCACTTCCTTCAGCATTCTAAATAGTTCCATGATCTGAGCTTCAAGTTGAGAGATTTGCTCTTCGTAGCCTGCTTTCTGAGTCTGAAGTTGTCCTTGAAGCCTTGAGGTTGTCTCCCGAGAAACGTTGAGTTTTTCCTCCATCTGAGTAATCTGCGCTTTAAGCCTTCCAATAAGTCCTTCCTGGCCTTGTGCTATCTCCTCTTCTAAAACTTCCTTCTCCAACTTCAATCTCATTGCCATTGCCCGGGCCTCTGCGGCTTCGTCCTCTGCAGCTTGGTAGCGATCCGCCTCGTTAAATTGGGCGATGATTCGCTCGACAGAGTGGCCCATTCGCTGCTCCGCACCGGCTAATTTTTTGTCTAGTACCACATCTGTCACAATTGAATCCAGAAGTTGATAATAATGCACCATTGGCTGGCCTTCTTCTCGAATGAGCAGGAGATGTTGCATCATCGATAAAAAATAATCTTTTGCCTTGGTGCCGTCCGTCTTAGCAGAAATGGCGTTGTAAACGTCTTGAGGATCGTTCAGGTTTTTTAGGATTGCTTCATCCAGTCGTTCCCTCAGCTTCCTCTCATCCTCAGCCAAAGACGCCTGCAAATTCTTGAGTTGAATTTCAATTCCAGCAAAGCCAAAATCGTGACAAAGATCCATGATACGCTGCAAACCGGCGGTGTCCATCATTGCGCGATGGTGTAGTCGCAAATCCAGATCGTCGATGTAGTCGAGGATACTATTGATGAGGACTAGGTTAGACAGCTACATTAGAGCAAGGGATAGATGAATGATGAGTGTTGTGTGAACTGCGAAAGGACGGACCGCGTAATCATTCAGAGAGCTATCTATCCCGCCTGCACGCTTCACTTCCTCACTGGCTCCCACCAAGCTGCCCATCTTTCCCCTGCCAGACAAAGACTGCTCCATGGACTTAAACCAAAAGTTGTAACAACCGCCCCCTTCATTATTGGAGGAGCTCAGGGTCTCAAGCGCGGTTACCACCAGACTGTGGGCTTCGCCCCCGTTCCAATATGTCAGAAAAGTGAGAACATCCAGGAGAGTTCTTCTCGTCGGTAGGTGTGATGTGTTCAAGGAAGAGGCTATTTGCGAAACGATCGAGTTGTGGGTTAATGCTTCTCTTGCCCCCACCTTAATGTCATAAGTTCAACCGCAAGCCAATAGGTTCAATTAAGCAGACACACCGGAGTATTAAAGATGTGCCTGATACATTTGGCGACCTCGTACTCCAATAGAATGTCTGCCTCTCGTCTAGGAACATTACTGGGGGTGAATTCAAGTGGAACGAACCCAACATACCGTGAAGTACCCTTGCGACTCAGGTGCATAAGTGTTTGTGCTAGCACAGAGGTTCCGCGTATCGATATAAAGTGATGAAACCAACTGAATGGAACACTCAATATTTCATTATGAACATTTCTAGTTGTACGAACCTTAGCTCTTTACTCCTCAAAGAAACCAGTAAGCTTCCGGCTTGCTTTGCCATTATTGTTTTGTCAAGGAATTTCTTGAGGTACCATTCGGGAGACTCTGCCATAATCGCCGCAGGTTGCCCCGTTTCGTTCTGCTTCCTAGATTGTTCCTCTCTCGCCCTTTCTTCTTTCCATCTTATATGTTCGTCATTGAACACCATGTGCCATTTTTGGTCAATTGAAGGAAGATTTAAATCACCGAGATCGCGAGTTCGCTTTACTTTTTCAAATAGAGCTTCGATCTCTTCTTCCGAGTCTGGACGCGGGAAATTGAACGAATCACCAGCGTGGTGTCGATGATAGAAGTGGGATAAGTGTGATCCTCCCTCGGATGAGAAAGAAGCGGCGTAGTGGGAACCTCGTTTCGTTTCGGACCTCGTGGTCATTCCAGATGTAGGTCTTACAGTTGCGGCGGCGGAGTCAGATGGAGCGAATTGACCAAAGTCTGCGAGGTTTGAGTTTCGAGATGATGACGAGGAAGCCTCGCTGTTTCGAGCGCGAGATGTCTGGGGCGTATAGATCGCCGTTGTCGACAGAGGTGTCATGTATTCGTCATATAGGGTTGAAGAATCGGCCGTTGAAATGGATGTGCTTGGAGAACCCTGTCGCGTAGATGGATGTTGATCATAGGCTCTCTCTCTCTCTAGCTTGCTGCGCTGCAGGGTGAATTTATTGAGCTCCGTTCCTGAGGTAGTGAGGGCAGGGTTTGTATTTGGAGCCGATATACCTCGAAGACCCTGGTTGACGGTCGCGACTGGTATAGGCGAACGAGGCGGTGGCGCAAGCTTATCGTACGGAACCGATCGCTCATTGAGGTCTTGTCCTGATACTGATGATTGACGCGGGCGGGCTTTCTTGCGACCGAAGATACTATCCATAGCAGAACGAACAAGAGATCATACAGGTCGTAACAGGTTGAATGGAGCTCGGAACTACCTCTAGCAGTCGAAATAGGCGAATTTAAGTTTCCTCGTTGGTATAAACGGCGTCAACGCCAAATAAACGGGGGGAATGAAGAACGGCAAAAGGTTGATAAGAAATCGTTGAGCAACGAACATTGGAATGGTTTCCAGATTATTATTGATCTTCGAGGCTCCTGCCAAACAATGGCTTCACTGTTACATCTTGGTTACATAACGGAGCGGCACATTCTTTGTTACATTCTCGAAGTTCTCAAGAAGATTATTTTCTCTTGTTAAATTTTTGTGGGCGTTGGTGAGCCAGGCGCAAGGTGACATTTGTTTGAGGATTGCGAAATATAACAAGCTGAGATTGTTTGAACCAGGGGCGACCAAACAACAACGACAACTCTCACTGACTTCTTGCTGGACAAGCGTTAACGTTGGCCCTTTTTTACGACAGGCATGGCGGAAAACATATACAGCAAAGGAACCAGAGTCTGGTTCGAGGATAAGGATCATGCCTGGATCTCTGCAGAGGTTCTCTCTGTCACCAAGGCTGCTGACGATACCATCAAGCTCGTCTTCGTTGACGAACGCGGAAAGGTCTTTTATCTCTTTTCTTGGTCCTCGTTCACTACTCACTCTTTTTGTCAGGAAATTGCCATCAATACCACCGGAAAAGAGATTAAAGATGGGAAGGAAGGCTTGCCACCTCTGCGAAATCCTCCTTTGCTGGAGACTGCAGATGATTTGGCAACACTCTCACATCTGAACGAACCTTCCGGTGCGTGCACCTCCTTCTTACATGCAACTTTGTAACGATGATTCCTCAAAGTCCTTCATACCATTCGCAATCGCTACGCCCAGCACAGTATCTATACATACAGTGGCATTGTACTGATTGCTGTCAACCCATTCCAACGCGTCACTCTTTATGGACCCGAGATCATCCAAGCGTACAGTGGGCGGAAGAGGGGGGAACTGGAGCCCCATTTATTTGCCATTGCGGAAGACGCTTATACTGCCATGCGAAAAGAGGGGATGGGCCAAACAATCATTGTATCGGGGGAGAGGTATTTCTATCAGCTCACTTTTCTTTTTCAACCGCACCTCACCGTTATACAGTGGGGCTGGTAAAACGGAGTCGGTCAGTTCAATTCACACCCGTACAGGTTGCCTGGCCTAATCATTTCCATCACAGGCCAAGTTCATTATGCGTTACCTTGCGTCCGTCAACCCACCCGACGTCAACGCGAAATCTAAAACGAAATTCTCATTGGACGACTCAAGCGAAATCGAACGGCAGATTTTGGCCACCAATCCCATTCTCGAGGCCTTTGGAAACGCCAAAACCACTCGCAATGACAACTCGTCTCGCTTTGGCAAGTATATCCAGGTAAAGAATTGCTCTTTCGTAAAATAATGTCAACTTCTAATTTGGTCATCAGATTCTTTTTGACGGTAAACAGGAAATTGTTGGTGCTAGAATCCGCACATACCTATTAGAACGCTCGCGGATCGTCTTTCAACCAGTCACCGAACGGAATTACCATATTTTTTACCAATTATGCGCCGGCGCTCCCTCAAAGGAAAGGAAGGATTTAGGACTAGACGGAGAGGTGACCAAATTCCATTTTCTGAAGCAAGGTGGCCCTTCCTCAACCCCAATTGCGGGCGTCGATGACGCGGAAGAATTTAGAGCTACTCAGCAAGCTCTTTCGACCGTCGGCATCAGTGTAGAGAAGCAGTGGGCCGTCTTCCGTCTTTTAGCCGCCTTGCTTCATCTTGGAAACGTGAAGATCACTCAGTTGCGAACAGATGCTTCCATGGACGACAATGACCCCGCACTCCTGCTAGCTACTCGATTCTTGGGAATTAACTTGGCGGAGTTCAAGAAATGGACGGTCAAGAAACAGATTGTAACCCGCTCGGAAAAGATTACTACCTCCTTAAATGCTGCACAGGCGACAGTGGTCAGGGACAGTGTCGCTAAATTCATCTATGCCTGTATGTTTGAATGGCTTGTGGCAATTGTGAACGAAAGTTTAGCGGGCGAGAATGGAGATGCGGCGGAGCGGGCTGAAATGTTCATCGGAGTTTTAGATATTTACGGGTTTGAGCACTTCCAAAAGGTTAGCATGCAATCGTGCATCGTATTTTGTTTCTCATCTCTTTCGCAGAATTCTTTTGAGCAATTCAGCATCAATTATGCCAATGAGAAATTACAGCAAGAGGTGGGCGCAAGTTCATACCTTATAACAAACTGTCTCCTGACATTTGTGCCAGTTTAATTCTCACGTCTTCAAGCTGGAACAGGAAGAATATGTCAAGGAAGAGATCAATTGGACTTTTATTGATTTTTCAGACAACCAACCCTGCATAGACGTTATCGAAGGAAAGCTTGGAGTTTTGGCCCTGTTGGATGAGGAGTCCCGCATGCCATCTGGCAGCGATCCTTCATTCCTTCAAAAACTCAACACGCAGATTTTGCCCAAACCCGAATTTAAAGCCGTCTTTAAGAAACCGCGCTTCGGGAATTCGGCTTTCACAATTGCCCACTATGCGCTTGATGTTACATACGAAGTTGATGGTTTTTTGGAGAAGAATCGAGATACTGTTCCAGACGAGCACATGACCCTGCTTGCCTCTACCAAAAATCCATTCCTCAAGGAGGTTCTCGATGCTGCTTTGAACTCTACAAAATCTGTGGAAGGTCCACCTCCTGGATCCCCTGCCTTTTCTGATTCGGGAAGCGGAGGATCTCGTCGATCATCCGTCATCCCCGATCCAGGTCGACAATCCTTTGTCACTCAATCTTCAAATTCGGGATCCTTAGCAGGTTCCTCCAAGCGGCTTGGCGCTACAGGGAAGAAACCGACTCAAGGATCAATTTTCAAGGCCTCGCTGATTACGTTGATGGAGACACTCAGCGTTACTAACGTTCATTATATCCGTTGCATCAAACCCAATGAACAGAAAAAACCCTGGGAGTTTCAACCTCAGCAGGTCTTGGGGCAGTTGCGGGCATGTGGTGTGCTCGAGACGATTCGTATTAGCTGTGCAGGTTATCCGACCCGTTGGACATATGAAGAGTTCGCTGAACGGTGAGCAGGTTTTTTTTAAGGATCGAGGCCCAACTTATGGTGCCTAAACAGCTACTACATGCTGGTGCCCTCTACTGATTGGCAACCGATGATTCAATCGATGGATCTTAATCGGCTATGCTCAACTATCCTTGCGAAGACTATCGCAGATCCAGACATGTACCAAAATGGCCTGACAAAGATTTTCTTCCGTGCTGGCATGTTGGCCGCGTTGGAATCCCTTCGCTCGGACCGACTTAATGCAATGGTCACTGTTGTTCAAAAGAATATGCGGAGAAGAATGGCCATGACGAAGTACAAGAAACTTCGCCAGGCCACCATCAAGATACAGACATGGTGGCGTGGTATTCTCGCGAGAAGATTCGTTGAAAGTATTCGGCGAGAAGCTTCGGCGGTTCGCTTGCAGACAATTATTAGACGCTTTATGCAACGAAAACGCTTCTTAGATATCATACATTCGATCACGCTCTTCCAAAGCCGTAAGTGGCTCGCACTCATGACACTTGAACAAAACTGATGGCTTTTGAAGGTGTGCGCAGTATGCAAGCACGACAACGTTTCCTCCAAGAAAAGACATCTCGCGCTGCTACTTTACTCCAAAGTCTCTTGCGTGGCGTGTAAGTAGCTTGATGAATCTCGATCGTGCGCATCTCTCATACTTCAGCTCAGAACCTCCCGTCGATGCTTCCGCTCCGATGTTCGCAATGTTATCTATATCCAGTCTTGTATACGCCGCCGCTTAGCTCGCAAAGAATTGAAGGCCTTGAAAGCAGAAGCTCGATCTGTCTCCAAGTTCAAAGAGATATCATATCGCTTAGAAAATAAGGTTGTCGAACTTACTCAAAGTTTGCAAGAACGGACCGCTGAGAGGAAGAAGCTTCAATTGCAACTCGCTGAGGTCGAGCAACAGCTACAGCAATGGATCAATCGTCACGAGGAATCTGATGCGCGGGCGAAACAGTTCCAAGCCGCTCTGCAAGCGACAGAGGCTGAGCTGGCACTTAGAGATGAGATACTTCAAGCGAAAGCGGACGCTGAGAAGAAATTGGAGGAGGCCATCGCAAGGACCACCGAGAAGGAAGAAATGATTCAAAAATTAACAGATGATATTATTCGCCAAGCGTCTCGACTGGAATCTCAACAAAGAACTATCGACGCTGCTCCCGTTCGGAATCAGGAAGACAACTCTGTTATTATGACGCTCAAGAACGAAGTCAGCAGTCTTCGCGAACAACTAAATAGGTCCAACGCTCTGAACGTCCTTACCAGGGGCTCCCGGGCTGACCCCCCACTTTCTCCAACATTCGCCCCAACTTTGCGGCTTGGTGACGTGAGTAATCAAGCGAACGGCCATCCAGTTGGCGGTGCCCCAGCTCGCGGACATCAACGAAGACACAGCTCTGCAGGCGTTTTCTCGCTCGCTCCGCAAGATCACCGCACATCCACCGATGAAATTATGATTGACGTCAAAAAGGATCATGCAATGAACCCGCGAGCAGTTTCTGTCGCCTTCAATGGCGAAGATAACTATCTTCGACTCCGCAGCTCCAACGGACTGCCAGATATACGTGATTCTGATGATCCTGCAGAAGAGAAGATCAGACTAATGCAGGATGTGAAGCGGTTGGACGAAGACGTCCTTGATGGGCTCATTCGCGGACTTAAGATTCCCGCGCCCAGTCTGAACAATCCATCGGCCGTCAAGGAGATTCTGTTCCCTGCCAACTTGATCAGTCTTGTGACTAATGAGATGTGGAAATACGGCCTCATTCCGGAAAGCGAGAGATTCCTAGCAAATGTGATGCAATCGATCCAGGCTCATGTCATGGTTTGTGGATGTTTCTGTTTCTCCCTCAAATACATCTCATCATTTTGGTAGTCGTTTACCGGAGAAGACGCCATCATTCCAGGCATTTTTTGGCTCTCCAATGTTCACGAGATGCTATCGTTTATTTGTGTTGCAGAAAGTGATATGCTGCAAGGTATCGGTCCAGGAGAAGAGAACGCGGTCCGACCATTCGACTGGAATGATTACGAACGATTGGTATCTGTAGTCAAGCATGATCTTGACAGCCTGGAATACAACATCTATCATACCTGGATGCTGGAAACGAAGAAGAAACTGTCCAAGATGGTGATTCCTGCATTGGTTGAAAGTCAATCATTGCCGGGATTTACGACAAACGATGGCGGCGGACGCTTGTTCAATCGTCTCCTCCACTCCAACGCACAACCAGCTTTCAGCATGGACGACATTCTCAATTTGTTGAACAAAGTTTGGAAGAGCTTGAAGAGCTACTACATGGAGGAGATTGTAGTGCAGCAGGTCGTCACCGAGCTTCTCAAACTCATTGGTGTCACAAGCTTCAATGATCTTCTAATGAGACGGAATTTCTCATCATGGAAACGAGGTGAGCCACTCAAAAGTTGTGCCATCACTTTGTAAACAAGCTGTTTCTTAGCGATGCAAATTCAGTACAATATTACCCGCATAGAAGAGTGGTGTAAATCACACGACATGCCGGAAGGTACACTCCAACTGGAGCACTTGATGCAGGCCACCAAATTGCTCCAGCTGAAAAAGGTGACTCACTTCAGCTGCGATTATAGAGCTGCTTGCTGACTTTGTGTCAAGGCTACTGCAGCTGACATAGAAATCATTTATGATGTTTGCTGGATGCTGAGTCCAATGCAGATACAACGAATGTGCACAAACTACTATGTTGCGGACTATGAGGTCGGTTCTCTCGATGTCACTTTGCCGTCCTCTCCCTAACGCCTGTTCAGAATCCCATATCACCCGAAATTCTACGTGTCGTGGCATCACGTGTTCAAGCTAATGACCGAAATGACCACCTGCTTCTTTCACCAGAGACGGAAGAGGTGGGCCCTTATGAACTACCGCTCCCCCGAGAAGTATCGGGACTGGAGACGTACGTACCTGCATATCTTAATGTTTCTCACTTGAGACGCTTGGCAGCGTTAGTTGCATAGCTTCCGCACTCTTGCTTTCTTCATGCCTTTGTTTTTTCTTCTTTCGTCTTACATAGTTTTTTTAACCTGCATTGTTGGATTGTGTAGCCTTAATTGCAATGCTGTATTCAAAGGTTTCTCGGTAATAATCATGACATATTCGTATGCGCACATCCCGGGCGAATCAAGAGAGTGCATGGGTCTTCTACCTGCTCGGCCAACAGTTGATCCTTGCGCAAAACGACATGCCCCTGCTCGTCATCTACCAATTTGCACAAGTCGATTGGCTAACGCGAGAGTTGAATGAGTTTGGGAGACGAGCAACATGGACACTCACAGTGGAATCAGAGAATGAGAAATGAAGTTGGGTTGCAATGAGATCCAGGACTTTACCAGCAATCAAAGTCTGAAATGGCCCAGTCGTCTCATGAAGACTGACGAGGAGCTCGATGAGACACACCTTGCGAAACCAAAACACCTTGTCAGTGTGAGCGACCTTGATGTGTAAACGCTGGTCGGAAGGAACGGAAACGGACTTGTCTCTAGGATCACCGGGCAGAGCGCGACGGCGCAACTTGATCAACTCGACTTTGTGAAGTTGAGCAAGCTTGGCAGGGTTTGTGGAGATTTTTGTGCGAAGAGTCTGTCGTTTACTTGTCCCCGATGGCTGGGGGAAATGCTTCGCAAAAATAGCCCTTGCGTTTTCGCTTCTAAGTGGCTCGATGACGGGTTGCACATGAGGCGAACAAGTATGTGAATCTGGATAACGATGGCTATGAACAGTCAAGAGGCGTAAAAAGATAAAAGTGTGGAAGAGATTCACTCTGGGCAGAAGGCCTGGAGACACTGGAGACATGTTTGGGAGAGACTAGGCTTATTGCAAGATTCGACGATACATCGTTGGAGCCGATCAGTGCTGAGGGGTGGCTTCAAGTCGTTGGGGACGATGAGAGGACATGAATGACGGTCTGGGGCGCTGTGGAACCTACAGAAATGTTTGTTACAATTGCAGACGATGGGAAGAAAGTCGAGGTCGTTGCATGAGGGCAGTGAGCAGTGAGCGCCGATTTGAAGGAGGTCCATACAAAAAGGGCACCGCAGCAACCTGCAGCAACTCTTCCTTATCCAATGAATATCATCGTGCGTCTTCGTCGTTCATTTCAACTGTCCTCGTCCTTTACCTATCTTCTCTTCAGGAAACTCTATTCGGTCGCACCGTTACGCCTGCTGAGCGTTTGCGTCAGCACCAGCGATCTCTCACAAAGGCACAACGGGAACTTGACCGCGAGCGTGCCAAACTCGAGCAGAGCGAGAAGAAGCTCATCATGGACATTAAAAAGAGTGCTAAAGCTGGCCAACTCGTCAGTCTTCTCATCTACGGCCACCACACGGCACCATGTCTTGACAGTCCTCCAGAACGCCTGCAAGGTCATGGCAAAAGATCTAGTCAGAACACGGAGATATGTCCAAAAGTTCTATCAAATGCGCACTCAGCTGCAGGCAGTCGGGCTGCGCATACAGACGCTGAGGAGCAATCAACAGATGGCAGACGCTATGCGTGGCGCAACACGCGTGCGTGCCCCTCTTTTAAGCTCACGGCTACTCATCTATACATCTATAGGCCATGGCTTCGATGAACCGAGGCCTCAATCTCCCTGCCATTCAACGGATTATGAATGAGTTTGAAAAGGAAAGTTCAATGATGGACATGAAAGAAGAAATGATGTCAGATGCTGTTGACGACGTTATGGACGAGGAGGATGAGGAGGAGGAGGAAGGCGACAAAATCTTGAAAGAGGTTTTAGACGAAATCGGCGTCAACTTATCACAGCAAGTGAGTCCGCTGCATACGCTCTAGAGCAAGCACACCTCTAATGAATCCTCCACCAGCTCACAGACGCTCCGACCGGAATCGCCACAACATCCTCCCCACTAGCAAACCGCCAGCCCATTGCGCTTGGTGACTCAAACCCATCAGCTCATCCTCATAGTGCAGACACAACAAGCAGCGGAGATACCCTGGGCGCAGGCGGCATGTCGGACGAAGATGCTCTTCAGGCAAGACTCGATGCATTGCGACGAAGTTGATCTTCAGTAAATTTGACCTCTATGCACGTCTGCTGAATGGGCCCCAGGCAAGGTCACTGATTTTACAATTTTAGACTCGCAATCGTCTTTGCTTCTTGTGTGCTCAGTTTCCATGATATGCCAGAACCATTATAAAACTCGTCCACATCCTCCTCCTGTGACGCGTATCATCAACGTTAATCCCTCGGTAAATTTCATGAAACGTACACTATCCAAATTGAGTAGAGTAGATATTTGCTGCAAGCGCAAAAACTTTTCCCTAACGTCACCAAAAGCAATTTGAGAGGCAAGATAAGTCGTGATTCCTCGCAGGTCTCGGTCGAAACGGATTGCCCCAAGCTATTAACCAATAAGTGTGGGTCTTTCTTTGACACAGGCGGACACACACCTCCGTGAACCTCAGACCCAACACAAATTTTTCCCATGGTCGAAGAAGGACCTCTAAAGCCAGGCCAAAGAACATGCGATAATTACCATCAGAAAACGTATCCTAAAAAAAAACTCAATGACACCCCACAGCCGCCATAAAATCAGATGAAAGGCACCTTGTAACCATCAACCAAACTCTCCCATACTTTGACAAAGCGTTTGCGTGTTAGATCCTGATAGTCTGCTGTGGAATACCCATCGTCGTCCAAAACATACGAAATATCTTTGTAGATATCAGGGACAAGGTTTCGCAGCTTTGGCCGAATGAGTTGGTTGAAGAGTTGCTCAACTCCAACCTAAAATAAGTCAACGGCAATGTCCAAATTAAGCAGAAAGAACTGACTCTAAGAGTGGACCGAAAGCGAGACACAAGAGTCGAGAATGAAGAAATATGACCTTTTACAAGTGTCTGTTCTTTATCTCTAAAATGCTGCGGGATTGAAGAGCTTTCACTGAGATCTCGGATCAGGCGTTCTAGATGGGACGCTGACAAGTCAAGATCGTTCAAAAGCGTCTGCAACGACCCGTCAGCTGATCCAAAGTGAAGTTTGATCAACGGCAACTGACTATGAACGCGATGCGATTTTCCCTTTCCACCCTATCTGGACGAACGTTGGAATTACCTGATCCAGGATTTCGATAAATCTCATCAAGCCTCTTTTTAATGACGCCAATATAATCTTGATCGATGGTATCCCTCAGCTGTTCGAGCGTGCGTTCCACGCTGGTGAGAGAGCCAGTGGTGAGAAGGCGTGAGGTCACGGATTTCAAAATATAAAAGACGTCGTCAGGCGTAGTGGTGGTGATTGGCGACTGTGATAAATCTGTAGAGGATAGTCGATGCGCCTGTTCCAAGGACCAACAGTGAGTTACTCTTTTCCCATTTCGAAACAAAAAACACCTTGTCGATGATTGTCCGAGTGTACCAAATTTCAAGAGGGATGTAATATGCGGTAACAAGGTCTTCGAAGACACCATTTGAGGACGTGTCATCAACCAAACGAGTTTCAGAAAGATGCTGGGAAGTCAAGTTTTCCGGTTCTTCTGTAGATTCCTTCTGTAGGTGAGAGAGCGTTTAATCAAAGTGACAAAAGAGGAAGTGTATTACCTTGAGAGCCTCGGACAAGAATTTCTTAAACAGATTCCAGCGACTCATCATCCCTGCTATCTCGGACAAGACTTTGTCGATGTCTCTTGGATCGATCACTGCCTCATCAGCCACCATAGTTTGCTGCCTTCGGATACCTGAAGAGAACATGGGTATGGGGGGGTTATTGATCACTTCAGCCAGCTTTGGCATGTAAGAAATGGGTGCCACTGATATTGGTGTTCGTCGCGTACCTTTCGTTTCATAGACCTATCCTCCTCCCACCCATCTCTCAAGCTCTTCGTCACTCTATCACACTCTTCCAGCAGACGTTGCACCACAATCTCCATCTTCCCTGAACCATAATACTTTTCTACAACCGGTTGATGTTGATCCACAATCATAGCAATGCTTTCAAATAACGCTGTCAAAGCTGTAATGTAGTAGAGGGGCGATGAGGCTGTTTAACCTCAGTCAGTCAAGGGATTTTCAAAAGACAGCATATGCCCCACTCTTTGCTGACGCGGGGGCTCGGACACGAACGAGGTCAACGACAAATGCAGCGTACGCATCGAGACCCTCCGTCTCCCAGCCAATGGCTGGAAATAACTTGAAGAAGCGACTGGTCGCTGTAGAATCTCGAGACCGTGATGCTTGCTCAAAGTTTTGTCGGAAGATGACCAGAAGCTTTTCCCTTGCAGCTTGCAACGTTTGCACTGGAGGTAAATGGCTCTCTGAAGTGGGCTAAATCGAAGAAATCCTTATTGTCCATCTGGAAATGCAATAAATGGATATCATACGCACAACAGCTGTTTCCGCGAAAGGACCAGAGATGACCTCAAGGGGCAGCGACATGGCTCTAGCGCAGTGTCTTGCAGCTGACTCCCAATCTCGACTGTCGATAGACGCCTGTAGCGACGCGAGAGACGACTGTGGGGGGTCATGGCATGAAGAGAATGATTGAAGAATATAAAGGAACATACTTTACCTTGAGATCCATGACCTGTCCAACACGGTCTGCTGCCTCTCGGACGCGTCCCATTTCCTCATCAAGACACCGTACGCGACTACCCACTCTTTCAGCAGTTTTCGCTGTGTTGGAAACTTTTTGTGATAAAAAGGAGGCTTCTAGCCGACATTCGTCGAGCTGAGGGAGCAGCGAACGTAAACGGTTCAAGGAAGCAACGATGGGGTCTCTGGCGTCGAGCAAGTCGGACAAAGCATTGGAGAGCTCTGCCTCTTCGGACTGAAATGCGGAAAGAGCTGATAGGATTTCTGGAAGAGTAGTCAAGGACCTGGGATCCATTGGATGGGATATGTCCACGGAATGGGATGTGGAGGTTGTCTGCATCGTCACCGACAGTGACAAACAATGTCGATCGACATGGACGTCCTTACCAACGTCGCACGACCAAAGACTTCAGCGACGCTCACTGTGCGCATCATCAAATCTTTCAAATTTCGCACCGAACGTAGCCTCGTCCTGCACAACGTCGATCTCACCACCACCACCACCGCTCAACTAAAGGACATTGTTCACAAATCAATACTCGACAAGGCAGGCTGGAAGCCATACAGAAATGTCCTTCTTGGTCTGTTATCCTTCTTCCCTCCCAGCACCTTCGCTAACACTCTTTTAGATACTCTGAAACTGTACACCAATGCTCACGGCGCAAAAGTCACCTTCATTCATTTTGCTCTTCGCCCAATCTGACCCTTTGAGCGCAGACATCTAATCTTATCATCAATCTGGACCATGATGATTGGATATTAAACAACGACGACGCGTTATTGGCAGATCTCGGCTTTGGTATGTCGTTGATACATCTTTCAACTTTGCGTATACGGTGACATTGACCATATAGAAAATGAGACTGAAATCAGCTTTTTCAATCGTCAGGATTATGAGGACTTCAAGCTAAACCCAGAAGTAAATGTTCTTTGATTGTGTACTATCCACCTCTAATGCAACATCAGACTAGCTGGGATTGTTAGAAGATGTCTGCTGGAAGAGTGTAGGTATTAATGACAAGTGTATCGGAGTAGCCACATAACAATCTATAAACGTCTCAACGTCTCAAGTCCTCTCATTACTGGTTGGCACATTGCACCCGTGGTTCATCATGATCTTCGTCCATCGCATCGTCACGGACGCCAGCTCTTGACCTGGTATCAGCATCGTCCATCGAAACTTCCTCGAGAATGATGTTCTTGTCAAACTTTTCCACAGGTGCCCGTGGTGGCAGTGCCCGCTCGAGAAGTGGAATAGCAGACGGTTCGATGACGTCGGGGAATTTAACGTTGAGTTTGACATAGAGATCTCCAGGCTCATGATGCCGTTGCGAAGGCATGCCTTGCCCATGTATCACCTTGACCTCGCCTGAATACGATGGAATGAGCGTAAGCAATGCACGAGACATGGACAGACTCCTACCATGCTTTACAACCTCCCCTGGTTCGATTTTTACCATCAAAGCCCGGTCGTCCAGGTGTCTGATGGCAAAGTGGCCGCCTGCGAGCGCCGTCAACAAGTCCACCTCGACTTCTATAATCAAATCGTTTTCTTGTCTGCGGAAACGGCTATGGTTTTTCTCCTCGATTACGATAACAACATCCCCTGGTTCCGCCGTTGGGGACTGATCGCTTTCTCCTCTGAATTGAATAGTTTGACCACCCTTCATACCCTTGTCGATGTGAACCTCCAAAAACTTTTTATCGGGGAGAACCTTTTTCCCTTTGCAAGTCGTACACCGATCTTTGAGATTGATAGTTTCGCCGGTCCCACCGCAATCATCACAAGGTGACTGTATCTGTTGAATCATCGGGCCCATCTGACGCAGCGTTACCCTGGTACCACGACCGCTGCAACCGTGACATTGTCGCACAGCACCCTCTTTCCCGCCCTTTCCTTTGCATTTTGTACAGATAACGTTGCGTGTCAATGCGAGCTTTGTTGTTTTGCCTTTGTAGAGGTCCTCGAGGGTGACGTGTACACGATGAACGAGATCTTTTGTTTTCCGAGGCCCTTGTGAACGGCCACCTCCGCCACCGAAGAATCCGCCACCCCCTCCAAAGAGCTGACTGAACAAATCCTAAAAGCGGGGATTAAGGATAATGATAGGAGATTGAGAGAAGACGTACTTGAGGATCCATGCCACCCAAGCCACCCTGTTCAGATAATCCTGCTTCACCTCGTGCATCGTATACGCTGCGCTTATCCGGATCTGATAGAACCTCGTATCTGTGAATAAATTGAGAAAGGCGTTGGCTGATGATGAGGAAACAGACGGACGCATGGGTGACTTCTTTGAACAACTCTGGGTCGCCACCTTTGTCGGGATGCAATCTCAAAGCCCTGGGAGTAAAAGATGAGAAGAAGGTAAGGAAAGAAATGGAACTGAGATACTTTTTACGGTAGGCTTTTTTGAGATCTGATTCCGAGGCAGTGGGCGGGACCTCGAGAAGATCGTAGTATTTTCTGTAGTGACGCAGGTGAGTGTTTTTTTGTTTCAATGAGAAGACGATACAAACGTTTCTCTGACCATTGTGAGTAGTAGTTTGAGCAAGAGTTCCGCTGAGTTCAGGTGAAATTAAAAGTAAAATAAAAAAAAGCTGTGCACATTTCCAGATCCTTCTACAATGTTTACTAAATCGGGACATTCTCCGCAACATCCTTGTAAACGTCAAATCGACGTTGGGTCCCAACTGGTATACCTCGCCTCGTTTCTTCAAATACTCCAGTATCTGTTCCCGCCTTTCTTTAGATGTTCGCTTTTCCTTTTTTTCTCTTTCGCACATACCGATATTTGCATAAATTATCTCCTCGTCTTCTCCAGCAGTTGCCACTACTTTTCCCCTTGAAAAAAATAGAAACTCTAATAAGTGTCATTGAGATACAGACATTCACCCACATGGGATCCACGACCATTGAGTGCCCCCATGCATGGTATCCAGCGCTCAGGTCTCGGGCAGGACTGCACATGGACATAAACACTTGATTATCCACCGCTCTACCGTCTGTAGTGTCAGAGATTCAAAAATATCACGCATAAATACTACGTGACGCACCTGCTGCGCTGGAGCAGCTCCCAATGAAGCGGTCCCGTCGTGAGATTGAAAGCACCGGGGTAAATCAGCATCTGGCAACCTTGACAAACTCAGTTCCTTCAATCAATCCCTCAACGGATGCCCACCTTGGCGTGCAGCTATCATCGCCAACTCGGGAAATCGAATGTCATAGCATATCCCCAGCCCAATACGCGCGAATTCTGTGGTATACGATAGCTCGGGGATAGCCCCCAAACGCAGTCAATCAGCGTACCAGTATCAAATGAGCTCAGGTTTGCTCCTCCTGTTAGAGTTTCGCTTTCCTACCAGAAACGACTATCAATAGCGCGTCGAAAGCGTTACGACCAAGATAAATACCTTGAACTTGATTTTTCCTGGAATATCGATGTCAAACAGATGGATTTTTCGATGGATGGCAACAAGATCGCCTATGTGATAAAGTCCGTAAGTATGGTAAACATTGTACCATCTAATATATGCAAAATTACCTTTCGGGTTATAGACCGTGCAAGTATTGTACACCTTGTTGCTTGTCAGATCCCGCTCTGGAATCGACCCTCCGATTAACCACGTTCCGGTTTCCTTGGCTGCTGAAGACAACATTTGAACGCTTTCGCTTTTGCTTTCTGGTACGCTGTACGGTTTGCCAGGGTAATATCCTATATTCTCTGCATACACTGGGAAATGAACGTGCCCATAGGGAGAGTTGAAGCATTCCTGCATAATGATCATTGTTTCGAGACGATCCTCAAAGATGATCTGGCACGGACGGGTAGCACGACGAGGTCAGGTTTTTTGTCAACGCTTGCTGCCTTGAGGATCATTTCTCGAGCATGCTTCAAATTGTCTGCTTTATTGGGACTGATATTCCCTAGTTGAATTAAAGCCAAAGTGAATGGTTTGAGCGGGATGTGTTGGCGAAGAGACATTGGTACAGATGATTGTGAACAAGGTTTGTTGCAGTAAATATGCCTCTTCTCGTACTTTACAATCCAGTTTGCGGAGACAAAACTGCAAAATCGTTTGTTGAGGGATATGTCCTTCCCCTTCTTCGTCACCACTCCAAGCAAGTCGCCCACGTCGTCGAAACGACCTCAGTGGGCCACGCAGCCGTTGCAGTGGCAGAGTTTTGCGCCACAAACTTGGACGCACCCATCACCGTCCTCGTTGCCTCAGGAGACGGTACTCTGCATGAAATAATCAACGCCCGGACTCTTCCTAAGATCCACCTTGTATTGGTCCCCTGTGGAACCGCAAATGCTTTGTACTCGTCCCTTTTTCCTCCCCACCTTCCGATTGACGAGATGAACTATCGATTGCAATCCCTGCTCTCATATATCGAAGGAGGTGCTACGCTTCCATTGTCAATGGCAGTTACAGTCATGTCGGCGCCAGTAAACAAGGCGCAACCTGACGTGATTGCGGTGGCTGCCGTCGTTGTTTCCACCTCATTGCACGCATCCATCCTACGTGATTCGGAGTGCTTGAGGGAGGAATATCCAGGGATCCAAAGGTAGGGGTGACCCTTTATCTAAAAAATCTTCGTCTTTATCATCATAGGTTCAAAGTGGCCGCACAGAAAAACAGCACAAGGTGGTATGACGGCCATGTGAAGCTCTTTCCCTCGTCATCGACGGGTGTCATTCAAATATATGACCTCGCAACGCAGTCTTTTATCGTCCATCCTGGTTCAACGGTGGACGATCCGAATGTGAACGTCGACGGTCCATTTTCCTATTTTCTTTCAACTGTCAATGTAGACCGCCTTGAGCCATCTTTTAGAATCACCCCTCTCGCGAGATCGATTCCATCGTCAGGAAATACTTGCGAGATTGTTATCGTTCGTCCCTTGCGAGACCCTGCAATCTCGCGGGATAGCCCAGAAGAACGGACTGCGTTTGCTCAAAAGCTGTGGACAATTTTGGGTGAGGCATATAAAGATGGATCACACATCAATTTGAGATACGACCATTATGGAGAGGTGGGAACAGAAGGGAATGGACCGGCGGTTGTTGAATATGTACGATGTGGGGGTTGGGAGTGGATTCCCGTAGGTCACCTTGCTCAATTCCTTCACAAAAATCTCAATGTTTGAATAGGATGAAGTTGATGAGGGTGCCCATCTTATTTGTTCAGACGGTGCCATTTGGAATCTCCTGCCAGGCGGACGAGCGGTTTGCTCCGCTACAACTCAAGATGGCGCTGGATTTGCAATCTACGGTTGAAATCTATGATTCAGTACTCCTAGTGATGGAATCCATGGGATATATACGAAGTGTTACGTTAGGGAATCAGATGGCGACCTTTGTAGAATATTTACCCCCAGAGAAAATGTCCTCGACGACGTCTCCAACTAACTTGTACACAGAATCCACCGAACCAGAGCTGTTCACCTATAGGTCCAAAGATGGTCAGAGACGGACCGATGATGCTTGTAACCGGAAGCGAACCTCTGCTACCTTTCCCAGAGAAGCATAATGTTCGATTACGGGCATCGTGTCAGATTTATAGGTGCCTCAATAAACATGAATTGAACAGAGGACATGGTGGAAACAAGAGTCGGACTTACGGAAACGTTTCTTGATACTCTCCACGTTGTCATCCTCTCGACCGCTAGTTTTTCCTCGCTCAAGCAGTCGATCGAGCATGACCTGCTCCGTGGTAGAAAAATAAATGACGAGGGTAGAAAGGCACACCTGAGAGTAATTGAGGATGGATGCGGAGGACAAGATAGAAGGGATTACCGTCTCATCGAACTTGAGAGCCTGATCCATTTTGCGGGGGAAGCCATCGATAAGGAAACGGCCTCTGTCCTCAGACCAGCCATCCCCAGTCTTGCCCTCTCTCATGGCAGCAGCCATGGCGTGTTCCAGCAGTTTGATTGTGACTTCCATAGGCACGATGGTTCCTTCACGGATACAGGTTTGAATCAACGTTCCATATTGAGAACCCTCGCGATTTTGCTCTGCGCGAAGAAGATCACCAGCTATATGGGGCGATGTTTGAGGAAAAAAAGAATGGAAAAATTGGTCGAGGGGCATACCCGACAGATGACAAAAATGAAAGTCTTTCACAAGACGGGCACATTGCGTTCCCTTACCGGCACCAGGCCCACCAAGAACAAAGATAACGGTGACCTTTTCGTTGTCGAAAGCTGGGGTGATGTCGACGATGCCAGGCATCAAGTCTGTTTATGGCGCGGTGGAAGAAGAGGATGATCTGCTTGTCTTGGCTGGCTAGAGGCAGGGTTGGAGAGCTCCCTTTTCTTGACGACGGCGAAGAAGACGGCGAAGGAGGAAATGGAGAGTGCGACGAGAAGCCAAGGGTTTGGCGCTCCTTTTGAAGGTGGCATAAGTACGGTAAAAGTAAACAACAAGGCCGCCTACAGCATGGACATCAACTTTCCTCATCCAACTCAAATTTTCTCTCTTCGCGCTTGTCGCAACGACGATGCCGTAGACCTCCTCGCTATCGGCGGCGAACACTCCGTCGACGTCTTGCTCGTGGTGCGCGCACCTCCAATCTCTCTCCTTTATATCCCCTCATACACCCCCAGTCCGACACACAGTGCTCTTGTATCGCATCCTTTCATATAGGTTCACGCGTCACTGCACTTGCATGGTCATCTGCCACTGTTTCTCCCACTTCCGGTGACGATTGGCTTCTGGAGTGAGCCTTTTACCCGTCTTCGTTGTCCTCATCATTCAATAGACTAGGCTGGCCGCTGCTGGCGACGATTATGGCCTCCATCTCTTGACGAAATCACCGTCTGTTGAGGAGTACATCTTTCCTTTTGGTGGTGGGCTCAGTGGTCACCATGGCAGGGTCAACGACATAACCTTTTGTGGTGGCTGGAGCGAGGACAGTGTGCGTTATGTTGCTACAGTTTCTGGTAAGCTTCAATATTTTTTGCCTGAGACTGCCCTCAGCACCCATGCTAGATGATAAAATGCTAATGGTTTGGGATCTTCGTCCGAACGTTGACATTTCTTCTAGTGTTCCAACTAGATCGGACATGCATGACAGTCCGTCTCCCTCCCCAAGACCACAGCCAACTGCATATGTCATACCCTTTTCCCATCCACTGACTACCATCAGTTCCCATCCATCCACTAGCAAAGAGTTTCTTGTATCTGATTGCCGAGGCTCAATCTTCTTGACGGACTGGCGTTCTGATCCTGAAGATAACAAACAAGCCAACCTGCGTCACTCGAGCCTTGTGGAATTGGTAGAACCATATGCCTTATCAGCTTCCTGTATGGGCAACACTTCTCGTTGGTCTGCCTCCGCAGCCTGGCGCACCGACACCGTTGACATGTAGGTCGTTCGATCATTCCAATCACTAGTTTTGACACACCTTTTGAGAATCGGGAGTGTTTATGGACCAAAATTCTCTATCTGGGATATATCCAGACTTAGGGGAGGAAAACCGCTCATTACCGGTACGAGTTTTTTCGAGGGCGGACAACATTTTCGGTATGTGGTACAACTGAACTCACCGAAATGAACCCTTTTTTATTTATCTTTGCATAGCTGGTGTCACACATATCCTGAATATTTTGCAATATCGACTCAATCACCAAGCAAAGGTGCCATCATTCAAGTCTATAATATTAATTTCATTCAAGCGCAACCAACGGTTTTCAATCTTCGGCCACGGCCCCATTTTTTGCGAGACTTTGATTTTCTTGCTATGCGCGGTATCCCACGCATTGCAGCGGCGGTAGGTCAGACCGTCATGATATTTCCTATCGGTATAGATTCTTGAGAAGAAAAGTGCATCATCTTTGATCTACATTGAGCAGTGGCTACAATTGCATACATTCTTTTGTTATACGTATCGGCTATAAACTAAGCATGAATGATGGAGTGTAGGTCACCAGTCAGACCTCTCGAGGTCAGTAATTTGATGGATGATAGAGCTGCAGTAGAATACATTGTTGATAATTGAAAAAATGGAGGCCAGGGTTTGGGCAGGATAGAGAGTTCAATGCCCGTAGTTGGGGTGTGAAGCGGGATGTGGCATGTGGTGATGGTACGTTAGTTGACTGTGATGTGAATTGCTCTGGTGATTCTGATTCTGATGTTGGGCGGGCGGATGATGTTGGTGATGTTCCACGTATTGTTGCATTGTGCGTGTATCGCTAGTACCAACGGTGGCCACTATGGCATTGGTTTCGCCATTGTCCCCGAAACCGAGTTCTATAAACATATTCTTCCAGTAGTGTGCGTCGAGTTCGGAAGCGTGGTGCACTGTTCCAGGGGGATATCCCCCGTGGTACTGAACCGGCCCATTATTTAGATGGTTGTTGTTTCCGATAGAGTTCCTTCCGGAAAGATCAGGTCCTTCATGCATGTTAATTTGTGGGTGTGCAGGAAGATGAGGTGATGCGGGGAAGTGGAAGGACTGTTCATGTGCTCGCTGTGTTTGATGTGGATATATTTGAGGGGGAGAGCCATGTATTGATCCATTCATTGAAGGTGCACCTACGACAGTAATACGTTTATGGAATAAATGATCTGTATCGGCGGTAGTAAATGGAATAGAGGAGGCATTCCCACCTTGTAGCCGAGGGTCAATTGGCATGCCGTCGTGCCGCTCTCGTTCATCATGATTTCGTCGGCCCTTGAAGGTATCATTTTCCACTAGACTGCGGAGGAATCGTGCGTGGTAGGCAGCGGACGTAGATGGTGGGTAAATATCAGAGTATGAGTCCGCTGTTGCGGCAATTAAATCGTGAATGTCCTTCGCAGTGCTCGCGTTCAGTTGTGAATAGGTATTTGAAGTCCGTAGAAGCTGCAGAACATCGTGATAAATGAACGAGATTGCTGACGCCTTTCAATATTGTACAGTACCTTCAGTAGAAAAACGGCAGAATAAGCCGTCATTACAGTGATTGTGTCCTGCCCATATCGCTGTGAACCAGAATTAAGTCATGCAGATGTTTATGTGCGCGACAGAAAATCGCTTACCAGCATACTCAGCTTGACGAAGTCGTTTGAAACTATCTTCAGTGAATCCAATGCGCTTGTACAACAGATCGATAAAACCCCCAAACTGGGACTTTGGCGACTTCCCTGTCAGACACGGGGTCAAATAGGGGGAGGGGGGGGGGAGAGGGGGTAGAACGCACAGGCAACATGGATGCGTGGATGCCGAAACTATTCAAAAACAGCCGAACATATAGTCGGAAAAGGGCAAGGAAAGAAGTGTGGAAGCTTTCCCCGCCGGCTGTGTGGAGGGCCAGAGTTAAAGAAGCAGCTGGTGGTAGAGGAGAAGAGCTACCTCGTTCCATTTCTGTCCGCCAGGTCTCGTCCCATTGATTTAATTTGTCATTGCAGTTGCGAAGGACTACCTCGTAATTGATGTCAGTGTTCACACCAGATGCCGCACTCCTTGAGGTAGAAAAGATATCAGTCGTTTCCGCCTGGCGCCACATGTCAGCTTTGCTTAGCTGTGTATGTAAATCAGACTGACTGCAATGCGCCGTAAGGAAACAAAGGCAGCAATGATAACATCCTCAGGTCGGATGTTCTTGCCACCATTACCCATGTGCCAGGTATTAGAATGCTTGATAAGATCGTCCTCTGGGAGCATCCAGTGTCTGCCAGTTTGGGTGCTCAGACTTCGATCGTGAACAAAGAGAACAAGATATGTTCGCTCGCGGTTACGACGCTCAAGGCGTTGCAATTGTGTTTCACTGGGAGCGGGGTGAGCAACATATCGATTCAAGCCGAGTTCAACAGCCATGCGACAGGCCTATATGAAGGTTAGTAGAGAAACGAACAGCGAATATGAGTGCACTGACATAGCCAATATATGTCCAAGTTCTCTGAGCCAAGGAGAGCGTTAAGAGTTTTCCGTGAGATGTGTGTATAGACGAAACTCACATTGTCGTCAGGATCTTTCCAGTAAGTAAGGCAGGCGAATGCTTGCACGACCTCGACCCGCTTCCATGCCTCAGCAAACGCCCGGACGGCGAATTCGTTGGCAAGTTTCTGACATGGTTTAAAACTATCAGCTTTAAAAAATTTGCACGCTGCCATGAGAAGGGTTGTGAAAAGAAAGGGACACTTTGAGCGGACATAAGGGACGGTGTGCAGGGCGGGGTCGAAGAGATTGATGAAGGGATTGAGACGTAGATATATGCAATCAAACAAGGTTTCTGCATCCTTCTCAGTCAAAATGCCTGCTGTTATAGGATCACTGAGGCCGCCTGGGCAAGGGGCGAGCTGTATTTGGGGAGGGGTGAATGAGCTACCACGATTGGGAGTGACAGGAACGGCTGCAGGGGCCTCTTCTGGGTTTGGATTCAAGATCGTCCTGAAAAAAGAATTCCGACGATTTTCCCGCCTGATGAGCTTCGCGGGAAAAAAATCTTCTTCGTTCCGATCGGGATCCTCTTCGTCATCATCCACGTCCATGCTGCGTGATCCTTTGCTTGACGATGCATAAGCATCGCCATTTTGGTATGTCGGAACGGTGAGGGGGGGGAGCTCATTTGTGGGAAAATGTGTATTCGGAGGACCATAGCTAGGTTCAGATCGGGGGCCTGGGTAAGATATTTCTTGAGGAGGGGGAACTCGGATGTCGGAAGATTGGTAGGGAGATGCCAATGCAGAGTCTGCTGACGGAGATTTCAGCTTTGCTGAGTGAAGGCCCTTCTCAAGCCGACGAAGGACCTTGGAAGCCTCGGACAACCTATCGAAACGATTAGCAGATGTGCCTCAAACTATCCATTGGCAAGAATACATACTTTGAACCAGGCTTTCGACCTCGACGATGTTTCTCGAACACGCATCTAAGAGACATACGAGATGAGTGAAAGGCAGGAGAAGGCATTGACAACGACAAACTCTGCATTCGCACGCTTACAACGCTGGCAAGATTTCTGGCCATCCTCAGCGCCGACGCATTTCATCTTGATTAAAATGACGCTTAATAAGTAACGGAAGCATAAACTGTGTGGCTTGCCTTTGCAGCACGACAAACTGTACAAGCGCGGGCACCACGAACTACAGGTGGTTTTGGGCTGCATGGGAGGAAATAAGGGTGATGAAAGGAGAGAACCAAGAAAGGCGCACGTAGATTTGGAGTCTGAATCGATTTGAGCATCCATGGTTGGGTCCGGTTTTCAATGATTTGGATGGGTGACGGTGATCAAAAAAAAGTGGTGAGAGTCGCCGGAGTGTGAGAGTGGAATGGCAGAGAAAGACGAAGGAGAAGCGGAAAGAAGCTTGGATGAGGTTGAGAACGATGAGCGGGGGGGAGAGGAGGACGTCAAGAACGTCGAGCGCAGTGGTGGTGGTGGTAGTGGCAGTGGTGGCGGGGTTGGACCTGGTTGAACCATGCTGATGAGACTGCATTTCCGGTAACTAGATATTATATATTAGATAATAACATAACTCATTAGAGCTCATTAGATAACTCTGTGGAACCCTTGGATAACTCACTACCCTACTTGGATTACGATCAATAGTAGGACTCGTAACAACTTGGCAGTTCAACAATCAATAGGTAATTTGTAGACAATTGAGTCGACTTTTTTTTAACTGCGCTTGAATCTCTTGGAGAACTCAGAACACCCTCTGCCCCGCTGACCGGCTTGTTCACCGACCGGCTACCCAAATTTAAGTCACGTGTCCCATTCATGAGCCCAGGTCACGTCGTCACGCTCCGACCTCCTGGGCTCGGAGTCGCTCTGTCAATGTATCATGGTCAGAATCATCATAAAAGGAGGTCAGTTTGTTGTTGCTCTCTTATTCTTTTCCAACTTACCCAGTTGCAGTGGTTCCCTTTCAATCCTTGCTCCATTCTAAAAGTTCTCAGAACACCGAGGACGAGGTTCTCAAGGCTGCCATCGCAAAGTATGGTGCCCTCTTCTTTCTTTTATCCATCTTTTCTTCTGAAAACACGTAAGTAATCAGGGCCCGAATTTCGTCTCTTCTTGTCAGGAAGACGCCAAAACAATGCAAAGCTCGCTGGTATGAGTGGCTGGATCCCTCCATCAAGAAGACCGAATGGTCCAAGGTTTGCATCTACCTCTTTTCCATTTCTCTGCTCTATTTGACCTCGTTTCAGACAGAAGACGAAAAGCTTTTGCATCTAGCAAAGCTGATGCCACACAATGGCGTACAATGGCGCCAATCGTTGGCAGAACTGCTATCCAATGCTTGGAACGCTATCAAAAGCTTCTGGATGAGGCCCAATCCAAGGATAATGAGGAATTGGGCTTGACCGGTCCCTCCGGCGATGCTAGCCCCAGCGCTGACGATATTCGTAGGCTACGGCCAGGTGAAATAGACCCAGATCCAGAGACGAAACCAGCTCGCCCTGATCCCATTGACATGGATGAAGATGGTTTGTCGTACCTCACTCTTTACTTAACAACTCTGATGCGTACATATCCAGAGAAGGAGATGTTATCAGAAGCTAGAGCCAGGCTTGCAAATACACAGGGAAAGAAGGCAAAACGAAAGGCACGGGAAAGGCAGCTCGAAGAGGCAAGGCGTTTAGCAGTTTTGCAAAAGAAGCGAGAGTTAAAAGCTGCGGGAATCATGTACGCAAGCCTTTTCTCCTCCTCCTCCTCATCACTTTAACCATACTCTCACCAGAATGCGCCACAAGACAGCGAAAAGGGATGGACGTACGTTCTAGTCTACTTCTCCCGAGTGACTACGAGGGCCTCAATGCTGCTAGAATGGCGAGGACACCGAGAACCGAACCTCAGCGTGAGTGCCTTTGGAAGCGAAACGCACGCTTCGACATTCACTTAACTATTGCTAACAGAGGACAATGTCATGATGGAGGCCAGAAATCTGCGTAATATGACTATCGCTCAAACACCTTTGTTGGGTGATGAAAATACGCCCATACATGTTGGACTTGGAGGCGGGACAGGTTTTGAAGGCGCAACACCCCGCCATCAGGTGGCTTTCACACCCAATCCCCTTGCCACGCCACTACAGGACAACGCTGACCCCTCTGCTTTTGGACCTCGTACTGTGAGCGGATCAGGGGCGCTGTCTACACCTTTGCGTGATAATCTCTCTATCAACCCAGGAGATTATTCGATATCTGGTGATACACCTCGTGACCAACGTCTTCGGATAACGTCCGCTAAACGTGTACTCAAGGCTGGTTTTTTAAGTCTTCCAAAGCCGGAAAATAATTTCGAGTTGGTTGTTCCTGACGACGAAGTGGATTAGACTGAAATGGCCCCGTTGCATGACGAAGATGCAGCTGAGCGAGATGCGATCGCGACGTGATCGAGAAGAGCAAGAAAGAAAGGCGTTGGCGCGACGGTCCCAGGTGGTTCAGCTCAACCTTCCTAGGCCAGCCAACGTCGACGTCGCACCGTTGCTCCAGCGGCTAAATAAGGGAGAGGACGACGCCGACTATACTCAAGTGCAGCATCTCATCAATGCTGAACTCGTTCAACTCATGCACCATGACGCGATTGCGCATCCGATACCTGGGACAACAACACCGGGTGCAACACAGACTACGTACGAAATTCCTGCCGATGAAGACATTGAAGCAGCAAAAATGGCAATACATTTGGAACTTGCTTCAGCTGTTGGTTTTCCTAACGCCAACGCTGATCGACTGCGCGAAGGCCTTCTCGTCCTTTCCAAGGCAGAAACGGTCGACGAAGAAGTGTCCTGGGCGCACCGTCGCCAACAGCTAGCATATGATGCAGCAATAAAAACATGGACTGATACAACCACAATGTCGCTGGAAGCCCATGTTTGAAGGCTACTCTTTTCTCACGAATGAAAGTCGTGATGCTATGACCAAGCTGCTAGCAAAGCAACAAAACTGGAGAAAAGGCTCGGGGTGATGTTGGGTGGTTATCAAGCGCGCGCGCATGCGCTTGCTAAACATATTACAGACGCTTTCGGAAAGCTACGAAATGCACAAGTTGATTTTGAGTTTTTTTCCCGAGTACGTATCAATGAATCGGCGATTGGGGAAGCCTCCTAACCAGCCGTCGTTCCGGGGTTTTCAAAAAAAACGAGCTACATTTCTAGATGTTATTTGACCTGCAAAATATAAAGTTTAGATTACAAATACAATCAATGAATCAGATCACTTTCCGCCGAAAACCTTAATTCTTAAAAAGGAGCGTCATCACGTGATGACGGCCCAACAAGCACCCAAACACGTATCGCGTGAAGTCTTAAGTACCTGAGTACATCCTCTGTAAAATAAGTGGTTGCTTTGGCACTGATATATTTCTAAGATGAAGAATATTTATAAGGGAATACAGTAACTACTACATATTGGCAATACAAAATATCTATCTGTAATACCTATGCCACTAGAACAACATTTCTTAACAGCGGAGGTAGTTGGCCACATACCAGTTGCAACTTGGATCCCCTAGCTTCTCAGCCCCACCATTTCCCACCTGGAAGGGTGTCATCCCATGCCATGCCAAGTGAATCACGTTGTGGTTGCTTAGATATCTCCTGTGCTTCTTTGGAATTCACTTGTCCTGTATTTGTCCTGTATATGTTTGTTGTTGGTGACTGACTTGTGTAGATGGGGCTGTGTCCAAGTCCTGTCGTGCACATTGGGTGGCCGATTGCTTTTCTTCACTGCTGGCAGCTTTTATCATCCATGGACCACAGTGTGGTTGAGCACTCGTCGTTGGACTCATCGTTTCACACCCTCACTGGATGTGGTTTGCATAGTTGGGACGGTGTTTCTGTACCTACGTTGGGATAATTTTCAGTTTCAGAAGCTGTCAGGTTGGACTTGAGATGGGTTGACAGGTGGGAGATTCTGAGAGGGAAGGTATACGGCGTGGTATGGTTGTTGGTTTGTGAGCGATGAGTGTCACTTCGGCATCGTTCCCACAGGTCATGTGAGGTATGATCATTTCGAGAATTAAAGTTTTTGGCAGAATCTCAAAAGTGCAATGAATCATTGATCCAATCATTTATTTTAAAGAACGCAACTCTTATTTTTTTGAACCCCTCCACAACGGCTGGCACTTTACAACTGTAAACAACATAGCCACCAAGGGTCCACTGCCGGGGTATGTCTGCTTTGGGACAAATGAGCAATATCCTGTCGAGAATCACTGTACAGTCATCCACTGGCTAATGTTACGTAATCACTCAATGTTACACTTCGACAGTTTTTGTACTCTCCTGTGTGAATAGGTGCAGCTATTGACCTGATTTTTCTCACAATCAATAGTTCTATGTAATGTAAAATAGGTTATTAAGTTTGTGCATATGAAAGAACCCTCAGTACTCATTAAATTTGCTTGATCTATCAATGTGATGTGCCAATTTCGATGTTTTGAACTCTATTTGATTGACTACACAAAAAGAACATGTTTTTCATGTCCGAACTCTTGTTATTTATGTAGACGGAACATACCTCAATGCCTGGAACAAGTTTCAGAAGGCCTGCAAGAGTTTAGCACAGTAGATTGCTCTCATGAGATTTGCCTAGCAGCTGCAATGAGGCTCATTCAATGGACACATATACGCTGCCCAACAACTTAGAAATTTCTCCAACACCCTCCCAGACATTCTCCATGGCTGGTCAAGTGAAATCTGACCTTGCAAAACATCTTGCTGCCAAGTGACTCCACGATGCATGGATGCTCCAGGCCATTTCTGCCTACTGCTTAGAACAGACACAGAAACGTTCAAAATCAAGCCCCTGCCAGGGTCTTCACCACATTTGCATTGAATTACAAGATACATGCTTTGTCGAGACAGGCAACCATGTTAAACTCTGCCATATGACCCTAAAACATTTAGTAGGAGGTGGCAAAACTTGTCAGCAGGCCAATGTGGACCGAAGATGGCTTGGTGATGGCAAAGAAGACATTGTGATTGCCTTCATCGCTGAAATAGCTGATTGAGGCTTCCCTCTCAGTCATGCGCAGTTCAAGGAACACATTGACAGCATCTGCAAAGTGCGTCTTGGTGACAAGTTCCCACTGACAGGTGTTGGTCAGGCTCCAAAATGCAGCCGCTCGTCTCGCTCGATGAGCCTCTAAATACTATTAGCGTATGACAAATGTGATCATTGATGGGAAAGAACAAATAAACAAAGGTAAGGGCTCGAGCTCGCGAGAGAGCGGCTGCCGGAAAAGTCAGTCGGGAAACTCCGAGACCATTGATTAACCCTAACGTTGGGTCTCAAATCTGTAAGGACCCAGCGTGTCACATTTTGGTCACGATATGCTCGAGTGGAGCGCACACTGGCGCACAGTGTCGAGAATAGTGTCCAGGTCCTCGATAATCGACGAGTGTGAATGGATGGCCTTCAAAAATGTTTTTCAATAGAATTTCGTAAAGAAATTGGTGGGCTGTGATCTCTGAATCCTCAAAGGCCTTCACTCAAAGGCCTTCATAGATCTTACTTCATTGAGGTATTGTAGATTTGCCATTGGGTAGTTGGCAAACTGGAATCCCGGGCCCTTATGTAGAATACAATACTGCTTTGAACCTTATGCAGGTCTTGTGTATAGACTTGTACATATATAGTTTTGGACTGACATGACATTGGTGAAATGTCCACATTGGAGACTGGGCATGATGAGTATATTATTGTGGTTCTGCTGCAGCACAGTTCTGGACCTTTCATCGTAGAGTACTCCATACCCATTCACTGTTGGGTTCGAGCCCCAAGTCCAAACAAAGATCTGTCACGCAGGTCCAGAAAGGCCTTGGAGTTGGGACCCAACGTTAGGGTTAATCAATGATCTCCGAGCTCCCCGACTGACTTTTCTGGCAGCCGCTCTCTTGCGAGCTCGAGCCCTTACCTTTATTTGTTTGTTCACTCCCATCAATGATCACATCATAAGATTAGTCATACGGCTCATAGTATTAGAGGCTCATCGAGCGAGACGAGTGGCTGCTTTTAGGAGCCTGGGTGTTGGTCAGAACTGGACTTACCACTTTGCCCAACAGAACATGGAGAAGATCAAGATTGCCCACTCTCACTCTCACCCTCTTGAGGACAAGCGTGGGTGTGCTGCCAACCCTCACACAAACGAAGCCTGGTGGAACTTACTGGGTGAAACCATCGAGAAATACAACATCAAGCTGCACAACATTTATGGATCTGATGAGGTGGGGATACAGGCCCAGGGAGGTGGTGAACACAAGTACGTCTTCGGTGCCTGTAAAAAGGCTGCCCCTTATCAACAGCGTGCTGGAACTCAGGACAATATTACTGTTATAGTTAAGATCTGTGCCGACGGAACAACCACACCTCCTGCCGCCATCTTCAAGGGGAATGCATATCAGGTCAAATGGGGAGAAAATAATCTGTTGAACGCATCATATGTAACTCGAGGTCTTATCCATGTAGCTGTTGCTAATCCAAGATTAGGATTGGCTACCAGCAGAAAGGCTGGACAGATGGCGAAATCGGTGCAGCCTGGATGAAGATTTTCAAAGAACAAACACATGAAGGCAAATGGGGAGCACCGCTTACTTGTTGTTGACAGCCACAACTCACATTACTCACCGTCACCTTCCTTTTACTCATGCGCCTCCATCAAATCATCATTCTCTGTTACCCAGCATATGGCACCTGTGAAGCGTTCACTCTGAACTTCTTGCATAGCTGAAGCCAAGAGGGAAGGAGGAGGCAAGAATGGGTGGATCTGGGATCAACACCCATGAGTGAGCAATGAGCAGTTACAAGATACTCAGCTGGCCCAACATGATTATGCATACTGTAGGAAGTACAGATATACAAAGCACTACATGTAGTGCAAGAGGATGGCAAGACTGCTGACAAGGTGGTGGTTCAAGACAAAAGATCAATATATTATGTAAGATATCCAAATCTAGCTATATACCACTGTTTGACTATGGCCTCTGGGCATTCCCTTCCAATCCTATATCACAGCACCCATATTTACCAAGGTCTTGATGTCATAATATTTGCAATTCTCAAGCTTCTTCTTAGCAAGGAGCACGACAAACTATTGCAGGATACTGGCACAGCTATCACCAAATCAAATTTTCTCAGTGTCATCACAAATGCATACATACAGGCACTCACCCCTGGAAATATCAAAACTGCCTTTTGCAAGACTGGCATCCATCCCTTCAATCCTGATGTTGTCACTTCAGACATGCTTGCTCCAAGTAAGGAGACCTCCCTCAAGGCAAACCTGCCTGTCGAAACTTCCAATGCAGCAAAGATTTTTGCAGACATGTTGCACAGGCTTTGAGATCTAGTAGAGGAGGCTGAATCAGATTCCGAAGACCCAGAAGAATCAGAGTCCCACCTGGCCAAAGAGCAGGAAAGTATTGTGAGAGTGGATGCACCCAGGCCATCCATGTCAAATCCAACCACTCACCATACACAATCAACCAACCCCATCCCAACACCAACAATCACATGTACAACACACTCAGCTGCATGCACAACCATCCCACATTCACCTGACCACACATCAAGTCCACCAACATCAACCCCCACACAATCAACAGCCACACCCCCAACACAATCAACAACCACACCCCCCACCCAATCAACAAAACCCTCTCATCTCGAGATCCTCCAGGATGCTGTTGCAGCCCTCAAGAAGACCAACCTCGCATATCTCACCACCCATACAACCACAGCTTTTGAGTGGCAATAATTTCTATGAGCTTGCACAGGCCAAGGAGAAGGAGGTGTGTGAGGTTTTGAAGCAAAAGGAGGCACAGAAGGAAGGATGGGTTGCCTATGATGCAGTGGTGGAAGTGTGGGCTGTGGCAGATCAGGAGCGAAAGGACGAACAGGATGCTATCAAGGCTAACAACATGCAAACCAAAGCGGCTTGGGACAAGAGGAAGGCTGCAGCAGTCAAGAAGAAGAAAAAATTTACCGAACCAAAGCCAAAATCGACGCCCCTTCCAAAAGTGATTCCTAGGCCCAAGTTGAAGGACTTTTTGGATGGTGGGATTGGTGTTGTAGGTGCCGGTGAAGCTGAGGATGATGCTGGCAGTGACGGTGATGAAGCGGGGAGTGAGGGCAGTGCGAGCGACGATGATGACGAGTAAATCTCTCCCCATCAGCTGATCTTATAGACAATCACAGCACATGTAACATTGGCCCATAATTGCTATTTGGGTTGCCTCTCCGCCATTTGTTTCACAATGTATGCAATTCCTCTCCGTTTTACCTCAAATAAATTGCAGATTGTACATAGCATACCTATTTATCATGTTGTCTTTGTTTCGTTCGAAAATATGTTCACCTTGTCTTGCTATCTCATGTCTACGAATTCAGTGTAACATTAGCACATGCATGACTGTAGATAAAATTGCATTTGCTACTTCTGCCTACAGAATCCAACTATTTGTACTCATGGTCATCTAGCGACCTGATGCTGAAAAGTCATACCAAAAATAAACAATTTCTTGTGATGCTGCATGTCATGATGCTGACACCGCAACAGTCAAGTGTGAAGATAGGAAAAGACGAAATACCAAAAATAATTGAACCCACCGGATAAGCATTGGCCTTCAATGATGTGAGCCCTTACCAACATCAAGCAGGGGACACCACAACCGTAAAATAAGGCATCCAAAATCCGATGCTTCCTGCTAGGAGTGATCCTTTTCTCAAATTATTACTGTTGAGATCATGCAAATGTCTTTTTTCTGCACATCATTTGGAACAGTTTAACCTTGGGGAACATATTGTATGAGAGTGCTAAATGTGTATGTACTTACTGTAAGTATGTGTTGTGTTGTGGACAGTGTGTTATATTCTGGGCCACAACTACTACATTCAGCTGAATACAGCAGTATAGGCTCGTGACCAACCGTTTCTTTCAAACTCCACAGGCTATGTTCAGAAACAGCTGGGCTGAACAAATCCAGTTTTGTCGAGGTCACACTTTGTCATGTTGGACTTAGTGAAATTCTGCAAGGGGGTAGTGGGACGTGGATCCCGAACAAGGGGTGTCTGGCCGCAGGCTGAAAAAAAAAAGTGACCCTCATCAATTTCAAATTTTCATCGTCAGTGACATTCCATGGATGATTGATGAGATGCATCTGAAGCTGAAGTGCTGACAGTCCAAATCAATTGCAAACCTAGTGTGGCGACATACTGTCTACATCATGTTGAGTCTCAAGCTCTCAAGTCTTGACTAGTGATCACCAAGGGTATGGCAACCTGCGCAGGTTTTCAAGCTGGGTATGAGTGGGTATGGGTCCAGGTTAGTATTTATGTACCTGAGCTGCAACCCGTACCCCTGTCAAGGGTTTTAGAGGGTTTTCGTGCAGCAGAGTTGTGGCTGAACTGTGCTGAGCTACAACTATACAGGCGGATATGCATGCCCGATCACTACTGTACATATTTACTCAAACCTTAAAAAATACGCCTCAGATACCCTCTGGCATACCCAAAAGGCTTAGCGGACTTCTGTCATGTTGAAGTCACCAGACCCCTCTCCCAAAAGATCTACATCAGGTAGAATTCTCAGTGCAACAAAGTGAAAGCTTACAGCACCAATTTCCACATTTGTCAAAGGTATTCGCCCCAAGAAGAAAACCAAGGTAACCAACTCGGATGCGGCATCTTCAGCCCAGGAGACTGGGGTGGCTTCTTCGATTCAGGAACAGCAGTCTTCCCCATCTGTAACTTCTAATCATAGGGTTGTTATCAATGATGAAGAAGATGAAGATAGCAACTCTCACCGCAGTAAAACCCTGGATCCCGATTCTGATGTTATCATGGTATCGGACAACAAGGAGATGGCTGCTGAAAAAGAACTAGGTAAGAGAGAGCACCTTTTAATACTAGATACTTACCAAATGATTTCTTAACAGAGCAATTAGCAAAGGAATGGACAGCAGGCATTTATGGATTTTTCAAGCCTGATCCGATCATTGACTATGTCAAAGGATGCTGCGTGCATACCTTTATTTGTGGTGCGACTCATTGCCGTGGTACCAGTCGCCATGTTCGCCGGTTCGTCAACACCAAGGATGCCAAGTCCACCAGCAATCTCAGGAGGCACGCTGTGAAGTGTTGGGGTGAAGACAATGTCAATGCCGCACGTAGCCGTCCTGCTGATGAAATCCACAAGGCGACGAAAGGGGGTTCAGTATCAGGTTCAATCATGGCCGCATTTGAACAGCAAGGAAAGGGAAAGGTTAGCTATTCTCATCGTCAACATACAAGAACGGAAACAAGGTAACATCTATAAACTCACATGGGGAAAGTCAGTCACTCAAACATGAACTTGAACAGGGCAGAGATCGTTCGTTGGGTTGCCGAGAGCTCTTGACCGCTAAACATCGTGAACAACTGTGGATTTCAAAGCTTGATGAAAACTGGATGGCCTGGGTATTGGCTCCCATCCTCGAGCATGTCTGCTTGCGATGTCAAGCTGGTGTTTGCAAAAACTCGAAATAGGATCACTAGAATACTCCAGGTGAGACAATTGAAAGTCACTTGACAGCGTGAAACTTACATATCATCAGGAACACCCCGGCACCCTCAGTTTTGCTACGGATGTGTGGTCCTCCCCAAACCATAAGGCATATGTTGCGGTTACGGTCCACTTCAAGCGTGATGGCATCCCAATTTCGATGCTGCTTGATATCGTCAAGGTTCCTCACTCCCATTCCAGCTTGAACCTTGCTAAGGCATTCTGAGACATTCTGGAAGATTTTGGGATATCTGAGAAGGTAAGCGTTGCCAATCTTCCTGTAGTAGAACAATCTCTTACCTATTTTACCAGATCCTCTCAATTACCTGCAATAATGCTTCAAACAATGGTACCATAATTGTCGAGCTATCTACGCTCATTCGATCTTTCCCCGGTGAATCGAACCTCATTTGATGCTTCAACCATCTTCTCAGCCTCATAGCAAAGACGGCTATCTGTGTTTTCGATGTTCCAGATGCCGATAAGGATTCTGTGTTGGACAGTGTGACTGCTGAGCTGAAGGAACTCGCCAAAAACATCGATGTTGAGGAACTTGAGACACAGGCTGCAGGATACGAAAACAAGGAGGAAGGTGGCAAGGTGGACAGTACCGATGGTTGGGTTGACAAGAGGCTTGAATTGACAGACATTGAGCGGGCAGCGTTGGACGACAGTGTGCTTTCGGTTCGACTGCTACTTGTCAAGGTAAGTTGTACTTATGTTCTGAATGCAAAGATATCATGACTTACCTTTGAACCACAGCTTCGGAAACTCTCCTATGCAATCGTTAACTCCACCACTCTCTTGCTTCCCAAATGGTTCTCAACCTTGAAGGACATGAAGCTTGACGAACGTGCGATGCCTTGTGATGTCTCGACATGCTGGAACTTGACCTATGACATGTTAAAGTTCGCGATCGATTATCGAAAGGCAATCGACAGACTTACCACAGATAAAAGCCTTGGTATTTGACAGTATGAGCTCAGTGATGAAGAATGGGAGATCACGAAGCAATTGTTGTTGTTGTTGATGGTGAGTTTAGAAATCAACATCCATCAACAGCAGACACTTACCAATCACTTCTTAGATTTTCAAGGACGCAATGTTGTTCTTTTCGCGCTCGACACCCAACATCCCAACCATCCTTCCAGCAATGGACCACATTGATGAGTGGCTGACAACTGCATCTGTCAACTTCAAACTTCCAGCATCCATCTGTGCTGCTGCTAGTCTGGCCAAAAAGACTTTGAACAGGTACTACGAGCGCTCTGATTGTTCAAAGGTTTATTGCATTGCGATGGGTACGTGTTTACAGTTCACGTACAATGTTTTACACTGACCTTTCTTCGACTAACATCAGTGCTTGATCCACGATGCAAACTCAATTATTTCAAAACGGCGAAATGGGAAAAGGAATGGATAGACGAGGCAGAACGTCTCACTCAGCAAGAATATACTAACTCATACAAGGACCTCCCTGTGGATCTCGAGGAGCCAAGCATTGTCCTCACTGTGCAGGCTCAAAAAAAGGTATGTAATTCATTGATAGTATGGTTGATAGTTCTTACAACTGAAATTCCATTAGAATGCATCTCTGTCAACCAATATGTTCGACGTGCTTCCAGTATTTTCAGCAGCACCAACTTGTACCAATGAAGATGAACTCTCTCAATACCTTGCTGAAGACATTGTTCCAATGAAGCTGTCAGACATGCTCTCTTGGTGGGCTTCCAAGAAAAATGTGTACCCTCGCCTCTCGCAGATTGCACTCGATTACCTTTCTATTCCTGGTACGTCCTCTCTTTTCTATACATCAATCATTCTTACATATTTCTCAGCTACTTCTGTTGATGTCGAGCGAGTATTTAGCTGAGGCTGAATTCTCCTTTCACATCTCCGCAACTGGCTGTCTCCTCAAACCACGCACTCTCTCATGTGCCTGCAGGCATGGAGCCTACTCGGTTATGTGAAGGATAAGGACATGCTCTCGGTTACATGACTGCCTGAGACAGAAGGTGATGACAACGACCTGGAGGATGGCTGGGATACCATACATACAACTTAAGTAACTTTAGTACACTCGTAGCAGGTATTGTGATGTGCGACCTGTCAGACCTGTTCCCAACCCGTCAGACCCGGCTGACCCTTGTACATACCCTTACCCACACGTTGACCCCACAGCTGGGTAGGGGTATGAGCAGGTCAGGGTACGGGTCAGCTCATTTGTACCCAGGGGTTACCCTTGGTGATCACTAGTCTTGACACACCCTAATACACTCCACATGCCGCCCCAAGGGCCCAAGCCAAGAGGCTCAGGCTTCTCATGCTAGTCTACTCAACGGCCTTTATGCTGACCTAGTTGCAATCTGTCACACCACTTTCGACGCTTCGGATTCTTACTCAACACCATTACCCTCCCTTCCCAGCTCTCTATTACAATCCCGGCAACCATAACTGTGATGCAGCTGGCTGTGGCGCAATGTACAACATAATTAGATTTGGAGTAACCACCACCATTAGGCCGAATTTACCTGTTACATGTAGATTTTCTGTGAATTTTATGAATTCAAAAAAAAAAAAAAAAAAAAAAAAAAAAAAAACATAGTATGGGAAAAACATACTCTATTAGGAAGGTAGGTGGTGGGGGGGGGTGTCAAGCAGAACTCAGAAAAAAAAATAACAAGTGTTGGTCTCTTTTCCACATTCTGCCACCCCCTTGAAATTCCATCAAGTTGAATCTTGATACATTTGCTCTACCTCAACATACATCTGTGTTCATCCTCACCCCTCCCATTGCCCTTCATCCATCCAGCCTATGTCATCTTCACTGTCATTTGTATCTGACTCATCAGGATCAACAAATTCATTGTCTTCCACAACAATCTCATCCATGTCAAAGGCAACATCATCCTCAGTTAGCCGCAGCAATGTTTCATCCACCACCCTGTTCTCAATGTCCTTGAGGATTCTATCAATCTCAGTTGTTTCCACTGAAAGTAGACCTTCCTCAAGTGCCTCCTCATCCGTTTCAGTTGCTGGAATCACAGGAGCTGGAGATGTGGCAGTGGGTTGTGGTTGCAGAGTTTGGGTCAAAAGTGTTGCTGCAGCCTGTTCAGATGGTTTTTCGAGGGTGGTGGAAGATGATACTGGTCTCATTTTGCGCCATTGTTGAAGTCTTCTGAAGACTGCATTATACTTGTTTAGTGGACTCTTCTCACCTGCTGTTAGGCTTTGTAGTCCCACTCCAACAACATCTTCTACAACTTCTTCATCCTTTACCATCCACCCTTTTTGAATTTGATAAACTTTATGCTCATCAAGGCTGGTCATAAGACTTTTGATATCATCTTTAAGATCTGGGGGTGCATGTTTTGTGCCCTGGTCACCTCCAAGAGTGTTGTTCAAAGTCTTCTGAAGATCACCTAGTGCAACAACACAATGTGAAATGGTTTCCAGCCAGTCCCATGACACATTTGACCCCCTAGCTTTATACAGTTGAGTGCAAAAAGAATGAAGGTTAGTTCATTTTTCTGGTTCTTTCTAAGAATCTATTGTACCCCAAATGTATTGGTGTATTCTTTTACATCATGTAGTTGTCTTACACTTCCCTTGGTATGGACTAATTTCAGTGAAAGCTGGAGTCTGGAGGCCATTTTTGGCATCTGAAAAAAAAAGTATGCACTAACTGGTGAGGTAGCCAGAACATACCTCTGGTTAACCTGAATGAGCCTATCAAAGAATCAGTCAAAAATACTGAGCGGTTAGGTCTGTAGAGGCTTTGGAAAATGGCTTGTTTTGTCTAAAACAGGCTCAAAAATGACCAAATT